AAGAGTAGATATCTCTTAAGTTAACGGCGTAGTTAATAGAGATATTAGAAAAAGTCTTTTATAGATCTCGTAATTAATATAATCGTAAGAGAGATTAGATAAAAGAGAAGACTGCTCTAGTCTCGTAATTAAAGTAATCGTAAGAGAGACTCTAAGAAGAAGAGAGAGTTTAGAGCAACTATTAAATAAATCTTACGTAATTAATATAATCGTAAGTAAGAGATTTTAAGTAAGTAGTTAAAGATCTTATAATAGGAGTTAGTCTCTACTAGTATAATTAAAGTAATCGTAAGTAGAGACGTCGGCTTATTAAGAGGAAGATATTAAGATCGGGAGATTTAGATACTATAATTAATATAATCGTAAGTAGTATCTCTAAATCTCGAGATATTAACGGAAGAGTTATTAAATCAGTAGCTCTATCCTATATATAGAATAGAGATCGATTCGAAAGTAATAAAAGATCTTAGAAAGTATTACGAAGTACTACTACGAGGTACGAACTAAACGTATATATATATTATAATATAAATTCTAAGACGAAGAGCTATAAAAGAGTTATACTCGGTTGCGCGAGTAAGTATACGGTAACCGAGACGTGCTAAGCCTTCGTCGAAGCACGTGCTAGTTACGTATAGACGGTATCACGTGGTGCGTTCAGTGGCACGTGATATTGGGATATCAAGCATGTCAATCCGTGACAATCTCGTAGTAATAGAGCGAGACGAGAAGGTACTAAACTAGAGATATACTATACGCTCGTACGTAGCTATACTAGACGATTAACTATTAAGGATTTAGTCTTCGGGTAATATCTTTATATAGAATAACGTATCTATTTATATAGTTAGTCGAGTTAATAAATAGTTCGAAACTTATAGTATATCGCGACTCGAATAGCCTCTCTATTCGCCTAATCTTAATCCTATCGAATACGTCTAGGCGATCCTTAAATAGTGCCTAAAGGAGTATTACCTATATCTACTAGAGCTCGGTAACTCGTAAGAGGCTCTCGATAAATTCGCTGGAGTAATAGTATAGGAGTAGAACGCTATATCGTAAGAGTAAATCGACGAAATAATAAGGTCGATTTATACGCGTATAAATAGCGTACTAGACGCTAACGGTTAGTACATACGCTTTTAACTAGTAAGAAGTACTAGGCTCTATAAATAGTACTATTTATAGAGCACTAGGACTAGCACAGTTAATAGCAGTTAAGAGCATTGAAATTGAGCAAGTCTGTGGCGAGTAAATGGCTATTGAGTAGGAGGGTATCGGGTGCGGGTGTGGTGGGGAATAGGCCCCCCGTCCAGACTTTTGGCATAGTACTGTAGAAGGCCAGTACTGTATGCTCGCCTAAATCGACCCTACTCTAATTCTACTTCGATCCTACTCGAGAATTACTATAGGATCACTTATGGGCTAAATAATATATCGGAGATCACGATAGGATTATAATAGGATTAGTATAGAGATCGCTATAGAGATTACTATAGGCTAAATAGCGTATCGAGGATCACTTATTAACTTAATTAAAAAAATTATAATTTTAATATTACGTAATATTTATAGATTATAGATAGTATAGTATAAGTCCCGGCTAGAATTTAAAAAAAAGAAAAATCCTAACGGTAGTCTTAAAAGAAAAAAGAAAAAAGAGTACTCCTAGTGAGTTTCGAATATAGTACTCTTTTTTTTGCTATTGTAGTAGCTGATACGTGATCCGGATCCGATTAGGATCAATGATCTGAGAAAATCAAACAGATCAAGCCTCCTATCCGGTTCAGCTGAACTAGGTCTGAACTGGGTCTGAACTAGATCGTACTATTCTAGATCCGATCCTAGATCGATCCTGGATTGAGCCCTTAGAGAAGGCCAGTATAGTACTGTATCTATTTTTCTATTGTAGACCTACTATAGCGCGATACAGTACATAGTAGTTGCGCCCTAAGGTTACTATAGCCTATATAGAATCTTATAGTGATTCTTAAGTAGGATCGGAGTAGGGTCGGAGTAGGGTCGATATACGATCGAAATAGGACTAATCCTTATTAGGCGGGCGTATATGTACATACTTAAGTAGTACTGGGTAACCTTATACGAAAACGATCACACTTAGGTATGGTATACATAGGGATTTCAAAGTGACTGACACTCCAGCTATTCAAGTTGTACACAGCACTGATCAGGCTCCCAGCTAGCACTATATACCTTTAAGGTATTATTCAAGGTCTCATCCACTGGCTCTTCGAAGATCAAGACTGGATCCCTTTCCTGCACTCCTTCCAAGCACACATATTCCTTATTGCTGTATCTACAAATTCCGCCCCGTTACTGCAGCAGACAACCGTTCAATCCCTTCACCAACAGCACCCAACGGCGGTTCAACCGTCACTACCGTCCAGTCCACAACTGTTCTGGTCAAAGTGGTGGTGGTCGGCTCTGCAGCCGAGTACCGCTCGCGAATGCCATGTAGAGGCACTCCCAGCGCCGCCGAAGGAGAAAGAGGAAGAGAAGAAGCGGCGCGCATAACGGCCGTCTTGACGAGCTGGCCCGAGTGTTGGAGCAAACCGCGGAGCGTGTCCAGATGATGAGGCACGCTGGCCTCAAAGTTGTGTCTGGCGGCCAACTTGAATTGAGCGAGGTGTGATCGAATATTTTCCAAAACCTCGGTGCGCTCTGCCGCAGTGGACTTCAAGAGGGCCTCGGCGGCAATGATTACCATGCCGCCGGCGAGTCCGCCGAGCACGCCGGTTGCCACGGCCCATTCTTGCGCGCGGTATTTGAGGACCGTGTTGACCGCCTGGATCCCCAGGTCTTCGATGCGGTAGTATATTCCTTTGGCCCTGCGTGCTTCGGCGACAGCTTCCTCGAGTGTTTGAGGGCGGCTGTTGGCGGCGCTCACCGGCATTAAGGCGGAGGGGGCATCGTCGACCCAGACGCAGTAGAGGTTGGAAGGGGCGACGTTCGGGTAGACAGTGACAAAAGAGCCTCGTAGAGGTTTTGATGCTTTGGTTGTTTCGTCGTCCTCGGACGAATCCCCCTCCTCCTCATCATCGCTATCAACCTGTCTCTTGCCGTACCGGTGTCCTCTGCTTTCTTCGGCCGCCGCTTTGGCGAGGGCGATGCTCCATTCGGTACCGGGGAGGGGCTCGTCATGCTCAACTGCGGCTCGGCCGGCATTGGACTCTTGTAAATCGTACGGCAGCACAGGAAACACACCGTCGAAATCCTCCGCCGAGGCAACATCTGCTTGTTGCTCCAATTGCAACCGATCTGGCCCCTGGGGAACGACGGCCTCGACCCGTCCCCAGCAGGTCATTTTCACCTGGAGTGCGTCCCGCGGACCAACCGTGAGCGGCTTGGTGGCGTTGACGAACTGGGCGTTGACGCAGATGTTGTTTGCATTGGGCGATGTGTCGTAGACACTTCCCTTGGCCATGTGTGGGGCAATACGCACAATGGTCCCTTCAATTCCGGTAAAGCGGATCGACAGGTGCAGACTGGCGGCGAGACGGATCAAGTCAAACAGGTCCATGAAGATCTCGTGGTACAAGGAGTCGGCACGTTCCTTTTCCATTCCAGTCCGATCGGTTTTGGCCCTGAGTGGGTCGAAGATGGGCGGGGGAAGGAGAGGTTCGAGCAGCTGAACAAGATGTCCTGCGAGCTCAAAGGCCGCGACATCGAGATTGTTGCCATGTTCGTCAGGGAAGTAAGGGTCCTCGTCATTATCATCATCGCTGCCGTAGCCGAACTTCAACCGCTCCAGAACCTCCGCGCGCTTCTTGCAACGGACAAAGGCGTCGTAATGGATGTACTCGCGGTCGATGGCCTCGAGTTCTTTCAGTTGCTCGTCCGGGACGCCAAAGGCCGTATGGTTGAAAATACGGTGCTTGAACCATTCCCCAATGATCCCGTGGATCAGGGGCACCCGGTGTTCGGGCTTGGTGAAGAAGCTGCGCCAAGTATACCGACTGCCGTCGGCGATATATTGTGCCATCAACATCAGCGGCTTGTATTGCGTGGATAGCAGATGCAAGGGCCAGGCAGCCTCCTGGGGGGCGGTGAGTTTGAAATCGAAATGCCGCTGCGACAATCGAAAGCTCATTTCTTGCAAGCGGACAAATAGTGCCGAGATCTCCCCAAGTTCCAGCGCTCTGGGCCGACCAAGAATCTCCTGAAACAGCCCATCTGCGTCTTCGATGGTCAGTGGCCGCTCAGCGGCCGGAGTAGCCTCCTTGTTGCCGGCAGGGTGAGTGTGCTGTCCTTCGTTCGTCTTCTTGGAATGCAGCTTAGCTTGGTAGTGCGCATATTGCGCACCAGCATAGCCCGGACCAGATCCTGGAGATGCGGAAGGTCGGAAGTCCGTAGGCGTTTCTCGAAATTTAACACGTTTCGGAGAGGAGGCTAACACCGCCCCATCGTCACCGTCCCCAAGACGACGCTTTGATAACTTCACTGATGATGGTGTAGTACCTCGTGTAATTGCCCTGGGAGGACTTGTGCCAGCTGTCGGCGACCGTCGAGCGGGACTTGCGCGAGACGGACTTGGGGTTGCCGTTTTCTTCGTTTGTTTCGATGACGGTGTATGCGCCGAGCCGGTCTTGCGCGCGGATGGAGGACTTGATGCGTTTTGTAGTGGATTTTTTGGGTAGGAAGAATGTCGCAATGAGGGTTCTTTCAGCGTACGCCCTGCTTCTTCGGAGGAGTCGGTTGACCAATCTTCCATCATTGTGGGGAGCGCATAACCAAAAGGGACGTCGGAAGAATCATCGTCGTCTTCGTAGTCGTCGTCGGGGTCTACTGACCGAGCCCTGGCTTTGCCTTTGGCCTTCTTGCTTGGTTGACTCGAGGCCTGAGGTGGTGACAGTCTCGAGGTTTGAGGTGGTGACTGTACATTGGTGCCTCCAGCACCGGGCGATGTTTGTTGAACTGGTCTTCTGTAAGGAGAAGGTCTCGTCAATATCCTTCTCGGCGGCAGTTTCGAAGCCGGCTTCTTCGAAGGTGACATTTTGTGTGACCTATGAAGGATCCTGCAAGTTAAGTCAAACTCGAACGGTGCTCTGGAAATGGAGAATTCAGCAAAGAGTGGGAAACGGAGATGTGGGACAAAAAGGAAACACAGGTGCGAAAGGAATATATCGTGAAGCGCGATCATAGTGAAGCATGCTTGCGGTGAAGGTCCTGGCTGCCGAAAACAGAAGAAAGAAAGAACACGGGAGTCCGGCTGTTTTCAGTTTGGTTATTCTGAATTTTCATTGTCACAATAGGAGGCGCCGTTGTGTTCGATGAACCACGGAGTCCGTCTGAAGTACAACTGTCATTGACAAAGACAATCTTTCAGTTGAGAAGAGATCGCAAAGATGTAGACAAACTCGAAGGCTAGATGCGGTTTTAGTGCAGATGCTGCGTGTCTAACCCCTTGGCCTTTACTCTGTGGTCGTATTCGCAGTGCCCTTTGGCTGGTTCTCGATATCCTGGATACTCCCATTGCTGCTATTGGGCTGTCGCTCACAAATGGGCGATGCATTCGATTTCAACCTGAGATGTGGTCAGCCAGTATGTCCGGGCGTGGGCTGGAAGAAGAATCCTACATCAGTCTGCATCGGCAGCTCCTTGACGCAAACGCATGTTCTGGCCGGTTTCGGGTCCGGGATGATTTCTAGGACTGTTTCTGGTCAGCTTTTCTGGAATGCCCGTGTGGAATGTGCCCGGGCTCGAGCACGGATTCAACCAACGCACAGGCCTTGTTCATGCCGGCATAGTCCGCCATGTCCACGATGAAGATGTTCATCTTGACAATGTTCTGCAGGCTGCTTCCGGCCTCCTCAAGCACGTTCTTGATGTTCTCCAGTGCTTGTTTCTGTCAAGATTGCGGTTAGAACCATCTAGATCAGGGTGAAAACATTGGACGGCTCTTGGCTTACCGTTCGGTCTGTAATGCTCCCCTCCACCAGCTTGCCCGAGGCAGGATCAATCCCGATGTTGCCGCTCACATAGACTGTGCCGTTGTGGATGATGGCTTGAGAGAACAGGGGTGACTTGAGCCCCTTCTCGGACACAACTGGTTGCTTAGGGGCCATCTTTACCGATGCTTCTTGTAGTAAAATAATGCGAATTGGGACACTGGCAACTTTTGGTCTCAAACTAACTCTAGCAACCTCTACAAGATAATCAATCCAAGGAGTAAATACTGGCAGAACGAGAGGGCAAATGCAGAGAGGTCCTCGACTTAAGCATTATAAGGCACTGCGCCAGGGAAGGAGGAGCCCGATCACGGCGGGCGGACAATTCCGCGGCCGGAGTCTCTTTCTCGTTCCGCCGGTTAAACTTACAACATTGACCAGTTCAATGTCAGTACAAAGAACGTACATGGTGGGCCCCCTCGGCCCTTTTTCCCCCTGCTCTTCATTATCCCGTCTCCCCACGGATGCCCGTATATCACACATCCACAAATGCATCGTCACGACTATGGCCGTCGTCCTCCTCCGTCTCCATCACTTGAAGAATACCTAGGTAGATAAGTACCAACCAAAGGATCCCGGTGTTGAGGGGGCGTAGAAAAGTCCTATCACCACCGCTCCCAGCCGCGGTTGGGTCTTCCTCTCCGTCTCGCCAGACGCTGCCTTTCCATGGCAGCATGATACCGCTCCTGACGAGCGCGCTCTCGCTCTCGCTCCTGCTGGGCTCGGGCATGGTCTTGTTCTCTTCTTTGCCGGTTCTCGTCAGCAACAGCAAGTTCGGCTCGTAGCCGCCGAAGCCGACCTTCATCACCCTGATCCCGCAGGTTGTCCTGCATCCCTTGGATATGCTGGATGGCACGACCGTCTATTTCGGCGATCTCCCGATTTTGTCGCTCGATGCGCTCTCGATGTCGCTGAGCTCGCATGTTCTCCAATTGCTGCAGGTCTTCTGCAATAGCCGGGTCCAGGGCGTTCCACGGGACCGGTGGTTGCCATGGCCACACCGCGTTCCATCCTTGATCTGGATGTCGCGGGTACCGTTGCCCGCCATACTCTGGTCTTTCGCGGTATCCTCCATATCGGCCTGGCAAACCGTCACCGTCATCGTGGTGTACCTCTCGATGTCGATCATGCAGTGCATCAGGGTTGAGCCCTAGTGTCCAGGAGACGATCCGGCCCCGACGTCCATTGTTGCCGGTATAGTGCTCGTCCACCGGGAGCCAGTACGTCTGCTTGCATGGACCCCATCCCCGCGTGATTGGAATCCTCCGACGCATATATGTCCATTCGTCGTCTGCCATCCTGGTGGCTGGCTGCGGAAGATGGTCTAAGGAATAATGGTTTCCCGGAAAGCTATGAGTACACTCGCAGCAGGTAAGTCCTTCTTTGCCGGCAGGTGCTCTCTCCTATTTGTACTATAACTGCTGCCGATACTATCCGGCCGCTGGGTGCAGGTTACACCAGCAACGCAAGGCAAACATTACGAGGCGACCATTCAGGAAGCCTCGACACCGCCTTCCGGAGACAACAAGCCGCCTTTGTGTGTATACACCTTTGCCGGCATATTCCGGGGGTGCCCGGCTGGGTTGAAGCAAAGCACGTTGCATTCGCACCAACTGCCGAGCGTCACGCACACAATTCAGGGGAAATTAACCGGCTATTAGCATGCATATAGCATAGGAGAGGCGACAACATACTGGAACGCAACCACGTCTGCCTGCACGATTCGAAGACTGACAACGGACGCAGTTCTTGGACGGGCGACCAGTTGGTGTCAGAAAAGACCATGAGAGATCCATGCGAGGATCCAGCGCCAACGCTCGGAGACAATGTTGACATGGCATGCCTTTAAAACGGGCTTGACCCTTCGTGGGTGTAGTAGGAGTTGCAGGTGCTGAACATGCGAGTCAGCAGGACGTCGCATGCGCCAGAACTCACACTTACGTCCAGAACCGCCTGGAGGCGGCGAAGGCGGCGGGGGAGCCGCTGCTGCACTCATTTCGGTCCTGTGAACATGTTAGACGCATGCGAACCATAGGCGAACCTGACACACTTACTGGAAACCAACTGGCTAGATGGGGTGTTGACACACGATCCTACAAGAGACGAGTATGCGAATTGGGTGCGGTTCTCTTGGGATCAAAATGAAGAGTGTGTTGGTGGCACAGCCTCGTGGACCATGTTGTCACTCTTTTTGTCCCTCAGGCTGCCTCGGCCGTACATCCCAAAAGTAAACAGCCGCAATCAGGGCCAATGCCACTGTGCCACCCCAGCGGGTGCGGGTCCGCTTGGTATGCTCTACTGATTTGATGGCATCCCATCTGTTGGGTTCTTTCGTGGTGCCCGCGAAAATAGACGGTTGCTGCAAAACGTTGTCTGTCAGAGACTTGTCACCAACATTCTTGGTTGAAGTGCTTGAAGCTGTATGTGCTGCCTCTTAATCCCCAGACATTTTGAAGGTGGACTTGAACGAAATGCAGAACCCGTACACTTACAAGGATCCTTGTGATGTCTGGCTGAACGGCCGTGACATTGAAAGGTCGACTCTCAGTCTAAAGGACACTGCCAGTGGCACTGCTGGCCATGCTGCATGGAAGGAGCGACGGATGACCATGTGGTGGTGATGACGGCGGCAAGAGCGATGTCCAAGCAGGTGCAGGTGCAGGTGCAGGCTCGAGTTCGAGTTCGAGTTCCATATTTCCTCGCTTCGCAAGGAACTTGAAGGTTGGCTAGGTCTGTGATCCGGCTGGAGCAGGAGTGCTTGCTTCTTTAAGTACAAATCGAGCAAAGGGATCAATCGAATAGACTTAGGTCCACTGCTCCTCGAACGAATGCATTCCCGCACACTTGCACTCGAAATCCTCTCGTTTCCCGTTCGACGCAAAAGTCAAATACGGGCTAAACAGTGCTGTACTTCAGCGCGGAGGACCAGGGGAGGATTTGCACCGGGATAAGTCACGTCTCATCCAAATGCCTCGAAAGCCTAAATGGAGTGATAAGCAAGATGGATGGCTGCTGAGCCGAAATCTCAACTGAAGATCTATCCCTTCACTGAGCCAGATCGTCCCATGATTGTCGTCGTCACTAATACCACTGGCACCAGGCCTTTAGTCATGGATGCCTGGCTACCAGGTACTTCAGAGTGCGTAGGATATTCTTGATAAAGTCCCTATGTAGGGAGATATTGTGTTGTTTACCTAGTGGTGAACAAGGGCGATGGTATGTGGTGTATCTCAACGTCAACCATGAAAGTATGGTTTGGTAGCAGCTGTGGCTTAAATATGTATATACAGACGGACCCTGCGTTTCCTTTCTGTTTAGCCGGTAAGCCTAGAGCGAACCTAAACACTACCCCCATAAACTACCTGGATAGAACGGTACTAATGTAAGGTAGCCGTGTAGTGGTTTAGACGAACCCATGTTGCTGTATCCAAGCAACACAACATCTTGTTGTTACCATGTACAGCACCTATGTAGACAAAGACAACAATTAAATCCCCCATACCGGCATTTCGCAACACAGAAACCCCCAAGTTGCAGTAAAAGACCTTGAGTAAATCTCGAACACCGAACCCCTAAGACGATGACAGAACCTAAATTATATAAGGATGTTTACTTATATCAGAATCTGTAGCAAACATCTATCTGTCCAGACCATCCTTCAAACCTTTGCCGGGACTCCCACGACAGGACACACCGCGCCCTTTGGTGCGGTCTCCAGGTTCGGATGCGGCTGCACCTTGTTCTTGTGGTGAGCGAGCGAGGCATTGGTGACAGGACAGACGTCCGAGTCCTTTGCTTCGGCCGTCGAAGGGTGATTGGGCGGGAGCACGCTGGAAACGGCCCCGACAACCGGACAGATTGCCTCGTCCATTTTCTGTTGTTCGGGCTCGCTGACAATCTTGGAGAGGGCAGGGCACGCCGCTGCGTTGGGGAGCTTGTCGTCCTCGGTGACCGGAGTCTCGAAGATGCCCGGGTGTTTGTGCAGGTTGTGGTGATGGTCGGTTTTGGCTTTCGTGACCGGGCACACGAGGCCTGGCTGATTCATATCGAAGTCCGGGTGTTTGGGAGGGAGGACGGTGTTGGTGGTGCCAACCACGGGGCACACTTGGCCGGTCATGGTGAAGTTCAACTTGGGATTTGATGGTATTTGTTGCTCAGGCTATGGGTGTCCGGGGCTGAGGCGGTGACCGTCTAGGCACTCTTGATATCGAGGCGTCTGCGGAAGGGAAGATTTCTCTGAGAAATGGGATGGATAGGTAGGTGACGGGGTCGAGAGGTCAGACTGTTTCAACTGCACAGGATGCGATTTCAGGCGGCTATGTAAGTCTTGTCCTGCCAAAGGAAAGTAGAAAATCAAACAAACTGAGACGAAACTATAAACTGCGTGTTAAGTGACCCTGGCAGCCTCGTTAAAAGTTCTGGCCTCGAATGACGCATGTCACATGTGACGCCTTCCCCACGTTTTACTAGTCGAAAAGGGCCAGCAGCCAACCAATGAGACGAGAGCAGTTTTTAAGCACTACTAGTACTGGCAATCTTGGACGCATCCGGTCTACCACTCTTGGTGTTGCAATCCTCATATCTCACAATAAGCAGTGGTCGGTGTTGGGTCTATGTCTCAAGGCAAACTTGACGGCTGGTTCTCCAGCGACGTCGCACAGGGCCAGGGCAACCTCGAATTCTAGTCGGCCCAACTTCGAAGCAAGGTTCGCGCCTTGCTAAAACCCCAGGGCTGTTGGCCATAGCCGCGACATGCCTGGATTCAAGGCTAACCCCGTTTTCTCCCCATTTCAATCGCCTTGACGGCTAGGGCGGTGGTCAAGCCTCGATTACCAATTTTGAGGCTTGTCTTGCCAGTCTGGCACAGCCAGCCAATCTCCCACCCGCCATCTTCTTGCTGGCTTGCCTCGATTTTCCTTAGGTCTACCTCATCCTTGATACCCATATTGAGGCACGCAATCACTCGCATGCTCAGTTCAAGGGCGTCTCCATTGGCCCCAATTCGTTCCTGCAGTCTCTCTCGCAGCAGCGATGCCGTGCGACGATACATGTCGCTTTCAGGATTCGCACTCAGGAGATGACTGAACAGAAACAGGAAGACGTCGGCCGTAGGATAGTAATAAGTGCCATCCAGGTAGGCTCGATAGAAGAGGACATCCGAGATCCAGTCCTTACTTGGCTGGAGTGCCGGTGAATCACCACGCGAGAACTTGTAGAAGAGGCGAAGCGCGTTGACGCAGACGGCCGGATCCACACGGGGGCGTTTGTTGTCGAAGTAAGTCTGCCATGAATCAGCATGCTCGGTATACCCCTCAAACATTCCCCCACTGCGCTGCACGTACTTACCATGATGATGCCGTCAGCATTGGTATACCGCAGTACCTCGTCCATGATGTCGTTGGCCTTCTTGACATCGTTGCATAGTAAAACAAGTGCCAATGCAGTAGTATCAATATCATCAGGGAACTTCTCAACGGTGTCAATCGGCTTTTCTGTGTTCTGGTTAGGACCGTGCGGAAACCATCCTGTCAATGCTCACCGATATAATAGTTCCACGTCCAATCGTAGAAAGTCAAGGTGACGAGATCACTGGACATTCCTCAAGGTCAGCTACACCAATTGCTGTATTACTGGGCGACGAGAGTATCAGGATTAACCCACATATCTCCCACGGCTTCGTACAAGAACAACTGGGCGAAGTTATCTTTGACTTCTCTGCCCTGGGTGGTGGCACTCCACATCTCCTTTGCATTGTTGTTCAAAAAGGCAAGACCTCTCTCGATAGGATCATCGAAGACATTCTTCAAAAATTGATTCAAGCCTAGCGCTCCGGTGAACCTCAGGCTCTTGATACCCAGCGACCGTGCAGCAAGCACATTCTCGCCGTTGTCGTCCACTAGCACGACTTCACTGGGTTTCAAGCCCGTCTGCTGTAGGACATGGCGGTAAAAGCGAAGCTCAGGTTTGCACATCCCCACCGCACTAGAAGTGTAGAATCCATCAAACAGAGACCACTCGAAGCGCGTATCTTCTTTCAGAACTTGCCATTCCGCTGCTGGTATGTTCGACATGAGGTATACTTTGATAGCCTCTCGGTAGGTGTCCTTGATCGCCCTGATGATATCAAACACCGCACCGTTGGGTGACAAGGACTCGCGGGCCTTGTCGAAAGCTTCGGCGATATCCGCTTCTGCCACGTCGTATTGTTTCGACAGTTGGTGATAACATTCATCTTGTGACATCATTCCAAGGTCATAGTCATACCAGAATCGTGTTTTGCGAAATCGGTGCAGCATGGCCGGGGCCACTGGCAGGGATTCTGGAGCTGTCCAGTTGCACAACACGTCGCCAATGTCGAATATAATGCCAGGAAGCTTGGGATACTTCTTTGCTTGGCCATTTGTGGTTGGTTGGTCGCCGTTAGATATACCGATTTTGTCCTCTGCGGCAGAACTTCCGTTGATGCTCTCTCTTTGCTCTGCCATAAGACGTGTCTGATTGGTCTCTTTGAGGCCATTTGGAAGTCCAACATGATTGGAGTGCGGTGGCAAGGCTGTCAGGGGCATGCCACTCTCCATTAGTTTCAACTGTTCGGCATTGAGATGTTCTTCGGGCAATTTAGTCTTACACCGGGGTACTTCCTCCTGTGATGCAGCTGCCTGCCGCTCAGCTGGGACTTCTACATCGCTCAGCCCCTGAGCTTGGGTAGCTTCCTGGTTTTCCATGTCAGTCGTTACCGGCCGGTGCAGCGAACAATAAGGATCAAGTCCAGTGGTGGTTACGTTTGCTATAGCGATAATGGTGGGATATTGGCAGATTGAAGATCCGACAGAGCAACGGGAGCAATGATGAAAGAAGTCGGGTACTCTTGCCCTGACCCTCTTATTCTGATTGCCACGGCCATTGTCACCTTTACCTTGTTAGTGGGTATCACTACCGTTGGGACTTACCGTTTACACCGTGGATTCCGTTACCTCCCTGGGTCCCAGCAATCAGCCGACGAGGTGGGATACCTCGCGTTAGGTAACACCAACGGTCCGTGGTACAATGTGGCCACGTACCCGATCTGCAGAAATGCATGCAGCCATTGTCCGCAACTTTTAGGGATTTGGGTGGATACATGGGCCTAGATACCCCATTTGCCACGTCAAATTCAATGTGCTGGCGTATGGTGATAAGTACCTTGAGATAGACAAGGACGATCCCAAGACGAGTAGTGCTAACTCTGTTTTGGAGGAATAGTGAAGTAGCTTGGCAAGTGTCGGTACAAACATGACTCGACTGACACATAGAGTCAAGTGCGAAACTCGGCCACGAGGCATGTGCCATGATAGCCACAGAGACATGTTCACTTCGTCTGTGGTGGTAAGTCAGCACCAACTTGATATGTGTGGAGAATGAGTTCATCGGATGATGCTTATTCGCCAGGGCCGGCCCGTCAACGGAGTAGGTGGTTTCAAAGATATGAATCTCCCATGGACGAACGGGTAAGACTGGCCTGAGCAACGTTGGCTAAAGTCAGTAACGTGCATTAGCCTGCTGCGGTCTCATCTATCAAGTCACTGGCATGTTTCCATGGAACTCGGCAGTGCTTGCATGAGGGCGCCATGGCTACTGTTCATTGCGAATTCTCGATCCTGGACGTGCTGAGTTGCACTTCGCTGCGGCCTTGAGAGGCGGTGAAAGCATGCAGGTGAACCTTTCTGGGTGAAGACCACAAGTAGAATCGCGAGGACTAGGGGTGCCGTTATTGGACAGTAGGCGAGATAACTCTCTCATTTTGGCCTGGGGGCTGGACGTGTGGAGATGTTGCGTGAGTCGCTTGCAAAGTTGCCTGTGCGCTCGACGGACGCGAGCCACTGATTGACTATCAGCACTGGCATGCTGTGGCCCCAGCAGACAGTGCCGAGAAGCGGTGGCCTAATCACCAGCCTGCTGCAGCGCCGAGAGCCCTTTGCGCAAGGGTGGGTAAGAGGAGTCGCCAGTGCTTATGGACAGATGGAGCTCGAGGAAGCTGTCCGGATGATGAATGAGGTCTGTGAGATGGTGAGATGGTGATGAGCACCATGGCGGGAGGGGTGGAAAAGCAGCGACAACTTCGTGCACTGGCACCGAGCCACAGCCACCAACCAGAAGGGTTACTTGTTGACGCCGCTTTACCGAGTATCTATCCCCCAAATGCTGCCAGTACTATGCAGTACTATGTATCATAGTAGAACTTGCGATCACGAGACATTTGGGACAAATGGTAGTACCAGCGTACTACCACCTTATCCGGGACATACCTAAGGTAACCTAGGTACGGCTGCGGGACTATTATTGAACGATTGATTGTGCAAGGGATTTGAACCGTACTGAAGTGCATGTAGTCTCACTTGCAAGATCGTCACCTACTACTAGTGCCCACGCATCAACCATGTCGGCGACTGATACAACCCTCAAGGGCAAATATCCAGCCAAAGCCCACTGTCGCCGGGTTGCGAAATACCTGACCGACGCGGGCCTTGCACGCGATGGAGTCATCTACCTCGAAGCGCAAAAGACACGAATGGTCGAGGACGACGACCAAGCCGTACCCTTCCGCCAGCGACGGTACTTCTTCTACCTGTCCGGGTGCAGACTCCCAGATGCCCACCTGACGTACAACATCCCGCAAGACATCCTGACGCTGTTCATCCCACCGGTTGACCCGGACAGTGTGATATGGGCGGGGCTGCCGGAGTCGAAAGAGGAGGCACTACAGAAGTACGACGTGGACCAGGTCTTGTACAGCGACGAAGTCAACGCCGCGTTGGCCGCATATGGAACACCCCAGTCCAAAACCACCGTCTACGCCATTCCCGAGCAGGTCTCGGAACACATCACATTCCTCCCATTTGCGGCGACGGACTTCGATCACCTGAAGACGGCCATCGACGAATGCCGAGTGATCAAGGACAGCTATGAAGTCGCATTGATCCGGAAGGCGAACCAGATCTCGACGCTCGCCCACATCGAGGCCGCCAAGGTCGTGCGCACCGCGACCAACGAGCAAGAGCTGTACGGTGCCTTTATCGGCACGTGTATTTCCAATGGCGCCCACGAGCAAGCTTACCATTCCATCTGCGCCAGCGGCACCAGCTGCTCGACCCTGCACTATATCCGCAACGACCAGCCCCTGCGTGAGCGGTTGAACATACTCCTCGACGCCGGTGCAGAGTACAACTGCTACTGTGCCGACATCACACGCACTTTCCCCATCTCGGGCACATTCACCCCGGAGTCACAGACCATCTACGACATCGTCGACGAGATGCAATCGTCCTGCTTTAAACTTCTTCGCGCCAACGTTCGCTGGGAGGACGTGCACGAACACGCCCACTGGGTTGCCATCCGAGGCCTCAAGAAGGCTGGTATTTTGGTTGGGGATGAGCAGGACATCTTTGACAAGAGAATCAGCGTCGCCTTCTTCCCGCACGGTCTGGGCCATTACTTAGGCATGGACACCCACGACACTGGCGGTCATGCCAATTACGACGACCCGGATACCATGTTCAAGTATCTGCGAGTCAGAGGGAACGTGCCTGCTGGCGCCGTCATCACGGTTGAACCCGGTATCTATTTCTGTAAATTCATCCTCGACCCTGTCCTGGACGATCCAGAGTTGAGCAAGTATATCGACAAGACCGTGCTGGACAGGTATTGGGCTGTGGGCGGGGTCCGGATCGAGGATGACATCCACATTACGGAAGATGGCTACGAAAACTTGACAGATACGCCCAAATTATAAGACGACTGATAACGACATAAATAGACAGGTCCTGTAGATAGCAGGCTTGACACCAACAATAAAAGAGGTGGTCAAGATGACGATATCGCGTTGCTTCAATAATGGCCCGGTATCCGAAGGTTGAGCAGGACGGCACTATGGAGACGGTTCATACATTTTCTGATAGACCCTTTCGCCCTCACTCAATCAATCCTTCCATGTCACGACCTTGGTCCTCGCCCACTCATCGAGACCCTGCAGACTGTTAAATCGCCCGAACCCACTCTTCTTTGCCCCGCCATGTGGTAGCGCGGCTTCATCATGGATGGTCATCGAGTTGATGTGCACGGCGCCGGTTTCGATTTCACGGGCAATGCGCAGTCCTCGTCGCAGATCTTCAGTGAAAACCGCGCTGGATAGACCATATTCGGTATCGTTGGCGATTTCGATGGCCTCTTCGTCCGAGTTGACCACCAACAGGGATACTGTCGGGCCGAAAGATTCGGTGTGGTAAAGGTCCATGCCCGGCTTGACGTTCTCGACGACAACAGGTCGCATCTTAGTCTTGGAGGATTCGCTGTGGTCCGGGTCCCCATAGACAGGTTTGGCACCCTTGGAGAGTGCATCGGCCAAGAGCTTCTTGTTCTTCTCGACTGGCACCGCCGACACGAGTTGCGGAACACCCATGCCCTCGTCGCTGAACACCTTTTCCATGGTGGCTTTGAGCGCCGACCGGAACTGATCGACAATTTTGGCATTGACCAGAATCCGCTCTGTGGCCATGCAGATCTGGCCGGCGTGAAGGAAAGCGCCCAGCGCACACTGGAACGCTGCTGTCTCGATATTGGCATCTTCGCAGACTATGGAGGGTGCCTTGCCACCAAGCTCCATGACTGTTGGCTTGAGGTGCTTGCCGGCGAGAGACGCCACGATGGAGCCCACAGCGGTAGAGCCGGTGAAGTTGATCTTTTTGACGGCTGGATGGGAGATCAGAGCACTAGTAACTTTTGCAGCATCTGCGGGTCTATGGTAGATGGTGTTGAGACAACCTGCTGGCAGCCCAGCTTCGTGGAAGACTGAGGCAATGGCCCAGTACACCGCCGGGGATGCTTCGGGACCTTTGAGGATGACTGTATTACCCCTGGAGAGCCATTAGTTCAATTCGCCGGCTACGACAGTGCCAGCAGCGCAGTTGGACTCACATTGCCAGAGGTTGCAGACAGGCGCGCACTCCCAAAGCATGGGGAGCGTTCCAGGGCGCAATGCCCAGGACCACACCGTATGGTTCTTTCAGCACCAGCGCGCTGCTACCCTCCTCCGAAACGACCGGCATGCTCGAAGTGGTGGCCACTTGAATCAAGCCTGCAACGGTCTTACAGGCCTCGTAGGCCAGGTTATGTTCAAAGCCAAACATGGACTCGGGCAACCCCGTCTCTGTATTGGCATAGTGTAACTGCTCGTCCCTCCTCTTTTTGAAACCCTCTGCAGCTCTAAGAAAAATGTCTCTTCTCGTGTGCGGCTTCGTCTTTGACCATGTTTTGAAGGCCTTCTCTGCTGATGCGATGGCTTTCAGAGCGTCTCCTTCGTCGGCAGCGGAGCATTGGTAGAGAACTTTGTGATCGAGAGGGGAGACAACATCGAACGTTGAGGAGAGTTTGACTTCTTGACCGTCCAGCCATAGTGGAATGGTAGAAGACGAGTCGAACTTCGACAAGGAGGCGCCGTTAGCGCCATTGGTAGCCATGTTGGCTCGTCCCGAAGATGGATGGGTATAAATTCAGCAGGTCGAGTCTGACCCAGATTCTTGCAGGCGTTGTAACTCTAGAAACACTCAGTATTAGCACTCTGTACCTCTTAAGGGCAGAACCTCAAGTTGTAGTTATAAAGGATGACAGCGGCTGTGGACAGCGGCATTTCCACAAGGCAATTCCAGGCAATATTGGGATGAATTGGTTCGGCATCGTCTATCGGAACGGGGATTGCGGGGGTTCGTACGCCTGTCAGCGACCCAACGCCCGGGCTGCGGGGGGTTTTTTCCGACTGCAACTTGAAGGAGGGGTGCCTACAGTACAGTACAGTACTACCTACAGTCCCTGTACATATTGTACAGTACATTCCCTGCCTGGTCAGGGACCAATAATGTAGGCGCCTGCTTACTTACCTGCGATTTGTTTGTGCCATTGCCCTGGCCATGGAGGGAGAGGAGGCGCGGACTGCTGCCAAGGAACAAACCACTTCCTGTGCCGTACCACGCAATTAAGCCCTGGCGCAAAGCCAGAGTCTGCTTGCGGCGACAGAATTCGCATGACCAAGCATTTTCGTCGATGGTCTTTATTATTGCTGGGTGTGCCGACCGCATCGGACGAGCACCGCCAATGCGCGTTTTGGGCAGCCGGAGTAACACCCACCTTCCATTCCACCTCAGTTGTCTAGATCTGGCGCCCGGAATGTTTGAACTTGACATCATGTTTTCAGTGCAAACAAACTGCCCACAACTCGAACAATTGGCGGGGGAGAGGTCATGCTAGTATGTTAGGCGCAGGCGGCAGCTCTCGCCCGAATGCAGCGTACCCTTCTGAACGCGATGTGCAAGAGATGAAGCGAAAGGACCGTCACTCGTCAAGAAGGCGACACGAAGCCACTAGCGAGACAGGAGGAGCCCAGATTTTACAACGCTGTACGTTGAACAAGCACAACTCTCAAAATAGAGCAGCAACAGCATATTAGGCTCTGGAGCCTTTCCCAAGCTGTTGCTAGGCTTCGGCATCGGTGTCTCCGAGCGCTGGCATACGGTAGTCGCCCAAGAGTTCGTCGCCGATAGCGCATCTGTTTTCTAAGCAGTCTCCAGAGCACTCACTGTAGATTGAGCTGGGACGCTCTCTTCAGCAAACTGGTTCAGGCGTGTGCGGGTATGTATTGCTCTTGTGGCCTTCTTTTCATTTCAGGTGCCCGAGCTCTGCAAATAACGTTCGGAGGTTCGCCGCCGCGCGGGGACGACTTTGGTGTGTTTTTTCCACACATGCGGTCGTCTCGACGTCAACAAGGGTCTTGTATGATCTGCTGGCATGTGGTCATCCGTACTCGGCCGTCGCAAAGATTTGCCTGCAAGCCCAAACCTGGTGGGTATCAGACCACATTTGCGTAATTGCTTCGCTTCGCCAGATATGCGTTCATGGCCACTGGACGCTCGCAGTGCTACCTTGTGTGTTCCAGCTTTGACGGCGCACTGGCAGGTAGCGTGGCATGCACCATGTTGCAAAATACCTCGTCCTGCGCCTCAGCTGAGCCATCATGCAGTGACATTCTCTAGGATGTCCCCGTGGATAGGAGAGGCCTTCAGACGAATCTGTTAGGGTGACTATGGGTTTGCGACGAAATGATCGCTTTTTATTTGTTGTGTCACTTTTCTCCGATCGTCGGTCGCGAGCTCACTGAAGTGCCCATGGCGGATTTTCTCTGCAGGGTGGTGATAATCCCTGACAACTTGAAGCAGTGGGAGATCTGGGCTCTGGCTGTAATATCTATCTTTATTATCGAGCATTTATTAGATGATTATGCGCCCCCCATCGGATGAGAGGCATCGACATATGCCAGCCACCAAGGATTTGCCCACCCAGGACTAACGAACTGAACCCCGCCGCGCAGACATCATCATGCCACTTTGTAAACAAAATTCGACGAAGTCGCACAAGGCCGACCCAATGGTGGGTTGCACGGGCGGAACTGAGGGGAGCGATCCCTGCAAATAATGCACGCGTTTTGACTGCAGCAGCTCGTCTATGCCTGCCTGCCTCTGCCCGCCCACCACTGACACCCCGCAGACACTGCGCCAACTGAAGCCTCCCTCTTGTGTGTTTTTGGCTCTCCCGTTGGTCCTGGCTCTTCCACTGGCCCTTCATTTGCTCTTTCTTCCCTCCGCCCTCGAATCATGCTCCGTATTTCCGACAGAAGGGGAAGTGCATGAGGCGGAAATGGATGGTTACATTTCGGCGAGCTCTGGTACCTGGCCCCGCGGGGTAAATGCTGGATGATGGCCTGATCCCCGAGAATATTCGCCTGAAGGCACCGCAGTCGGGCAGCGTGAGAGGTCCATGGAAGAGCCTGAGCTCCGAGCAAGATGCCACATTGCATAAGTCCTTCGTTGGAGCTGTGCTATTACTGGACTAAGGTTCGAGCTGCCCCTCGATCTCATCTCCATTCTTCTGTAGCTTCATGCTAGCTGATGCTGGTGCAAAGCTCGAGATGCATCCACGTCCAGCGACCATTCGTCCTACGCTTCCAGAATACCCGTTCGCCCACACTTCCCGGCCCACCCGTGACAGGCAGTGCTCGGATATGGCCTCATCCCAGTTCAAGAAGGTCTCCTTACACCCGTCATGAGACGGGTCACTGGGGTCCGTGTCACTGGGTTGATTGGCCGACGAAGCATAGTCGGTCCATAGGATACCGATCTTCAGAGAGCCACCGGCCATGGGCTGGACGTTCGATCTGTTGAGGGGTTTCCGCTCATCCTGATTTCTGAGCGTGGAAATGACTGTCGATATGTGGGCACGACGGGTCATCGGAGGGGTTGATCGAGCTTGTCAATCGTCTACATAAACAGCCCTCCCTCCCTCACCCTACGAGGTCATCTTCTTATCAGACAAAGGACATCTTCAGCCCAGCCCGATCTATACAGCAGCCCAATTCATAGAATTGCTCATTATCAAAACTCAAACAAGCCGTCAACATGTCCTCTCCCAAGATCCCTAGCGAGCAATGGGCTCAAGTCATCGACAAGGTCGGTGGCCCGCCACAATACAAGAAGATCCCAGTCCCAAAGCCGGGCCCTGAGGAAGTCCTCATCAACATCAAATACTCGGGTGTGTGCCACACCGATCTTCATGCCATGAACGGTGACTGGCCCATCCCGACCAAGCTGCCTCTTGTCGGTGGCCACGAGGGTGCCGGTATTGTCGTCGCCCGTGGCGAGTTGGTGACAGACGACATTTGCAAGATCGGTGAGGCTGTTGGCGTCAAATGGCTTAACGACTCTTGCTTGTCCTGCACTTTCTGCCAGCAGGCCGATGAACCCCTCTGCCTTACCCCGAAGCTTTCCGGCTACACCGTCGACGGATCCTTCCAGCAGTACTGCATTGCCTCCGCACGACACGTCGCCCACATTCCCGAGGGCGTTCCTCTCGATGAGATTTCTCCGGTTCTCTGCGCCGGTATCACTGTCTATAAGGGTTTGAAGGAATCAGGCGCACGACCTGGTCAAACGGTCGCCATTGTCGGTGCCGGTGGCGGGTTGGGTGCTCTGGCACAACAATATGCGAGGGCCATGGGTCTCCATACCATCGCCATCGATAGTGGTGACGATAAGAAGAAACTGTGCGAGGAGATGGGTTCCAAGGTGAGTTTGGTACGATGCTCGAAGTCTTGACATGATCTGACCCAATGTTTCAGCACTTCATCGACTTTGCCAAGTCGAGCGACATCGCTAAAGATGTCAAGGCTGCCACCAAGGACGGCCTGGGCCCGCACGCTGCCATCTTGGTCGCTGCCAGCGAGAAACCCTTCCAGCAAGCTGCCGAATACGTCCGCCCCCGAGGCTGCGTCGTCGTTATCGGTCTCCCGGCCAAGGCTTACATTCGAGCACCGGTGTTCGAGTCAGTGTTGAAGATGATCAGAATCCAGGCCTCGTATGTTGGCAACCGACAGGACAGTGCGGAGGCTCTGGACTTCTTTGCCCGTGGATTGATCAAGGTACCGTTCAAGACGGTGGAGTTGAAGGACCTTCCCAAGGTCTACGATCTGATGCACCAAGGCCAAATCGCTGGACGATATGTGCTGAAGATGCCAGACCCAGAAGTCTAGATGGCTGCCCAGTATAGCTGAGCCAATCAATGGTCGGCAGGTGGTACGAAGGTCACGACCTCCTAGTTAGGACTACGATACAAAACATTTGAATGAATTGAACCCAGACTACAACATGTGTGCGTGCGCGCAACTTGAATGACGCCGAGAAGAATAAATGTGTTGTCCAAACCTTGCAAGTGATCTGCATGATCTGATCTGACACTCGGTCACGGCACGGAAGCGAAGCCGAGCGTATATGCAACCGATCCTGACCCCGCCACGCACCGTAGCGACACTCCACGGCTGGGCTGTACCATAATACGAGAAGCGGGAGAATCAAAGCTCCAGTAGGAAAGCTCCCCACCAGCTAGGCTTGTGGAAGCAAGCTGAATTTGAGCGGAGGCGGAGCAGCGAGCAGACAAAACACGAGGTGATGGCGATAAAAATATAACATAATACAGGGGCAGTCAGTCCCTGGGTAGCAGTGACGATCCTTTGGCCCGTACCGGTTCCCCAGCGTTAGGTAGAACCTGGTACCTCATACGAGTGAGAAGATAGCTTGAGCTTAGTCAAATGAAATAAACAATTCACGCACATCCTCATACAGAGGGAGACAGTTGTCCAACCCAGGGGGTTGGAACAATAACGGTTACCCTGTCAATAATGTACTACTGTATCCAGGCGCAACCTTCCCTTACTGTCGATACGGACTGCAGGTGTTCTGCCTTCGAGCGTTTTCCACGTCCATACACTACACAAGGTATAGATGAGTTGACTGGCGTGAACCGCGCAATGCAACGCAAAAAATGAGGTACTGTACTTAGGTAGGTATGGTACGAAGATATAGTATAAATTTGATGCAAGCATGGACATTTGATTTTCTTTTTTCAATGTTCTACAGTGCTAGTGCTTAGATCTTCTGTCTGGCGCATTGAGCAGAACTGAACAGAGCACAGCGCCGCACAGAACAGAAGGTCAACGCAGAACATGAACACAGTGCCTTGTCGACTTCCATGGACATCATTGACGTTTGGCGGTGTCGGATGGTGGTGGTAGACGGGCAGACGGAATTCAGCCCACCGGCTCCTGAACCTCAAAGGCCCAGCAACCATTCTTCACTCCGGGCATTGGGTGCCACTACCTTCCATCCATTGACCGGGGAGACTCGGTTCCATCTCTTATCTCCTTTCTCTTCTCGTATCCAGGCAGGTAGGTACTCGATTGTGTCCTCTACCTGCCATAGCTCTTGCTCTCTCGTTTCCTCTCCTCGTCCATCCAAGGACTGCACGTCCTTGCTCCCCCGTACAGTCAGTCCCGTGCCAGTGCCTGCTATCCTCGTCCATTCACACAGGTGACGAGGATCCATTGTTCATGCAGCAAGGCATCCGGAAGGATAGAAGGACAGGAGGACAGACGGATGGACGCGCTCGACTTTCAACCCCTTACTTTCCCCGACTCCTTCAAGAGTCCCTTGGGTCCTTTCACTAGCTAGGAGACCCCAGGATTGCACAGGTGCCGTTTCTTGACTGGAGAGGCTGGTGTGGATGGGACTCGGTGGCAATGTGACGGTGACGAGGAGCGACGCTGTTTCATGCCAACGCCGGGAATGAGACTTGTCTTCATGGAGGACAGGAGTCAAGAGACACGGACGCTCCATGCCTCTTCTTTACCGTCAATGCCACATTTGGGGTTATTTTTTCTTGGTTTTCTTTTTCGTGTTTGGCGTCCTCATCTTACTCACCACCCAATCCAGGTGTTTGCTCGAGTTTGAATTTCACACACAACTCCGCTGACAGTCTACCTCCTTCTCCGCTCTACCACGACAGTCCTTCGTCGGTCGTCTCCGCCAGTTGGACGACTCTTGCCCGACGAGGGAGCAGCGTGGCCTCTTGCAGCCTCTTTGTGCATGCGAGCACGACGGGCACGCTCGTCGCCACTCGACTCCTCATCACTACCGGTAGAGGAACCGCACTCGGAAGAGCTGGAGCTCCAGCCGCCGCAGCGCTTGCCGCCACAGTCGAGTTTGACGCGCTGTCCGGACCGGGTCACGCCATACCTCTCACAGCGACAGCTACGATCACTCACGCTGGACATGGTCGACGGGGAGGAGCGCGAAAACGCCGTCCCGCTCGATGAGCTGTCGTCTGAAAGTTCGGACGGTGATGAGCTGGATGAAGTGCCGCTGCTGATGCGGTAGCCTGCAAACCGCTCCTCGAGGTCGTCCACAGGCGAGTGCTCGTAGTCGGCTTCGCGGAGTTGGCGTGACGCATAAGGTTTGCTGGGCTTCGGATGCTGGATCTTGCCGGGGCTGAGGGCCCGTCCCTGAGGAATCTCGCGGCTGTGGCGGCTGCCGTAGTGTTGCTGAGCGGATGTGATGGCCGCGCTGGTGTTCACTGACGGCCTTTGGGCTGTTGTCCTGGTAGCTGTTGCCGCAGCCTTGTCTCGGTTCCCATTTCCGGCTGGGACATCGACCACATTAAGTTTGCGACCCGTGGTCTTTTCGGTGACAAATTCTTTGGCCGGGTCGTGGGAGACATGATAGCCGTCGACGATGTAATAGTACCAGTACCGCGAGCCGAGCTTGAGGGCGTTGGCCCCTTGGAAGCGGAAAGTGCCCTTCCAGGATCCGGGCTTTGCCGTGCTGTCCTTGACCAAGGACAAAGGAAGTTGTGACTTGTAGTTATCCCAGGATCCGAGGAGGTGGACGGTGCGGACGTTGGGCGAGGTGCGAAGGGTGAATGAAAGCTGGACTGCTGGTGATGACATTTCTGTTCGACTCCTTTTTTTGTTCTTTTGTCGAGATATTGTTGGGCGTCAAATTAGACAATAACTGAAACGATAAGTATCAGTTGAGGCACTCAAAGGGGAAAAAGGGGGGGGGGAGGGGGGAGGGGGCAGGGTGCGTACAGATCGTAGGGTATGCTATGCCGTTGAGACTCGTGTGGTTCGTGATAGTGCGTTGCAGTTCGTCGAAAATGCTGAAGAGCTGAAAGAAGCGTAAAGTCGAAAACGGTATTAAAATTCGATGAGATATTAACGTTGCCGATACCGAGGCTGATGCTGATGCTGATGCTGGAGGCTAATGCGCAAAGCTGGATGCCGATATTATATGCAGGTAAAGGGCCTGGTGAGAACCGAGTGTTCCAGACTAAAAAGACACAAAATGCCAGACGGGACGTGCAATGCTATACGATGCTTGGTCGTCGATGCTGTACTGGGATGGAAGGATCGATCACCGGCCGGGTGAAGGGCGAGATCTCGGACGGGCAGAGCTTCCTCGACAGATACGTCAAGGAGAAAATCGATGACAGATTGTATCTAGGAAGGATTGAGAAAGGTGCTTGTGCTGGATCTGGGTAGGAGCTTAGATTGACCGGCAACCTGTGGGGACAGGACGACCACAACAATATTGAGGCACGAGTGTGTGTTTGAGGCTGAAGGCGAAGAAGAGCAACGAGCTAAAGTAGTAATAGCAGGAATGTTGAGGGCTTCCAATAATGGAAGCACGGCGACGATGACTGGTGAGACTGACGACCGAATGCTGAGTTGCGCTATGGTGGCGTCTTGACGTGCTTCCGGCCTCTCGGATATGAGGCTAACTGTACCCGAAGGGGAGGCTATTGCTGCAAGGTCGTGCGGCACAGCTCGAGGGTGCAGTAGATTCGACAGTAGCTCGGCAGGGTGTTCAACAACGCTACTCGCCAGGAGCAGTGCAGGTGCTGTCAGGCTTCTCCGCTTGCTTGGAAAAGACTCGGGACTCGATCGACCAGGACCGGGTCTGAAAGACAGGCTGAAATGGGTATCGACAGGTACAATAGTGAGTGTGTAGTGTATGCCCGAAATAGTAGGGCAGATATTGCGATATGTATGTTGGCGCGGCACAGCAAGGCTGGAATGTGCGGTGTGATATATTTGGCAAGGCAAAAGAGCTATTAGTTCTGTCCGGTGGAAAGAAGAAAAACACCGTTGGCCAGCAACGGTGGTGTGTGTTGACTGAGGATTTGAAGAATAGAATGACTGCTTCTTCTTCTCTGATCCAGTTCACGAAGCGTGAATGTCTGCAGAGACTGGCGGCAATCTCGGAGTCAATGTCGTCGACAGTGGCGTCTCCGAAAGGCGGCAAGATCGAGCCCAGCTCTGAGTAACCGCGCTTCTTGTCGTTGTTGTCGTCGAGGACTGACTGACTGACTCACTGACAGAGTAGACTGATATGCAAGGCAGAAAGACTGTTCAATCAGCTGGACGCACGTGGGACTGTCTTGCAGTCGAGAATTGAACCAAGAATAGTGTACCAGACACGATTCTTGCAGACGAATTAGGTAGTTCTGAAACAGAAAAAGAATCTCTGATTTTTCTTCTTACAAGAATAGCTCTTTGCAACCGCACAACCAAAATTAACAAGACTTGCTTGTGTGAAGGGAGGAAAAGAGATCAAGCGCAGCGGCAGGCTGGGGGATGGCAATATTTAGATACGAGTAACGTAGGGTGTCCAGTACAAACCTTTGAGGTGGAGTGGCCCATGACTGGTGCTGCTGCAGGCTCTGGCGGCCAGAACGACTGCTTTGAAGCAGGTTGGTCAGATGGAGCGAGCTGTAAGCCATCATGCAGCTGAGCACGAGGATGGATGGGCCGGACGGGCCAGTCAAAGCCACCTACAAGGAGGGATGGATGAGCCGGGCGCGTAGCAGAGGGAATGGACCAGCACAACCCAGCAAGAGAAGGAGAACGAGAGAGCAGAAGCCGTCCAAAGGCCTGACCAGGATCACATTCACACGAACACGCCATCGCTCGACTGGGCGCTTAACAGGCTGGTGATTGGTGTGATGGCACTGACACGTCGTCCAATCGACGTTTTCCTAAGAATAGCCTGGTTGCCGACAGGGATTTTATCTTGCATGCAGAGGCACGTAAAGCCGGCGCTTCGACGGGGTGTGACGACAGAAGAGGCTCACCATAAAGACATGATCGAGGCACGTTACGAGTGCAGGACTACGCCGGCAAAGGCTACAACGAACGAACAAACGAGAAAAAAAAGAACCGAAAGCCATATTGTAGAAGGGCCCATACGAGTTGGACTCGGATATCCTAGATCTGGATGCACCGACTGTGATAATGAGTACAGAACCGCCGTGGACCCTCTTTACACAGCCGGACCCGGCCGTCCCGCAATTTTGAGTCTGTCCATGGGTTGTCCCGCGCAATTGCAATGCAGTAGCAAAGAAGTACCAGAAAATGCTCCCTCTTATCCGCCAACATAGTCAGTCACCAAGTTGAATCACCCGCATCTAGAACCACTCCTTCGCCAGCCATCTGTTGAAGAACTCCAAGCTGGCCTCGGGTTGGTCCAGAGGGACCATGTGTCCACCTGCGTGGATTCTCATGTAGGTGAAGTTGCCATGGGACTTGACTTCTCCAATCTTCCGCCCATTTTTGCTGCCATCCATGCGCAAATCTTTCATGTCGGCCGCAGCAAACTTCTTGTGGTCAGGATATTCAAGCGCCTCCGTCCACGCCTTGTTGCCCAGCCAGTTGCAGATGAAGTCGGCATCGCCAGCGTAGATCAAAACGGGCAACTTCTCAATAAGTCCAGGCACCAATCGATGGAACGGCTGCATCCAGTCGCCCTGGAACAAAAAGTTCCGGTTGATGTCGAAGTTGCACGAGTCATAGCTATCCACCTCCACACCCAAGGCCTTCATCACAGACTTCTGGTTGAGCCACTTGCTGATCCAGCCAAGCTCGGGGTAGCAGAGGTTGCTGCTGTCCTTGCACTTGCCGCGCACATCGTACACGTTCTGGCCAGTACGTTGATACGGTGCCAACAACGCATTGTTGCAGTAGATGCTGGCGGGAACACATGACCACACGCTCTCGCTATCGTAGCAGCTCTTAATCAGAGATTGGCAACGAGGCAAGGCATTGTCCATTGCCTGGCAGGACTGCTCGTCAAGCACTGCAGGCCATCCTCCGTCACCGCAGGCCATTGGTCGGTAGTACGCATACTGAGTGTACCCATCTGTAAGCCCATTGCCAATCAGAACTGATTTGAGGTTGATATTGTTCTTCTTGTGTGATAGAATTTCGGTCGCAAACACGGGGATATAGTGTCCAGCGTAGGACTCTCCGGCAATATGGAAATCTTGTTTGGCGTACTCGGGGAACTGTTCGAAAAACAGGGTCAACAAAGCATAAACATCCTTGCCAGCTGCCACTGTGTTCGAAACGCTGGAGCTCGAGTAAGAATATCCGACGTTGACTGGCTGATCAAGGAAGATAACGCTTGCATTGTCGTTCCAGGAGTAGGGATTCGGCACAAGCTCCAACTTCTCGTTGATGCGAGCAGGTCCCAATTCCAGGAAGAGGCCGGTCAAGGACGAACACCCAGGGCCACCATTGAGCCACAAGACGACCGGATCATTTTTGGGGTCGTTCCTCGACTCAAAGAACCAGTAGAACAAGTGTTTGTCGTTCTCATTGTCATCTAGGTATCCCGAGTATTGCTTCACGCCAGGATCGACACCAAGAGAGCTGGGGTCCACAGCCTTGACACGCAGATCATACGTGTCGAGCTTGCCTTCGATGTGACGCTCTTTCTCGCCATCGGCATTCTCTACCCACACCTTCTGGATATCCGCCCCGCGGACAATGTGGTCCCACTCATGATCAGGTCGGCGGGTATGCTTCTTCGGGGTCGAGAAGAAGCTGGCCCGGCTCATATCCTCCGGATAAAGAGAGGCAACTTCGTCCCAGACGGCTGCAGCCTCCGCGGTAAGCCCCTTAAGGGCGTCCTTCATTTCGTGCAGCTGCTTATCAAGGATATTCTTGGCCTCGACAGGAAATGACTTAGGGAATTGAAGAGGTTGTTGCTGGGGAGCAACGGCGGCCGAAGCAACCCCCGCCAGGAGGGCAGCGGTAAAGGCCTTCATGATGGAAGTTCGTGAGGAACTGAATAGGATCGATTCGACGTTCGTCTACGTGACCAGTCAAGGCAGCAGCGAATATCGATGACGTTTGTTGCCCAAGTGATGAACGGGCGAGCAGTCAAGTGAGCGTCAAGCTGGCACACAACTGGTCGAACAGACGAGTAGAAGATTAGGGGACGAGATGGGATGAGAGATGGAGAGACGAAAGAGATAAACAGAGGGATGAGATGGTTGAACTTAGGAGGATGATATGGTCCTCGAACTGCGACTCGTAACGAAGCAGCCTGGTTGCTTGGTAGACGACATCGGCCTGGGGGCTGGGGGCGACTCGGACCGCCTGACCTCACTACTAGTAGTACTATATGTGACACTAGCGGCCGATAATGCGATAAGACTTGGGCACGTGAGTTGCGTTCTCACATATTGACCCCGCTAAAGCACTTTTGGACTAGTGCGGAATATTCTGCCAAGCCCACAATTCCTGCGCCCGAAACCCTCCCTACATCGAGGATTCCACAACTGCACGACTTGAAGAAAGTTGGTTTGCACCATCCTCAATCTTCAACAAGACCGTCAAGGAGAGACAGTTGCCCATCATGTGTACGTTCGCCCTGTTTCATGTTGAGCATCGGACTCTCCGCAACCTCGAACGAGCGGCACGCTCACTCGAGAATGCGTTGCGTTGCGCCTGCGTTGGAATCGAGCATTAATCGCTAACTTTTTCTTTCAACAGCTCTCGTCAGCGGAGAGAAGTCGAACTGTATGAAGCACTCCTATCTTCGCCAGTAGCGACGCGGTACTAACATCAACACCACAGTCCAATATATTCTTCGTCTTCTCAACACCAACGTCGATGGCAAGCAGAAGATCATGTACGCCTTGACCCGCATCAAGGGTGTCGGCCGTCGTTACTCCAACCTGGTCTGCAAGAAGGCCGATGTCGACTTGAACAAGCGGTACGTGGAGGCGGAATTGAAAGGCCTACAACTGTAGGAGACGACGACTAACTTTTGGGGACGTTATTAGTGCTGGTGAAATTACCACCGAAGAGCTCGAGCGAATTGTCACCATCATCCAGAACCCTACTCAGTACAAGATCCCGGAATGGTTCCTCAACAGACAGCGCGATATTGTCGACGGCAAGAACACCCAAGTGTTGGCCAACAGCATGGAGAGCAAGCTGCGTGAGGATTTGGAACGTCTCAAGAAGATCCGAGCCCACCGTGGTCTCCGACACTACTGGGGTCTCCGTGTCCGAGGTCAACACACCAAGACCACTGGCAGAAGAGGTCGCACTGTCGGTGTCAGCAAGAAGAAGGGTTAAACGATTTGCTGTCATGTTGTGGTGGCGCTGGCGGTGGTTGGGGATGGTTTGCAAAGGGCTCCCGGATACTGCTGTAACGTCCACAGTGGATCGAAAAAGAGCAACCTGCATGGCTGGGATTTCCCGGTTGTTGCAACAATAACACAAATACTTGACAGGTCAGCGGCCAGTAGGCTTTTGAGCAAAAACGCGTGGCATAACTTGAAAAGTTTTATTGGACTGTTTGTTTCCGTTTGTCTGTTCTGTTAGTGGCGCGCCCCTCTGTTTGGATGAACTTTTTCTCTCCCCTTCTACGGTGTCCATGCTGTGCGACGGGAAGTCCTTGATGGGAGGAAGCTGTGGGACATGGAAGAGGGCACCAGTGTGTATGTATGGCTTGCATGCAGAGTCTTCCTGACTTCCGAGGTCACCGTGACCACTGCGGCCTGGCTTTCAACCACCATTCCATATACACCTGCGGTCTCAAAATCTGAGCCCTCGTGCCTTACACTCCGGCCGACGTGCTCGCCAATTCCGTGGGCAGCGCCGTGTCCGATGTCTCAGAGCACCTTGACTACGCAGCTTCAGCCGTTGGCATGGTTACACACAAGATACTGCGCCCACTGTCAGGCGGCATGCCGAGCTTGGGACTGACCTCTGGCGGCTGTCACTGTGTCGATGTTCTGTCTTCCCACAATCCGCTCAGCTACACACGGTCATTTTCTTCCAATGCCATGCCACCATACAAGGCGTGGCTGTAGAGGCCGATGCAGCCCACTACGACATCAGCCTGCCACTGACTGACCCTGCTCCTGCGATGGCACAACGCCATCGACCGTCTCGTTGAAAGCAACCTCTTTTCTATCCACCTCCGTGGTCCTCCCACCGTATGCAACTCTGAGCCCGCAACAGCAGTGGTATCTATCTGCAGTCGGCATCAGAATACAAGCCCCAATATTGGTCTCAGCTCAACTGTATCCTCTCTTCCGGCCTGCTTCACTTGTGTAACCCACAACTATTTCTAGCACTTCTCTCGAATGTTCCGAAGAATGGGGACGTTGAACCATCCCCAACATCATCCGCTCCATAAGAGAGCGTGCCGTACAAATGGAAATGGAAGGCTGGTGTTGTAATGCGTATTCATGCATGCAAGGGGTACACACGCGGCCACTGGGCGTCCGCCTGGGCGTTTTCTCCGTGTCCATTTGGGCAACGAATATCCCAGATTTCTGCCGGATCCCAACTAACCCGCTCATGCGGTGTCTCAGTCGCAACTTTCGGACCGTAGTATTCTGGAAGGACAATCTTTCGATAGAGGCCAATATGCGGTGTCGAAGCACCCAGCATGCCATGCCGTCTTGGCCAAGGGTTGCACGTTTTTCTTCTATGTTTGTCCAACGTCACAGTTTTACGATCCAATGTTTGTCGGCCCCAAAGCATCTTTCTCAGATTGCTCAAAGAGGCCAACAAACGGACTACGGTGAGCAATGCAGATGAAGGAGAGAGACTGCAGATATGTTTTAAAAGCCCTCCTTCCTGTCGTTGCCCTGTTCCTCCTTCCTAACATCTCAAGCATCATCGATACTTCCTCCACCGCAAGAACTCTTCACTTCATCTTCTCCATATAGTCCTGCTCACAAACCATCTCGGGATCAAACTTGTTTCCTCTTGCCACCACTTGACCCAATTCACAAAGTCCCTCTGAGAGCATATCAAGCATCATCAAAATGCCTCCTCCATTCGCTCTTTTAACGGCTGCCGCCTGCTTTCTTGTCTCGATGGTGGCAGCCTTCTCCGGCAACTTCGAACTGACCAATCTCGTCGTCTCCTCTCCATTCCAAGCAGATCCAAAGTCCACGGAAAGTACATACGTCGAGTGTAAGGCCTACCCTGTGCCATCCGGCCCCTCCCCGTCCCTTGAACACAAAAGCTGAAACCAGGTTCTCCTGCGACACAAGCTAACACTGAATGAGCAGTCGACTTCTGCGACCAGGACACGCCTGACATCGGCTCGACACACTGCTGTGTCCAATGGGCCGTGGGTTTGAATCCCCCAGTCACGTCGGGAAATACCTGTGACAACACAACCTTTGCCGTGCTGGTAACCTCCTGGGGTGGTGTTCAGAATCTTTCACTGGAGTTATCACACACGTATATTGACAACAGGTACGTTTTTGTCAAGCTCACCGGCTTTTGTTGAGTTCTCTGCTGTTTGGGGAATGTTGTTGGTGCCGGAATGCAAGCACATCCTTCTGACCCACCTGCTTATAGTGTCGGTCAAGCACCTTACAATGTCCTTACAAAGTTCGCAGACCTGAACCTGACATATCCTGGCACCAACAACTATGAGTGCGACTCGGCCCAGGCTGAATGCAAGAGCTGCGATGGAGAGGTGATCGTGGCAACCGTTTCCAGGGCCGTTGCTTGATCTCGGCAGCACTCACAGTTGACTGTTATGAATCGTTTACCACGTTTATGGGAGATCAAATGACAAAAGTGGAAGTCTGCATAATGAATGCGAACGCCTCGAGGTGGAAGAGTGACCAACTCAATCTTGGCTTTGTCGAACCATGGTTCTAGATGGTAATGCAGTTTGACGGATGGCAGGTTTCATTATCGGAATTTTGGCCCACACTCTCGTGTCTCATGCAATAGCACAGGAGGAGACGGTGGCTGTTGCGTTTGGTATTTTGAGATTCATTTGGTGGGCAGTCAACAGGCTCGTTTTATAATTTGAAGGGTTTCGCTAGAGTTACAAAAGAACGTCAAGCGATGACACCAATTACAAAGGACCAATACGGCCGAGTCAACCCTGTTCATTACTAGTACGTGCCTCCATACTCTGCCTAGTCCAAAGGGCGCTTCGACCTGAAAGGCGAAACAACCTGAAGCATCCGCCAAGGTCCGACCAGACCACGTTCGGTGACCTCTTCCAACATGTTCCGCAAGCTAGTAAACGAGCTCGGAGGTGTAGAAGCGAACAGCAAGATCAACGACAGCTCATCTGCGTGGACTTGTCCTATCAAGCAACGGCAATTCACGATATGTCGCATTTGAAAGAGCTTCAAGCCTGCTTTTCCGCGCGGCCCATTTCAATGTCTGTCTTTGGCCAGAAATGGCTGAGGTCACCCACTGGCAGGGTTATGGCCATACGCACCTCGGCTGCCATCATGACGAACGTCATGTACCAGCCAAGACAGCCGACGATGAAGAGAAGCGCGCCGCCAGTCTAGGACACCAATTCGGAACCATTAGCCAAGGCCCGGTCATTGCTTTGTTGCGACATGCATGCCTGCCAAGCAGAGTGGAACCTTCTTATCCTCCCAGGCACAGGGAGGAATAGTGAGAAGAGGTCACTGCAGCCAGAGCAAAGGCGAATTAAAAGGGGGACAAACTCACCACCTGCAAAGTGTGGGCCTTGGCATAGTCACCCTTGCTCACCTTCCAATAGGCTCCGCTCAGGACCCAACAGGCCATGGTGACGAAGAGGAAGATGAGCGTGAGGACGATATTGGTCTTGAGGGTGAAGATGAAAAAGGTGAACAATGCGAACCCCCAGACGATCAGGTAGAGGGCCACAACGGCGTTGAACTCCTTGGTCGCGGCGCCTGAGACAGCGTCGGTGCCGCTCGCCGAGTAGGGCGCTGCCAGGCCGAGCGTGGGCAGTTGCAGCATCCCGAAGCTGAGCCAGAACACCGAGAACAGACCACACACCATCATGGAGAAGAAGTTTCCCATGATCCACTCGAAGATGGTGGTCAAGACAAGGAGAAGAGGGCCGACGAAGAAGAAGATGCCGCTGTGGGTACGCGCACAATTTTGGTCAGTGAGACCGACGGAGAAGAGATGGAAGGAATATTGGGGGTTCTTTTTCGCATTCTCTCGAAACTTACACGACAGGCGACAGGCCTTCGGCGCCACCCCAGCCCATCATGATTATCGCGAATGTCATGGTGGAAATGACAAAGCTGGACAGTTATTCGTCTTAGCGATGTTGTCTCCGTTTTGGTTCTGACAGAGCTTACCCAACGAAGCCCATTGGAGTCGGATTGGCGAATCGCTTGATGTTGTCGCCGACATGAGGGACTTTGGGAGTGAGGTAGAGCTAGAAACAGCATTCCCCGTGAGTTCCACATCGAATAATACAGACATTATGTCTTGTTGATGAACACCCCTTTACATACCTTTTCGAACATTTCCGGAGTGATGGAAATGGCTCCGGCAGACATTGTATGGCTCAAGTTCGGCTTCTCTTCTACAATGTCTGGATCAGACGTGGTGTACTGGTTTGCGGACGCCATTTTGCTTCAAAGCCGCTTAGAGTCTGTTTTAGCACAGTAGTTATGTCAAACAGAGGACAAAAAGGATAGGACTTGCCCCAGCTCCGCAGCTGGCCGTAACCAGCTCTTTATTTACCAGTCCATACTTGGGTCATCCGATCCCCGCTGCATACTATGAGGACGCCATGGATGTGGGACTCGTGGACAATGGAGCTAGTCCTCGTGCTTTTGATCCATGTCATATACCAGCCAACAACAGCGGCCAGTCAACTGCCGAGAACTGATGTCCCCGGTGGGCGTCGGACACAAAAGTAATGCCTTACCTCCTCCGGTAACTTCAGCGGTGCCTTGGGCCGCCCTCCAGGCCGAACACATCTGGGACCAGCAAACATACGGGGTTCAAGGCTAATGATAAGCGTCGAATGTGCCAGTAGCGAGACCAGTAGACCAAGCTGATTTGTTCTTTCGTCTCATTATGCGGTACCTCGCCTCGATTTTCAGGCACATGTTTTGTTGCCAACCTGGGCATGCAATACGGTCGACCCCACAAGTAGAAGGCTTAGGACTCGAGTCCAGGCGAAGGTAGCCACTGACAGTGTAGAGCACTGATCCATCTCTTGAGCTTCAAGGCCACCCTAAGCATCATGGATGAGGAGCTGGTGGAGGGCAACGGGAGCAAGCTTGACTGAGGCGCCCTGGCGGTGAGAAAAGAGGAGTCTCGAGGTCCAATCTGTTCGCGTCTTATTGGGTACCTAAGGTAGTCGAGCTCGTTTCCCCGCAGACGCGAGGTGTGGAAGAGAGTTCTGGCGAAGATCATCCCAGACTTTAATTCCCCGGACGCGGTGGGAGAGGCTGGGGAAAGTCGTGCACCTCGGAGAGAGGTCCGAGGCTGGACCAGACAGGGCTTCCGGCGACTTGGACGACTGAGCATTTGAGCATTTGCGCGATGGGTTTAGCGGAGGCCGCAGCGAAGACTCGGGCACATTGCATTCCTTATCCTAGTAGTCGTTACTCGTCGTTATTGCCTACCTCAATAGCGCCACGCAATATATCACCTGATGCCAGTGGGCGAGTCGCAGAAAGGCACTACTGCAAGATTGTAGACAGCGAAGAAGTCTTGAGGAGACAGCCAGAAGTCTCGGGTCTGAATTTGTTCAAGTGGTTTGTGGGGAAGAAACCCACTGCGGAGCCTCTATTTTCCGACCCGGAGTGCAGCCTCGTTCGCTTGAAATCGAAAGAGCCTTGCGATACTACCAGTCGTAATTACCAGGTTTACTCAATACCCTTTTCAATCCGTCGTGGAGATGGTACCTTCTTCTAGCATACTGTCATCTACAAGGGACTCAATTGATTGAAAGCATTAGAACAAATCCTGTATGCTGCCACTGTTCAACCACCTCATTAGGAACAAATATCATGATCGAGCCACCTGGCAGAGCCGCTAAACGCCATGCAACCCCTGTGTAGCGTAGTTGATTTCCCCAATGTATCAGACAGGCCCCATCAGTTCAATAGTCGCGCGAGCTATGTGATATTCTCACCGCGTGAACGAACGTTTCGCCCTGGCTGCTGGGACATTGAGCAACTGACCCTCCACAGTAAAAACGTTCTCGGTTTTGACCAAGATGCGCGGAAACACTGCCGAATTTGGTAGGGCATCAGGAGTCGCTGGAGCGGATAAGGTGGGTAGAGGCTTCGACCTAGACTCCAAGTTGAGAGTTGAAAGCCGCTCAACACCGAGTGATGGCGTCAACATTTCAGGGGCTGCAGTCGCTTGGTTGAAGCATGGGGGCTCGGGGCCCAAGGGAAAATGGAGTGGAAGTGGGAGTGGAAGACTGATTTTGGGCTCGCTGTTTCGTCCGATATACACATCTGCCAGCTTGTTGGCTGTAACCTTCAGTCGCATTTGTACCTCGGATTTGGCAAGATAAGCTTCGGTCTTGATCTCGATTTCACTGGGGCCATACGAGTCTGTCGCTGCCTGCCACTTGTCCAGTCGAATATTGTGCATTCCCGTGTCGGCGCTGAACCTCTGAAAAAATAACTTCTCTGGAGCAAGTGCGGAAATGTAGGCCAGATCCGATGCACGGTATTCCGACTCTGTAGCCATCTTTACAAGATCCGAGAGCAGACCCAGTGCCTCAACCAAACTATTTGGTAGTAGCCTTGTCCACCAGGGGCGTTTCCGGAGTCGGACTTCGTCGTAGCCTTCTGGCAACGTTCCCGTTCCGATGTTGATCAGAACCAGTGGATGGCGAGCTGGAAGACCGTGGCTTTGATGATAATGAATCTTGGCTGCCCAAGATGGATTATTGGTATCCCCGTAGCCTCCATCCACAAGCGACCTCCCCTGGATTATCATCGGCTCGAAATATGACGGCGCTGCTGATGTGGCTCGGGCAGCATGCCGCAACTCGAGATCAAAGTCGAGTGTATGTCGCCGATACGGGCCGGTACACTCATGGGTGCAGAGGAACATCTGGTGTGCCCGTAGCCTTTCATGGCAAAGCACAGTGCTTCAAACAGTCAGTCACAGTTTCAAAGCCCAGGACAAAAAGGGTAAAACCTACCCATGCATTTGGTTGCGTTGGACGTCACTTCGCAACTTCAAGTCGAGGGGATGGCCCCTCGATATCAAGAGCTTTTCCACTGCCCCTTGGAGTCTCTTGCCGGAGAATTTTGACAGATTTGAGCCGAATGCCCTTCTCAGAACCGACCGATACTTCGAGAAAATCTCCCCTGAGAGGACCTTATACTGCTGTATACACTCGTCCAAGGTCATGTCCAAGTTGACCAACATCAGCACAATCAGACCGCCGGTGCTTGTCCCGACAGCAGCGTCGAAAATGTCTTGTGGATTTAATGTAGGGTGGGTGTCTGATAAGACCCCTCGTCGGACAAGTTCTTGTGTGACGAAGACGAGTAAGCACCGCAGTATTAACAGCGAGGAAAGACCGCGGACACCCCCTCCATCTAAGACTGATTAGCTGAAGCTCGAGGTTGTGGATGCGTGTTGACTCTGCGGCTAGAAGTGCAGAAAATCATCCCTGCATCGCAACGCACAAGCACTTTGTGACCAAATTTACGGCAGCTGCTCGGTAGGCAAGGGGGACAATCACGCAGCAGACGTAGGGTGCGAACCGCACGTCTGCTGAATTAAGGTGCTAGATGATCTGGGGCAATTGACCCCATAACGAACGCATTTCCGGACGTACCCAGCGATAGCATTGCAATCGGTCGTGATGTTTGACTCATGGCGGTCAAGACACTCTTTCGCGCCGCTCTTCAAGGTTGGTCCTCCACGTCCTTATTCGAGTTCAAAGATGCAGCGGTTTGAATGAAACAAAAGGAAAGTGAGTGGCAGGAGCATTAAAACAGGTTGATATAGTAGAGGAAACAGGCAACTCACCAGCGCACATCCTCCCAAAAGCCATACGCAGTGCACTATTAGGACCTCGGACATTTTGCAAACCTTCGACTGTTGGTCGCCTTTCGGAAAATTCTGCTGGACTCTTACTGTGACACAAAGATGCGTGTGATGTTCGGATAATTGGATCAAGCCTGTGTTGCCAATGCTGCACAGCAAAGGCCAACGAGTCATTCAAGCAAACAGCATCCTACCCGAGGGAATTTCAGCCAAACAAGAAGCTGCTATGAGAACCAGGGGTGTGGCCGTCCGAAACCTCCTGTTGAGGCCAAGACTCTAAAGAATCATCAACAAGGCGGACAATCGTTGAGGAGACTGTTCCGAGGGAGGCATAATCCGCTCAATGCCGTAACAAGCTGCATACCACAAGGCTATGCGAGGGAAGCTCAGTCTTTCCTGACCTTCCATGACAGACAAAGTCATACACATGGCGCGAAGCAAGAAGGCTGCTATCCTTCAGTCGAAAATGACCTATCGAGGCAAAAACCGCCAAACTCTGCGGCTGTTGCAGTGATAATCCAGTCAAGGGCTACTGCAGCATGCCGGTCGTCAGAGCGCTGCAGTCATCAACACTTCTTCAAGCCAATTCTGGGGTCTCATAGTCATGAGCCGAAGGCCAGTACAGGCTTAACGGGCTCAGAAAGGCCATTAGTGACACAGAGCAAGTCAATGCAACGTGTGAAGATGCTGACCGTGGGGAGGTCCCATCTGAGTTTCGCTGACTTTTGCGCACAGCACCCGGTTTCGTCTCAAGGCTGCTGCACAAAGGCTGCCACGAGAAGATAACCGCTCAAGAAGTTGGCTATCCACGGGTTGCTGACACCGCAGTCTCTGGGCATTCGCTGTAAATTCGGACCATTGGATGACCAAAGAACTTGACATTAAGTCACCGGTCTCAGAACCATGGACCACCAGTATGTGTGGGTAGTGGCGATTTGCAGCTCACATGTGCCACACGGCTCCCGGTGTGCTTGTGACGAGTCAATATTTCGATACCTCGCTTTGCCCACTGTCCCATGCCGTCGAAACCGCACAGTCAGCGTCCTGCGCTAGCCACCGCAGAGAATCTGATACTGATCAGATCGTGGAAAAGACATGAAGAGCCTGTTATCACAGGCTGCTGCTTGCGGAGGCCTTCAGCAAGGTGAACCCCTCTGCTCGTGCTCGTCAGTCGTTCCACCTGACAGCTGGCGGAGTTTCAGAAGCATCAATAACGAAAGGTACCATTGGGACCTCGACACTAGCATGAAGGTCGAAGTCTCGATAGCTACCTAGGTATGTAGAGAGCATTGCTCATCGCTCTTCCAAAGTACAGCAAGGCCTTGACCGGGTGGTTCAAGGTGCCACAGGCTCTGGCTGTCTGTGGCCGCCCAGCCGCTTAACACAAGGCGTGTACTTTTGGCAGCAGCAGAGCCACTGGCTCTTGAGTTGTCCTGTAGCTTTCAGACAGGGTAAAGAAGCCGAGTACGCAACCAAAGGAGACGAGGAGGACTGCTTTTCTTTTTCTTGTCCAAGAAGCGGTAGAAGTAACATCGTCGGGCCTGAAATTCCAGCCCCCGCACAGGATTATTCTTTTCGGAAGCTCCTGTACTAGCTACCTACCTGTAGGTAGTGTACCTAAGGGAGATCTCTGTACCCGGGGTATCCTTGCAGAACCGTCCCTGGTAGAGTTTTGCCCGGGAAGGAGTGGAGTAGGCGCTGTGGGTGTTGGCTCGGAGCAAGAAACAAAGCGGGATCAGAGAACCAAGCAATGACAAGCTCTTTGGAGGCCGTGGGCGAGGGGCCGGATGACATTTGACAGAGAGAACTCAAACTGATGTTTGGTGGCTGAAGATGGCCAGAAAACTGGAGCGCAGGGGGAGCCAGAACTGGGCGTTTGGGGCGGCACGGGCGCTGAGATTCGAACCCGGCTGCGCATCCCGGCAGTGTTTTATTAGGGTGCCTCAGCTGTTGGCTGCTAAACATTCCCCGCCAAACTTGAACCGTCATGCAGTGCAGCACTACACGTACTGACACGTTGCGAAAATACACGCTCCCGTTGTTTGTCCATCATCATCATCAAGTCACTATTACCAATTGACAAGACCAATGCGCCCGTAGAAGTCGGCTGTCCTCGAATCCTGCTTCGTCACTTTTCGGGAGGGCAATCCTGCCTCGGTGTCCTAGTAGTCAACTGGAACGGAGCTTGCGCCGCCAGGAATGGGCCGTGGCAGCTGTTACTGTACGCGCCTCATCGTCATGTTGTCACTGTAGCCGTTTTCCCTGCTATTAACCCCCAGAGACGCAACGCAGCCTCCTCCACCTGGACTCCCTTGCCCTTCTCTGACCGCCATCTCTACCACCCTCATATTGTTCTGAGACACTCGCTGCCCATATATTTCCCTCCCTTGACCTCCTGCCACCTCCTGTTGCAGCTTTCTTCTCAGCATCCGCCCTTTTCATCTGACTTGGCTCTCCAAGATGGTGCACCTGGCCACCGTTAAGCCCGACCCTCATAAGGGCTCTGACTTCGACGCACCCAAACGTCGAGCATCCATTGTCCCCGGTCTTGAGCACATCTCCCTTGAACCGCCCGGCGAGGATGAATTCTCCACCTCCGTTTACGGCTCGCGTTTCGCAGCCCAAGATCTCCCTTCACATGAGATGCCCGAGAGAGAAATGCCAAAGGAGATTGCGTACCGCATGATCAAGGACGAGCTGAGTCTGGACGGCAACCCAATGCTAAAGTGGGTTGGAACCAGTCAAGATATGAAAACTTACTGACAATGTGCCGTAGTCTTGCCAGCTTTGTCACCACATTCATGGTTCGTTTTCTAATCCTATTGCATTCCGTCAACCCAAGCTAAAGATGTGAACCAGGAAGATGAGGCCGAGAAACTCATGACCGAAGCCTTCTCCAAGAACTTCATCGACTATGAGGAATACCCACAATCGGCCGAAATCCAGAACCGCTGTGTTAATATGATCGCCCGGCTGTACAACGCGCCTGAAAGTGACGACGGGCAAAATGCCATGGGCACCTCTACCATTGGTTCGAGTGAGGCGATCATGCTGGCTGTTCTTGCGATGAAAAAGAGATGGGCCAACAAGCGCAAAGCCGAGGGTAAGGATGCCACCAAACCCAACATAATCATGAACAGCGCCGTCCAGGTCTGCTGGGAAAAGGCTGCACGCTACTTCGACGTCGAAGAGAAGTACGTCTACTGCACCGAGGACCGCTACGTCATCGATCCCGAAGAAGCCGTCAATCTCATTGACGAGAATACCATCGGTATCTGCGCTATTCTCGGACTGACCTACACTGGCGAGTATGAAGATGTGCAAATGATCAATGACTTGCTTGTGGAAAGGGACATTGACTGCCCCATTCATGTGGATGCTGCATCTGGAGGGTTTGTGGCTCCTTTTGTAAATCCGGGTCTCGTCTGGGACTTCAGACTTGAGAAGGTTGTCAGTATCAATGTATCCGGCCACAAGTACGGTCTGGTATATCCAGGCGTCGGTTGGGTTGTTTGGAGATCGCCAGAGTTTCTACCCAAGGAGCTTGTCTTCAACATCAACTACCTGGGAGCCGATCAAGCTTCGTTCACACTCAACTTCAGCAAAGGCGCTAGTCACGTTATTGGGCAATACTATCAAATGATTCGGCTGGGCAAACGTGGGTACCGGAGCATCATGCTCAACCTGACTCGCACGTCGGACTACTTGGCAGCACAGCTTCGTGCCTTGGGATTCATCATCATGTCCCCCGGCGGCGGGAGATCGCTGCCCGTGGTTGCTTTCAGGCTGGATTCGGACAATGATCAGTTGTTTGATGAATTCGCCATTGCTCATCAGCTCCGCGAACGCGGTTGGGTTGTCCCGGCCTACACCATGGCACCACATAGCGAGGGCCTCAAACTGATGCGTGTTGTCGTCCGTGAGGATTTCAGCAAGGCGCGTTGCGATGCCCTAGTCGCAGACATCAAGATGGCTCTGCAAGTGCTTGGGGAGATGGATCGCAAAACCCTTGAACGTTACCAAGCGTAAGTATTCCCACTGGCAATCTGACATAAAGACTGATGCTGACCGCTCATTCCAGGCATGTCCAGAAACATACGCGAAGAGGCAGCAAATTGCCGGATAATATCCCCCATTACAAAAACGAGAAGCATTCGCTCCAAGGGAAACACGGCAAGACGCATGCCGTTTGCTAGTCTTTGCACCTTTGGCTGTGGACGTCAGCCGGGTACTTTTCCACGGTCGTGTGTCCAACCAGACCTTGTGCTGAGATGGCAGAACTCGGTATTGTGCTGTTATTCAAGATAGCATACATTGGCTAGACAAATAGCAAAGATGAGGACGGAAAAATGAGAGACATGAGGCAACTACCTTAATTTCTCTGAAACTCTTCCTACATGCTCTTCTACCCTAACGTACTAGCAATCACTCAATGATAGAGATTAGGGACTTGTCTCTGGCAAGAAGTAATGACCACCTCGTGCTCAAGATCCAATCGATACCAGTAGTGTTCTTGGTGGCATTGGCTTGGGATTGGTTGCTCAAGGAACAGCTCGTGCATGAGTGGCATTCAGCTCTCATCTGGAAGATGTCTCTTTCTGCTTACCCTCCTACTAGTATCGCACGTCGGAGGAGAGGTATGCTCCCGACAAAACCCCAGCCTCAGGCGCCATATCGAGCGGACAGACCCGAGCAAAGGCCTTTGCATCAGCTCGCTTCAATAATTGCTACATCTCATTCGTGTACACTGGTACCGTTCACCATGAGCTGAAAAGCGAAGGGTTGGATGCTGGTAACATCAAACAAGATAGACGAGGCATGATGATAGCGACCGGCACATGAGCCTTTATCCCCAAAACATCTGATATTCTTCCCTGGCCAAACGTGCACTGTGACGAGCTGTCCAGAAGATCTCTGGAATGGAAGCTTGATCAAACGGTACCAAGAGAAAGGGGACGTGACAGAAGGCCTAGAGAACACAGGAAGCCGAAGCTCGAGTGGAACTCAAACAGCCGGGTGGTGAGCCTCGTTGTACCCGAAAGCATCATGACACACTGTGCAAGATTTGTGGCATTTGAATGCCTTTTACCACTGATCCGGTTCTTCATCGGCCATCCCTTCAACCATATCAAAGGAGCATGTCACCATACACTCTTATCACTGTGAAAGGATTGATGGAGTGAGGTTGCAGAGTCTCCCTCAGCCGGTCCTGAACCGCCTGACATAATCATTCACGTGACGCTGGGCAACCCTGTTTCCCGCTTGAGTGCCCCGGACGTGAGGCTAGACGATTGGTGGGGACCAGGGTTCCATCCTTCAAGTGCTGGAGTCAATGACCGCAGCTGTATCTGCTTCCAGCCATCGACAGACCAATCCATGACCATTGTCCAGGCCGCATTCGTCGCGAATGATGCAATATCAGAAGCGACTCGATTCACAAGGACGAATCACACGCTGAGGTGGGAGTGACAGCGCTCATGGCAGAAGACGCCGAGGCATCGCAGCAGTTCTGGCGATTGACTATGCCGTCATATTGACACCAGACACTGAACGCTGCCAGTGAGCCAGCACTTACCACCAAAAGTGAAGGGCACCGAGGGGCATGCAATAACATCATGCCCCAGTTGCTCCCGTCTTACTCACTGCGAGTACAGTAGTAGTGCTACAACTGCGTTGTCCTTGACATATATTTGCACCAGAATACCTTCCTGCCTATCACTTCCCGCCTCCAGGACCCTTGACGCAACCGCTGAAATCGAGAGCATATTAAACCACTACTCCCACCGCCGAGCATCCGGACCACAAATACCGAAATGACTCCCAACATCCTCAAGCAACACACAGACACATCCAAGTACATCGGGCAGAAACCAGACACAAAAGAGAACGACCCCAACAACAATAACTACCAGAACTACAATCCAGCCCCCGGAGCCTCGTCGTCTTCTTCTTCCGACAACTCCTCCAACATGCCAGCCGACGCATCAGCCAGAAGCGGCAAGGCCCTCGACTCGGGCGCCACCGCTGGCAACCAGTCTCTTCATTCCGAGACCGCTCTGCCCGAGGGCACTGGTTCCAAGGTAAGAAAATAGATCATGTCTCAATGTTCCCGGCCTTGGCCCAGTGTTACGATAGATAGAGGTGCTGACGCCGTCTCTCTTTAGGGATCAGCACCATTACTGAGCTCCGAGGGTGCCATTGGTCACCAGTTCACCGAGCACGGCGCCATTGGAGGAACGGCCCAGGCCATCGGTGGCCCGTTGGACAAGGAGGGAGCCATTGGCAAACATTTCAAAGGCGATGGAACTCTGGGCGGCACGGTGAACAAGCTGGTCGGCGGCGACAAATAAACATAAAAAAGGGACCAGCTGGGCACTTTTCCCAAATTGACTCGGGATCTCGAAAATGATAGGCATGTTCCACGCTGGCGAGGAGTCCATCCGTCTACGAATATGAAACTCACTCAATTGAGTCCTGTAACAATAGCAAACAGAGCGTATTGCTAACACTGTTAATTGTGCAAACTATGTGGAATTCGACTCTGAAAGTCCTCTACAGAACCTGCGAGTGATGTGTCCATCCTACTGCAAGTGTAGACGTAAACTCATAGGCACCTAGCTAGGTAAAGGCTACCTAACGAGTCCACATCAAGGATTGAGCACTGTATCCTTGTCCATGATTCATTTCAAGACATTGATGCATTAAAGCGTCAGTCGTGCGTGAGCGTCACCAGGGTCGACCGACCATCTAAAGGCCCTCCTAGATATGGTCTGGTACTGGATGTACACATATATGCATAATACCCATGTATTTATATCCAGCCGTCCTGGACCCTCGGGCCAGGCTTCGCAGCCGCAGCATTCTCCCTCTGCAGATCCTCAATCATACTGTCCAAGACCAGCTCCGTGCGACTGGGATGGTACGACTGCGAGATCTGCGTGTTCAAGTTGCCCATGTAATAACTGTCGATGTCGATTTCGGAGAAATCTTCATCGTAGAGTGAGCTTGCTGCGTCCCAAGGCACGACCGGTGATCCAGGGGGTCGAGGCTGGAAATGAGGTTGAGACAATGGGGATGGAGATCGCGAATACGCCGGTGGTGGCGGCAGTTCGAGGGTGGCAGTATTGGCTGTCCATCCGTGAGGGTCACTTGTTTGAGGCAACTCTGCTCCCAGAGCAGGCGACCGCTCCAACACAGGAGACAGCAGTGTGCCGTACGGAGGGCGACGGTAATGGTGTTGCGGCCGGCGCGGGAGATAGTAGACCGAAGCAGCTGTTGCGGTCGGCTCAGGTTGCACGGGCACTGGAATTCCTTTCTCCTGCGCGTCCTGCGCGACGATGGTTGTCTTCTGGTCTTGATGCCGATACTGTTGGTGCTGTTGTTGTTGCTGATACTGTTTCTGCTGCTGTTCCAGAGGCACCAAGGTGTTGCTGGATTCGAAGCTCTCAAAGCTTCCGATACTCCGGACCTGCACCAGGACTTGGTCGCTCCAACTCGTCGCGCCCTTCTCGCCAGCGGAAGACAACGCCGGACTCGGCTGCTGTAGATAGTAGAGAGGTGGTTTCTCTTGAAACTGGTAGCCTTCTTTGTTCAGGTGATGTTGTTGGTAATAATGGTCTGCCGGCGCCAGGCCGTTGTTGTCGTCCTCCAATCCAAGCTCATGCCCGAAATCCCTCGAGTTAGACCTTGGAGCTCCTCCCATGCCTGTCCACGTCGTTCTGATTCCAGATCCTAGACTCTTCAATTCCCACATCATGCGGCCTAGCGAGGGCAGACAGGCCGTGATGATGCTAAGATTCATGACAATCTGCACCCAACTCTGGAAAGACACCAGATCCCATGTCGGGTCTTGCGAAACCAGTACGGTTTTGAGCCGGTAGATCTGTGGTATGGTGACCAGCGGAAGTGCGATACGAGTTCCAAACAGAATGCACACGAAGATCTTCTTGTCTCGCGGCGTCTTGAGCTTGAACACCATGACAATCGGGAGAATGAGCGTAACAGCATCCATGACGATGCTGATAATAATGAATGAGGTCAAAAACGTTTGCTAGAAGATAGACCATCACTGTTAGCCCATTGTCACCTAAACCAATATGAAGGAATTGATGGGACTCACTCGGTCAACGCATCTATCCAAACCAACCAGCCACGGCTGCGGTAACGAGCATTGAAAGGCAAGGATTGCAAGTGCAAGCGTAGAGTACACTCCAATGCATCCAAGCAGGACATTGCAGCTGATCCGGATTGGCCGCTGTGGCTGGACACTCTTGATGAGCAGTACCACAATGACTTCGCACATGGAGAGTACGAGCTGGAAGAGAAGGTTGCTGGCGTATATGAGCTGAGGTGCCGGGTTAGCCGCAGTCATTGGTAGCCGAAATCGTATCTGAACGAGTCTCACCTTCTCGACTTGCGAGATCTCGCCTGAATTCAACGAGGCCACATGTCTACCCAGCCCGTTCGACAGGGACAATCGAACACAGACGCTCTGGGCAATGGCCACGAGCTACACAACCATGGAGTCAATCTCTGGGTCGATCAGACAGGCAGGAAAATGATTCCTACCAAAGTCAAAGGCAAAAGGATGTCTGAAAGCTCGACGACTCGACTGATGCGAGATCTAGCCAGCCCACGCACGAGCACCACGACGAAAGAGATTCCCACTAAAGCCAGAGTAAGAATCTCCAACGAGGATCCGTTGCGTGCATTCATCCCACCACCACCACCGCTCGCCGACACCTCGCTCGTCATAGTGGTGGTTTTTAGTTCAGAGACATGGACATCGTTGTCTGGGGAAAGGAAATTGAGTCGAAGGGGTCCCGAAAGCGTGCGGCGTCCAGACGGCACGCCCCAAAGTATATGAGAGCCCTACACACGACATGGAAACGGGCCATGGATCCATGAGAGAGAAGCTGAGAGCGTGCTTTCCCCACAGCCTTTCGTGTCACCAACTGTCGGTCCTTGAGCACTGACCAGGAAAGAAAGGAACGAGTCGACGAGATAGGGTCTTGCCAGCAAGGTGGCAGTCGGAGTTGTTCAGAAGGGTGCGTGTTACGAACAAAGACAACTGTCGGAGCCATGTCAAAGCTTCCCAACTGGGCGTTGACCGGCAGGGGTCGACGGCCCACGGACGCCGAATGTGGAACCCCTGCACCAGATCTCGATGCGGTCCCTGGCTGATCAGACAAGAAGTCGGAGACTCCCAGACACCAGACACGTCGGGGCAGCTGCTGTTAGAGCCTTCAGAGATGCGAGGCGTTTGGCTTGATTGTAAAGCCTTTTCCAATGCTACGATTGCCTACTTACAGCACACGTTGGAACACTCGGAACGCCTTGTCGGCGTGCACCAGGCAAGACCACACGCAGCCCCCGCTGTGATAGTAAGGCGAGACTGTTCCATACGAACTCGTCCAACAGTGTTGCTCGGCATTCACGTGTGACGTTTGCCTTCTCGAATACCCTAGCGGGGGAAAACTTATCTTGTCGAGGATTGCAGCCCTTCAGTTCGAGAGGAGTATCGCGACAACGGATGCAGAAAAAGCATTCCGATCCTGCTACCGCGTGCTGGGTACGCGCTGCACGACACATTGCCGGTGCACCATACCGAGTCGAGCAGTTTGACTGGAATGATGAACCTCGTTCGCAGCACTGACACCTGCTGACAGACCGCGTCTGCGCGAAAGAGTCGGAGTGGAGGCAAGTTGAGTCGTGTGCTGTTGGTTGTTGAGTCCCAGCCGCGTGAATTCGCGGGCCAAATCCCGAGTCTTGGCATCCAGGGGTCGACCTCGAACCTTTTGGTCATGCCACGTCTGTCATTATTGTCTCGATGTCTCAACATCTACGGTGCCGCCTCCTTTTCTACAATCCACACCAAAAAATGTTACATTGCCACTGTGCATTGCATTGTCAAGCCTGTGAGGGTTCCGGTTGATGGTATGATGGCGTGGCGCCGGCCGTGGTCTGGAGATCTATGCGCGAACAGGTTGGTGAAGACATCCAATGGCAAGGGACAGTTAAGAAGTACAAGTGCATTGGGATATAAGTCCTTTTCGGACAGTGGCCACCTGGAGGTTCTGCTCTGCTGCGTGAAGGTTTCAGAGCCACATGAAGATTCAATGTTCCCGTTGATTAAGTCGTGGAGGACGCACAACGTCGACCCAGCCTCGTCACGTGCAAGGCTGCCTCACCCCCTGAAGTGATTTGTTGTCCTGGTCCACCCCAGCTTGGTTGCCCATATCACTTCCACAAGGGGAATGCAGAATCGTAAGTAATGCATACTTTCAAGTCTACAGCAAGGAGCATATGGACGCATCACGTCCCTGCTATATTTTATGTCAATAGGTGTCCAAGGTCAATGAGAATCGCTCGAACCGATATCAGGATAATTGGTTTGTTATTACACTGCTCCACTGGCATGTCTACTACAGGATGCCGCAATCTCTTTACATCACACCAGGGCTCTGCCGCAGCTGCTCGCATCAGACATGGCCTTTTCTCCACGAGCTCTAACATCAATCGCCCCCCAGAACCTTGATCAAAGCCTATGCGGATTCGAGGCCTTCATTATCGTCAAGACCAACCTTAACCATCTGTACTGTACTTTGTGCGGTATGATGGAAGGTGAATCTTTTCTCGCCCTTTCCCAGGTAAGAGACACCTCGGGCTCGTGCCTGTGAGTCCCGAACGGCCGCTCCATGATCGAGGCCAACGCAAAGGGGAGGCAACGATTGACCTATCATAACAGCTTACTCACTGGCACTATTCCGCCCTGGCTTTTCGGTGTCGACAGCAATCAATAAGATTGCGACAATCAAAACATGTCCATAGACAGCATCGTGGTGATCTACCTACCCCAATTGACGCTTCTAGGGCACCACTACGAGGCGTATACACCCTCCACTTTGCCACTTCCAGGAGGCCATTCTAGCGTCCTCAGAGGTCAATTGTCTGTGGGATTTGTACCTGGGATGGAGCGTGCGAGATTTTTATGTCATTGTACCCTCATGTGTGGCAATGCGCTCTGGAAAGGGGCGCCTCAAGAACATCCCAAGTTCGAGTGCCTGATCAGAATGGTCGACCGCCCATTGGAGTACATGCGTGCAGTTACACTGTCGAAGAACAACGCACGAGGAAGACACTCAGACGGCAAGGCAGGCAGCCAGGCTAGTTGTGACGACATCGTCGAAGAGGGAAGTGGCATAAGCTCACGCGGGGCCGGTATACTCTGCCGACCCTCGACGAGGCACGACATTGTCGTCTACGAGACTTTGAAGTTTTGAAGTGGTAGATGACCGTTCTGAGTGCATGCATGTCCCGTTCCGGCTGCTTCGGGCTTTCCACTATGCCACTCTCCGAAGAAGAAATCCCCCAGGCAGAACACTGCCGACACAACTGTTTCGGCATCAAACGCCCGACATATACAGTGTCCGGGGACAGGCTCCCTTACCCCAGCACTCCCCAACGCGAACGGAACAACTGCCGAGTCTAACAACTATCTATTACTTCCATGTCACTCTGGCCGTGTATGGTTATCCCATGCTACATTAGACGTTTGGGCCAATCAACCCGCGAACGAATGAAGAACAAAGGACCATGATTTCTTCGCCTTTGACGCGGGTAGCCGACCATTTTATTGCTAAACTTAGACCTATGCTTAGCTCAAGTAGTATAGGCAAAAGGCAAACCAAATCCTTTTGCCGGGTCAGCTTTAGAGCATGGGGCAGGCTGTTGCAGATACGATGGGCGCGCGGCTTTGAAACACATCAGCCAGCGAATCAGAAACCCAAAACCTACCAAACACAATTGTAGAGCCCATAGGCCCTGCATTTCATGTCGGGTAGAGAACGTTTTCCAAATACCATGATGGAATATACGCTCGGAAACCTACTCCTGGAGGAAATGCATCCGCATCTCTGTCGTGTAGGGCGGACAAGGATTCTCCCGAGCGAACCATGGTTATGCCTCCACAACAGCGTATTGGCAATTGCTTCCTCTGCCGCTGAGAAGACACGAGTGGAAGGAAGGCAAATCTCCGCTTGAGTTACTGACTGTCAATTCGATGCAGTGCGGCATTGGCTACAGTCGAACCGGTTGTCTGATTTGATTCTCTCCTGTGGTATGAGACGTGCATGCACCGCCACAATATCTCATGCAGGGTCCGACGTTGAACAAGGAACCTGGGGAAACGTTGAGCCAGCACGGTCGACGTCAACAATATTGACCATTCACATTTGACCACGGTGTTTTGGGTACGGGTTAATTGAATTTGCCCGATGAGCAGCCGCTGCTACCTAGGTAGGTTCTGTTCATGTGCCTTTCCTCTGGGGACGATAGGGCGGTGTTTGTCATCGTACGAGCATTGACCACTGCTTCGTGCTAGCGATCGTACCAGGAGTACTGTGGTGTGGGAGGCAAAGCAACACCGGACATGTATTGCGGTAGTAAAGCGAAGAAACACCGATAATTAGGACATTGTGAGAATCAGACAAATTGGAGGGAAAGGGGAGAAGACAAATATCACAGCGACCTCACAATCGACTGAAACTCCAATCAGACCATAAGTATGGTGAGCGTCATCGCGCACTCATTAGGCACATTGTACGGCAAATGAGCCATTTGTTCACGGCGTACCGTACATACTTAGGTACCTTTGGGCCTCAAACACTCTTCGATCCAGCCCGTTGTACAGTAACTTCTTAACGAACCCTCAGTCCCAATATCTACCTAGGTACCTACCGGTGCAGCTTGTCCAGCCACGAAGGAAGCAACAGACAGCAGGCGCTTACCTACTTTGCCCTCTTCTCAATCCGATCTCCATGAGAGGTACTGTCCAGTACGACAGGATCTCGCTCTTTCCTACCTGGGTAGCATTGCCATTCTGGGACGGCCCGGTACCGTTTCCTAGGAGGATTGAATTGCATCCGTCTGACAGGGGCATTTTATGCGTCTTTGCTGGTCGAAATTCGCATCCTACTAGGCTTTTCTGTAATCCTCCGTCAGACAGTGGCACAACGCTCAAGAAGGTATTCTTTGGCCAGGATGATAGACCCACTGCAATGTGTCCGTGGTTCCAGAGCAGAGCGATTCGATTCGTGCCTGTCTTACAGAGGAAGAAGTATCAATTTTCTCCGATCTGCAGCTCGGCGATACTATTGTCAGTGTGCACTAAAAACCTACAAGTCTCGAGCAGAATCTGGATCAAGGTTCTCGAACGAACCCTGAAGTTGAGATAGACAATCGTTTGCGCCACAGTGTGGCGCAGCCGACAGTCTTTGACGCCACCGCACGCTCCATAGTAGGTGTGGCGTTGAGTAACCTGGTATGTGGCGGTTCATCCCATGGCACCTTCGAACTCGAAGCGAGCGTATCACCAATCAATTGTCGCTGGCCAGCACAGAGCTCGAATGACATCACATCCACTTCAACTTCAAGTTGTGCACCACCAGGAGCTACTACTACCTGGTATGTACAGTAGTACATACTGGTTCGAGTTATGTACTTGGGGATCGTCACCACCGCTCACTACTAGTACTGGAAGTGAAAGTTGACGATCGAAACCTACAGATAGAACACTACAGTAGATACGTAGTACTTACTGCCCGCTGCACTGTCTGGCGTACCCGAGACCGGTTTCTGCAGCCGATCGAGCCTGTCGAACAGAACTCTAGTGAGCAAGATGGCAGTGCCCCTTGAATTTTTCGGTCCGGCACTACTAGGTAGGTACAGTTAGGTACATATGGTCACCCAGTACTATGCGGCGGAAATAGAAAATGGTGATTGTCTAGTACTAGCAATGCAGTAGTACACTGTAGAGGTGCCAGTGATCGACCTAATATGCATGCGAGGGGCCAGAGTTACAGTACATAGCCGAAAGTCACAACTTGAAGCAGCCACAAAAATACAAGATGCCAGGTACGTGGCTGAGTCCATGAATTTGAATTCGTATGCAATGGACCGTGTTGGACTTTACCACGGCAGTGGTGCCACTTCCCCGGAGGGACATGCACCAGATAGTACTAGTATGAAATGAAAAAGGAAGTTCTGCTTCCTCGCATTGTAAATGTCTTCATTGGTCCGATGCACGCACTTCCTGATAGTCAAATCCACCAGCAACCGTTGCTGAAAACCCGGTAACTGCCGCGCCTAGCTGGCTGTCGTGCTCTCGAACATCAACCAAACACAGGCTCCCTTCAACCAGGTCGTTTGTAAGTCAGCTAACTCGATGGCCGCCTACTGCATCCCTTGTTTGCAGGCTCCCGCCAACAACTCGCCACCCCGGGTTCACATCTCGCGACATGTCCCGACCCACCTCGAACGTGCCGCAGTGTCCCTCAGGACAATTCGTCCCCAGAGAACTGAAGAAAATGGGATGTATGTAGGGAAATGAAATTTAGTCGATACATTGGAAGTTGTGGCATTCCCACGACGAAAGCCGTTTATTTGGGTATCATCCCGCCAGATATTTAAGAAACAGCCGTCCTGACAAGTGGGTATCTCGAATGGTCATGTATCTCGTCAAAAGAGGAAAAGAAATATGGTCGGACTCGTACAGGGACCCGTATATCATCCCATCACGCAATGCCGCATGTGTTGTAGTGGGACCAGAAAAAGAAAAATCGTTGCAAAATTGGTGAAAGGGAGTGAAGCCCATCCGCCCTTCTTGGAGCCGCTCGTGAGCACACGTCGACAAACGGCGGGAAAGGAGCCGATATGGAATCTGGCCTCGGCGCCACCAGGAGGTATCAAATAGTTATTGCCGGCCTCCGTCTTCTTGGTCGTGCCGAACCTCGCTTCTCAAGTCGCCTCTCTCTGTATTAGACGTGTTCGCAAGGAAATTAAATATCAAGTTGACAAAAACCGGGGGTATCTCATGCAATTTCAGGGTCGTATCATGGTGCTCAAAAAGTCGATCATCAGTAATTCAGCCACATCTCCAGAGGATCTGAGGTTGTGGTTCCTGCTGGTGCAGGTTCACCATCCACCATCACCTCTGTCGCGGCGGACCCAATCGACTCTTTCTTGATCTGTTGGTCCGATCGCAGAGGGGAAAATTCAACGATCATATCCTGGCCTTCAGGCAGTTCCCGCACAACATCCTCGTCGACGACAATATGCAGTCCGCGAGAATTGATATGCGTAACTTGACTGACGCGGTGTGGGTCGACCTGGAACTTGGCCGAGATGCCGTTGATCAAGTCTTTGACGGTCCGTTGCATCAAGTAGACTGCGCGGTAGTATTCTTTCAGCGAATCCTTCTGCCGCACGTAGAAACAAGCAACTGAGTTCTGATTAGCGCGGTCCATCCGGGAAAAGTCTACAGACAGCTTACCTGGTCGAATGGGTCTCTCAACAGGGGGCCGATAATTGCTGTCAACATCGACAGCAAAAAGATCGGTCTTGAATACTGGGCCAGCCTCAGTGGTTGGAATCTTGACTGGGTGGCCCAGAATTTCCTTCTTCTCCTTGTCGTGGTCGCTCTCAACCTCCTCCTGAATGGCTGGAGGCTGCATTTCCGAGTGCCGCCTCTTAGGTGAGTTTTGTGCAGAACTCGAACTCGGAGAACCGGCGTTGGATGTAGGTGAGTCAGACACGCTTTGTCTTGACTCCCAGGTGCTGGTGCGCACAATCTCCTTCATGTCAGGATCATCCCCGGGCAGTTTGACAGGATACAAGTCAGGATCATCCTCGGGATCCCCGCGCAGGAACAGCACACTGACCGCCCTGGTGGACGAGAACATATCTTGCATAGTCACCAGCTTCATTTGTAGGTCTTCCTCTGCAGAGAACTTTCCGCCATCGGCTTCTGAATCCACCGAGAAAGTGCGCTTGTGCTTGACCACTTTTCCGGGCCGAGATGTCCCAGCTTTTGCCATCGATCCACTCCTTCTTCTCCTGCCCGCGTGCCCGAGGCCGGCCTCCGCTTGGGCAATTTGCTGTTTGAGCTTCTCGATCGTTTTCTTGACGTGTGCCACATCGTTGGAGAGTTTTCTCTCGGCACCATGGTCTCGGAACAGTTTGACTTTCGAGTAACAGACTTCAGGCTCATTGCTGGTGCCAGACTGTGGCGTAACAAGTACAGTTTTGGCGCATAGTCGGACGGGGATCCCTTTGACACCCTTGGAGTGACTAAAATCGGTAGACAAAAAGTTGAAGCGAATAGAGATCGAGCAATGAGGTCCTCCGTTGACAGAATTAGGGACCCAGGTCACGGCAAACCCGTCAAAAGAAGCTTTCTCCAGCTGCACGAGAGGCTTGCGCATTTCGTCGTCTCCCCCTTGGTTGGGGTCAACGTATTCCACAGCTAGGAGTTTTCCACCTCGCTGATGGGCCTCGTTCGAGCCGCGTCCCTCTTTCCAAAGTTGCCAGCATGCTCCGGGTCGGGCGCGCTGTTGCTCATCCTCGAAGGAGACACGGACGTAAGTGCGGTACTGAAGAACGCCGTCATGCGGCAGTGGAGGGGCTGTGTCCCAAATTGACATAGTGTAAGCCTGTCCCTTGTTGAGATAGGTGATGGGAATTTCGTCGGCATGCCTAACCATCGCCGTTGGCGCATTCAGGGTGGTATGAAATCTCAACCTAGCCGTCCAGTTAGTAAACACTTCCCGCTCTGGGTCGTAAAGCACTGACTTTTCCCCAGGAGGTAGTTCTGCGACACCAACCGATCCGGACATCAGCTGTGCAATGGCCTGGTTGACTGTAGCCTGTTCATGTCCTAGGTCGGCCTGATTGGGGGTCGTCTTGTGCGGACTGTCGTCCATCGCGACATAGCCCGAATCCTGGTGCTGAAGAAACTGCTGCGGCGCGAACGTCTGCGGCTGCTGCGGAACCAGAGGGATCTGGGGCTGCGAGGCTTGGAAGGCATCTTGGAAGGGATGCGGTTGGTGTAGCATATGCGGGTTGAAATGTTGGAGGTTCACTAATGGATCGTGCGCGTGCAGCCCATGGACTGAATGTGGTAGTGACAAGGGTGTGTTCATGCCCATTCCGGGAGTGTGGAGGTCGCCCGCCTGAGGATGGTATAGAGTGCCAAAACCTCCTGGGGTCGGCGTGTACAAATAGCCAGGAGGCTGGTTCGCGAAAGCGGAAAAGGCAAAAGAGTTGGGATCCATGAGTGAAGGAGTAAATCTCCAAGAGTCGTTGAATGGTTTGGGGGTCGCATCCTGTTGTTCTTTGACCTCCGCCGGCTGGCTGTCGAATGCGCTGGAAAAATAGTCAGCGATATGTACGCCATGATGGCCTGGCGGCTTGGGGGCGGGACGTGACGGCGACATTGTCGAAGCCGGTCGACACGTCGGGCTGGCTGAAAGAGGAAGAGGGCGAGATGAAGTAGAACGATCCAAGACATACCGTTGAGCCGTCGTGGGCTCATCCACAATAGCCTCGCTTAGCACAGATGATCTGCGAGCAGGCTCATCGTCCCCTGGGGCGGCTGAGGATGTCGATCCAGGCCCGACTTCGGGAAAAGACTCCTTGAAGGCCGCGTACAACGCTTCATCGGGTTTGTGAGAAGTCCGCCTGTGAGAAAACATGATGGTTAGTTTTCAAGTATGCGCTGTGATGTGAAACCAGCATAGATCAAGCGCGAGAGAGACGAACCGATTGCGAAACATTTGCGGCGGAGACGGCGTCTCAGGCTGCAGGTTCGAGAGAGAACGGGGTCAAATCAACGACATGAGGCCTTTGTATGGTCGGACGGTACAGTGTCAATTCAGACAGCGCGCATCTAAGAACGGCGCAAAGGGTCGAAGAGCGAGATTGACTCAGGGCGACCTGGGGATGCTTCAAGTCGAACTTGAAGGGCGGGAGTGCTGCGCCTTATCGCGTGCGCCAGGAGGAGGTATAGGCTGGGTCTATGTAGGGCGCCTGGTCTGGTCTGCGAATGCTTCGAGATCCGAGATGGAATGGCTGAATTGCCTCGCGGCCGGTGCGAGCAATGAGCAATATGAGAACGCAGGATCGCCGGTCTCGCCAGTGCCAGTGTACAAATCGACCAAAGGAGTTTGAGATGAGGTGAGGTGGTAGGGCAGGGTGTTTGGACGCATACGGTTTACTGCCAGCAGTAGGACAAGGACCAGGGGTGGATGCTTGGGATACTGGGATGCCGGGATGCTTCAGACTGGCTGGCGGTCGTGGGCCTCGATGGCAGCATTTAACATTTCATAGTAGTTCAGAGTAACAAGATTGCTAGTCCGCGACTAGATTGGGGGGCTATGGATGCAAGGATGGTGAAGCAAGAGTGGATTCCGAACAACATAGCAGTTCAGTAGCAGTTTATGGGTAGTTGTTGATGACTGGCAGTTGGGTCCTTTCGTTTGGCGTGGTGGAGGAGGAGGTGGGCGAGTCTGGCATGGCAGACTCGGATGGAGATGCGAGGATTTGATGCAAAGTGACCGTATGGCAGTGGCGTCAATCCACCGATCGGGCGGGTTCTGGTCGGCACCAGCGAGTGCAATCGCAGGCTACTTCTGCTAGCACTGTACTATGATACCGTCCTGGAACTCCAATACCGCTACTACTACCGCTACCACTACTTTTGGTCCTCCTGCTCGGGATCGAAAACCATCTATCTCAGCACGGCAACGGGCCTTTGGGTCACGAAGGAGTCACTCTCCACTCTTGCTTCCATCCTTCTACTACTCCTGTACTAGTTAACTAGTCGCTAGCAGCGCGGCCGGCTGGTCCTGAAGGCACTCGTGCTGTTGCGGATAGCATCGCATTCGCTGTTGTTGATTGCTGTTAGCCTGAAGCCTAATAATGGTGCAGCCTCAGCTGCCTGGGGCCGGGATCAAGGGATCTCGTTTAACTGAGCCACGCCTAGAAGTTAACGCCTGGGGGCACTGGGGCCTCCCCATTTGATTGGAAAGCGTGCCGGATCGGCCTGAGCACTGGAGCCTAGCACGGTGCCCAGTCGTGGCGTCGAGGAGCGCTCGCAGGTCTCACTGGCCAGCAACAGTGGCTCCCCGGTCATCCTGGTCGGGCGACGTGGCTGGCGCACCACCACTTGGAGATGGGCCGCCGTACAAAGTTGTACACTGCACGGCCCCTAGCCCCGGGGCGGTCGATGCAGTGGCTCATGCCCCGAACTAATTGGACAGGGACCCCATCCATCAGCCGTCTCAGACGTCCTTTTTTGTCTATGTCCAACTCTGTTGCTTTGGTTGCGAGCCAGGTCTATCCCTGCCGACGTAGCGGGCGACGCTGTGCGCGGTGCCTGTAACAGGAAGCTCTTCCTTTGCATCACTTCCTCATGCAGACTTTTGCCGTCCTCGGCGATTCCCAGGCCCAGGCAGTCAATCGCCCTGATCGACACAGCACAGCCACACGTCGTCGTAAGGTTCATGTTCGGGGCATCATCGCACGGCCACGGGCATCGGAACTGTGGCTTTTGGTGGCAAAAGGCGGGTTCCTCAGGTGTCCAGGTGTGGCTATCAACCTGTGGCAACAACGCCCATAGGTGCCCCGGAAACTTCAGCCTAGGGCCGTTCAAAGGTGTCAGTGTCAGTGCCTGTTGTCCTCCACAGCGGCTCAGGGAGCCCCCCCTAGCGCCCACTGCATTCCCGACCAAACTGTGGCTTGACTCTTGCTCTCCCTTGTGCCCACACAGGCCGCAGTCTCAGGCCGTGGGCGGTCCTGCGATGTCACTCTCATTTCATACATCGGAATCTCTCATTTCCCATCACTCCTGCGACCGAGATGTCCGTCGACGAGTGAAACAGTCCGCACCAGACTCATGGTGCGCTCGTAAGCCACAGGACTCAGCGATGGAGCCCACTGGGCACATATCGCTCGGTAACCGTTGACTCCTCCGCCAGCCGCGGGCGCCGGGGCGCGTATCCCTATCACCGTCAACTCCAGTCTCTGCTTCGCTGTGTACAACTACAGTACTACTAGCACAGGCCCTGTGGCCCCATGGGTACCACCACGCCGAGAAAATGGAACGCTGCTAACACGGAATCTTTCCCTTAGCAATATGGATCGTCCACACGTGTTGCTGAGGCTTTGAACGCCTATACCGTCACCGAGCCGTCGATCCATCGTCCTCTTGTCTCCTGTCCGTTCCGTGCAGCCGTCTGCGCCAATCGCTGGCCGTGTCCTGTCTCACACAGGCCAACATTAGCATCTCGCTCCGTTGCCGTTCGAGTGTTCTCTGACACAGTGTACGCGTACGCACACCGCCCACCGCAGTATGGCAGATCACTGGCATATGAGGGATGCCTAAGGATGTTTTTTCCGGCTGTTGTCCATCCGTCGAGTTTCCCAGCGTCGTGCCTATCAGTTGTACTTGGCCGTCCGCGGCTAATCGCCTATACGACTTTTGCAGGGCTGGCACAAGCCTCCGACACGCTGTTCAACAGCCTGGCAGTGGTCAAGGGCGCTCATCAATTTGACTGACACCACATAAGGAGCCAGCTGACAATGTCAATCCGGCCATGGATGAGCAACGGGCGGCAGCCAATGCGATCAACACCACCAAATGGTGCCATAACTAAAGATAGATACTCTATGTTGTATCGCTCCTCACCGTCAATCACAGGCTGCTGAACCTCAGACCACACCGCACAATTCGTCATGCGGCCACACAGACCATTACATCATGGTCTTCCGTGTCTTGGGCCACCTGTTGATTGGCGGCCGCCTCTGATCAAAGATGAAACACGCTGGACGCACGAATAGACGATGAGGGTTGTGGTCAACTGACCCCTTGATAATCTCACATCTTCGTCCCTCACTCCTACCACCTATACTGTTTATCGTCATGATTTTGGCCCTCCGTCTCCGCGCAACGTTCTCACTCAATCAGACATCGCCGGTATCCCCAAGGTCCAGCTGGTGGACCTGTTAGAGCAAGCCGTCGGAAATTCTCAATTCTGCGCGCAAGCATGAGGCACGCGGCTATCACCGTTCCGGCGCAAAATAGTAATGAGGTCATGCACACACTTTGCGGAAATTCCTAGTAACAAGCAATTTGGGCTCTCGCTGGTCCAAGGGCAATCAGACTTGTCCGACAAGCCGCCTTGCCGATGTGACCCATTCTATGAGTTTTGGCCAGCCACGCGAATTCGCGGACCCCCGGCAATTTCGATTCGAGACATTTGGAACACGGATGGAACAATCTCGACGGGGAGACAACGGCGGCTGGGATCCACGAGGTCGTGCAAGGGTGCGTGGCACGCCCAATAATCATTTCCGGCAAGCGACAGGCGAGACGACTTGTGGCACGGTGGGCCCCCGGCCTCCCCAGCTCGCTTGATGAGTCTGTCCCTGGCCAACGGTGTTTATACAACTTGACAATTGACCAGATACAACTGGCGTGGTTCTGCATTATCTACCGAGCACAACTCAGCGGCTCAAGAAAACATTGATTGTAGACGTGTGCTGTTCAAGCTTGAGCAAACCCATCATCACTCAAAACGGCGCGGCGGAGCAATATGGCCGGAACATTGGAAATTAGGTCTGCGACTGGAAAGGTTTCTTCACCTATGCCAGGACCAGGGTGTCAGGCCGCAGATAGAGGACCCTCCCAACTCGTGACAGCAAATCTGCCGGCCGACACCCTTGAGTAGCGGTACAATCAAAGCTTTGCAAGCTCCAGCTTCGCGCCGATTGATTTCCAGCAATTCTACGATTCATGAAGACAATTTCGATCAGACCACGCTCCTCGTCGGCAGCGCTTTCTCTGAATGGCTTACGCGCCAGCACAGGGAACGAAAACTTTGAGCCGGCGATGTCCTCCACTACTGACTGGAAGTACCAACCTCGTAACAGAAACCACTGCATTGTCGCCCCAAAAGACGCCGGTCCTGCCCAAAGCTTACGGCTCCACGGCCCATGATCCATCAGCCGTCCTGCACGGGTCACGGCCCACCCGAACGCTCGACGCCACATACTGCGCCACACTAACGACGATCTTTTCTGATATCGACTTAGCCGTATGCCGTTCTGACTTCAACGCTGTGGCTTGAACGTGGATAGGATTCAAAAAGACACTTTTCCAAGTCGAAAAACTCTATTAACTGCGTCGGCGTACGGTCTAGACAATGGATGCAGGTCAGGAGATACATGCCGATCTTTCGAAATCCGTTACATCCATACTGGTCAGTGGGTATGTTCGCGTTCTGGTAGAGAGCAACCGACCACTGTCTCGTGCCACTTTGTACTTTCCCACCAATCCTCCGCGGACAGTCCACATCAAATCACAAGATTAACAGACTACACGACGGACCTTGGAACAGATTGCCGAATAGAAGGTAAGCAGAAGGAACTGTGTTCGACGCGCATTCTAGCGAGCTACCTAAGGTTCCTTGGCCATCGCCCGCTGACAGCTCGTACCAAAAGCACAAGTGACCTTTTTACTTGGGCATTGGAAAAAGGGGTTTCCATCGTCGCTCCAGAAGAGCCCTTGCCAAAAGATTGGGATTCTTGTTTCCCAAGGTCCGCCTTTTTGAGTTCTCGGGAGTTCTCTGTGGCAGGACAAGTTTTCGACTATTGCTGTCACTATAACGGTAAGGCAAGTGCGGTTAGGGCATTATCCATATGGTGACTTGGTAGAGCCAATGAGCCTGTCGTCGCATTGTGCAATAATGAATGAACGGTCTCCCGAGGAATCCCCCTCCCCTTTTGTGCCGTCTTGTGGCCAAGCCAGATTGCCCACTGTACGCGGCGAGCTCAGAACTCCAATGTCCGTACATTTTCATGAACGACAATGAGAAATGCACTCGTGTCACCGAAGAAGGAGCTTGGTGCAGATGGCTGTTCTCATCTATTGCTGGGCCTATCAACGAAGGTCAACTCGTGGTGCAAGTCTCCCCACTACTGTAGTGCATGCCTACCTGGTAATGTAGAAACCTCGACAGATGTCCCTTCATGGGAACTGCCAGCGAGCTTTTATCAGCAACATCAGAACATGAATACAGGAGCTCCCTGTCAAGGTAACGACAACCTGTGGCTGAATTCCTCTCTACCATAGTGAACATGAGTTTTCGGGAATCAATGGCTCCGCGCTTGAATTGACCAATTCATTCATGAGACCGACACCCGCCACAAAGCCGCTGCACGTCTTTATGTGATGGCCGTCAAGCTGCTCGCTTACATTCCTTTTCCTTGCCGCTCCCCAGAAGACTTCCTCGACATGCGGTGGATGTCAAAATGACCTCAAAGGCAAGTCAGTCAGGGCTCTAAAGTGCGGCGGCTCTGCTTTCCATCTGGCCGAATTTTCCGTTTTGTGGTGGTCTGTCTGCCCTAATATCGTATCGTCTATAAAAATGTTTGAAGAATTTCTCATTTCCCATCCAGTCGGTTTATTCATTGGTTCACCTATGAATTTGGAAGATTAGGCACAACTTTTTTCGCCCTTTCCACCATGCCCGGGACCTAGGCAAATCTCCTTGGTGGGAAAGCTGCTCTGCTCGCTTCTGTCTTCCAAAAAGTTCGCAGCAGGCGTGACAGGGCAGAATTGTGCTGGGGGCTGTCTCTTTCCTGGAAATCGTGAGGCTGGCTACTGTAAATCTGACATGCTCTGGTGCCCTACAAGTTACCTATTCACCTACAAGAAGCTAATTTGCCCCATTTGTTCGCGCTACTGTAAGTCCACGGCTACCTTGTATTAGTTATCCTTTCTTTTTGGTGCTGCTATTGTTGGCCGCAGTCCTTCGTCTGCATTGACTTGGACTAATGAGTCCAGGACCACGACCACAGACTCGGATGGGTTTGTATTCCGAGGCAGGCAGGCACGCACTCACGCCGAGATATCTCCAAGTGAAGAGAGATGTGGCAAAGGCCAAAGCACGACGGACCGACAGTTGCCACGGCAGAAAGGTCGAACGGGTATCAAGAAGATAGATAGCTATGATAGACATAGATTAAGACAAAGATTGATCCAAGAAACCAAGGGTCGGCTCCACCAATGTTCGTAGCTACAGTACCTACTTAGGTACGTTGCCCTTCATTTCATAGGTACCTACAAGGTAGTGAGTGGTCTACAGTGCCTGCTCGATGTATGCATGGATATAGTACTTGTACATTACGAATTACCTTATCCATGTACCATTAGATATTAATGCAAAACGTGGAGATACCAGGGAGACAAAGTCCCCCGCGACCTTGTCTGGTGATTGGATCTGGATGGGCATTTTGAGACCTCGAGGGACTTCGGAAGACGTCAGTACCATTTGCAGGGTACGGGGCAGAAGTGCAACCAGCAGTCAGCAGCGTGCATCGCGGCAAGAGTGAGCAGAGGCGAACGTATAGCGAGCAGCTGAGTTCATCCTGAGCATTTCGCACTTCAACTATTGTGTCAGTAAGCCTTGAAGAGAAAAAAAAACCCATTTTGGAGAACCGCATGCCTGCAGGCAGAATGATTCACTTTTCTGCCTTTCAGGGACTTTTGAATTAGTATCATCTTGCCATTAACACCATTTCTCGGGTCAAAGCCGCGCTCCCACTCTCCCACTGCATGTGGTATGTATATCGATACTAGCATTCGCGCGTATTCCCCGGCCCCTGGCTATCACCACGGCCAGGACAAATCACCGGCTCAATTGGCGAGCACAACTGAAGCCCCGTGGGCATCGCGACAGCAATGGGTATACACATGCTTCATGATTTAGAAAATAAGTATTAGCTCCACGCGCTCGTCGCAAGCCGCTGTGACCAAAATCTTCCGTTGTCATTCTTGCATTCCAGTGGTTCGGTGACTGAGCTCCTGCCTCGAGGCCCCCATTTCCTGGCCTGTCATTTTCCCTGCCATAGTCGTATGCGTGGCTGGTCTTTGCCATTGCAACTGTCCTGTCCGTTGTAATAAACATGAAACATTATGTATTTTCTGTTATGGTGTTGTCCACCCGGCCAGATTCCAGCTGTATTAGAGTGCCAGTCTGTCTTGGTGGTTGCAATCCTTTCATTACCCATTCATTGATGTCTCCATTCGATGTTCTATGCCGGATCACACTTGTTGTATTCGTCGAAAAGGGATTGCCCAAATCACCGTGTAATAATGATTTGAAACCCGTCTATCCATGCGCCACAAGAACCTGCAATGCCGGCAATGATGTAGCCACGAGGCGCCATCAACGTATGCCTGTTATTTCCGGAGTCAGTCGAGGACATGATGACAGAGTCGACCCAACTTACCCAGAGCCCCCATTGGGGTTGCCGAAAACTCCAGACCTTCGGCCAGTACTGGTCAAAATCTCAATTCCGTCAATCCAGAAGCCAGCTCGTACATAAAACCCAAGGATCGTTTCTCCACGACGGGTATCTGTAGTTGTCAGTTTGCTTGTAACAAAGCGACCGTGCAGATCCACAACTCACCGAGGAAAAACTCGTCCCCACCAGGCTTGCCCCCTCGTTTACCGAACAATTGGCTATGGCCGTCTTCATAACGGAATTCAATTCCATCAAGTGCGTACCCGTGATACACTCTCACAGATCTAAGAAGCTTCGTTTGGATATTGGCGCAGTCCAGGATCAATTCTTCCGGTTGCGAGCCTTCTAGCGCAGATTGGCCCAGTTTCTTGCTCTTGAATCCGAGGCGGGAGTCAAACGACTTGTGTATATTCAGCATATTATTGTAGGCGTTCATAGTCAGCCCTTCGTCACGCTTGGGTGCCTGCCGGAGCGGTGGAAGGTTGACAATGTACTTTTTGGACAAAAGCTCGTCCAGATCCTCGATTTTCTCGTTGCGTGACCCTCCGCAAAAGATTGTGAGAGATAGTTTGGCCTTTCTCTTGTCTTCAGGAAGTCGCCCTCGGATGTCGGTCTCAACCAAGGTCACCTGCCTAGGGAGGCTGTTAAGCCGGGGGTCCGCATTGTTGAAGTCAATCCAGTGCCTGCATAGGTCATCTCCTTCTATCCAGATCTCCACAAAGGAGATTCCTGTAGCAGCTGAGCAAATTATGCGTCCATTCCCGACCGGGAAATATTGGATGCTGTCATCTTGAGACAAAGGCTCGTCGCCCGGGAGCTTAAAGCAGGGATGGTGTCGGAACCGGAGAACATCTAATCGGTGCCAGCCGCATTCGTCCTCCAGACGACAGACTTTGAGCCCTTGAGACTTGGTCCTGGTTGAATAGGCTTCGCTGATCACGAAAGTCCGATTCAGGCGCACGTAATCTCTCAACATGACTCCATTTTCTTGGTGAGGACACCCGAACAAGTGACCAACCTCATGGAGGTGTGCGCCGATCCCAATGTTTGCCGCCTCCCAACTGCTACCGCACTCGTTGCAGTCGTTAGCCACAAATCTGGTATCTGTTGGCGTGCAGTCCGTGAAAGCAGGCACAACTTCCTCAATGCATGATGGGTAGCTCTGGAGGGCCTGAGAACCGAAAATGGCAAGACCCAGATCGTCTCCTGTACCGCCTAAAGCAGCATGCCCCCTGATTGTTCCAACTTCCGAATCCCAATGGGCGTCGAGAAGAAGACAAGCAACGTACTGCTTCTGGCCCGGTCTGATATTGTAGTATTTCTTTACTGCTTCCGCGGCAATGGAATAAAGGTCGCCTTTCTTCTCCGCCGGTCCGTACTGTTGGGCATATTGTAGGTCGCGTAACTCAGCAGTAGTCTTGTCCGACCGGATCACATGGACTCTGGTCTCGTTCTTCAACCGATTCGTTTCCCAATCCCGCATGGACAGAGTCCCGGTTTGCCATTCCTCCTCGAAACGGAAGCACCGCCGCCCGAACTTTTGTCTGTACATTTGTTCGGCTGTAAAAGCCTGCCACAAGTGCGCAGCCATGCGGAATTTCCGTATGGCCATTTGGAGATCGTTGCCCTCGTTTTGGATCCGCTGCGGAACTGCGTCGTACGTGCATGGAGAGTCCTTGCCGGCAAGGATAACCAGCTGTAGCGGAGGTGCGTTGTTCAATGGCAGGTAGTTCAACATGATGTAGGACGAATGCATCGTAGGGGCTGACCCGGTGCTCGTTGAGCTCAATTTGGGCGAAGTGAAATCAAACCGGATCTTATTCCACCCGGGCGAAAGGTAGACCAAGGCCTTGAAGTATGAATCGGAGACTGGCCAGTTGGTGGGAGGAAATGATTGACCGTCTTTATCGTGGTGCACAGTCAAATTACCATCGATTGCTTTCTGGCTGGGGTCTCCAATCTCGCCGTAGATCAGCAGCACTTTGTTGTGAACCTGTACGCCGCTTATAAGCTGATGCCATGGCCACTCTCCGGGTCTCAACATACCACTGAATTGTCCAATATAGAGGTGATTTTCGGCGCAAAGGCCGACGTAGGCATTGGAACCCGCATCGTGCCATTGGAACCCGACGGTGATAATGTCTAAGACTCTGTCAATATTTCTCCGAAATCCTCACATTGTTCTTTGGGACAGGTGCTTACTATCATGCTGTTCCGGTTGGAATTTGGCAAGGTAACATTGGGCCGCTGAGGCACCGGTGGAGGGGTATCGCCATTTGTCTTCACGGCGGCCAATACATTCGAGGCTGAACCGTTCGCATGATATGTGGACGGCGGCGTGGTGCTCCCGGGGGCGGAGTTTAGGGTAGAAGAGGATTTTGCCGTTGGGACGGTACTTTTGGAATCGGTTGAGGAGTCGGAAGTTCGAAAGCTAGCTTTTGATCGCCGGCGTAGGTCTCTAAAGAAGGGCATGGCTGGCGAAATGGTGGAAGGCTTCTGTTCTCATGAACCGAACATGAGGTATTAGATGTTGCGGGGGACGAGCTTTTGCCTATGACCAGGATGTCGTCGCGGGCAGACTGATTGTAACACCCACAGGCATATGCATGTGCAATGCAAGAGAGCTTGTCCGGTGTCGACGATTGGCTCACCCCAGAGTCACAGCGGGAATTCGGAGGCTTTTTGCGCAACAGCTGTGCGTTGGTAAACGAGTGACAAGGCAGATTAGGATGCAAGGGAGAGACAAATAGTTGCGACGCAGGCTGTTTGCAATGGAAACACTGTTAACGAGGAAGGACGAGAAGGTGCTATGGTGCAGTGAAGGTGGCCGGTATGGTGATGCCAGTGGATGGATGCAGTGGATGGCTGCGGATTTCTCTCACTGTAATACTGCAGATACTTTAGTTGAGACTTACGACGTCCTGCGACGGTCTAGTTTGACTCTAACAATTCCACTACCACACTAGACGGTAGCATAGTTACGACTATCCAGATTCCAGGCTGCGTAAGTGGTGAGGGGACCCAGGGACGGCGGGAGCGGAAGTTAGGTAACAAGTACTGTAACCCTGTAGCATCACTGCGGATTGGGCTGCCGATGCCTCCCACATAATAAATACTGTATTACCGCAGGGAAATACCACCTCCTAGGTAGTAAGGAAGTTTAAGCTGTGTTGAATCGGCAAGGCACTGGCATGTGCCAGTTGTACATTGGAGCTACTACGAGTCGTTGTATGCTGCTACTGTAAATCGTCAGCTTCCAGCGGCCATTATTAGCATTTCCGACAGAGATAAAGAAGTGCCCGGAGACCCCTCGGCCGCCGTAGTACTCCAGGTAAAGTGGTTGTTAAGCCTGTTCAAGCCTGGCGCCGGGCTGGTTCTGCACCGGGAATCTCTAACAGATCCTAATAATGCTTCAAAGGTCGGAGGCCACGCACGTTGTGGGCAGTTGAGTCCACAGTGGAAGAATGATGCAGTCAGTGGCGCCCTGGCAGACATGTGGTTGGTGTGTTTCACGGCCTGTTCTATCGTCCTACTACTACTGTACCATGACGAGGGCATTCCTTACTGCTACCGCCAGTGTACAACATTGTATGCCACTTCACAAAATGCAAACGCTGTAGTGCTCGGTGCTAGTACTGATTCCGCCGGTACGCGTATCCAAATGATTCGCACAGCCCAAGCAGATTTTCGAGACAAGGCTGCTAAACTGTCGTTGAACCGGTCTTATTTCGAAGCCCCATGTCTTCCAATCCACAACTTGAAGGGCCCCAACCAACATCTTGCTATACTTGAGGATGAAGCGGGCTTATCTATGAGCTGCACCGCTCCAAGACAAAGCCGGCTTGACTGGAACATTCAAGATGGCGCACAATAATCATCGTTCGGTAAGTTTACCAACAAGCGTCTGATAGAAGAAAGAGCATTGCAGGGAAAGACACTCGACGTCCATCGATCGATCTACCTTGGATCTCACGCTAGGCGACAGCTCCTCAAACACTTTCTGCTTGGAGATCTCATCGATTGTAAGTGTAGGGGTAAATGCTTTGCTCCACGGTTCAGAAGAGTCAGTAGCAGAATCGGCGTTTCAAGCCACGAAGTCTGGTCGACGTTCGTTGTCACGAAACAGAAGCACTAGGTTAGTGTTCGTAGTATGGAGACATTTTGCTGCGAGCTTCCCGGGTCTATGTTTCCGAGTCCACCACAGTTCCAGTCATCCGATAATGTGCCATCGGCCTCTTCTCTTTTGATTCATACCTTATCCAAACAATGTGAGGCGGAAGCTTAGCTGAGGAATTTCCAGCGAGATTATGCCCAGGAGGAGTAGGTAACAATCCACAGGCAGGGTTCGTGACTTGCTTGCCACGGATCGGTCGACCACTACTAGGAACGATTAGTGAGGCCGGGGCATAGCGTACTCCGTGCCTGAACTTTTGACCGAATTGGCACTGCGCCTCTTCTGACAGGACAAGTGCCTGCGTTTCCCCGGTTGGAACGTTCACCGTTGGCATCGTGCAAGGCCTGCCATTACTGACGACATGGAGCAAAAGCAGATGCTCCTTATCATTTGACGGCCATTAGGGCGAGTGACAGCACATCACCATTCTTCTGCGTTACGGTGATGACCTGTTCCCAGATCCAGTCGGCACACAGACCAGCTCCCAACCCCAAGAAAGCGGGCAATAGGAGGCTTCCTTAAGCCATCGTCACCCGAGATCCGAATGAGACAACCGGGAGGTGCAGGTGGTTCCTGGGACCGCCAAGTAGGGTGACAAAAACCGAGCAGAAACAAGGAGGATTAGTTGCTTATCAGGCAGGGTCATTGGGTGCCAGACAGACGTGGGTTTGAAATAGGATCGGTCCCAGAGACGCCTATGGCTGAAGCAAGTTGCAGAGGTTGCAGCGTTGCAGACGGCCAATCCGGCGACCAATCTCACAGCCAGTCAGTAAGCTTCGCAGGAGACGGATCGCAGAGCAAGTCAAGGCCTGGAGCAGCCGAGCTGAGGCCTGGAGACCCAAAGACCAATGAGTCCCGCAGTCTCACCAGCCACGGCAAAAGAAGGTGGAAAGCAGGCGGCCTGGGTTGGGCATACGAACTCACCCCTCGCGACCAGGCGGCTCTCCACTGCCTGTGCCGATGCCTCAGTGGCCCACGGGTCGGTTGGCGCTCACGGTGGAAAAGTCACTAGAGATCTAGAGTAAAGTGGCTGCATTGCCTGCCAGTGTCGGACGACTAGACTACACACGACTATCGACTAGACCTAACATTCTTATTCTTGAGGAATTCCTGGTGTTGCTGCTCGGCCGACCGCTGCACTGCACTGCACTGCACTTCTCTGCTTCATTGCTCGTGCCTCTCTGCGCTTGCAGGCAGTGGTGATCTCTTCACAGATCTGGAAGCCCGCGAATCGTCCCATTCCTCAACCGTGATCTACTTCCCCTAATCGGGACCCGACGCCCGTACCAACCATCCCCCCAGCGAGTTGGGCCGGTTGCCCTGGCCAGTAGCCCCACGAGTCAGAACTCTGGCTGGATCCTTAGGGGCGTGACAAGCTCTAGTATTCCTAGCCTACCTACGCTTTGACGTGCCGGACCATCACTACATATTTGACACTGTTGGACCTTTCTCCTTCCTGATGCTCGAGTACGATCGATCCCTCATGCTCCTATCCCCCGGTATCTGTACCAGCATGGCTTCTCAGCAACAGCAGCATCCTCATGCTGCAGCTCAGGTGGCCGAGAAGGTGATGCGGAGAGTGGAAATTGCAAAGGTAGCCCACCCACCTCCATTGAACTTTTTTGAGGCCCCGAAAGAGACCTGGACTGATTTTTGACAAAATTTGCCAGGTTGCTCGAAACCTTCAAGACTGCCTAGCCTTTGCGAGCTTCAAAGCCCAGAACGGCTGGCAAGATCGGACCCTCTCCACCATTGAACCCGAGTTCACGGAAAAGCTTAAGAGGAAGCGGCCGTTCCTGGAGGACGACAATCCGTCCGATGGCTCCTCCGAAACCGACGACGATTATGCTCCTGCTTCATCGATTGCAAAGAACCGTTTCTCCAGACCATCCGAAAATCCCTTCAAAGTTCCCCAGCCACCGTTTGCTTCGAGAAAAAGAGTCAGGTCATCGTCAACAAATGGTTTCGGCAGGCAGTCTGGCAGCTCGACATGGAAGCAAGACCACCGTCTCTCACAATCATCTCCTGTGCTAGGACGATCACATTCCTTCCGAGAGAATAATAACCTGTACCACGCAGATCCTCCCAGCCTACCTACTCGGCACAATAACGACGATTCTCCTATGTTTGATGTCCATTCCGACGATGATGAACATGATATCCCCATGCCGTCCTTCGCCGACCAGCCATCGAGCAGTATCTTGTCTTCTTCACCTCCGCGAACACCCCCACCCACCAAACGTCTTGTCAATGTGAATGCAAAGGCAGCCGGTGCCGATCTTCTTCTCTATCTAGCAAACTCACCATCCCGTTCGCCAGCGATCAACTTCCACCGAGCGTCTAGCTCCTCCAAGGAGCCACCTTCTACCCCACCAACCCAACATTCTCACCTTCCATCCTCAGTAATGACCACGCCAGGAACACATCTGGGATTATTCAACGGTGCTTTGCAAACTCCAGGACAAAACTTCAACCTCGCCGATTTCTGCAATGTTACACCGTCTCCAGCCCAGGCTCAATGGGGTGGCCGAACACCTAGTGTGGCCAAGACGCCCAGTAGATTTGCTCGACGAAGCTTGAACTTTGACGCCTTGCAACCGCCGTCTGGTAGCCCAACCTTACAGCGCAAGACGCCAACTACTCAAGGTCTTGCCCTTCAACTCGGAGAGGAACTTATTCCAAGATCATGACGGAGTTGTTCACCCTTTGCCACAGCATGGTCATAACGTCGGCTGAAATAGGCAAAGGTTGTTCAATTGCTCCATTACGATATACCAAAGAAAAAGACACACAATAGTTGTGTCATGAACAAATCCAAATGTCACGATAAACATACACGCCATGCGACGATTGAGGTGGATTGCAGCGTTTTTTCTCCTGCGACAGAACAAATCGGGATTTGCGATGCCGTTGTTGAATTGCTTTGTACAAGTATGGGAGGAGCCGTGGATATCCTCAACTGCTATGACTGTTGTGCAAGCTGCCAATTCTCAGCAGAGAAAAGATAAGCCGGATGGATTGCGAGGACATATTGTTTTTGGACTAAAGGGAGTTTGTTTGCGTGCTAGCATTGCCTTGCCTTGCCTTGCCCTTGCATTTACGGTTGCGTTTTCTGCAATGGTCCCTCTGTATGAGGCCAGCAGATGGGGCCTTCCAGCAGTTAATTCAACAAGTCGTCCACCCTAGTAGGTAGCCCAAGTAGGTAGTCAGAACCAGCAAATACAATAAGCAGTACCAAATATCATCTCGAACTTCGCATCGCGCTCGCCGTTCCTACTATACCAGAATGCCAATTGCCGAACAGCCGTGCACTGCAGTGCCTTGTTGGATGCAGCTCATTCAAGTTTTCGGATACGAGGTGCAGTCTCTATCGACTAAGGACTGGGACAAGCTCAGCTGAGGTGATCCACATCCCAAAGATCAGCGGCACCGGCACCTGGAGGCCCAACTGCGACGCTGTATATCGTAGTCGGCCTTGTAGTGGGATCGGACCTAGACGCTTATGCAGGCACTTTAGGCACTTGTTTCATGTCGCACTTCAATGAACGGCAAGAACCTAGGTACCTAGGTACAGTGTAGATATCTCGTCCTTTAGATTAGCCTGATGGTGGAGATTGCGCAGCTCGGGACATGCCCTACTGCGATGTTCCTGTCAGCCTGAGCATACAGGGTGGTGTGGCACGGCACGCCTCGTAATCTGATATCTCACAGTACTTTGGTCAGCACTTGAGCAGGATCGTGGACTCGTTTATCTCCTGCAAGCCAGGCGAGCTGGGCCAATATTGCATTATATCGCAGGAATTAAACACGTACTGCTATTACTACCTTTGCACCTTGATGCCCCGTGAGATTAATTTCGCAAACAGGAAACGGGTCTGTAGTGTCTCTGTTCTCGTCCAGCTCCTGGCGTACATGTACAGAGTTTAGCACCTACCTGCTGTCTCAAGTATCAAATTTCCACTTGACGTCTATTGACGTGTTTTGGAGTTATAAGCACTTTACGCGTCCAAGCGCGCGTCGTGGCGCAACTAGTGCAACACGCTAATGTGCTCTGGTCCTCCAATGGAACGTCGCTTGCCCCACAGGTCCCAGTTGTGGCTGACGATCGGCGATGACGTTTGTCTTTGTGGGATTCAAGTTCGTCGTGATGCCGAAATTGAACTGTACCTGATAATACCTACCGAGGTAGTGCACCGGCAGTGGCCGGTACGGCTATATACATAAGGTGCCTGTCAGGCTACGGTTGCCTCAGTCACTGGGCCCAGCGAGCTGTTTTTGGGGTAAGGTAGTAATGTTGTCGTGAGGAAGGAATATATCCGTGTCGTGGAGTGCACTGCGCTGGGGTAAGCCGGGAGCCGGAATTTGCCTTTGTGGGACTGGAACTTGATCATGTTTGTGGGAGGCTGGAGAGTGCTGACGTGCAGTGTATACTTACTTACCACCTAGGCACCTATCTGGTGGGTGATATCAATGTGTACGGATAGTAGTGTAGCTCGGACATCAAGATGCTGTGCATGGGGTCGACCATAAGGTATGTTTCCTTTGCGGAGCTAGAACCATGTATACCCGTGATCCGACTCCATTCCACAAACTTGAATGCTAGTATGTAGGTATACAGTATAGTATCTAAGCTGTCCAGCGGCGAAGGAATCTTCTTTCTTACGCGGGACGACTTGAGTACCTCAGTGATGGAGACAGAGCGGCGGTGATCGACTAAATGTGGTAACACCCAGCATGAAAAATCGTCGAAGAGTTCGTGGCTAAGGTACCTATGTTGCACATATATCAGGGTGCGTGGCGCTTGCTTCTGAGTCAGATTGAGGAATCATGTGGCCGCAACGGTCATGGCAACTGATGGTGGGTGGACCACTGTAAGTTTCAGAAAGTGAGAGGTTCGCCATAGCCAGGTTGTGTTAACCGTCGTTGCAAAGCTGACTTCGAATTCATTTTCTTGCCACTCTTTCTTCCCACTGAACCCCGACCCATTCCTCCCGGAAGGATACTTTGCCCGGTTCACCACAGTTATTCGCACACGTCCCGACAATAACGGTCCCCCACTCCATGCCATCCTCCAAATCCATGGGTTCGTCCTTTTCTAACTCGTAGATCAGGCCAGGCACGAGCTGCAGCTCAAAGACCCGTTGAGCACCACAGCTCTCGCACCTGGGTATCCCTCTTACTGCCCCGGATTTACCGTGGGGCACCACAAATCTCGAAGCAACGCCGTCCGAACCGGAATAAAGCAATGGCACGCCTTTAAACTCGTATCGTAGGACCTGCTCAGGATTCTGGGCTATTCGATCCGAAAACTTCTGGAAACTTTCGTCCAAGGATGATTCAAAGTCGTCCTTATCAGAAGCACCCGCCCCTCCGCCGCTGTCGTCCATCTCATACTGTGCTTTCGAAGCTTCCGCATTTGTGAGTTCCATGGGCTCTTTGTCAAGCTCTTCAGGGTATGCATCCAGATAGAATGATTTGAATGGTGGAGGGAATGCGGACTGTTCTGGCCAAGGTTCGGCATCGACGCTTGTAGACGCGGGCTTTGGCTCGACCCCGATTTTGAGTTTGTCGGCGAAAGACTGGGCAAGCGGCGCTGGCTCGTCAACAGTCCGCTGCGGAGGCTTCGCCGCGAGTGTCGAAGGAGAACCCAGGGACGAAAATGGATTCGCGGCCGCTTGCGCACCGCTCGACCCGGACATGGAGAACGGATTGGCGCCGTTGGTGGCTGAAGATGAAGCTGACCCTCCAAAAAGAGCCGCCCCCAAATCAGGCATTGGCTTGTCTGAATTTGTCTCTGGCGGCGTTTGCTTTTCTTTACTCTCCCGTCGCTCAGGCTTCCTGACTTCTCGAAGTGCCCTAATGCTGCCGACCTTCTTCGAGCATGCTTTCTTCCTGCAACAGAAAACATGTAAACGGCGCTCGTCCTGAGGAAAATACTGCTGCAGGTCGGCGTTGAGTTGGAGGAGAAGGGACATGTATCCCTGGCAGACTTTGCATCGTGCCAGCGCCGCAGGAGGAGGTTGATTCGGGTCTATCCAAGTAGGAAAGCCGCCAACATGGCTGATTTCGTCGCCTGTAGATTCGCTCGTGGCGTATCCGAGGATAACATTGGTGGTCGAATAGTCGTCGCCGTCGTCGGACGAATCGCTATCGTATGGAGCCATAGTTGTCGTTTAGTAACACTGCTGATGCTTGTTCTGGCCGCCTGCGCTCGTAGATTTTGTAGACTCGCTTGAAGAATAATTTTCCCAAACAGTGGAGTACTGCACATCGACGTGCAACTTGAACTCGAACAATCGAGACCCCACAAAAGACCGAGCGATGATACGGCAGAATTAAGGTATGGCCCGGGCGGGCACCATACTATTTCTGGCTAAGCTAAGAATTCTGCCGTAATCCTTCCCCGCCTGCCATTGCGACGCCAAACTTGAAGCGTCAGTCCACTCCAGACTCGAACTCGATGCTAGGCTCGACGCGTTCTCCTCCTTCTCCATTCTCTACCGCTGCAGCCACTTTACCGAATCCATGCTATGGACAACGAGCACCGCGTCCGCTTATGCCTATGGCCCCTTTGCGCCCATGCATGCTCCTCACGCTTGTATACCACAACCCCCTAGACGTTGACAAGGGGACCAACCCAATCACTCCATCCTTAGTCGACCTTCGCTGCATTGCGTCCCGTTCTCCCCCGCTTGAGGCGGGGAACCATGTCGATCGGGGATTCTTTCAAGACCGGCAAGTGGGTGCTTGTGAAAGACGCAGGTATATATATATACATTTATCTCACACGACCATCATCTCTCTCTTCCTAAACAACGGGAAGTACATACTTCTAACCTCTACATGCCACCTCTTCCTCTCTATTGAATGTATATAATCGACCTGACTTCGCCCAACCGCGCTGACGACAACATGGCAACCAACAAATCCTCGTCCTCGTCCTCGTCCTCGTCATACATCACAGTTGACGAGTACGAATTCCCGCGGGGCGCCAACGGCGTCGGGACGCTGGTTTGCGCGGCGTTGATGGTTCTGTCTGCACGAAGAAAATTCATCGAACCACGCTCTGTCATCCACGACCATCTGATTGCTCGAAGCGTCAAAGCCGCCAAATACTCCAAGCTGGTCCAGGACATCATCTTCTACGTCTTGTTCGGCCTCCATGTTCCCGGTACTGTCTGGTTCGCCTGGACCCAGCTGAAACGACACAATGTTAGCCCCTTTAGTGTGCTTGGCTTGAAATGGCTCGTTACCGTCTTCTTCGGCGGCCGCTATGCCCTCAACCAGTGGGACGAGACTGTTCAGAAGAAGGAGACCCAGGTGCTCAAGGAGATCTAATCGGGTTGCTTACCCTGTTGATGCGTGAGGAAAGTCGAATTGCGAAATCGAAGTCCCAATTCGGATGACTTTATCATAAGACTACTACTGAAATGCACGGACCGATCGCCGCTGCAAGTCTGATTTGTCGAGGGAGGGGAGGATACCTGCGCAGACCACTGCATTGGTTCAAGTTTCCTTCCAACCAGCCTCCTCTTCTTCCTCTTCCTCCTCTTCGAGTTGTTCACGAGGTCTTGGGGGAGCAAGCTGTCTGATAAACCGTGTTACCATATACTACCAGCCAACCAAAGCGGCTTTTCCTACGTATAACTTGTTCAGAAGTGAAGCCATTTTGTCCCAGTGCTTTGTTAGCACATACTCTGTCAAAACCTCCTGCAACAACTTGCCGATTCTCACACTGCAATTTCACATGTACACTACAGTAATGTTTATATTTAGTAATATGAGCCACGTCTGTCGCGCTCAAATCGCGCTCGACTCCGAGTTGTATCAAACTCATTTCAGGCTCCATCTTTTTATTATTGGCCAACCATAACCGCATTGCCACTGTACCAAAAGGGAAGCCAGCCTACGAACAACGGAAAGGTGTCGACTTCGGACTTACCTCAGGTATTCGCGGTTTGTTGCGGGCAATCGGTTTTGTGTATCGCAACAAAAGCCAGTTTCTTGCTTATTTAATGCCAGGACTCCTTGTAGAATTTGATGCTGCAATCCCTACTAACCCAGACCTTCAAGTGTCAACGACGGATTCGAAGAGAAGAGGGAAGCGCTTCGTAGCCAGCTGGAAGCAAAAGACAATCCCAAGGGGAGCGAGAAAGCAAAGACAAACGCAAGTAGCCGAAAAATTAGCCGAAGTACTTTTGAAGCTAATTATTATGAGTATTAAAACCATTTGCTAATGCAACGGTTGCACCACGACGGCACCATCCGCCAGCGGTTAGTTGACATACTGAAACGCCAATGTTCCCCAAAAGTTGTCGGTCTGGTTTGCTCTCGTGCAGTCCTGACAGGACCAGGCTCCATATTCTGTACGCGCAAACAGTAAATAAAGGCCGACCAACGCCATCCGAAATCAAAAAGTAAACTGCATCAAGCCCGGATTAAGCACCAGAGGCAACAATGCATGGGAACCTGTTTGCTCAGCATTAGCCCTCGATATCAGACAGTGTCGACTGTCATTCCTTTGAGGGGATGTAACCAGACTTACCAACAATGGTTGCCAGGGGCCAGATGGCGGTGAAGAAAGAAATCTGCCAATCATACGGGACCAGAGCACCCAAGGGCCCAACACCCGCGACGACAATCATGCCCAGACTCATAACAACACAGAACAGAAATGTCAGGCGGAACTTGCGTAGGATAACGGGCACCTCTTTGAAGAAGCTTGTGTCCGTTGCCTCCTTACTCGTCGCCCCCCAGCTCATATCCACACCGAAGAGGTGGCTCAGGATGGCTTGAGAGACATGCAGTGAAATTCCCCCCAGGAAGATCGTGAGCAGGGGGATCCAGCGAAAGTTCTCCCAAAAGGCCGCCACCAGGGTTTTATCCTCGACGCGGTATCGCATGACAGCAAGGGCAATATTCCCTAGTGCTGTGAACACCAGGACAATGGAGAAGTAGATCTTGAAGCTGTCAATGTAGTAGTGGTCGAGGTGGCCATTGAACCATCCTACGATACAGTAATTGAGCAAGGTCAGAATCCAGGCCGAGCCGATTGCATAATACGTGCCAACGTACGCCATAATCGTCAACTTCGACGGGAACGGCATATTGCTCTTGATGAAGTTGCGAAAAAGGGGGGTGAAAGGGCCTTTGGTCACCCACTGGGCGAATGGGTGGAAAATGAGTTCCGAGCAGCCGTAGGCGTACTTTTCCCATCGTGCGAGCTCGTCGTACACCGTGAGCGAAACACCTTCCTTGAACCCCTGCCCTGCGTAGGCCGCCAGTCGCAAGATATACCCGCTCGTCTGTAGACGTAGAGCCATGTCAAAGTCTTCAGAGACGGTTGCTTCAGACCAATACTTCTCCTTGATTATGCCATCGTTCACGTCTGGGTATACGTATGCAACGTCCTGTACAGCCTTCCAGCGCAGAAATGCGTTATGCCCCACAAATGGTGCAACGTCACCATTGGAAACGGCGTACTGGATTGCCGTGTATACCAAGTTGGTGAAGAAAGTGATGCCTTTTTCGAACCAGCTGTCTGTGACGTTCATGACTCCTGAGGCGAATTGGATGATGGCGACTTCGGGGGAATGTTCCATCTCACTGACGGCGTCAAGAAAACAGTCCACAGGGACTCTTGTGTCAGAATCAATAAGGAGGATATAGTCGCCAATGCGGATATTACCATCCGCTTGCGTGCGACCTTCATCCTCCACAATGATCTCACCAAGGGCAGATTCATAGGCTTCGCGCTCGTTTTCGGATGTCCAAGTCTCGGTACGTTCGACAAGTGCCAGCCTATCTTCCACACGGGCGCTCACGTTAAGCGCATAATTCATGTTCGAGGCCTTTTTGAATTTGCCTGCACGGATGAAAGGCAGTCCACCATCGACCGGTTTGGGATTGTGCCTCGGTCGAGAAACCCAGCCAATATTATGCTCGTCGTAATAGTCACGTCTTTCCTGGGCTTCGTCGGCAGGTATGAGCTGCATGCCGTCATCATTGATAAATATGTTGGCAGTCCCGCCTTGCATCTCATATGTAGAAATGGCAGTCTTGATGGACTTGATGGTGGGATCAATCACTGACCAGAGGCCCTCCTTGTAAACAGGACATTGAATTGTGACGTGAGGAAGGGTGGAGCTTGTCGAAAGACGAGCTGGTGCTTGACCCGAGAAGAACTTGGTGTTTGAGGTCATCTGGCTGATGGGCCCAATCATCTGTGCTATGCAGCCGGCAACGGATTGCATGAAGAAGAGTGCCAGCCAGCACTGAAGGGGTACAACAAGAATGAAGGCGAGCCGGATCCAGGACTTGTCCACTTTAAGCTCAATTGCGATCTCACGCCAGCCACTTCCAATGGCGCTGACAAGCAGAATGAGTGTGATGGCCGTCAGGAAGGACTGTATGAGGACGACCCTACGCGGGGCCGGGGTGACGATGCCCTCTGAATCCAGGAAATCTTCTCCAGCACCAAGATTGACGGTACTGGGCATTGCACTGGTGGCTGGAAGCGTAGAATCGACATCGTCCGAGGCTTCTTCTTTCCAGACTATGCTGATTAATTGATCCTCGATGTCTTGGACCCGTTGGATTAAATGATTGGGATCATCGTCCCAGACAATGAGATACGCGTAATCCTGGATGAAGGCGGCAAAATGGTGCTTTTGGCAATCTGCGAGATAACAAATAGAAGGAAGGATTTGTAGCCGCAGCCCTGAGTCGAGGGGAAGAAAAGATGATCCGGGATTGCGTAGCAGAAGCTTGACGATGTTCGTGTTTACAGTCATGGCACACTGAGCAATCATTAGCAAACAATGGATTTGCTACGCGCAGTCCCTATACCTTGACATTAAGCTTCCTCACTGCATCGAAGATGCCGTCTGGACGAGACCGAAGATCTTCGGGGGCACATTTGTAATCGTCTTTGGCTTTCTTGAGCATGACTCCTTCTTCCAACCCATTGGCCGACCACATTTTCTCCAGCTGCTGCTGATGGAGCCAATTGCACATCATGTCAGATTTCAGATCCCGCAACTCTTGGGTTGAGCTATTCCGGAAGTCGCCTTCCGCATAAAAAGTGTTCAAACGGCTCATGGCAGGCTTGGTCGTGCTGATACCAGGAGGGGGCCTGGGAGGCATCCCGGGGACTGCTGAATCAGCCGTTGCCGAAGCCGTAGGCGACAGTGACTGCGTCAAGGTTGGGTCTGTGGCATGACTTGCCGGTGGCACATATGATTCGGCGTCTGCGCTCATAGTCACATCGTCTCTCTCGTGACCTGTTGTAGTGGAGTCCACAGTGCCAGTAGGCGCCATTTGAGAGCTGCTGTTTGTGTAGGTGACTGTGCCGACCGAATGCAAGTCGTTCCTGGGCCATATAAAGATTGGAAGACGCTGGGGAGAAGGGTAGATGGGGGCTCATCTGTGAACATATGAAAGCCTGGAACTATGAAAGCAGTTGTCTGGACCGGCCAGGTTTGATAGATTGTGGCAAAAAACATTTAAACACTTGCCGAGACAACCGGGCATGGCAAGGACGCTCGAAGTCCCCTTCGGAGACCGGAGCCCATTTTGGTATGCCCGGATTGCGGACGCAGATTGTCGTGACACCCAACCCATAAGATCAAGACCAGGCTACCTGACCAAAAAGGAACATATCGTACCTCCTGAGACATGACTTCTGGAGCAGTGCAATGGACTTTCTAACCGCTGGCCAGGCTTTTGAAGTTCAGCTCTTGCAGGGAATACCACCATCCCATACATCATCATCATAACTAGCATGCAGAACCTACCCCGCTGGCAAGGTCCGGTTAGAAGGTGGTCGACGATTTCCGTACCCATCAATGCCGGGGGAGGAAGCTTTTGTGAAGCGCCTCACGTCGAACTGCGCGTACAAAAGCAAGGAAATTTTTGGGCGATTTTGTGTGCCCTGGTTAGCTTCTGAGACACGGCAGGTATATTAGTCAAGGATGGTTCTCTCCAATGACTAGACCCCGGCCGGAGACCGATATTGTGGCATTTTTGGATCATGGTAGCCCTATTTTAAATCCAACCATGAAGCGTGCTTGCTCAACGAAGCAAGTTAGTACTTGCTGCTCATATCTTGCGGGAGCGACATTGCACTGCATAGTCAGAAATTGCCCTATAGTCCTGGACTAATAATGGTGGCCGTACTGTTGGTGGCCTGCGTGACTGCGCGAGATAACGACGCTTGTTTGCGAATGGGCCCCAAGATTAGCGATGTAATCACTTGCAATCGAGCTCCAGTTGCTTGCGGAGTTGACTCTGTCCTTGTAGAGTGGCTTCATAGTCTGCAAGCCTCAACGGCCCAGCATCCCATAACAAGATTGCCTGTACGGACACCACCGGGTCTGTCGAACAAGCAAGGCGTGCCTTCAGTCTTCGACTGTGTCCATGCGTGTTTTGGATGTACCCAATGATGTTGAGCCACCTCCCTTTTTCTAATGTTGACGAGGGGGTGGTCTCAAGGATGAGATTGATGTCAACGGAGGCACGGGGGGCCGGCTGCTTGTTCTTCGGATAGGCATGTTCGAGGAGAAGACGTCCATTCAAAGTATCGTATCCTACCACGCTGACAATATAACGTCAGTAGCCCGACGTGTGGAGGGCAAGGAGATGCGTACCAGCCCAGAAATCTCACCTTGGTCGCGGCTGGTAGCGAAGGTAGTTCGCTCAGGAACACGAATCTGGAGGGAGCCGGGCCATTATTGGAGAACTCATTCATGAAGAACCCCGGAGATAACAGTGTCCTGGTACCTAGTATACGGGGTTCAGATTCAACGAGCAGCAGGTGATAGCTAATATTTGAGCATGTCCAGGCATCACAAGCATCTAAGGGTACCTAGGTAGATTGGAGCAGGTGAGCCATGTCGTGGAACGCGACTCTTTAAGCGCAGTGACGCGTGCCACGTGATATGCCCTGAACGTTGTATGGCAGCCTCGCAGGCAAACGCAGCAAACAAGGACGACACGCTGAGCGCTCCTGGAAGACTCACGTGCTTCTCGGGAGACCTGCCCCAGGCATCAGCGAGACTGATGGACCTTTGAACCGCAGTCGATGTCATTCTCTCTCGCAGCATCTCGTGGCTTGGACTCTTCCAGATCCCGTTGCCAGGCTCTCATCTCATTAAAACTGCCGCCATTGCTTCAACCAACACTCCAACCTTCCGCTATCTATCGCCACCACTTTAAATTGCCAACACACGAATCCATCACAACCAAGGCCTTCCCTGCCGCTCTCCGCCGCCCTTTCGAGGACAGACAACAACATACTGACCGTGCTCCGGTCATCCACGCGATACCAATCGAACTTTGTGGAAGTGCCGTCACAGCCACGTTTTCCGCCATCACCAGCACTACCATTACACTCCTTGTGACCATTTTGCTGCGCGAGGACTCTATAACACGACCTCTTCGAGTGTCAGGTTTCTAATATCCTCACCTACACGAGCACTTTCCCTTCCAAACAAACGAGATGTGGAGTTGGTTTGGCGGGGCATCCGCGCAGTCGAGGAAGGATGCGCCGAAGAAGGCGATCCTGAACCTGCGGCAGCAGCTGGACATGTTAAAAAAGCGCGAGGCCTATCTGGAGAGTCAGATGGCGGAGCAAGATGCGTTGGCGCGGAAGAACATTTCGACAAATAAGACAGGTAAGCCAACAGACATTCGCCCATCAAGTCCTCTCCACACGTATCCTCCTTTTTCTTGACACACTCGAGTATCATAATGCTTGCCTGCTTGCTCCTGGTCCATGGGGCGCTCCCTTGTTGGATATAGCGCTGACGTTATGTGTTCTGTGTTCTATAGCCGCCAAAGCCGCTCTCCGGCGCAAGAAGCTACACGAGCGAACTTTAGAACAGACCTCTGCGCAGATCACGCAGATAGAACAACAAATATACTCGATTGAAGCCGCCAATATCAACCAAGAAACGTTGAACGCAATGAAGAGCGCCGGAGCAGCCATGAAACAAATCCATGGCAACCTTACCATCGACAAGGTCGACCAGACCATGGACGAGCTGCGTGAGCAACACGCTCTCGGGGAAGAAATCGCCAACGCCATCACCAACGCACCCATTGGTGAGCCCATTGACGAGGCTGATCTTGAGGAAGAGCTGGAGGGACTGGAGCAAGAAGCCATGGACGAAAGGATGCTCAAGACCGGACCCACTCCTGTCACCGGCGAGGTCAACCGGCTGCCTGCCGTTTCTACAGGTCCGAGTAAGTCAAATGCCTCCATTTGTCTTCCCAGCATTATTTTGGCCCAATACTAACTTCCCCTTACAGTAGGCAACAAGCCCTCGACCGTCGAGGAGGACGAGGAAGAAGAGCTCCGCAAGCTGCAAGCCGAGATGGCCGTGTGAGGAATCAAGTTCGGTCAGGATTAGTGTTACGCAGGATGATGATCATGCCCTTCTGTGTTTTGTCCCCTTGTTTCTTGCCCGGAGTGCCTGCGTTCCACCAACTTGAGATTCCGCACATACCATTACAATCCAAATCTTGCTGCTCGGGATGTCGTACTCTTCAGCGATCGGACGTCTTCCGAGACCTTGACTTCAGGACTATCGCGCATATAGGAGGACATGCGTCTGCTTAGTAGACGGCGCGCTTTCGCAAGTTGAGGGAAGGCAAGTTCGCATCGTTGATTGATATACCAGTAATAGGATTCGGGTGTCTTATGGACCCGTCTGAAGGATTTTATCTATTACCGGGAATACCACTGGCTCTGCTTCGACCATACTTTGGTTTTTCCTATCTGGCTCTGGTCGCCCAAGAAGTCTGGGCAGACGAGAAGGGGTGTAAAGCAAATTCAATTGTGCTCATTGCCGAAATTCAGCACCTACAGAACCCGCAGAATGGTGACTTTTTGAAACCTTCCAGGATTTGCAATAACGGGATTGCAATTTCACGCTCCATGTCCGCCCAAGTTCATAAATCCCAAGGATGCTGATATGTAAGATACCGTTTTTCTTTTCGTTTTCGCATGATGACTTTGTTCGCTTGCGACACAGTGCGCTCGCGCGTTGCCACCGACGTCCTTAAGACGTAAATGTCATGCTCTTACCGGCCAGCTCCTTGCCCATCTTTCCTCTTCGCGCACCTGTGCTAGTATCCAACGCCTTCGCGAAGGGATTCATTCTCTTCTTGCCGGCCTTTCCATCAGCATCTGCCGGTGCTCCTTGTTGTGTTTGTGAAGTCAGAAGAGATTCGGCTCCTGCATAATCGAACGGTTGTGCCGCCTTGGCCGCATTTTCCTGGGCGAGCTTCTCGGCTTCCTTCTTCGCCTTCTTCTCCGCTTTCTTCTGCTTCTTGGCCTCACGTTTGGACTCGTACTCAGGGTTCTGTAAGGCCGGTGCCTCGCTTATGGAGCCGTTAGCCGTTGACGCGGCTGGCATCTTTGGCAGGTCCTCGGTAGCTTCTGACTCATCGGCTTTACGCTTCTTTGCGTTGGCTGTGTCTTTGAGCGTGAAGATCTCCCGTGCCTTGGAACGAGGTTGTGCCTGTGCTGGGGCAGCAGAGGCCGCGCTTGCAGAAGGCGTAGGCGCAGGAAGAGCTGGGGCGGCGTTCGTTGCGCTGCCTTGTTCTAGGACGACGTCTTCATCTTGACTCTCCATGACAGCAGGTAACAAGGGCAAGACAGACTGCAAAGCACCCGCCACTGCCCCTAATTCTGCAGGTAGCTGTGCATGTTGTGGCCTTATCTGGCCCCATAAAAGCGATGCCAAAGATCGTGCGGCGACTGGCGCTTCAACTTCACCGGCGCCATCATAGTTCAAAGAGGCTGACGAAGCACCGACATCGCCACTGGCAATCAGTTCCTTCAACGTTGCACCCAGCCCACGTATTGTGGTCGCAGGCTCCTTTTTCTCCCTGATTCGTCGTGGAGCAATTCCATAAACCTCTTCATTATGCTTCAAAACCTCCTGCACAGAAGGACCCGCACGCCCCTCGAATTTGCCTCTCTTTACAGCGTCGATAATCTCAGGCAAGTGGTCCAAGACCGGTTTGGGTAGATGGCCCCTGAAGACCGCGTTGAAGTTGAAGTTTGAAGTAGGCATAGTCTCGGCAATTTGCCACAGGACACGATTTGGCAGGACGTATTGAAGGCCTTCATCCAATTCTCGTGCTTTCCGATCCCGCCACTCGTGGACGGCACGGAATACACCGAATTGCTCATTGTCAAATCTGACTGTCCGTTGCAGAAGTAGTCCCAGCCAGCCGAGCGGGCCACGACCCGATTCCATGTCATACACTGAACGCTCGTAGGTTTGCAAAGCTTCTTTCTTGGACTGAGTCAGTACAAAATCCGTCAAATTATCGTTCGGCGTAGATCTTTCGATGAGCATGTTCCGCAGATTATCATATATGTTGAGCAAAAAATGAGTGTCTGAACGGGCATAATCAATCAGTTCTCTCGGCAGGGGGCGAACTCGCCAATCGGCAGTTTGATACTGCTTCTGAGCCTCGAAGTTGGCAAACTGATGCAGCAGATGCTTCAAACCCTTGCCCGGAAATTGGAGGGCGCAACACGCGTGATAGGTATCGAAGAGACCAACAACGTATAAGCCAAGGTCTCTTTGAAGCCAGATGATGTCCATGTTCGAGCCGTGAAACACTTTCAGAATCTTTGTGTCCGCAAAGACTTCATTCAGAATCTGGAGATTCTCCCTCCACGGTTTCAAAGTGTCGATGATCCAATCTTTGTCCCGAGTACTGATTTGCATGAGGCACACCATACCTACGTATGAGCGCTGGTCGTTGTGTTCAAGGTCAATCGCAATCTCTGAAGCCCCTTTCAGCTCTTCCAGCATGTCTCTTACACCTTCCTCAGTATCAATAAAAATGGGCTCGCTTTGCTCTGGTGGAGCGAATGGTATAGGAGGACTAGTCTGGTATACAGAAGGAGGATAGGCATATTGCTCGATCTCATGAAGGTACGGGTGTTTGTACCTGACTAGTGTTTAGTGACCCATTGAAATACTAGGGAAAGACTGCACTTACCCAGTGTCCTCGTCCCCAATGCTCTCCTCTAGGGGAACAGTGGCATGTGGTTTTTGTTTGAGTAAAGGTTTCCAGGGCTTCGTCTCAGCATTATCGACTTGTCTCTCGAAGAATTGCTGGGGTTTCTCGGTAACCTCAGAGGACCATGATTGAGGGCCCTTTCCGGTCTTGAGACGCTTGACGGGAGGTTCTGGATCTTGACCAGGACTCTGGCGCTTGATTACACCAGAATACTCATCGAGAGCAGAATCCGCCTTTTCAAGAAGGTCATCAACGACATCCACTATCCTGCGCCAGTTGTCGTCGATGTCATCTTGGTCCTTGAGCCCCGGGGCTTTAAGATTGGTGTCTTTGGCAGCCGCTTTGAGTAAATTACTGGTCAAGCGAAGCAAATGGGCATTTTGGCGCTCGAGAGCCCGTGACAGCTTTTCACTCGATGAGCGGTGGAAACTCAGATCTTGATTTGAGACTTGAGTTGCGGTCCTTGTCACATTGACGACAGATGTCTGGACCGAATCGCGAAAGGTCGCAAAATCCGAAGTCAAATCCATCTTGACAAGTGGTTGTAGTGCACGCGCTCAGGTCTTTAACGACATTCGCGTGCCATGCACAGGGGGTCCAGGTGGCCGAAGAGCAAGAGGAACTTTCCTGAGTTACCAAAAAGTCGCAGTTGCAAAAGTCTCCAAAAGTCGAAATCCACTGCACATGAAGTGCCTTCAAACCCCACAAAAAGCCGCTAGCAGCTAGCGCGGTACTAAATAGCACACTGAGTTACTAGGAACGGTGGATCATGTGAGATTTACGCCCATTGTACGGTGGAGTGCTTCACTCTGAGCCAGGCGTGGACCGTATCCTACTAACATGTCTTTATTATGTGCAAAGCAAACAGACCTCTCTTTCATTATTGCAGTCTTGTCCAAGTCTCCCTGTAGAACCCAGCCGACGCCATACCTGTCATCCAAACTCTCCCCAGCACGAGGAAACAAACAAGTGTCGCAGGTCGGGACAGCACAATCATAACAGTGTCTCAACATCTTTGAGCGGCTGTTCCAGCCAGCAGCACAAGCAATTCTGCAAATACCTTAGTCACTTCCTGCTTCTCCTTTACCCATATAGTGCCCTCGGGTCTGCCCTCGTCGGCCCCATTCAATTCCAGATCGGCACCGGTGGTGGCTCTGACCAAGACCTCCCGATTGGGGAATGCTAACTCCACATGATCTGGCACAACCATCATCCGAACTCCCTGAAGAACTTGCTTCAGCTGCGCTGCAGCCTTGCCTCCTCCATGACCACCGTAACTGACGACCATGGCTGGCTTGCCTGCCCACTCGTGGTAAAGATAGTCAATCGCATTTTTGATGCTGGCAGGATACCCCCAGTTATACTGCGGCGTGACAAAGACGAACCCTCCAAAGCTGCTGATCAGTTCGGACCAGGCTCGAGTGTGTGCATGCGTGTAGTCTGACGAAGAGCGAATCTGAGATGGAATGCCAGGTTCATCAAACATTGGGAGTGAATGGTTGAGCATGTCGACGAGCACTAGTTCATATGGTACCGGAAACGGGTGGCTGCTGTGGTACTGTTTAAGGGTGTCGAACACGAATGTCCCAATTTGAAGACCAACCCTGGGTGTGCGTTGGCTGCATACTACCACAGCAATCTGTTTTGACAAGTGGCCGTCTGCGACGATCGTCTTATCGGTGGAAGACATGCTGTGGCTCGTTAAATAATTGCTGTTGGCTTCTGAAAGACTCTCGAAAGGTGAGCAATTGGTTGCCCGCTGGGATGGCTAATTGTGACTTTATATCGAGTAGAGTTGGACGACACGTCTTGTATTTCGGTGTGATAGCTTCGACAAGTTGCCAGAGGGATTATTTTGGGGCTGGAGGATTCGATGAAGCTTTATAGGGAAGTGACAGGGTAGACTTTGGGTTTGAGTGCTTAACTTATACAACGTATGATAGCAGTTAAGGCGCAACACGTCACCTAGTGCACGACATTTTGCTCAATATCCAGACTCGAGCTGAGCACAAGCTACAGGCGCCCTTGTAGGTCGAGCCGGACGAGAAGGTTGGAGCTGCAAAGATGCGTTGTAGTATCTCATTCAACGGGGCACAGAGTGCAGGGCATGGCAAACTTGAGGCAGTAAACACAGGTTGATGTTGGGGAGTGTCCAATAGGGTCCATGGATTCGAAAGTGTCTGATATCATTAGAGTTTGCTCGCTTCGGCCTTATCGAAATGGGCCGACACTCGCTCCATAGAATATCCGAGCAGTGCAATGGTTCTTTCGAACGAAACAGTACGGGCAGTGATGCAAAGACACACCGGGCCGGACATAGCGCTCCGGCGGGTTCACGGACTTGTGCATCCTACCTTCCTGGTGCATGCTGCAACTAAGTTGAAAGCTGTGCCTAGAAGGAATAGACGCGGACCGTCATTTGGGCCATGTGCTCGGACAATAGTATGAAACTTGAAGTAAAGTATTACTTTCCATGCCCACCCATCTTGCGAGGTTGGTTTAAGCACGAGGTTGGAATAACTTGCGCATTCAAGCACTATTATGTGTTATTGCGTGGAAATGGACCAAGCAAATGGGTAGGAGCTCAGACCAGAGCAGAGCAAATGATGATTTGATGTGCTCGGAGTGGTGCTGATGGCGGCGGGAGCTGGAATTTGAATTAGCCTAGCGGCCTCGGCGAAATGATGATCCGGCGTCTACTCAAAATCCGGAGCCAGCATCAAGATCCAACATCATGCTTCTTCCTCGAGAGCGCCTCTTGTCCCACATCATCAAGCACGCTTCTCTGTGCTCAACACCGAGATGTCGGCATCGCTTGCGCCTGAGTGCAATGAGGTCAAGGAGTAGGTCCAAGCATTAAAGACGTGTGAGTTGGAGCTAACTCTCCACAGAAAGTATGACACATGCTTCTTGAAATGGTATTCTGAGAGTACGACACCCGCATTCTCTATCTTTTTGCAAGGAGATGAGCTCAACATGTGCCACAGAATACATCCGAGGCAATTCGTCGGTTGATGAATGCGAACCATTATTTAAACAATATAAGTCATGCTTAACGGTAAGACCGTCAACGCGCCACAGTTGTAGCTCCAGGGATTCGGGCTGACTTGGTAGCAGAAAGCGCTCCAAGAGCGAGGAGTTGACACGATGCTGAAGGAAGCTCGAGAAGGCACCGCTGAGACTGACGCTGAACATTTGCGACGGTGATCGTCGCAACATAAGGCGGGATTCTTACCCCCAACTCCAGGGTTCTTTGACAACTATTCCTTGGGTCAATGCTCGGTCTATACTGTCATTCTGCAGTACGCCTGGCGACACCGACTCCCTTCATCTCCGTACGACGAGATCACTCCTCAGCACCCATTTCTCGCCACTCTTAACCTCTCTGCCCTCATGAAGCAAACAATCGTCGCCATGCTTGTGCAGAAGAGCCATGCCAGTCTCGAGTCCAACCACAATAGGCTCAGGCGTCTGTTCATCTTTCCTGCCGGACTCAGGGTAGAAGGCGGTTTCACCCCCCTCACAGGTGGTCAAGTAGATCAGAAGCGTCCAAGTGGTCTTCGCCGGCGCTTTCTCATCGCCAAACTGTAATTTATTACTTTCATCATAGTGTTGATCGAAAAATTGACCAGGCCGGTATCTGTACACTCTTATGTTTGGGTTTAGACCTAGCACGTCGCCACCGAAAGCGTCCGAGTCTTCGAAGGATTCTACCAGGTGCCGCAGTCCACTTTGCTCCCAAAGCATCCTAGAAAATACAGCATCCTCGATCTGGAAACGATCATTGACTCTCGTCGCTTCTCCCCGTTTAGGCTTTCCTGGCGTCGTAGTGAGTGGCAGCGAGGACAGAAATGACACATAAGTTTTGCATAGCGCAGACGTGAACAGCTTTCGAATCACAAGGATCTGTCCCGCCAAAACTGTCTCGATATAGAGATGCTCTGCTGGGACCAGAGGAGCCAACGGAGGCCAATTAGGTGGCTGAGGTTTCGAGGGCTGATGACTTGCAGCGGTCACTTTGGCAGGTTTTGATTTCCCTCGAGGCGCCATAGAGACGATGACTCATTGTTGTAGAGGGTCGGAGTGCCCAAGATGCTGCGTCGCCTGTTCAGAGGCCGGGCATGTGCTGTGAGTCCCTGTCGAGTCCTTGAGGCCCTTCCCCGGGTCAAATCCGGGGGTCAGACTCAGACAAATTCTGAAATGGAGCCGAATCGAGCATGGTTCGGGGGCCATGATTGGCCGGCACCGGATTTCAGCGACGGCAGCCAATCACCGTCTCCAGATGCAGCCTGCGCCCGCCGCCTCGAGACTTTCAAGTCGATGGGCAAAGGACAAAAGTTCATCCTCCGAGTCCCTCGAGCCCTCGACAAGTCGACGTTCTGCGCCCTTACCTCGCTCCCGAATTCGCAGACCTCGCCATGTCGTCGCAGACAATTGCGACGTCAACAAGAGGTCTGCCGGATTTCTCCTCTGGACCGCTCGATCTGCCAGACTTTCCAGAACCAACATGGGCCGACTCCGATACCTCGAATCCTCGCGACGACGCGAAGCAACACGCGGACATGGAGCAACATGCTCCAGAACAATCGCCCACGACCGAGCGCAAACCGTATGTTGAGATGGATCACCAACAACGAAGCCAGGCCGTGGGGAATCTGCTGGCGGCGCTGGCACCCATAAGTCCGACCCAGACCGCAATTGCGACTGCGGACGCAAACGCGGAGTCCCTTCCAAACAACGACTCGGTCACGCTCAAACCGACCGTGACCGACGACAACTTGAACCCTGCTGCCGACTCTCATGCCACGACTGAGGCGACCAACGACCCCGTCGACTCAAACATTTCTAGTATCTCACTCCCGCCGCTTCCACCGCTCAGTAACGACGAGTTTCTGGACGGAAATCCACAGCCCTCCTTTTCTCCTACGTTAGCCGCGCAGTCCACGGAGCAGATCTCTCAAGTACAGCCAGATTCCGCAGTCTTACCCTTGACGTCTCGGATGGGGTCACTGTCACCGGCTGCGACGCCCGGCCCGATGCCCGAACGGAGAGAAATAGAGGCTTTCGCAAAGATTGAGTTCGAGGATGGCAACTACTATATCACCACCTACGCTTGTGAACTGGGTCGAGATGCTTTTGCCTACAGAGCAGCACTTGCCAGGGCTGAAGAGGCACGTCAAGCCCAGCAAGACCGAGCACAGAGTTCCAGTGGTAGACGGTCAGAGGGCATTCCAAGACCCAACGACAGCCAGGTACAAGGCAGTGTGGTCAGTGAGGCCGGTGGCTTTGGCGGCGTGGACGATGGTGTGGTCTTGCAGGATGGGGAACGTCGTGAATCTGATCCGATGCACTCTCAATCCTCTGAGAGGTCTGGTGGTAGTGTCGTCAAGCCTCAAGAGGTTCTCATCAATCCTCCTCTAATTCCCTTCGACTATCATAAGATGGCCGAGCGGCAGGCACAATTCGAACAACAGAACGACATAGCAGCAGACAATGAACAACCTGCTCCGGTCACTGCCGATCACATCCCTGATGCCCACAACTGTCCGCTCATCCCCATCCACGCCATGCGTAACTTCCAGAAATCAGAAGTTGAAAATCACAGAAGTATTTCTCGTCGACATGTCAAAATTCAGTGGGATTTCGACAAAGATTGCTTCATGATGAAGGTCTTGGGGCGAAATGGGGCTTTCTTGGATGACCAGTACTTGCCGCGTGGTGGGGTCAAGCGTCTTCGAGACGGCTCAAGGATTCAGATCTCAAACGTCTGGATGACTTTTCGTTTGCCAAATCAACAAGCGGAACACGCAAGCGAGGATTCTGATCACGATAATAGAGTGCGAGAGAGCCCGTCGGCGCAACCCTCCGCCACACCGACTCCCAACGAACAAGACAGAAGTGTTTCGCCTTCACGTACCGGCAAGACGAGGACCAAAATCATCCTGAACACAGCACAAAAGCCATCCCCTACACTGGCTGATCCTGTCATTGGGCCAGATGGACAGCCTCTACCACCGAGAAAACGGGGACCAGGCAGGCCGCCTAAAGACGGAATCATGTCTACACGAGAGCGGAGGGAACGAGAGAAGGCACAAAGATTAGCAGAGGCCAAAGCGGCCAATGGAGGCAAGACTCCGCCGCCAATGTTGAAGGGGAAATTTCCGAAGCCTATCATCAAGGAAGAGGTTGTCACCCCAGATAGCAAACCCGAGAAACGAAAGTACAAAAAGAGAAAACGGCCGGGAGAAGAGGGCGACATTATGCAGTCGATTGAAGGAGGCGAGGTGGACGTCCCTAGTGAGACGGAAAAGGTTCCTGTCAAGAAAGCACGGCAATCAAAGTCGCCCTCTCCCGAATACCCTCCCGCGGAGAGCTTGACCGAAGAGCAGCTTGCAAGACCATCCGAACCCTATGCCCGATTGATTTACGATATTTTGATCGACATCCACCCCAAAGCGCTGCCATTGAAGCAGATTTATCGAGCTCTCAAGCTCAAGTTCCCTTTCTTTGTCCATCGTGTAGATTCAGAGGGGTGGCAGAGCAGTGTCCGGCACAACTTGAACCAGGAATGGAACAAGCTTTTCGAAAAGGGAGAAAAAGAGGGCAAAGGATTCGCATGGAAGGCGATCCCCGGCGCGCTTCAACCCCAAGCAGAGAGAAGACGAGCGGCCCAGCAAGCTGCTGCGAACAAGCCGAAACCGCCTCCCACACCAAGACAACAGCCTCCTCCAGGCTCGCATGCCCCTTTGAACTGGCAGAATACTCCTTTTCCTCAACAGAATGGCATGCCTCCAAGAGGCCCGCCACCTTTCTTCGTCCAAGGTCCACATGGTCCGATGCCGCCGCCACCAAACGGTATGCCTTGGCCTCCTCCACCCCCTCCCGGCGGACTGCCTCCCTCAGGCACACCCAACGCAAATGGCCATGTTCCTCCCCATATGCAACCTGGGCAAAATCCTCCACCTTTCTATCCACCTTCACAGAACGGTCGCCCGCCGTTTCCCCCGCAGCCGCCCTCGCAAGGTGGTACCTCTCAACCCACTGCTGCCCAAGGTCAAGGACAGCCTCGTCCAAGCTCAGCTACTGCAACACCTGGACCGCCTCCACCAATCATGTCGAGCTCATCTGCCTCTAGAAACATGCCTTGCACTACAGACGGTCTGTTGGCCATTCGAAGGTTCGAAAATGCCATGTATGATCAAGTGCGAGACCCGGCCAAGATTGAGGAATGGCAAAAAGTATTTGCGTCTGTCAAAAGGCGGCTCCTCCATGGGGCGCCTCAGTCTTCGTTGCCTAATGGGGAGACAAAGGAGGAGCTTACTATAATGGAGCACGTTCGACGCTTTATCGAAAGGTTCAAGAATCCCAACTTTGTCGGCTTCTCTTCTGTTGAGCAACCACGAGGAACAGCTTCCCCCGCCCCTGCAGCAGCAAGTGTGGTGTCTAATCCAGCGGAGACACCCGCACAATCTCAGCCGCCGGCTGTGCCAGCTGCCTCAACTCCTGCTTCAGCCATTCCGACGCCAGTCCCTGCTGCCGCCGTACCAGCCACTCCAGAGCCTCCGAAGGCGGAGGCTCCTCACAAGACCGACGTTTCGGGGAGTACAAGTCAGGCTCAACCACCGACGGCAGTGGAGAGCAAGGTTGGCGTTGTTGACTCACAGCAGGTCCAGAATGCAGTCAATGAGCCGGCGAAGCCAGCAGCACCAGCAGTACCAGCAGAAAGCCATGAGCAACCGATCAAGAAGGAAGGCGTTGAAGGCACTGTCACCAAGCCTGAACCTGTCGAACCGCAGCAGTCCGCCACACTGAGAGACAAACCACCCGGGGACGGCGCCAGATCTACTCCCAATGCCAATGCGACTTAGATAGGACAGGCTCTCATACCTTGACACTTCATGAAGCACAGACAAGCCTGGCAAATTTGGCCGAGCAAGGCTCTTTCCTCTGCTCTGGCTTTTTTTCTTTTTCCTTCTCGCCGAACATGGGGAGAAAGCAAGTTTCAGGAATGAGAAATGCAATGCGGCAGCAGCTTTTACACACATACACACATATCGACATGAACATTCGTCATAGGGTCTTTAATTGTGACACGTACAGTACTAGGTAGCTAATTCAGGTAGAAGACATTGATGCCGAACATGACTTTTTGGGGAATGCCAATGAAGGGAAAGGGAGGAAAATGCGAATCATGAAACATTATATCACATGGCGGAGACTTGTAGTTCGGCACTACTTTGGATCATTTGTATGTTTATCAACTCTCTCTCTCTCTATATACATACATAATCCCCGAACAGTCGACGCCCAGGGACATTTCGCTTACTTATCCCTCAGGCTCGCAACTTTGCTCTCGCGCTAACGACTGTTTAGTCGAATCGCTGTCTCGTCTATTTTCTTCCGCTCCCTTCCTCTCTTTCGTGCTCCTCCTCTAGTCCCTTATGCTCCTTTACTTCTATCTATATAGTATATAGTAGTTTAGTATTCCTTAAGGCGTCCTAGGTTGCGCCCGACTGTATCAAGGTTGGCAAACCCACTATATGGGATGTTACCAAAACCTCAAATCGTAAAGGGAATGCTGGCCGACCATACTATAAATGTTGGAATTGTTTCGCCGGCACTCGCGGCAATGACCCTGGAAATCCGGCTTGTTTCTGTGGTGCATCTAGCAAGGCACGGGTCTCTGGTGCAGAGAAGCAGACTGCCCGAGGAATACGTTACGTTTGCCAAATGGGCCAATGTGATTATCATGGGCTTTGTTTGGACGACCAGGATCAGCAAACCTCCCTGCCCGAAACGCCCGTAAGCCCTGTCGCTAGACTAGGAATTATTTGCCATGTACAACGTAGATAAATAAGAGAATGAGTAGCGTGCATTGAACCTAGAGATCCTTTGACTCTCTCTCACTCAATAGCGTCTTATGATGTTACGATTTGCCTTCACCAGATAAGCAGGTGTGTTTGGTAGAGCGACCATAGAAAGGCCGGGTATCGCTGTTAATTTTGCCCGCGGTATGAGAAGATCACGTCGAACCGAGGAGCGGGTGCAAGAGCCCGTCCTGGCAGGGTGGTCATAGCTACGAATTTGACCGTTGTCAATGCAAAAATATAGCACGACGCTATTGGCACCGGCATTCCGAACTCATCACGTTGGACTGTTCGAGTCGTGGGCATTCAGGACCAGGGTTGACCCCTTTTTTTCTTTTCTCCTCCTTCGGACCATCTCTTCTCTTGTCCATTGGCCTCCCAGCATGTTGGCCTAGGCTAGAGAATTGTAGCTTGTGGAAAGCTTTTTCATTCTTCGGTAAGCGAGCCGCTTCCACCTTGTTCCGTTGGCCGCATGGCGCCACGCAGACAGACTCTAGGAACTGGCACCGCTCACAAGTGTATCGTTTGCAAGCTAAGACCCTCGACAACGGCCTGTGGACGTCGAACCAAGCCGGGTTCCATCTGCGAGGGCCGCGTGTAAGGGCGTTCGGCTTTTGCTAATGGGCCAATAGCGGATCCGCTGCGGATCAGATAGATCAAATTTTTTATCTGATGCCCGCCGACAAGATGCCGTCGACGCCTGGTCTGCTGTTATCCCCACCTCACAAGCATTCCGCGAGTTATCAGCTTGTCCGATAGAAAGCTTGTCGCCCTTTATTCGGTCTTGGCCTCTCTGATCTGGACTCTTCAGACCTGCGACTATTGAAGATGCTACCTCACCATGCGACCTGGTTTGCATTGCTGCCCCCTCCACCCAAGGGAAAATCGCTTGAAGCGAGCAAGTCATGCCCCGCCGATCTCGGAGTTTTACGGTTGGTGTATGCTGTCCCTGTGTATATAATGGTGAAATGATGCGCCCCTGGCCCGGTTGAACTTTTTATCTTATCAATCTGGTTTATCAATCTGTGTTGCGACGTCCTCCCTACGTCCACCCACCATCCCAATCCTTGAACTTCGATATGAATACTCTCGCTGGTAAGCTGGAGGTTCCTGGCTACTTGGAAGCCCTGGGCAGTAAGCCTTCCGAGCCACAGTCAGACGTGCTGGCCGGCCATGGAGCCACCTCTGGCCATTCCCTCGAAAAGGATGTCCGCAAAAACACCAACTCGTCGCTCGCTGATACATCCGACGATGAGTCCGTCGAGAAGATCGACACCAATGCCGAACATGGTGTACAGGCGGTGCAGGCCATGACCTATGCATGGTCGAAAACGGAAATCATTTTCCTGTATATCATGTGAGTCCAGATTGCACCTTAGTGCTTTGATCGGATCCTGTGTACTGATGCGGCTCAGCATCTGGCTCATTTCGTTTCTCCTCGCATTCTCAAACGGCATCGTCAACACTTTGACTCCCTACGTGACGAGCTCCTTTCAAGAGCACTCGCTTACCGCCCTCACGAGCGTCATCTCATCCCTGGTTGCCGGTATCTGGAAGCTCCCATATGCCAAAATCATGAACGTGTGGGGCAGACCACATGCATTTGCTATAAGCGTGGCCTTCATGACCATGGGCTTGATTATGATGGCCGGCTGCAAAAATGTCCAGACCTACTGTGCGGCTCAGGTCTTTTACTGGATGGGCTACAATGGTATCGACTTTAGCATTACGGTGTGCATTGCCGATACTTCCAAACTGAAAAATCGAGGCTTCATGATCGGCTATTCTTCTTCGCCATTCCTCATCACCACTTGGGTCTACGGATATGCGGCCGATAGCGTGATCAACGGCATGGGTTATCACTGGGGCTTCGGTATCTTCTGCATCATCGTCCCCATCGTCATGGCTCCCTTCGGAATCATGCACTGGATTGCGCAGGAAAAGGCGCGCAAGGCTGGCCTCATCCCTCCACGGGCCACAGCGAACATGACTCTGGCTCAGAAGACCCGCCACTACCTCAAGGAGTTCGATGTCATCGGTCTCCTCATCCTCGCCACCGGTCTGGCGCTCTTCCTCTTGGCCTTCAACATCTATTCCTACCAACCGGATACTTGGCGATCTCCCCTGATCATCTGCTTCCTCATCTTTGGCGGCTTGCTCGTCATCGCCTTCGGCGTCTGGGAAGCCAAACTCGCTCCCATCACCTTTGTCCCTTGGGAGCTGCTAAAGAATCGTACGGTCATCTTCACCTACACCATGGCGGCTTCCCTGTACACTGCTTGGTATATCTGGGACAACTACTTCTATTCGCTCCTCATCGTCCTCTTCAACCAAACCGTCGTTCATGCAACCTACATCAGCAACATTTACACCATGGGCAGCTGCTTCATTTGTCTGGTCTACGGAGTTTGCCTGCGCTACATGAGCGGCCGTCTGAAACTTTACTCTCTCTTCTGGGGTGTCCCACTGACCATCCTCGGTGTCGGTTTGATGATCAAGTTCCGCCAACCCGACGTCAACATCGGATATATCGTTATGTGTCAGATCTTCGTCGCCTTCGGTGGCGGTGTGTTGGTAACCTCTGAGCAGACGACGCTGATGGCCGTGTCCAAGCAGCGCGACTTCCCCGCCCTCTTGGCCTGCGAGAGCATGGTTATCGCCATTGGCTCCGCTGTCGGTTCGACCATCGCAGGAGCCATGTGGACCGGCATCTTCCCGAAGAAACTGCTCAAGTATCTCCCGGCCAGCGCGCAAGGAAATTTCGCCAACATCTACGGCGACATGACCGTCCAAGCCAGCTATCCTCTGGGCAGCCCGACCAGAGACGCCATCAACAGGAGCTACGCCGAGACTCAGCGATACATGCTCATCGCCGCCACCAGTCTCTACACCATCACCCTTGTGAGCGTCGGGCTCTGGCAAGATGTGGATGTCCGCACAATGAAGCAACGGACGGTTGGTCTGTTGTAAACCGAACAAGACTTCTCGTGTTGGTCGCGGATCGCAGCCGAGTCGTTGACCGCGACGTCGCACGCCTGCAGAAGAGTGAGGTTTGGGATTGGGATATTCCTATCTTCGTGCTACGCGCAGGATGCCGCGTGCCATGTATGTTTTGATAGAATCAGTGATTCAAATACCTTGCTAGAATGTATAGCTTAATAAAAGATCCCGAAACGTACCAAGATGACAGGTCTTCGCAACGAACTAAAGCGCCCGTGGCACCCGTGGGACCTTTATCCTTTCTGAATCTGGGCGAGCCACGCGCCCTCGGTAGTAAAGACAAATAGGGGTTGTTGCTCAACTTTACGACATATGGATTGTGTGTCCAAACTTATGGAGGAACTTGTTCGATCCCTCGTTGCAAAGGTTTCAAGCATGACAAATGTGTCGATTGGCAACATGTCCCGGAAGATGGCCCTTCCGAAGATGTGCAGCACCAAAAGCAAGGAACATGGGGGCTAAGCTGAGTGATTCCCGCGCTGTGCAACTATAGTCGAGCCCCGAAGGGGAGCTCTGAATCCGAACTGGCTTCAGTGAATGGGCATCAGGCACGGGCATCAGGCAGCGCTCCCTGTGGCTCGCCCAGTGCTCGGGCGCTCTCCGCCCGGGTCTGCCGTGGCTCACGCGCTCCCGTGCTCGACCAGGCGCCCTTCGATGCTCCGTCACGTGCGCGATTAGAGCGGCCTCGCTCCCTTTCCTGAACGAAAACGGTAATGGGCGAAGCACAGTTCGGGGCATATAATATGGATATATATACATGTCAGATGTGCTCGTGCTCGTATTGCATGAATGGTTACTAAGGGTACAACATGTGCATGTGCAGCGCAAACACCTCGTTTTCTCGACACCGCTCGAGGGTGTCGACAAGCAGGCGCGCAACGTTCATGCCAGCAAGGGCGCTCGTTTCCATGGTGGAAATGAAACTCTCCATGCTGGAAAGGTAGTATATCCCAGAATCTGGACAGGTCTTGCCGTAGCATTGCTCTGCGCAAGTGGTGGTCTGGTCGTCAACTATGACGGTGTCTCTATGAGCCGCCGCACTCTTGTTTGCCATGTTTTGAGCTGCGAATGGTTCCGGTTCACTCATATGTAGAGTGAAGTTGTCAAATGTGTGCCTAGGTATCTCGTACGGGTAACTGTGCCAGTGCTTCTCGTGTAGCCAGGTGATGTGTTCCTTGGGGAGAGCACCTACTGGGTCGTCGTTAAGGTCCTGGGATGAGGGAGAGTCGGAACGAGACTTGTATGGAATCCCTAGTAGGGACGAGACGAATGAGCCGGTCAAAGGAGCAGGGGAGAAAATCTTGTACAGATACTGCGGCTGTGATTCAGAAATGGGTGGTTCGGAGTCGACCTCGCTACTGCCATTTTTCAGTGCCGTCGCTGTCGGCCCAAAGAACACCCCGTCAGTGTCGGGATGCAGGACGCGCAAGGTGCTGATCGACCAGAATCCAGAGGGACCAACGGCGTCAACGCCCCTGCGAGATCCGAGGACGTCGTTCAAATCCTCAGGCAGAGTCGTCAGCACCGAAGCAGGTACATCGGCCTGTGATTCAAGACCAAAGAAAGAGGGGGATAGTCGATGCGGAGACGTCAGCAGCGTCACGTACAGCGAGACATAGTCGACCTTGGCGGGCGGATCAACGAGCGGCGGTGTGAATGAGATGTCTGCGAATTGATATGGCGCCGCGAGGATCACGCTGTCATATTCCTCCGCGTTGAACTGAGCGTCGATGTCCGGGTTGTCGGTTCGGACACGGTACGTCTCTGTATGCGGATTTAGTACTATATCCGTGACGGTCGTGTTCAACAGCACACGGGAGGCGGAGCGTTTGACCATCTCGTGGAAAATCTGCCAGTTCCCGCCCTCGATGGCCATGGCTCCTTCAATGGCCATGCAAACCAGCGTCTCTAGACCGTGGATGCCTCCGAGGTTCGAGGCGTAGTTGACCCTCGTGCTGGCTTGCACTATTTCTCTGCTGAACAAGTCGCTAACCCCGGCATGGCGGAGCACTTCTCTGCCCGAGACTACTGTATAGTCATCCAGCCCGGTTTGGTCGACCGCCTCCTGCAACGACTGGAACGGAAAGAGAGGCTGGTCGTAGAATTTGAGAAACGTGCCCAGAGCAGCATTGGTTGCTCGTCGTGTCCGAATGGGACTCAATCCGTATTTCCAAAGTAGCTTTGCGACGTCCCACCATCCGCGCCATGAACTGGAACTGCCTTTGTTGTTGTCGCCACCATCATCACCTTCGGCGGCGGTTCTGAATACAAATTGCCTTCCGTCCCATATGCCCAGCTCGTACTTTGACTCTGGTTCAGCATCGTAGACCTTAGTGCAAGGTGCAAGCCCAAAGTCCCGCGTCGCATTGTAGAGGATGTGGTTAATCTTGACGAAGATGCTGGCGCCCAGCTCGGTCGGGTAGCGAGGGTCGTCCAGGGCATCGACCGTCGTGGTTCGCCCGCCGATTCGCCGATTGGCTTCGAACACAGTGATGTCCAAGGCTACCTCAGAGTCCGACTGGCTGGAGAAACGGTCTAGATAGTACGAGGCCGCGGAACCACCAGGGCCGGCGCCGATAATGGCTGCACGGTGTGTTCTTGCCTGCGAGCCAGAGTCATCATGGAGACGAGCCTGGGACTGATCTGCGGCTGTGGTGACTACGTGGGCGAGGAATAGGAGAAGGAGAAGAATGGCCCGGCTGGGAACAGACCCTCCCAGCATGTTGAGATCGATTGCCTCAAGGGCAACAGTTGTTTCGACTACATTTCTTTATCAGGAAGTTATTTGTTGTGAGTGTCGAGAGAACTGACGGCTTGATCTGGCTGCGGTGCGGCAGAAGAAATGTTTGGTGTGTTTGCACAATAAATGGGGCTCAGCCTCGTCGGACGTGGTATCATCTCTGCGAGACTCGAGATGAGGTCTTCCGGGTTAACGATCACCATGACCGGACCCCATTTCTGTCTCCTAGTTCTGGTCCAGTGAAACGGCATATACTGTTTTGAATTCGGCTACTTTTTGTACTGCCATCTGGTGGCGCTCACAATTCTATGGACTACAACCTCAGCCCTGCTGGACCACTGACGATGCGAGATTGTCAGCTCCTGGAACCACCCGTGAAGTTGCTTACACTAGCCCTTCAGGATGAAACCAGCTTTTGCTCAAGTCATGCCGTAGCATTTCGATGACTGCGGTGCATATATACATGTATCACGCACGTCAAATCTCTACAACAGCCCTTTATCCTGCTTTTCCATACACAGCTTCGACAACCTCGCGAGATTAGATTCGTCGTTCCCATCCCTGAAACCCGGCATGAGTGCAAGCCATTGGTAGACAGGCCCTCTGAGTTCCTTTGGTAGCCTAGGCGGTTGCCTCATAGCCTGTTCAAAACCGGCGACCACTTTCTGAGCAACGTCGTCAATCATGTACTCGCCGCCGGTGGTCTTTTGACCTTCGCTAAATGCCTTCGCTAGACTTTCTTTGTACCCGACCATGGCGTTGACCGAGACACCAACCGTGCGTGGCCAATTCGAACTCATGAGATTCCACGGGTCACCAGCCTTCCCTTGGTCACCGGCACCGCGGAAGTCGGTCCGTAGAATGACGCTGGGGATGTCTGCCATTTTGGCGACCATGTATTCGACTACCGTGCCAGCGTCAAGTTCTGCGCCGTCGTAGGTGAACAGTGCCAGATCGGAGGATAACAGGGCACGCAAATCTTCGTCCCTGATCGCGTGAGGGCTCAGATCGCGTTGTTCCAGGTCCTGCGGTAGTATGGGAATGAATTTCCCCGAGGAGTGTTTATTGATGGCTTGAGAGAGAAGCACGTTTGTGTGCAGCTCGGCCATGGTGAAGAGCGGACCGGCATGGTAGTAGGTATATGTTTGAGGTGGGTGAGATATCTCTCTTTGACTGGGGTCCTGCGAGGTATGTGTTTCAAGCACAGAGGGGGGCTTGCTGTTGGTACTGTCCTGGGTGTCCATCGCTCACTGCCCGGCCAGCCTAATAAGGGTCCGTACCTGAAGGCTGAGTCTTCTGTGCCGCGCCGTGCAGGTGTAGCTAGCGTAGTGATCTAAGCGCTTTGTTCTGTCCCAAGCTTGGGAATGTCGTTGCAGGTCTTGTATTTCTATGATACTAGCATTTGAGATTGGGCCAGTTTCGTTGTAGGAAATCAATGCGCCACAGCCTTGCGAGCGGTGAGTGGTTAATCCGCAATAATTAAACATCTCCACCTCCGGATCTTCTTCCAACTCCTACTGTCCACATCAGGTACCCTATGTTCAGCCCCTCGGCATCATCTTTCAATATAGTGCTTGCCACCGCTCCAATTCTATCACGCCTGACAGATCTGGACTCCCTTGGCTGAAGATGCCGTTTCTTCTTATTTAGCAAGTATCTGAAGCATTGACTGTCCTGTGCCTCGTTGGAAGAGTCTCGCTACGTATTACACCATGCCACCTCACCCTTATCGTCCCATCCCATCCCGCAGTGCCTCGCCAACTATCATAGACGCAGCCAACCTCTTTTTCCCCAGCTACAGGAGAAAAGAACCACCATCCGACCTGGCCACCGTGCCCGTCGCGTTCTTATCCTTGATCAAGAACAAATAACTCTCAACCACATCCTCGACAGCGCCAACTCTGCCAGTGGCCTGTTTCTTGGCATACTCGGCCAAAAGCTGCGCCTTGTTGTCGCGGGCCATGGTATCCCAGAGCTCAGTGTAGACGGCACCAGGACTGACAAGATTGACTCTGATGGGTTTCAACTCCAGCGCCAGTCCACGAACCAGCCCAAACAGACCACTTGCATACCCCGACATGACCGCCCAGCCCGGCCCCATGGGCTTTTCCGCCGTTGCCCCAGTGGTGAAGGTGATGGACGATGCTGGACCCGGGTTGAGCAAGGGGGCGCCGTGCTTCGCAACCATGATGGCTCCAAAGAACCGGACCATTCCGGTCTGCTTGGCCGTGTCAACGGTCACTTGGTCCAGTGGCAGTGGCACCAGGGCGTCGCCGGCCGTGAAGACGATGTGGTCGAGCTTGTGGTTGATCTGCCCAAATAGTTTCTGCACGTTGGATTCGAGCGTCGCTTCGCTCGACAGGTCGCATGCGAGTCCTGTGACAGTCACAGTGTTTGTGGGTGTTGTCGATGTGTTCGTTTTGGCCACAGCTTCGGCGACAGCATTGAGCCGGTCCACCGCCGATGCCACTTTCTCCTCGCGTGACGACGAGACATATAGCTTCGCCACGCCGTGTTCGATCATCGCTTCCGCTACCCCGTAGCCCAGGCCTGATGTGCCGCCGATGACGAGGACCGATGTCCCAGCCAGCTTGGACGTGTATTTGTTTGGACGGGTTGATGTGGATGTCATGACTGCTGTGGCTTTGGACGTGTCGTTGCTTTGTTGTTAGTCGTCGATTCAAAGTATGTGTGTACGTTCCTCTTCTGCACTATGACGGTGGGCTTTAACTTTTAGTTTGTCAACCAGGAATCTGTTACAGTGTGCCCCAGGCAGGACCGCCCCGATGATATATATATTTACCTAGGTACATACAATATCCATTCCGCCTGCCAATGGACGGCACTCATGCACACTCGTCCGATACCTGGTGTACAACTACTGCTACCATTATACGTACATGCTATACCTGAGGTCGAAACAATCAGTCCTCATTGGTCACGGACGAATAGAGCTCCATAAAGAAATGACTACAGTTTGTAATCACTCATCACATTGTAGTTCTGTAATGTGCGGAGATTAGACGGACGAAAAGTAGTGTCGGTAAACGGAACGGACGAAGTGTCGCCCTGCATCGCCTGATCCCTCCCGACTGGGACGATCCAAGTAATGATGGATCCATCAGGCTCAATTCAAATGATCCTGGACCGAGTGAGAAGCAGCTTGGTACCTTGCATACTACTTGTTGACCATCAGAGGGGTCGTGGTCGTCTGCCTGGCGGCCTTAAAAGACGGAGTTAATGACGAGCGAGAGCGTGACTTGCCCGGAATGGGATGCTTCCGAGTCCTTCCTTGGCACTGGACAGCACGTCCTGTATCAAGCATGTACCTACCTACTTATAGGCCGGATCGGCAAATACCATATCACCGAGTCTAGTTGTATATAGTAGGTCGGAGAGAAATCGTATGACGATTCGGAGCAGGAAAAGTAGACAACGGTCATCTGCGGGGTGTTCTTTTCCGCCGACTCGGAGGGGTCCGTGAAGTGGACACTGAATGTGATTGATTATCGATCAAGGAAGGAGATAGAAAGGGAAAAAGGGGCTATGCCGGACGGAACGAACGGCCGAAGTTAAAGCTGACCTAGCCGTTAATCGTGTTCTACATACATGTATCCAGAGTATTTCTAATGAAATTGGGAAAACAGATATCCAAAGACTGTTCAGTGGCTGGCGTGTCTTGCTCAAAGGCCACTCTGCCAATGCCAGCCGGCCAGTCTCATGGAACTCGGTGCTGTCGGTTCTGGGTATAAGAGCATTATATGTAATCTTTGCAGTAGCGGAGGGTACTTCTTTATACCTTCCTTGGATGCCTATTGCCCAGGCCGGGTACTGTGGTCTAAGTTGGTCAAGAGCGCGGACGCCGCACACCATGAGAGGGCGGTGAATGACCTAGGTCGCTAGCGCTCTCGTTCAAGCAGGCCAGCGAGCCAGGGAGCGAACAAGGACTGCCCGTTTTCTGGCGCGTAGTCGGATTCTCTCATGTCCGCTAAAGGCAAGCGTGACACTACAATCCATCGCAAGACATCTTCTCAATCCGTGCTGTTGTGTGTCACGGCATGAATGGCAGCCATGACATCCAGCGCGGCGAGCTGGCTGTGACTGGTAGGCAAGTCCATCGGCCCGGCCCACCAAGGACCGTACTGACCGTTGCCGTTGGTATCGCGCTGTTGAAGGCTCTGGTACTGCCAGATAATGAACTTGGCCAGCTGCTCCTGTAAGTCGGGGTATGTCTGGTCTCTCAGTAAGATCCTGTAGAGTTTGGCCAGACTACGCAGGAGGACAGCCTTGAACCCCACGGCATCGTCATTTTCAGATGCCGTCTTTGCATTCGGTCCGGTGCCTGGATAAGCGCCACGTTCTGTCAGTGTGCCATCCGGATCGACCCAGGTGGGCCGGGTCATGGCGGCGCGGGCCATGTTGCAGGCCATATCCAGGTACGTGCCGGCGCCTGGCGAATGTGCTGGTTGTGCCGGTGTGCGTTTCATGACATCGTAAATGGCCATGGCTGCGGCAATGGCTTGGCCCGTGTTGTAAGTAAATGACCAGTCGAAACACTTACCCGTCTCGAGATTAATGTTGTCCAAAACCAAAAACTCGTCCGAGACGTATCGGCACCGCAGAATCCAGAAAAGGCTGTATACTGCAAACTGCAGGAAGTCTTTTCGAGCTTTGACGTCCGCTTGCACAAGTGCCAGCCGTGCGCAGAGCTCGGAAAACAACCCCGTGGTGATGGCGTTGACCTGCGTTTCGTTGTTCATGTTGCTCCACATGACGCCGCCTTCCATGTCGGTGCCATTGATTATGTATTTCCCAGGGGGGATGACAAAGTCTCGGACATGGGTCCAGATATTCTGGGCCACGGAAAGGTGACTGGAGTCTTGGGTAAGATCATACATTTCTAGCAAGAAGATCCCCCACCACATGGAATCGTCGTTGAAATCGTCGATGCAGTCGGTCACGTTGGTCTCGACCTCGACGAGGAGTTCGTGCAGAATCCCCGCGTTGCCGGTGGTATTGGACCAGCTGTCATGGAGGGCAATGGCAGTATACCCGTTGGCGACTTGCCAGTAGCCCAGGCCGGCAATCTGTCCGTTGGCTTGTTTGGATGCAAGAAACACATCGATCGCAGCCTGCGTGGTGTTGATAAGGGGCGGCTCGCCGCCTAAAGAGAGAGACATGTTCATTTTTTTGCTGCTGCAATGTACTGTACGGTCCAAGGGAGATAAGAAACAATACGTACCTTGCCCAGCGCCCGAGGCAGAGAGGCTTTTTGATCTTTGCCGGGCCATGATTGATCAAACGCGCTCGCTTGGCCGTCACTCATGCCACCGGCGTCATGGCAAACATTTTATGCCCGTTTTGAGAACTGGTAGGTTGCTTCACCAAGACAGAGGCAGATGAGCAGGTCCAATGACCAGCACACATCTCTTGAAGTCAACAAGGGTGACTCCCGGAATGGGCCCAGCTTGACGCCAGTGAAGCCACTCTTTGATCATTTGAGCGCCAATGTCTGCCAGACTCAGTGACACTGCGTAGTCATAAGAGGATTGTAGCCCATGGGACAGTAGCCGCTCGGTCTGGCACCTGGTACAAGTTGACCTGCTGTGTAAAGATAGCGACACTGAGACAAGTAACAATGAAACATTTAAATTGTACCAGTTGTTGATATGCAGTGCCAGTGTTGGAAGAGGAGCGGATTAATTATATTCCGCTCCAACATTCTCTCCTTCCGATTCGCTCTGATATTAGTGATTAACTACTAGCCGTACTAGCCGTAGTCGGGCCGCCACGGCCACTAGCCCGAGTTGCCCACTATTAAGGTTTCAATATTTCGAGGTGTCATCCGAGTCCTGAAGTCGATACCTACAGTATGTCATGTCAGGAAGTTATCCGACTACCAGTCTACAAGTAAGTCACTGTCTCTGGAGCATAAGGCTCTGGACTACCTGGTAGGTATACTCAAATAATATTCTGACTCGAGCTGTTGATGGCGAAAGAAATGCAATCTATCATGTACTTAGAATGGTCTACTTGCTAGTCCGGCACAGTGTCTTGCCTGTGCTCTGCTGGAATATTCTGAGCTCCATCGATAACACCTTACCTCGACAGCATTATGGCGATTGACTCCCGAGACTCTTGAAAATGTTCAAATGCTGCAACGAGAGGTTCAGGTTCTGTTCAGAATCGGCGCTCAAAGCTAAGTTGCATCGCCATGTGCGCGAGCCACGGGTTGGGGCCACCGTCCGTAACCCTGAATCTTCCCTGCTCGCTCACTGGGTATTTGCGGGTGTGGTTTTCTTCCTGGGTACATTTGGATCCGTGGCCGGCGAGGCATCTGGATCAAACGGCTGTTGCTGCGGTTGCTGTGACGGTGGCTGCGGCGGGAGAGAAGGGGCCGAAGAAGGGGTCGAAGAGGGAGACGTGTTGGCCTTGGAGCCTGTGGGTGCCTCACTCGAGCCATCATCATGTTTGTGTGTCGTCTTGGATGAAGATGAAGCTGACGGTGACGGTGAGGACCGAGGGTCTGATGGCGAAAGTGCGTCCTTTCCTTGCCTCGAGTTTGTGTCGACAACATTAACGTCTGGTCTGGAATCTTGTCTCTGTCCTGCACTCTCCTTGCTCGCGTTCGATTTGCCGGACTGGGTTGTTTTGTCTTGTTGCGCCTCTTCGGTCCCGTCTTCATCAGCACCAGCACCAACATCCCTCCCTTGGCTCTCGCTTCTACCTCTTTCTTGATCGGCACTGTTGCTTTCATCGCCCTTCTCTGTGCGCTTATCATGAGCAACCCCTCTATCCTGGGACGGAAGTTCCTCGCCAGGTCCCGGATTGGATCCTTTCCCTTCATCGCCTTCGCTCTTATCCCCATTTTCGGGTTCAATTTCGTCTTCGTTCTTGACTCCAGCATCCTTCTTCGGCTCTTCCTTTGGTGGCGGTGGCGGCGGAGGAGGTTTCACCGCCGTAGCTGGACTCTCGTCCGGGTCCGGGGCTGGAGCTGGCACGCTGAGGCCCTGGCCAGCATCCACCACCGGTTGATCCCCACTGAGGGCCGGGGCCGCAACAACCGGTTGTTGCGGTAGGGGAAGAGGAGCCACAGGAAGGGGAGAAGCGGTTCCCGGAACGACACCGACACCAGGCTGTGCACCCACCGGCACGGCGGGTCTCGTCCGCAAGCCGGCACTACCGGGGTCGAGATGACCAGGCGCACCGGCCATATACATATCCGGATCGTTGGCGGTACTGGTCCTAACAGCGCGATCATACAGCCTGGTGAGGCGCGCGACCTCGCTTCGCACCGTGACCTGGTGGGCGTCCGTGTCGATGTCATCGTAGCCATGGACGTGGCGCGTGATGCCGAGCCACATGACCTCGGAGTTTTCGATTTCGTGCACGACGCGCTCGAGGTCGTCGCGGAACATGCGGGCGCGCATGGGCTGGCCCCGCGATTTCAGGTACGCCACCAGGCCCGCGATGATGGTGTTCATGGCCCCAAACACCGTGATCAGGATGTGTGACGACTCTGACGCCCCCAGCGCCGTCAACGCCGCTCCGAGAACCACTTGCGACAGCAGCAGCGTATTGGACAGCGACGCCGTGAAGTAGTACGTCAGCCGCTGTTTGCGGAGCTGCCGTGTTGCCCGGCCATAGAGCGATTTCTTGGGTGGTTTAAACGACGTGGACGACGAAGATGACGAGTACTGCGTTCCCCCTTTGCCGCCGCTCGGGTCTGGGGCTGATGACGGGACCCCGACTAACATGCAGAACTGCTTGTGCGGGTCTGAAAAGAAGTCATCATTGTCATTATGAGCCGGAGAGGCCGACGGGCCTGCGAGCAACGGTGTGCGCTCGTCGGACCTCGACCTCATGGGAGACTTTGGTTTCATGATGAAATTGCAGATTGCTGTTGATATCCGATCTGGTGCGTGATATGATAGATTGACCTTGAATCACACCGTTGCTGACGGCAGGGGTCAAAAAACCCAGCCACTCGACTTGGTCAAAGATATTGTACCTCCTCGTCACTCTTTTTCTTTTCTTGTGTTGATGATATCACGTCGCTCCTATCGATCGTTGGATCAAGAATCCCTCTCTTTGGCGCCTGCCTGCCGTAGAACGCGCGAGGAATCCCACACTAGAAACCCGACAAACTTGATCCCTTCTTCTGTTCCCGTAAATGATAGAAATATGCTGTACCTGAAGACAGAAGAGCTCCACAAATATATATCAGTCCGCCCAGCTCCACAACCTTGATGTGAGACGTGCAGTAGGGTACTAGTGCAGTACTTCGTCGAACCCAAAGTCTTACAGTAAGCCTTCACCAGAAGTGTCTCTGTCTTCGGACACACGCTCGCGCTCGTTGCTGCTCGCCGTATAGGTTGCACGCTTCACCAATCAAGCCAGCCTACCAGGTACCCTGCATAGACCAGGTAGGCATCAACCGCAATCATAGCGAACTTGTACGCGTACAGAATCCTGTTTTGCTAGCAGTACGTACTGCGACCTCCCACTGTAACAAGAATAAGAATAAGGGGAGGGAAAGCACACCTCCACCGTGGTCCTCTGAATGCAGTGCCTCGCGTTTCTGTGCTCCGGCCAGAGAAGAGCAGGCCACGCAACAACAACTTACACCCGTCTTGGGGAGAAGACACCGTTCTTATTAGGCGCGCGCTGCCGGTGGTACTACTGTAATTCTAAAGTCGTATCGAGTACCTCTACCTTAGGTAGCCTTAAGTTGTATTGGCAGTGGCTGTGGTCTAGATCCTGTCTAGTTGCACTACTACCGTATTAGTCGCGTGGTACTATACTAGATTCGATCGTAGATCGTTGATAGTTAGCGAGGACCGGACAGAGTTGAACTACTACTAGTACGGAAGAGAGAGCACGCCGGAAGGCAAAGGAGGGATTAATAGATATAAACAACTCGGTCAAAATGAGAAGAGCCTGTCTTGAGAGAAAAATAGAACCCGAAATGTACTCAACTATCCAAGCATCGAAGCATTGGCAATGCCCGTTACATGTCCATGCTGATACCAAATCCAATCCATTGCCCACCAAAATCGAGAGACATACATATCCATTACACCCCGAACCCCCTCGCTGTTCATCGGATCCATTACTGCATTGCCATTGTCCCCAAAGCCATTCGTAATCCCGGAAAAAGTGGCCATGCCATGCACAGCGAGCACTGCAAAGCAAAGCATGAAATATGAGACGTGTCGTGAAGATCATTCGTAAATTCTTGAAAAGCAGACAGAAAAAGGAAAAGGGAAAGCCCCGCGTGATATCAGTTGTCGACCTGTGCGTCTTGAGTTGGCTGCTTGAAACCGCTTCAAAGATTGTGGTAGTCTTAGAGAATCTGCGAGGCTGAGCCTGTGTGTGCCTGCAGACAGACGGCGACACAGACACACTCGGGTGACGGTGTGCTTTGACCTGGAAAGGGCCTCGCGACTCGCACTCGCACGCTTGCACACTGCACGCCCGCGGGCAGATTCATGCGAGCGAGAGTCGACTCGTCATCCTCGCGAATCAAATCTCCAACGAAGACCCATAACCCAAACCATCAAAGACAACACAGGGTCTCTTCTCTTCGGACAGAGGCTTCTCACCACCCAGCCGCCCCCGGATTATTCCAAACACCCATCGTTGCCGGCCAACCTCCATGGCTGGTCCTCAAATGAGGCAGGGTAGAAGTACCAGCCATGGTGGAGGCCGGCTGCTGCTGCTGATGGTGGTGGTGGTGATGTCTACTAGCAGCCGAGATAGAACCCGCGGCTTTGACACCGACACCACCACCCGCCAGAGTCGACACCCTCGCCGCACAGGCCGTATTGTTGGAGTGAACGTGGTAACAGCACTTATCCCACAAAGCCGGATCCTTCCAGGGCTCCGCGGTATACTGCCAGACCTTTTTCATAACGTAAAAAACCAAATCCGGCAGCTTGAACAACTCCTCCAAATCAATGCGGGCGGGATCGTTGCGTTTGAGTTCATGATACCATTTCGGGTTCTTCATCATGTGGAACACCAAGTGTTCGACATAGAACCGTTTCAATGGTGACTTGTGCGGTCCAGTCAGATGGGTCAGGGCAAGGGCGCCAAAGTTGGGGATCACCGCGGGCGCTGAGCTATTTCCGCCTATAATCCCTGCGGCGGACATGGCTTCGCGCGTGCGACTACCGAAACTGAGGCGGATCGTGTCCATGATGCTGTTCTGAAGCTCCTCCATCCCGAATTTATCTGCCATGCAGTACGCGGCCGAGAGGTCCGACACGTCGAATTGTGGTTCGGTTCGTGACGGGAGTTTGGTGCGGTAGATCCAGTCCACAATAATAGAAAATGCTTTGGGGTCGTCTTCAGGGAGGTACAGCTCGTTTTTGTAGCCTTCGTCGAACCGGCCTTTCTTTAGACACTTTTCCATAAACGGAGATCGCTGACAGATCAGTTCGCGGTGGAGGAAGAACTTTTTCCGCTTGGGTCCTACGAAGACCGTGACGATTTCGGAAGTCGAGAAGCTGGAACAGGACAGGTTAGAGAGAGGTTCGAGCAGGGGGAAGGTGATTGTTTAGGTCCGGACCAGCTATGCGTCGTGCATGGGCTGGAAGTATATCCAGATACAGCCATGTGCACCGAGCATACCGGACTTATCGGGACAGACGAAGAACACAAAGCAACCAAAAATGGCATCAGGCAGCATATCGGACTGCCAAACAAACAACACATGGACGCGGACAAAACAAAATCATGTAGAGCGGAACAGGATATGACAGGGTAGGGTAGAGTAAAAGGGGAAACAACTCACTTATCAACATCGTCCTCGTCATCGTCGTCCTCTTCTTCCTCTTCATTCTGCTCGTCTTCGTCCTCTTCCGCTCCTTGATCTTGATTCTTTTCTTGATCTTGGTTTCGATCCTCCACATCTTCCTCCTCTTCTCCTTTCTCTGTCCCGTTCCCATCTCTTTCATCACCACCCCCTCGTTTGTGCGCTAGCTCTTCATCTTCATCGTCTTCGTCTTCCTCATCTTGCGGAATCAGGCGGTCGTCCGCATATCTCCGACCGGATCCCCCTGTCACGACCACTCCTCGAGTAGTATTACTAGACGTGGCAGTTGTACCCCCCCGACCACGGACTGTAGTGACTTTCTGCTTTTTGCCTCCACTCCCGCCTGCTGTGGCCGCCGTAGAAGTAGTATTATCATTCCGCTCTTCGTCTTCGAGATCGATTAGATCGACGACGTTTCGGCGCGAATCGCCCCCGCTCGACGTTGACCTCGACATCGACATCGACATGGCCATTGGAAAGAGTGACTGGCTCGTGGCCATGAGGCAATTCGAAACGAAATCCGCCCCCCTTGGATCGACAAATAGATGAATGCTGGGTCGTGATCGATCGGTCGCAACTAACCTATGGACGATGCCGGAGGGGTGTCCGCAGGGACGAACGAATGAGTCGTCAAAGTGTCAATTCAGGCCGACAAAGTCAAGTGAAGTCGATTCAGATCAGTCGTCCTTCTTTTCGTTGTTGTTGTCGTCGTCGCCGCCGCCGCACCCTCGCCAAGCGAGCGGACAAGACAATGCGATGCGACCAGTGCTCGAGTAGAGAAACTTCTACCACAGATGTGAATCCGAGTCCAACGGCGAGAGATACGATCAAGACGACAGGCAGAAGTGTAATAACCTTAGGTAGGCAGGCAACAGAACGATAAGGTCTGCCTAGTATGAGTGTGTATGTGTGGTCTGTATATATGAACTGTCATGGATGGCCTGACGCTGAGGACGTCGTTGTTTTCCGGCGCGGCAATAGTGCGACTTAGACACGGATACAGACACTTTGCATGCGGTCCAAACTGATTTGGGCGGCTCCGTCGGTCGGCTTTCAGGCTCGGGGATATTGGCAGCAATTTAGTCCCGAACTGGAACGAGCTAGTGGAGATAAAAATGGACTAGTAGGTTAGTCAATTCAATATTTGCACGTGTCACGGATACCTTGTAGTATAATAAGTCCAAGTTCGAGTTCAGCCTTGTCGCGGACAGCATGAAAAAGGGGGCCTCTGCCCTTATGTCTCTGTGTGTGTGTAGCTCTCTGTACGAGATATCCCATCCGCGTCCTATAATCCTAGTGGTAGCAATAGTGATACAAAAGCTGGCCTCCTTAGCCTTGCCCGCCTCCCACTGCGCCCCAATGCTCATCTGCGGAGTGAACCAAGACACCCAATGCACTCACTGCCAGTGGCGGCTGAGCCGATCAAATAAAACAATCAACCTTTTCCTTTTCAATCCTCATCTCTCTGCCACCGCGTCACTTTCAAATTCCATCCGACAAAACGAATCTACCGCTTCCTTTGCCCGTTTCGTGGTCCCTGCGTTCCCGTAGCATGGGCTTCCACTTCGGTGGCACGAGCTTCGCCCGCCGGGAAAGGCTGTAAACTGCCGTCCTCTAGTAGGGCCTTGTTGTTATGGGCATCACCACCACCACCATCCTCCAGGTGGCCTTGCTTGATGACATCCATATGTTGCCCTTCAGTAGGATAGCCGGGCAACTGCTGCAGCTCGCCACCGGAAACAAAACCCTTCTTGACTCTCTCACGCTCCAACTCCCTTCTCAGCTCCTCGTTGACCGCGTCGCGTTCCTCCAATCTCTTGCGGGCACCGCTTCGATCAAGCAATCTAGCTTCTCTTTCGGCTTTCAGGCGTCGCTCCAGTTCTCGAAGGCGGTGGATCCATTTCTCGGATCCTTGTCCTTGTTCTTGTCCTTGACCTTGCTTCCCGCCGCCCACGCTCACCGCAGTAGTAATACTGGCAATATCGGATCCGGATCCAGTACTTCGGGGAGCCATAGGTGGTGCTTCTCGCGGCGGTGGGGCCGCTGGAGGCAAGGAAAAGTTTCCGTTTGCCGGCGCGTTGAACGGTCCCACTGGAACCATTAGCCCTCTATCGCGTTCTCGCTGCTGCCGGTCCCTATCCCGGTCGCGGTCGCGTTCACGCTCACCTTGCGTATAGGCCGCATATGCCGCGTGAGCGGCCGAATTCCGACTCGAAATTGAACTGGACCGCAACGACGCCATGTCGCCACTCATATTGCTGAACTGCTCCATCATCCCCGTCGAATGATGTCGTTGCAACTCCATGGGTCGACCGCTGTTTCGCCTCACGCTCGACGACCGAGTCGGTACCCCAACACCAACAACTCCACTGTTCACTGTGCCGTCCAGGCCCTGACCCTGGCCTTGAAATTCGTTTACCGTGGTGCTTGAATATCCAGACGCTCGACTCTCAGCCTTGTTCCGTCCATGGTGCATATTATGATGGGCCTGTTGCTGTTGAAGCAATTGGAGTTCCGCCTTCAGTAGCCTATTCTCGCCTTTCAGCTTGCTGATTTCCGGGGTCCTGCTTGGTTTGGAGGATCCGGATCCGTGCTTGTGACCATGGCCATGGTGATCAGGATGTCCGGAGCGCGCCTCCAGATCCGAGAGTTTCAGCTTCATCTGCTCCCAACTCTCTTCGATCCGTTCGAGCTTCCGGGTGCGGACCTCGAGGGTCTGTTCGAGCGCTTGGTATTCTTTGTACAATTCCCGCTCCACTCGCTTGATCTTGTCCTTGAAACTGGATAGAGTGCCTTCCACTTGTCTGGCTGCAAGCAGGAGATTTCTGCTGAACCCAGGCCAAAACAACATGTTGCCAATAACTTCTTGCGAAGGCAAGTTGCCGTTGATTAAACTGTTGTTGTGGGTCCAGTCCGGCCCACACATGGCTGACAGTCGTTTCCAGAGCGTGAGCAGCAATTGGTTGCGTTCGCTGAGCTGCTCCTTCAATTGACTTTCCATCTGGCTCATTCGTTTTCTATCACTCTGTCGTAAGCCCTCCAACTCGGCGATTCTTGCAGATGCCGAACTGAGTGCGCGGGTGGTGGAATTGTGGCCTTTATTGGTTCGTTCGAAGTCCAGTTTGTCTTGTCGCCGCCCGGCCTTTTCACGCTCAAGCGCCTCGGCCAGTTTCTTGCACTCATGGCTGGTAGACTCCAACAGCGCATCACGATCGGCGAGCAGGCTTTCACTTTCGTTTAGTCTCCTTCGAACAGACTCTAGATCCATGGTGGCTTGATCCAGTTCACGACGCATCTTGGTAACAGCGCTGATGAGGCTCGATCGCGAACCCTCAGGGTCACCAATGATGTTTCGTAGGCTCTCCTCCAGTTCAGCCAGACGGTCCTTGTAAGCGTTTGCTTCAATGTCGCGAGACGACAAAGCCTTCCGCACCTTCCGAAGCTCATCTTTGGCACCCGCAGCTTCACGATTGAGGTCGTTAATCACTCTCTGAACTTCCTGCTTCTCTTGACTCGCCACCGCCTCCCGTTGAGCTCTTTCTTCGTGGAGACGACGCTCCAGCTCGCGGCTCTTGTCTCTCTCTGATTCCAGGTTCAGATGGACCTTCTTAAGCAAGGACTCCAAGTCACCAATCTTGATCTTGTCGGAATCTTGCTCCTCGCGAAGGAACGCGATCTCATTGTGACTGCTCTCTTGCTGCACAGTCAGCCTTTGCACCTTGCTTTCGGCCTCAGCCAGCGACTTTTCGAGACTCTCGATCTCCCGATTGGACTCATCAAGCTCAGCCTTGACCGACTGATAGCGGGCCAAATTCTGCTGTGCGTCCTCTTCGAGACGAACAAGGCCTTCGGAAGCCGAGCGCATTTCCGATTGTAATGCCTTGACATTGTCAATCTGTGCCTGGAGCTCTTGCTGAAGCCTTGCACACTCCTCGACTTTAGCATCCAGCTCATCTCCCAGACCGTCAATCTCTTCTTGAGCCTCGTTCTTGAGTTGTTGAAAAGCCTGGTCCTGCTCCTCGGCTTCACGTAGGGCATTGTCACGCTCTTGAGTGAGTAGCTGCAGTTCCTCATTGAATTGATCCGCATCGGCCTGGGCTTGCGCATCCACTGCATCAAGCTCGGCTAGAGCTTCGTCGAACTGACTTTGCAGGTTCTGATTTTCGAGTTTCAACTGGGAGACTTCATCACGAAGCTCATTGATCCTATTCTCCAGTGTCTCTCGTTCCTCCTCATCTAGTCGAGACACCCGTGTCCCATTGCTGGCGCGGGAGTGGGATCTTGCGCGAGAAGCCGACCGGTCAAGAATGCTATCACCGGCAACGGATCGAAGTCCACCCATCCGACCTAGCTTCAAATCCTCAATTTCTTGGTATAAGCGTTCTTTCTCCTTGTTGCGAGACGTCAATGTAGACGCCTGCGCACCGATCATCTTTTGCAGTTCCGAGACCTCGTGCCTGAGTCTTTCGATTTCCGCAGCTTGGGCGGCGTTCGCAGCTGTCTCGACGCTGCTGGACCGCGAAACGACCGAGCCGGCCAAACGAGATTTTCGCGAGTTGGATTTGCCTGAAGCGAGCGACTCGCTTCGCAGCTTCGCAATTTCCTCACGAAGCCTCTTATTGTCCTCCTCAGACTGCTCCCGGGCGATTGTTTCGGCCTCGAGCATGTCCTTCCACATGTCGCGCTCTTCTCTCGAGCCCACGTCGGATGTGGCTGCTCGGGTGTCTCCCAGTGACTTGACCATCTCTGCCAGCCTTCGTTTCTCCGACTCCTTGGCAAAGTTCTCAGATCGCAACTTTTCTATCTCGACTTCGTTCATCTCGACCCTCTCGCGAAGGTAGATAACCTCTTCCTCTGCCGTTGGACTTCGATCCTCGTCAGTCTCATACCCGGGATCGCCGTGAGGGGATTCGCGAGCGCCACTTTCCTCTAGCTTCTTCTGTAACTCACGGACCTGCTTCCGTAGATTGTGATTATCGTTTTCCAGCCTCAGCCTATCCGATTTTAATTGTACATTCTCCGTGATCATTTCTTTGATACCATCTTCAGACCGTTTCTGCAGAGCCTGGTCCAAGAAATGTATCTTCATCTTCAAGTCAAAGTTCTCCTTGCCGAGCTTCTCAACGGTGCTTCTGTGCTCTTTCAAGGTCAACCCACGCTTCGGGCCCGGTGTCATGCCAAAGACAATACTGTTCTTATCAGGGGACATGCTCCGTTCTTGTCGGTACTGGCGGGCAAACGTGCCCGGAACCTCTAGATCCCGCACGTTATTAGCGATGACGGTATCAGTAGGCATATTGAAGTTAAATGTCGATGCTCGCGGCGTCGCCAGTCCTCCTCCACCTTTACTTGATCGGGGACACTCTTCTTGTACAGTTCCCAAGTCCGAGGTGGAAGGGTGTCGCTGCGGTTGCGACTCATCACTGATCCCCGATATCCCGGACATCATGCTCCCCAGGCTCGCTTGTCGGGAAATCGTTAGCCTCGACTTGCGTTGTGCGCCAGACTCGGGCAAAGCCCCGCCCGACTGTAGAGCAAAGTCTGCACCGAGAGTCACCTCACTGGCATCGGTATTCGAACTAGCCATGGAGTCATACGACAGTCGAGCCTGTGAAGACCGTTTATGCAAGTACTGTGGCCGCTTGGAGCTCGGGTCCGACTTGCTGTCTGCCCTTTCTTGCTGTCCGTCCACGGCACCAGGGACGTTCAGATACTGGTTCTCCTGCCGGGGCTGTGACCGGTCTCTTCGTGGCGTGGCGTCGGCATCAACCACGGCCTCGTTGCTAGAATGGGCCTGTCGTTTCTCTGATCCAGACACATCCGTCCCATGACCATCTTCTCCTAGATCAGGGTCCTCTTCTTCACCAGTATCAGCCCTTTCGGATCCAGAATCATAATCTTGCTCATTCGCAGTCTCATATCCGCCCATCGTCGCCAGGGACTGGACTCTGTTAAGGGTACGTGCGGCGGCCGCAGCAGTGGGCGAAGACGACATATTTTCCAGCGCAGACGTGTTGGGAATCTGAGGCGTGTTCCCGTCGGACTCATCAAAGTCAGCGAAGTCTTGCCGTTCAGGTGCCGGAGTCTTGTAACCGCCAGGCGGGGTACGTGGTGACTGCTGCACCTCGGTGGATCTGGAGCGCGCGTGATGGTGGTTCTCCGTTTCGTCACTATGGTAGGAGACCACAATGGGCTGTGGCTTCTTGCGCACGGCAAGGTTGTGATTGGGAATGCCGAAGAGGTGAGTGTCGTCGGCACCGGCGGTCGTTGAATCCTTGCCGGTGAACTGCGATCGCTCGGGGAGGAAACTGGATTCGACTTCAAGAAGTTTATTGTTCATGTCACTTTCGTCTAAGGTGACGGTTGCTGGACCATCCATGTTGGTGTTCTCCTCCAGCGTCATGTTTCCCGGCGCGTTCACATTGTTGTCCCTCTCTAGCGGTTGCGGCAAGTCATTCGTGCTGTTGTCTCTGTCTTCGCCTGGCACTGGCAACAACCCACTCGAATCGCCAGGATCCCGCGACCAAGACGACTCATTGTGGTGTTCATTCAGTTCATGATCGCTTGAAGCAGGCGACATATCATCCTCCTCCTCCTCCTCAGCATCAAACCCGCCCGGCACCCTTGACGACGACCGACGCTCTGACTGCGGCGGCCGAATACTAGCACTGCTGAGGATTGACGACGACATTGAAGGACGACTGCGGCGTGGTTCACCAGTGCAGCATCTGGAGAGTGAACCGATCGCTAATGGTGGCTAGCTAGCAGAATGTCGAAATGCGGCGTTGCAAGCCGATTGAACTCGAGCCGCTGAGCAGCGTGGGCGTCGCGGACATTGGGTGTTGGGTTTCCAGACACGGCAGCGGAATGATGACGATGCGAAGGGGAGGGAGCGCGTTGTTTTGTTGGTTGCACTGCAAAGAACGTCGGCACTCGAGTTATCGAGGCTGCAAACCACACCGATTAGAGAGAGCCCTCGGGACTGCGCAGAGACACAGACAATTGGAACGTGCGTGTCGACAATGGCCGGAGACGACGAGATAGTAGTGGTAGCCTCGTCTAGTTCATCCCTGAAACCTGGAGTCCGTCCCCTGAAGGCCTCGTTGAGGGCTGGGGCAGTGAAGTTGCAGTGCAGTGGCAGGGTTCCTGTTCCCGTCGCGCCAAGTGCCAGTCCCGATTCGTGCGCATCATCAACATCAACATCCAAGCGACCCAGCACCGCATAAATAGTGCTCGTCTGACACCGATGTTCTCCCCCATTTTACGTCCGACCACCGTCATGCCGCCGCAACATTGTTCTGTCAGACGCTTCCCTTCTCTGCCATCTCGACAAAGTTACGGCGCTACTGTGCCAGGTACAAAGCAATTCAAAGAACCTACGGTCGTACATAGCAATAGTACGCAGTGTGTGGTTTCAATCTTCCCCATGGTTACTAGTATGAAATATACAGACTAGCAGTTGCCCATCGCCGGCTCTCAGAAATCAACGCTAATATCAGGCTGTACAAAGCATGGCTTCAGTTGTCTGGTTTGGTATCTGCTCATTAAGTCGTAATTCGTTTCCTAATCTTCATAGAATGAGCATCATTCTAATTGCTGCGCTAGCTATCTGTCCGTCTTCTCGCGCAAAACAAATTCTTTAACTGCAAATAATCAGCCTGCTCAGGCTGGGATGGGCTGGCCGGTTACGACCCGGCTGTCCATCTCCACCCTTCGAGCCTCATCTTCTTCCTGCCTCATCTTGTAAATCCGGTCTTTCGTGGCCTGGGCATGCTGCAGTGCATCAATATATGTCCGGAACTTGACAATCTCCCGCAGAAGGTAGCTGCTTTTCTTTTCCCAATTGTTCATCGCCTTGGTCGAGTTGGGATGCTTCGAGGAGAACGCCAGTAACATAGGCCCCCTAAGCTCATTATGTCTTTGCAACTCGTCCTCCACGTTGCTGACATAGGTCTGAAGGGCCTTCAACTGATCGACCTCCATCAACTGAGAGGCAAACATGGATTGCTGCGGAGGTGTCCAGTCACTGATATGGACCCTGTCTCCAGGCAGCTTGGCCCGAGCACCACCACCAACATAATCCAGAGAGCTCCGCATCGACATCTGTGTGCTGGGGCGTGGATTCATCGTGCTGTTGTTCTCGTTCTGCGAATCGGAGGATATCAAACTGCGGTTCACAACGGCATCACTCCACCCATATTCCATGTTGCTGATGCCGCCCATCATCGGTTCCTTGGATAACCGAGCGCTCCAAAAGTTGGCGCTGGACACAAACTCCTTGACAATATCCGGAGTTCCAACAGAGAAGAGGTGCACAGCCCCGGTCGGAAGACTCAGAGCCCAAACGTACGGGCGTGCCTTGGAATAGCCAGGAGGAGGTAAAGAGCTTGCGATCGTATGTCGTAGCATGAATTTCCACACCTCTTCAGCATTATCTTGCCAGTTCCCGCCGCCCACAACAGCGCCTGCTTTTGGCTGACGAGCCTTGTTCCGGAGCGACTTTGCGGTCGAGGAGAAAGAAAACAATCGCATCCATCCTCTTTCAATAACAGCAAAACAATCGGTCCAGTTTCTGTCTTTGGATCGTTTGTCCACACCCTCTAGATGGCATTTGTGTTTGACGATTCCTTCTTTCGCCCATGGTGCACCACAGAGCTCGAGAGTGTCATCTTCGAGGAGTGACCCGGCCTTGGGTCCGTCATCGATGGGGAGTTCCAGCTGGTCGTCTCGAATAATTGCCTGACTTAGAGCATTGGCGAAGCCGATTGATGATTGATAATCTCCAGGGGCGGCTTCAGTATTGAACGAGTCTACTGACATCGAAGTCAGTGTCTTCCCTAGTGACGCCCGACTCCATGTGCTCGACATGGATGGGCTCCAGGTGGTCGACTGCTCGTCTATGCTCGTCCTACTAGAACCAAAGCCAGGTGCGGATGGCAAACGGGGCCTTGATCTGGCCTTCGTGGCCCAACGAGCGCCCAAGGATCGGCTTTCCCCAACTAGGCGACCACGATTGCTCTCAGAATGGGCCTTGCTGAGTACGCTTGGTGTCCGTCGTAGCATATTTGATCCGACCGATAGAAAGCTGCTAGACTGGTGCAACTGACCGGGCACATCAAGCTGAGCGCCATGCAAGGGCAAGGGATCCTGGGAGATGGAGGTATAGAATGTTCTTAGTACCGATTCGATGCGCATTTCCCAGTTCCTTCCTGGCGTGCCATCTGCTGAGGTGTCCACATTAGAGATTGTTGAAACGGAATTTTGTCGCTCGTCCTGGCTGGGGTTGGCTCCTGATCTTGTCGGCTGCCGCGGCGTTTCCGCAGTATCTTGCGTCGACAACACATTGGCACGGGGTCTAACGGCGTTTGCACGTAAAGTGCTGTCAGTGTCCTGCCCCTGAGCCACAAGTTTGACGGTAGGGAGAGCGTTGCGGACGAATTGATTCTTGGTCATTTTCTGGCCAATGTCGGCCAGGTGAAGATCGGTGTTGAGCAGCAGAAGAGAATAGCAGATAGTGTGGACAACATCTACCCACGTCAGCAAGGGCCCGTCGTATGCAAGAGATTAACACTTACCGCTGGACTTGTACATGTGATTGGGGTTGCACTCGCACCACCGCTGGGCAAACGCGTCCACCATTCGGTCCATCTGCTGTGTCTCGCCTTTGAGGGCAACTCGATCACATAGATCCCGGAATGCGTCTAGGATATCTTGGCCATTCCAGTCGAAAAGTCCCATGTACGCTTTTCGTATACGTTCCCGGTCAGCACCAGCCTCTCCTAGCCATGCTCCGGCATTTGAAGAATCAATTTCGTTATCCACATTGTCGAAGATGCTTTGCGCTTTGAGCTTGTCGGGATCTGGCAGCGTTGCCACCTGAGCAACCTCCAAAGGAGCAGCTTGGTCGTCTTCAGGAGTTTCGGTCACGAGAGGGGTTGTAGGCGCGGACCGATACTCGCTAACATCAGACAAAGAATGAATAGGAGAATCTTTGCGCCCGCCTCGGTCCATCTCCAGGCGTTTCAGCAATCTAGCACTGTGACTAGGACTTGCGAGAGGTCCTGTGTTCGTGAGGTTGCACAAAGGGTTTCCGACCAGAGGAGTAGTGGGAGAGACTTCCTCGGACTTCCACGATGGTTTTCGTGCCATTGACTTTTGAGGATCAGGAGTCGAGGTAGGCAATGCGTTAAACGATACGGTGTGTTCCAGTTTCAGGTCATGGAGATTGTGGTGGACTTCTTCATCCGGCTGCTCACCGTCCGAATACTGACCGTCGAAAGGAGAGATTTTTGACGGTTCCTCGGTGCTGCTGCTATCCGCCAGGAAAGAATCTTGATGCGGAATACGAAGAGTCGAGCCGGGCTTGCTGTTCGTCTTCAAGGTTCTATTGCTTCCATGCGATTCGTTTCGACTGTGGCCGGCAAGTCTAGGTCGATTGGGCGTGTCTTTGGGAAGGGCAAACGTGGGAGGTGGACGTGTTGCTGTGTATGACCCTTGCATTGAACTTGTTCTACTATGCCCGTGACCATGGCCTGAGGAGTGCATCTGGCTCTCCCCCAGGTAGGGGACCATGAAAGCTCTAAGGCTACTAACCGGACTGGTCCCGTCCACGGCAGCAGACTCTGATTTCAATTCTGAGTTGAGTGTGAGTGGCAGAGGTGGAGGAATATTGGTGCTGATAGACTTCTTCCTCCGACGGAAGAAGGTAGAAGTCTTCTTAGACACCGGGTGGTTTTCCTTGTTAGCAGATACATCATTAGAAGTCCTGCGAACCGGCTTATGCGCTCTCCCTAGGGGTGTGGTGGGGTGTCCCATCTCGTCCTGGACAGGGGTCGATCGGCCATATTGAGGTTTGTTGACGGCGTGAACATGATGATCCGTCGTAACGGGATTTCTAGAAGAGCCAAAGACGCGGCGGAAGAAACCAGGCCTTGGAGCGGCAACAGGCTCCGAAAAACCCAATTTCTGGTCGTGAGCCGTGTTGAGCAACGCAGGAACGCTCCTCATAGTAGGCAGTTGCGGAACAGGATCATCCAATGTGTTTGTCCCCAAGGCTCCGGTCCGGCCTCTCTTCGCATATGCGCTCTTCGAAGATTTGGTGCTGTTTTTCCGGACAAGAGGCGAGGCAGAGGTGTTTACCAAAGGGTCATGTACCGCCTCCGGCCCTTGGAATATGATGGGCATCGGTGCACCGTCACCGGCCGTTAAGCCTCTCGAGACGCGCATGTTGCGCTGGCCGGAGCCTAGATCAAAGCTCCTTGACCGTCTATCCCCTGGTCCGCCCAGTCGCCCAGACAGACTGGCAAGATGCCCCAGATCAATACTTGACGAGGCGCTGCTGGTAGGGCTTCTCCCGCCTTTCGAGGTGTTCTTCTTCCTCCTCTGGTGCCCAGGCTGAGCCGCCCGTTGGGAATCGTACACTCTGGCACGCACCGACTCTTCATCCTCTCCAAAGATGCTTGGAAGCCGTTGTGAAATCTTGGGGCCTCTCCAGCTGTTCCGCATAGGAATGCGCGGAACAGTGTCTGGAAAGCGTGGTACACCCTTCATGTCCTGCATATCGGCCTCGGAAGAAAGCGATGAGGAAAATGTATGGCCCCGTTGCCGTGCACTTGAGGCAGCATCGTAGCCTCGATTTCGCGGAGTATATGGGACATCGTCGAAGACGGTACTGGAGAATTGGTCCAACGACATTACCAGATTGTCCACCATAGAGGCTCGGAGGACATGGTTGGAGGAGAGGGAAAGGTCGTGAGGGTCTTCGTTATCGTCGTGTCCATCATCGTTATCCCTCAAATGCTCAATTGGAGACGAGTCCGCCAGAAAAGTGCCCGATGCCGCCATTGGCGTCCCTTGCGGAAGAGGCTGAGCGTTCAGGGTTGAAGGAGACGGAGCGGACGAGGAATAAGGTCGAAGAAAGTCCGCGTCAGGGAACGGGCTTATTGCGTCCACGTCCGCTCTGTTGGCTTTTCTGGGAGAGGGAAGAGGTAGTACCGGGGTCATAGTCTCGGATCGAAATCAGATCCTAGGACAATGTAGACTTCCGTCGTATGCGATGCAAAGCGGAAGAGCACCTGTGTGTGTCCTAGTCTGAGACAGCTAACATTAGTCTGCCGTCGCACGACTCGCGTTCGGTCGAAGCGTTTCCCGTTGCATGTCCAACTCCAAGTGAAGTAAGGGCGCACAGCAGGAACACACAGATGGACCAATCTGGAAGAAGTGACAGCAGCCACAGCAGGGATGGAGGAAGGCTGATCCTAGATTGTCACTTTGTAAGTTATGCTAGGGGGATTGTAAAAAGTACGGGGAAGATCCCACTGCAGGAGTTCGCAGCCAGCGCAGGACAGATTTGATGGAGTACAGAAGTCTGGACGTGCATGGCAGGCTAGCACCCGAGGGAGAACTAGCGGGTCGCGTCCGTGACAGGCGCGAGTTAAGCCTTGGAGCCCCATGCAAGGATTAGGGGTTCACGTTGTAACATGCAGCCACTACGCTGCCAGTCACGGTGCCACCAGTGCCACTAGTAGTGCTCAGAGAAGGCGTAGCCCAGGGGAGCCTCCCTTGCACACGGGCTCCGGTATGATAGATACAATACTGATCCGGGGCACTTATTCTGCCCACTACTTGACGGTGTACCAAGCTGAACAAATTCCCAGCCGCCCCAGTGATTGCTTCGGCATGAACTTGACAAGGAGATCAACTGCTCTCACACAGAGTTATAACGGGCAAGGCACCCATGTAGGTACCTACTTATCGCATGGAAGCCGCTTGCTGCCACCTAGTGCGTACTTCCATAGCGCTCTTGTTGCGGCCAGACTCTTGCACAAGCGCCTTACTGTTGACCACTCCTCAATGATGTCTACCGATCCTCAAGTATGGGATATGAGGTGGTCAAGATCGGATCAACGCTGGGCGGAAGGACCTGTATTAGGCTGTTCGATTCCTCCGCCGCTACCCAAAGCCATAACCCCAATCAACGTCAGACGGGGCCGAGGCCTTTATCCCACCCTGACTGCTGAGCCATACCAGTGACCTACTTGGATTCTGACCAAGTAACGCTGGTAGCCAGCATCAAGCGTTTGCAGCACTCACAACCGTTCTTGAGAGCTGGAATTATGATGTCGTGGACGAGACCATCTCAAGAGATGCGACGAATTCTTTTGTAGCCTTCCGCCCACACTCTTGGTTGCTATATCCGTCAGTGGCCTCAATCCCGAAAACGCAATACCGAGCAGCTTCGGCAATGTCATTTTGACTCGAGGCGGACCTTGGCCCACGAGCACAGTCCTTTGAGGATGTAGTAGCGCTAGGATAGTAGACATAGATGTTTTGTTGACTGGGCGCTGCCGAACTCAACCTTTGACACCCAAGAACATCCACCTCGTTCCCCAAGTCGTTAGGTTTATACCGAGGATTGTGCAGATTAGCCATATAACAACCCAAGCCGCCATAGGCGACAGTAGAAGCTGAGTATGGCTGAGAAAGTGCAGTGCGTTATAGCCCAGAAAGGTAATCAAGGTCCAATACAACCCCGCCGCCAGATAGAGCAGATTGGCGAAGAAAGTCGAAGCGCGGTTGGGATGGTTGAGAACAGGCATAAGGATGTATTGGATGATATAGAGCAAGACGTAAGGTGGGAAGAATGCTCGTATGGACACGTCGAAGCAGTATCCAAACTCGAGGGCATCTGCACCCCTGGATCCTCCCGGCGGGCCAAAGAGTCCCTGCTGGCGCCTCCGACCCGGCAGTCCTGCAATTCCTGGGCCTAGGAGCCGCCCGACGACGTAGTATGCCAATGTCGACACGATTAATGAGCCGAAGAGGAAATGGACAACGACGAACATCAAGGCCAGCTTGATGACAGAGGCGAAGGACGGCGTGTACGCTAACGACCAGGCAAAAGACGTGAGGAGGAGGAAGAAGGATAACAGGTAGGTGAATGAAGGATCAGGACGGTGCCAGGTATTTCTCGTCTCTGTTACTGCCATCAGCGTACGCAATCACAGGAGTGGTGAACAAATCTCACGCTTGTGGTAGTAAATTGACTTGAACACCTTCTTGGGTGCGATGAGTAGATGTGTCATCTCCCACACGGCCATTTCGAAGTCCATCTGAGGAAACTTGAACAGCCTGCCAAGTGTCAGCATCCACACATCAACATCTCCGTAGCCGTGTGCGTGGCCGGCTCACCTTTTGAAGAAGCGCGGCATGCGCATCTCTGAGCGCCGCCTGTCGGTCGTCGCACCGAAATGCCCGCCGCCATACTGACGAGGAGTGATAATGCGAGGACTGCTCATAGAGTGGACTTGTGCAGCAGTGTCTTCAGTGCCAGAATATTCACACTGAAACAATGTAGAGTGCTAGAAAGGCAACAAAACAATGAAAGAACAGGTATGTCAGTGAGGTGAAGTTGGTGATGTTTATTAGCCGTGTACCTAGCTCGGGCCAAAGACACTCCATTCTCCGACAAGCTGCGCCTAGGGCGTGTTCCACCGGCCCCGGCTCTCCTTCTACAGAATACCTACTTTTACAGCCTTGCCATTGGGCATCAGAACTACCATGCAGACACTCAATCACTACCTATGCAGTACGAGAGCAAGCTTCAATAGTAGCGGCGATGGCAGTTATACCTGCCCTGGCTATAGGGCTTTCTGATCTACTGGCAGAATGTCGAAAAATGCGGGAAGTTCCCCAAAAGCCACCATATAATTGCTAGATCATCATACGACAAAGTCGTGAGCCGACCGGCGGTATAGCTGGGCGCCCCCCCCCATAGAAGAGCACATGATCAATCATCGCTGAACCTTTGTAGAGATAAGGAGTTGGCGTCCTAGGGCTTTCATATCACCTCGCTCCTGTTCATATATGCGATAGTCAGCCCCAAGGCACGATTCCAGAAGTGCCTGAGGCCGCGGGGAACCCTGTTGAGTTTTGAAATCCGGGCTGGATTGATCCCACTCTTTTATGGCCTGATTCAAGTTGCTACGGACGCTGATGAGCGTGGCCTGCACGTCCTTGATCATGTAGGCAGAACGACCAACATCGTTGAACGGGTTTGCGGGATCTTGAAGGGTCATCAGATAAGCTGCTTTGCCCCGGTGAAGGGTCATCTTGCGCTGGCCGGCAAGCTCCTGCGGAAACAGCTCACTCAGAGACGGAGTTTGCCCAGAAGAGACGGTCGCTTTGTGCCTCCCGTGCCTCCCGGAGGTGCGTTTCGGGAAGAACTGCAAGGGACGAGTGGAAATGCCTTGGGAAGAAAAGTCCATCTCCGAGTACATGTCGAGGAAGAATAGGAGCTGCTTTCCAGCATCCGAGGGGTGAATTTGACCTTCGGAAAATTTCAGCGCAGCCACGATCATGTTGAGGAGGGGATAAGAGGTCAATCCCCCATGGCTGCCAACAGTAAGTCCCCGCATCAAGAGAAGCTGCTTCAAAACTTTGAACAGGCTCTTCAGAGTTGGATATTCTCTCAGAAATGCCTTGACATATTCGGTGCTGTCATATGTGGGCGGAGTGCACTGGATCTGAATAGACAGGCCAGAGAACTTGTGCCTACATAGCAAGATCGGTACTCTAGCCGTTCTAAGGTTGTAGATGACCTCAACAGGGCGAAAGCCCAGTTTGATCTTCTCATGTGTGCCACGAAACGCCTTTTCCAGCAAGGCCAGTATCTGGACGGGAGTCTTCGGTTTGCTCATAGTGGCAGGAGTCCGCGGTTTCCATACGTTGATATCCAGATCAGAGAGGGGATCCGCAATACCAGTGGCACGAGAGCCAATGACATCGACATCCAGATCGTGGTCGGTGTATTTGATGGCTTGAGTAAGATCTTGCAGGGCCGTCTCCACCACCAGCTGTTCCTCTTCTGACGGTGTAACATACTGTTCAAAGGCGCGAATCTCAGCAGACAACCGATCGATGGCCGATGTCCACCCAGTCGATTCAGGTAGGTTGACAAGCCAAGGAAGACGCAACCGCGCAGGCAAGGTTCGATCCTCATCGGCGGGCCGCCAAAAGCTGGTCAGCTCGCGGATTGTACCGACGTCTTCGTCTAATTCGGTTGTGCCGGTGATCGAATGATCCGAAGTAGTGGCCAGGACTTCCACCTTCTTCACTGTGCGCTTTCTCTTCTCTTCATTCACATACTGGGAAGAATGGTCAAAACTCCGTCTCAGTTGTGGTTGGGAATCCGCAGAGGTTTCTGCTTGGGCAAAGCGCGACCGCGGGCGCCGGCGGACTTTGGCAGCGCGGCCAGTTTGGCTGCCTTTTCGTACTGCTAAGGAAGCACGGTTGGCTTCTCGCACGGCTTGCAGTGTGTTCCGCAGGCTGTTGATGTCGATATCAGGGTCGGTGGTCCTTAGTGGGCGTTGCTGATCTCCCAGAGCAGCGCGCCCAGTCGAGAATGGGATTTTCTGCGTTACGCTCCATTGCCATGAACAGCGACGACTGGCAGCCGTCCTCTGCAACGTAGCGAGAGCAACCGTGACCGAGGCATTATGATGAGGTAGAACAACCCATGTTCGACTACAAAGTCGAATCAATGGCATGCATAGAGACGGACGCGACACGGGCGATGCGCGAGGAATCGATTGAAGAAAGACGAGGCCGATGACCGGTTCGAGTCAAGAATCTTAAAGGCTCCGGTGGCCACCAGTGCGCTAATGAACCGTCGAGGGGGTGTTGGTCACGCAGGTACAGCGAAGCAGATAGGGAAATCAAATGGCGAATGTTTTGAGTTGTTTCTGTTGTTTGTAGGTGAGAGCCCTATACTTTGTACAATGTAGAAAAGATTCGTGCAGGGAAGGCGAAGAAGTATCAATCACGTGCAGTGACAGTGTGTTTACCATTGTAAATTCACTTTCCTTGCCGCGATTACTAGGAGGTAGTACGACAACGCTGTAGATTTCTTTCAATCCAGAACTTGAATACCTTGTCCTACTTATCACACCACAACTTAAAAGTTGTCCTCACAGCAACAGTCGCGTCAACAGCTTCAACTAAAGTGTATGCGCGATGTTGTATAACATGTGTGCCTATGATCGCAAGTTAAGCACTCTCCTAACAAGCCAAAGTCAACCAATCCCGCGCGCAGCTAGCAGCCCATGCTACTATGTTCCTCCACTGCAGTGGGGCATTCTTTCTACTGTTCTTGAGCTGTCGCGGGACAATGTATACTTATATACCAGTGTGTTATGGCAGCGACACGCATTGTATACCTATCTACTGATATCGAACTGTGCTGTCATCCTGGTTGAAACTAATCGAGGTCAAGAAAGCGCTTGATCAATAACCTCCATCAGTTGAGGTAACCAAATCCAAAAGCGGATCTCGGTGCGCCTGTTGGGACTGTGCTGAGCTGCCAGTGTCCCCAGTCTCTTCTCAGCCGGGAAGCTGCTCCGAGCCATTATACGCATGGTACGAGGGCGCTATAATCAGCGATAATCAGCTATAACTGCAACTCGACCCAAAAAGGCATAACACAGAAGACGGTCAGGAAGATTCCATCATGTATCGATAATTGGACCTGGTGACGTCGTTCTGTCTCTCTCTGCCAGTTGCTGTATCACTGCAAGTCTCTGGCAGAGTGTGTTCTCCTTCGACTGCTACCTACCACCTATTATTGCACCCGACTCACCATTCCCCTGGACACTCACCTTCGCCAATTGTGTGACACTTCAAGTTTCTCACAAGGTGAGGTCTCAACCTGCTCTACTTCCTTTTCTCCCTCATCTCTGGCCTCCTCCGTCTCCTCTTCTACGCGCCTGTGGTTGGAGTGTTGATCGCTAGCAACTCCCCGCGGTGTTCCCTCTTCCTACAGAACCCCGCCGAGCATCCGCGCCGCCAACACAGACAGCACTCATTTATCTGACACAAGTTGATCAATCAGGCCTCTCCTTTGCTACCCCTCCACTCGCTTGCGTACCGGTTCACCGACCTCTCAATTTATACCTACGAACATCCATACCGCAAGAGCTTGGGATAGACGCAATCACCAGTATACTCGGAGCCCAAAGTTGACCATCCTTCAAGAACGCATAGCTGGGGAATCAGCCCAGACTGTCAGCGACATCATGCCTAATTCTCCAGAAGATGTGGTCAAGAGCCTGCGTCAAGAATACCAGGAAAACCCACCGAGTTCAACAGCGTTAGAGACCGCCGCCCCCACGAATCCTTCCTTACAGCGTGCACCCACTTCTTACTTCTCGGTCCCTCGACGTGAGGCTCCTGAAAAGCCCGCTGAAAAGCCTCCTGCTCCGGCGCTGGAATCTCCAGCGAATGTGGTCAAAGGTGCCGACACAGGCAAAGAACTGCTTCGCCGCCTTAGTCTTGTCGACCACAAAGATGCCGAGGCATTGGATGTCGATCCCCGTACTGCCTACCCGTCACTGAGACTGAGCGGAAATGTCATCAGCGCGACCTTCTGTATTCCTTACCAGCTCACCCATGGACCGCAAGGAGAATGGGGTCTCTCCAACCGCCGGGGCACCTCTGCATTGTTCGATTCCTTCCGTCACCTTTCGTCCGACAAGACGCCATGGAATCACACTCTGGTGGGATGGACGGGTGAAATCCAGACACAACCAGAGACTACCACAGGGAGCATTCTAGAGGGTGATGGCGGCGCCTCCACCCCAACTCAGTCCGCAGGCCCGACGCAAACGAATGCTCCTATTAACAAGTCTGCCGCGCCCTATCCAGTGGACGGTATGCCTAATCAGCAAAACCCGCATGGGGACCATCTCCGCATCTCCCGTGCTGAGCGGAATCGGTTGGAGAAGATACTTGCGCACCATCCTAACGGCAGAGCCGTCCCGGTCTGGATGCCGGATACACAGTCTGACGAGAACGGAGACTTCATTTTCAAAGACCAAAGTCGTTGGCGCAAGTACGCAGAACATGAACTCTACACTCTGTTTCACTATCGACAACATGGTCCGGACGACGGCCGAGCCGAGAAGACGTCCTGGGCGGACTATGTGCAGCTGAACCAAGCCTTTGCCGACCGCATCCTGCACATTTACCAGCCGGGCGATATAGTGTGGATCCACGATTACCACCTGATGTTGCTCCCATCTATGCTCCGTCAACGCATTCCCAACATCTACATCGGCTTCTTCCTGCACATTCCTTTCCCCAGCAGTGAGTACATGCGATGTCTCCCTAGAAGGAAGGACGTCTTGACGGGGGCGCTGGGTGCCACTATGATTGGATTCCAGGCATACAGTTTCTCACGCCACTTCAACTCATGCTGCAAACGCATTTTGGGATTTGAGTCCAGCTCCGCGGGCGTAGACGCTTATGGCGCCCATGTCGCCGTAGATGTTTTTCCCATTGGCATTGACGTAAGCGCCGTGCAAAAGGCGGCATTCATGGATCCGGTGATTGAGCAGAAGATGAAAGCATTGAGGCAATTATACGCAGGCAAGAAAATCATCGTCGGGCGCGATAGACTCGATACGGTCCGAGGAGTCGCTCAAAAACTGATGGCGTTTGAGATTTTCTTGGAGCGGTATCCTGAATGGCGCGAAAAGGTAGTGCTCATCCAAGTGACCAGTCCGACGAGCGTCATGGAAGAGAAGGTGGACGGTGCGCACAAGATCGAACATCACATTTCCAACCTAGTGTCCAGGATCAACGGCCAATATGGATCCTTGAGCCATGCGCCTGTGCAGCATTATCCGCAATATTTATCCTCTCAGGAGTATTTTGCTCTCCTGCGGGTCGCAGACGCCGCGCTCATCACCAGTGTCAGAGATGGCATGAACACCACCAGCCTGGAATATGTCATCTGTCAAAAAGATAACCATGGTCCTCTGATCTTGTCCGAATTTTCCGGCACCGCGGCCAGCTTAGGGAACGCGATTCATATCAACCCCTGGGATTTGGTAGGCGTGGCTCGGGCACTGAAGTATGCGCTCGAAATGCCAGAGGAAAAGAAGAAGAGCGACCACGAGAAGCTTTACAACTACGCGACTACACACACCGTTGCGACCTGGACAAACAACTTCCTCAAACGACTCCTCACCAACCTTACCTCCTTCAGCCAGAACGATCTTACGCCTGCTCTGGATCGTAACCTGATGATCCAGCAGTACAACAAAGCCCAGAAGCGCCTGTTCATGTTCGACTACGATGGCACCTTGACCCCGATCGTCAAGGATCCCAACGCCGCCATTCCGTCTGACAAGGTGCTCCGGACCCTCAAGGCGTTGGCCGCCGACCCTCGCAACAATGTCTGGATCATTAGTGGTCGAGATGCATCTTTCCTAGAAGAGTGGATGGGCCACATCACTGAATTGGGCTTGAGCGCTGAACACGGTTGCTTCATGCGCCGTCCAGGCTCCGAACAATGGGAAAACCTGGCTGCTTCCATGGACATGGGGTGGCAGAAAGAGGTCATGGATATTTTCAGTTACTACACCGAGAGAACCCAAGGTTCTTGGATCGAAAAGAAACGCGTGGCTCTCACTTGGCACTATCGCCAGGCCGATCCCGACTTTGGAGAATTCCAGGCCAAAGAATGTCGGAAGGCCCTGGAGGAGAACGTCATGAAAAACTGGGATGTGGAGGTGATGGCGGGGAAGGCGAATTTGGAAGTCCGGCCTCAGTTTGTCAACAAGGGATATATTGCCACACGACTGATCAACGAGTACGGATATGCTGGCGGGAACCCGCCTGACTTCGTACTCTGCCTGGGAGATGATCAGACCGACGAAGGTAAGCTACCCCAGACCCTGATCGTCTTTTGAGAGGCCTTGCTGACACTTGTCACTAGATATGTTCCGTGCACTCCTGAAGACCAACCTTCCCAAAGAAAACGTCTTCGCATGCACTGTCGGGGCGAGCAGCAAGCGGACGTTGGCCACCTGGCATCTCCTTGAGCCTAGCGATGTCATTGCTAGTATCGCGGCCTTGATCAAGCAGGAGAACTTGTAAGTGCCGGACTAGATTTTTGGACGAATACAGTGGCAGGAGGATGATGGTAGATATTGGGATGAACATATCATGGGCATACGACAGCTGTAACGTGGAATGCAGGCGGTAAGGCAATACCGCACGATAGATTGACGTACAGGACGAGCTAGCGGGCAACGCACTCTGTTATGATCGTCAACGACAGTCAGGTTTTCGACCTGGATGCCGCGAAAATGCTCGCCTGGATACAAGAAGTGCCGCCGATCTTGGGCGAACGTGGATGGGCCTGACCGCAGGCTGATCCTGGTTGAAATCGACCAACGAGTCCACTTTTTGTAATATAATGGTGAGCGGCGGCATATGACGCTAGAAAAAGTTCAATGCCAACTGCGGATAGACCTTTGCTTTTGTCGTACTTGTACAGTTGTATAGACTTTTAGACTGGATTGCCAATGGCGAAGAGAACATATGAAGGATTCGTTTCCGGAGATCAACAGCCTTGTTGATTGATAAGCTTGAAGCATCGAGTGCCGCATTTAGTACGTCGAAGCATACAAAAACGGCGGATCAGACGCGCAGTAATTGGCGCCATGGTGATTGGCTGCAGCGGTGTGACCTTTTGGCACTTGCTCACCCGTACCCGTACGTCATATACTAGGCGCGTTGGGCAGACAGAAATTCCTTTTCTGCAGCCAGTAGCAGTGAGTGAGAAGCGAGTGACATGGCTAAGTAGCCTTGTCTAAAGTTCTCGACCGCAACGTTTCATCCACTGTGACCGCTCTTTGTGCCCTTGCCAGTCACGACGCTCTTAATTGTTATTCCATTGTCACCAACGCCGATTCCACTACCAAGCCTCGCTGTCGGTAACGCGGGGGTATTTTGCCTGATCATTTCTTGTGTCTGCAGGGAAAAGCCATAGTCTCGAACAACGTCAAACAAACCCAACACAGTCACTCTAAGCGCACCAACCCACCGTGATCAATCATGGCTCCGAGAGGAAGGGGAGGCAAATTCTCCAAACCATCTCGAGGAGGTAAGCAGACCAAACAATGAATGACCCCAGCACAAGCCGGAGTGTCAAGATTTTATCCTACGGTGTTTGGCGCAAATCAGACATTGACATTCTTTTCTACCTAGGCGGCAAGCACTTTTCCCGCGACCTGCAACCTCTTGACAGCGATGGGAACCCGCTAGGCATGTGGCGCGACCCTGCGGAAGCGAAGGAGTCATCGGAGGAAGAAACCTCGTCTGAAGAAGAAGAGAGCTCGGAAGAAGAATCTTCAGATGACGGCCGCCCTGCAGCAGGTGGCTCGGCGGCGGCGGCGAGCAGCGAGATGACGCGCGAACAACGTCGTGAGGCTGCCCGACTGCGCAAACAGGCGGCGATTGCACGCAAGAACCAAAAGACCGCCGCACCGGGAGACATGCCGACGTCCGAGTCTGAGTCGGACGAAGAAGACGACAAAGACATGCCGGCCAACCCGAACCACACGTCAAAAGCCCGGACGCAGGCGCGAGCCGCCACGGGTCCCAGCGGCGAAACCACAAAGAAAGACACGGAGAACCTGAGCCGTCGTGAACGCGAGGCCCTGGCTGCTCAGCAGGCCAAGGAACGGTACCAGAAACTCCATGCCGAGGGCAAGACGGACGAGGCTCGCGCCGATCTCGCCCGCTTGAAACTGATCAAGGAACAGCGCGAGGCTGCTGCCGCGCGGAAACAGGCCGAAAAGGAAGAGAAAGAGGCCCGTGAGAAGGAGAGGAGAGAGCGTGAGGCCAAACAGCGAGAGGCCGCCCTGGGCACTGGCCCGGCGAAGAAGGGTGCCAAGGGCAAGAAATGATCATACATATCCCCGCCACCCATCCAGGATGCCGCATGCTTTTAAAAATTCGGGATCAGGGAAAATGGACAGACGTTGCCAGCAAGTCCTCCGGCCTATGTATACACTGTGTATGGCTGCTCTGGAGACGACCGCCCCTGGGCAGTGACGATTCAGGGGGATGCATGGCAATACGACCTTGGGGTAGGACATGGCGTGGCGTGGCATGGCAACCCCCATGGCCAGTGTATGCTGGCAACTGAGGCATCCTATCTCGCGGTTTCTGGACTTTATGCATGAGCCTGCATTGGTCTGGAGTGGAGAGTCTTGATTGACCAAGGTAGTCCACCTATTTTGATCCTATTACACTCAGCCCAGTTCTTACGAGTCATTTGGGCCTACCCACCAAACCCTCTGATCCTGATTGCTCGATATGCAATTGTTACACATGCGTTTTGACGTCGTTGCAGTACCCTTGCCGCCTTGTGTTGTTTTATTTATACTCCTCCCCTTACCCGAGTGTGTCAAGGGAAACTTGTCGAATAACCGCCTTTCTCATACGTCCTGTATCTACTCTTGTTGGCCGTGTGGTACTGACTTAAGATTACTGCACACAGAGTCAAAAGACACGATCCTTGAGCCCCAATCTAGCGCCCTCATTTCCTGCCGCTTGGGATATTATGTTTTGAGCTCAAAGAAAATACATGTTCGCTGCCATGAATCGTCCATCTATTGATCGTCTCGTCGCTCATTATGCATTGCCATTGCTGTCCACTCCATCCCATCCATCCATGCCAGTCTTGTTCAGTCATTCGTTCGTTGTATCCGATCATCCATTCATCCCATATCATTAGAAGTCGCAAGAGCTCCTGTCTTTAGAACGATGTCTACTCATTCCCTTGATTTTTGATCCTGCTCTCGTCCCCACACGCCAGCTTTTAGCCCCGGTTTTGGCGGCACTTCATATGCTGTTATTTTGGCCATGCGTGAGAAAGAACTGGCGAATATGCTCGTCGAGAGCTGGGTATCGGCGCCCGATTCGGCACCGCCACCTCACAGGGCCACCGGTAAGGGGATCGGCATTCAAGCAAGTCGAATATTCACCTTTGCAACGGAATGGCGACTCATCCATCACTCCAAAAAATCCTTGGAGCAATACAGACTCGCCTTAATCTTGAATTCGTTCCCATTGGCAATGTCGAGCCAGGTGTACGCGTCGCACTTGTAGTAGATTGTGATGAGGCCTGATGCTCGAACCGGACCATTACTGCCTCCTCTACCCCTGCCTCTTGCAGCAGCCGTGCCGAATCCATACTTTTCCGCCGCCGCCACCGTCCGAGCAGGAGGATTCAACAACCCCAAATCTTTCATGCCCAAAAGCACACGCTTGACGTCGACCCGGTCGCTGAAGTCATAGGTATACACGCAAATAAGGCGTTGGTTCTGCTGCGCTCCGTAGCGGTTGCTGCGAGAAACCTGTCCTTCTTGTTCTTCTTCTTCGCCCGCCGTCGCTACGGCGACTTTGGCACTCGTGCCCAATTTACCTTCCCAGACTCCTCGCGCCACAATGGCCCAGACGCGATCAATGTCGTCAGTAGGGACAAACATCATCCATTTACCCGATGTGACGCGATGGGACTTTGCGAGCTCAAGGATCGACGACTCTAAAGTGACTCGGTCTGGAGCGAGCATTCGTGTAATGCTGCCTGGAGGTTTCTCTGGGTGTTGGGATTCCAACGAGCTCTTGCGCGAGCGGTAGGCGTCGAGGAGTCGTGAACCGAGTTGCTTGAATGTCGGGATGTCGCCGGTGTCGCCGGTCTCACTGTCTCCGCGGGCCTTTGTACTTCCCGCACCGTTGGAGGTTTTGTGTTTGCGAGGGTACGGATTGGCGATCCAGATCCATGGCCCTTTGGCTGTCGAGAGCGTGGTCGTGGATGGAGGCAGTCGAGCTAAAAAGTCTTCGATTGATTCCGAGAGCTGCTTTGCCGCCCAGCGGCCTTCGTGGAAGTTTCGAGGAGGCGTGTTCCGGTGAGGATTGGGACCGTCTGGAATTTCGTCAGAGCTCATGATCTTCGTGTCGACCATATCGGCATCCTGGTCTCCATGTCCTGATGCTTGCGTCGTCCTCTTCATCTCCAGAGCGGCGGGCAAGGGATTTGGGTCGAGATTCATGTGGTCGGGAGAAGCCGAAGGTGTAGGCGAGGCTGTGGGCGCGGGTGACGGGCTAGCTCTAGCTTCTTCGTCCTCGATTTTCTTTGGCTTGGTTTGCGCCATTACATCTCTCTGAGCATCGCGATGCTTGGCTTCGGCAGCATCTTCGAGGCGAATACCTTTCTCTTCGGCGTCCTTCTTCGCCTTCAGCTCCGCTGCCGCTTTCCAGGCCTTCTTGCCTCGAACGGCGATGACCTGAGTGTTCCAGTCATGGATGGCCCAGTATCTCGCGGGGTTGAAGCTTGCAGCTAGCTTGCTGTAGTATGAAGCCGAGTCGGAGTCGCCTGGACTGGTCGTCAGAGTACCGCACCGCATACTTCGGCGGGAGATGCGCGGCTACGCCCCTAAGGCACTTGGGAGAGTCGGTGGGCCTGCCTCTTACCGTGGAAGTCAGATTCTTCACTGATTAGATCATCTGGAATAGGAACAAAGGGTTCAGTGATTTGGAGTGGCGCTCCGGCTGGAACTGCCGGGGACATGTTTATAGTTGCTGAAAGCGAGACAGTTGGTGCATGTGCTCAACTGAACTAAGCCGGAGGTCTCCTCTCTCAGACATGAAATATACTTGCCGAGACATTTGGGAACAAACAGGCAGCCAGAAAGGAGAGGAGCAGAATAAGTGACGCGACGCAACGCAAAGCAGACACAAAAAACATGCACAGTTGCCTACCGGTCTTGCTTGTTGCTTGCAGTGGCTATCGAACTTGTGATCAGGCTGAAATGCAAAGGCAGACGCTACCGACAAGGCTGTCATTATGTAAGCGAGCAAGCAAACAGCCACGCCGTGGTTACAACTTCTTCATTCCATGCAAGTAACACTTCGACGAGTGAACGGTCGTTCCATAATTCATTATGCCATACTGGTACACGTATTGTACATATGTAACCACATTTCCTGCATCCTGCTCTTTCTATCGCCTCGTACAAGCCTTCCTGCGGCAGAGTTCATAAGTCATTTCAAGGATATCTCTTAAAGCTCTGGTCAACCAGTTCTTTCTCGAACTAGGGTAGTTTACCAAAGGCATCCAGAGAGGAAGGCCTATGGATGGTGTAGAATCATCCACATCCCAGCCAACTCACCAGCCTATACGCTGAATGCGCTCTCAGCCGTGGTAGGTACAACTCAATTCTCCAATGATCAGAGTAGTGCCTGCACCGCATGCCCAGAAGTCGACAGTGTAAGTCTTCTCCTTTGGAACGAACAAGGTCAAAGTTGATTCCCGGTATCCACTTTCGGGTCGCGGTCCGAGATGTCGCATGTTGACCAGCGAGTGTGAGTCGTCGTTGGCCGTGAAGTTGAACCCTGCCACGCCCTCGAGAGAGTTGCGCGGATCAAAGTTGGGTGCTTGTGTGCGAGCGACACATTCGTAATATACATCAGTATACAGAGGGGCCCACGATCCTGTCAAATGTACGCAGGATGTTGACGCCTCCTCGGGCAGGTAGACCACTGAGTAAGGATCACAGTTCTCCGAGTTCGGATCCTGAGGGTCGTCAACTGTGGTGGCCTCTGCCACAGTAGCCGACGATTGTTCCAGCGACAGATCGACCAGCGGTGTGAAGACATGCCGATCCACTGCGGGAGGCAGAGGGGTGGGAATGCATCTTCCGGTAGCTGTAGGTGAGGGCGCCGCCAATGACGAGACAGTCGATTGTATCAAAGTTGTGGTAGTGGACAAGGTCGAACTTGATGATTTAGAAGTGGTGGCCGCCGTCATTTTGGAGAAACTGCTCGACGTTGTCGATGTTAGAATGCTTAATAAGACCTGCTGCCGCTGCGCGTCGTTCCCAAATCTCTGGTCTGATGCTGCTGATACATAGAGTGCCGGAGTGGTCCTCGAACTCTGATGGACTGAGGAGGACGTTGGTGTCCATGGGTAAACGAATTCTTTGAAGGTTGTTGTTTCGGCCGTACTAGTGACGGTAACTGTCTCCGTAACCGGTTGCATAAGCCGCCTGGCCGCCTCGAATATTGAGCAACCCATGCCCAATTCCTTCCGATAGGCATCGTAACAGTCATCGCCGTATAACCGCATAAACTGGGTTGACAAATGCGGCCCTTCTCGTAAATCCGCGCAGAAGCTATCAGCAAGCGCCGCATCGGCCAGCAGCCGAGTGTACAGTGAACGAATATCACTGTGTAAACAGTCAGCCTAGGATCTCTTCACAGCAGTACGGAACGAAACATACCATGCTGCTTGAGCTTCACACAAGCTCAACACAGAGCAAAAAGCGAGAAACAGCCCGCTTCTATACATGTTGTCGACAGTAAGGATTGCAAAAGGACAACCGGGATAAGAGACAGTGATTCCATGTGCAAAACGCAGACCATCTATAGACTTTATGAGGCCCTCGAGACTTACCGTTCCCAGCCTCGATGCTTTGCCGGGGCTACACGGGCCCATGCGCCTAGGGGAGGCTGAAAGTCAGAGTGGACGTAGGCCTCGATAGTGAGTGGACCGTTCTGGCCTTTGGCGCACGTATCCTCCCCATAATGGCCCTCACCTGTTGCACGTCCCCCTTTCCGTGCAACTGTCTGGGAAATTAGGAGTCGGCTTCTGACAGCGGCGCGTGGGAACGATACGCGTGCATCTTGTGCTTGGCAGCGCAGTACGTTCGCGACAGTAAGATGCTAAGAGACGTTGACAGAAAGTTGACAGGCCGAAACTCGTGTATCTCCTTTTCCTGTTGGCTGACAGAGATTGCACGTGATAAGGCTGAGGTTTGTGCCGCAAGCCACCAGCCACGAGAGTTTGCAGCAGTGTCAGTGCCTGAGGATGTCTACGAGTCCATTATTGGCGGCTTATGCCGCCATCAGACTGCGCGCAACTAGCAGACCATGCACAAAGTCTTGTCGTTCAGGGAAACGAGTCGTTTTGACACCGCAACACGAGGCCCCAACTGCAGCAGCGCGAAGATGCTCCCCCGTACGGAGTCTCAGCCTTGTGAAAAGTCGGCTCGGGCGAGGCTGACATACAGTAACTGGTCTGCAGCCTCGTCAACATTCCTTGCTCCCGGTGTCTTCCCTGGACGCTTATAGTGTTGATCCAGTTCTGTTCTGGCGCGCTCCCTTGAGAACCGGCTAACTACCTGCCCGCACATGGTTTATCTGTCCTCGAACAGACTTCACTAATTCACTCTTCGACTTCAGATCTTCATCACAGTAAGTCGCCATACCAAGGACCAAGTTTGGTGGGTATCACATCTAGCTTCATCTTCCTCAATCACCTCTCTCCCATTCATCGCCCAGCTTCATCGACGTCCTTGTATATCCATCATGACCATCCCCAAGCCTTCCCTCGACGATCTCATGCAGAGCATCAAAGCCAACATCAAAAGGTACCGTATAGAACAAGCGTCCATACCCCGACCGGCGGCGCTCAGCCGCGCAGAGATGATGGAAGAAGACACCGAAGTCGAGTTCACCGCGCGGACGACGGACCAGGAGGTCTGCGCGGTCGAGATCTCGCCCATGCACCCAGAGTACATGATCATCGGGACATACTCGCTTGTGAAGAAGGACGACCGGCGCGACTACGAAGCGCAAACGCGCAAAGGATCACTTCAGATCATGACGGTCTCAGAGACGTTCAAACCGCGGTACGCAGGCATGCTACCACCGCAGCTGCACAGAGTGGATTTCGCCTCGGCCGTCCTCGATCTTCACTTCCACCCGGCGGACGGCAGTCTGTTGGGCGTCGCCACGAGTAATGCGCAAATGCAGTTTTTCCGCTTCGTCAAACACGGCGACGTGCTAGGTCGACGAGTCATGACCAAGCTGGTTCCGTTGGGGACGGCAACCGTGGCGGATGCAGATGAGCATGCCCTGGTGCCTCTCGTCACGCAGTTCCTTTGGTTTCCCGAATTGCGTGTCCACGGCGTATCTGGCATCAGCGATGTGCAGCAAGTATCGTTTGCAGTGACGACCTCGTTGGGAGAGACCCGGATCGTGAAGGTGGCGCTCCCTGCCATCAAGGACCTGTTTGATGAGAGGCTTTCGCGACACGAACAACAGCCATTGCACGTTGAGGCGACGACCGTGCACAAACATGATCTGGAGGCGTGGACGGTCGCATCAATTGACTTGCCGTCGGTGTCTGCCAGCCCAGGAGAGATTTCGCAGCGTCTGATTCTCAGCGGCGGCGATGACAGCGCTTTGATAGCATCTGCTTGGAACACGGACACATGGGAATCTATCGTGTCTCCTCTTTGGAAAGATCGGCGCACCCATACCGCCGGCGTTGTATCCATCTTACCGCTTCCTCCCGTCAATACGTTCACTCCCCTCATCACAGGCAGCTACGACGAATTCATCCGCATCTACGAGCTCAACCCCTCCCAATTCCCCTTTCGCACCACATTCAAGACCCAACTCCGCCTCAACGGCGGCGTATGGCGCCTCAAAGTTCTCGACCAGTACAGCAGCAGCAGCAACCATCATCAACATCAGCATCATACGCTCATCGTCGCCTCCCTGATGCACGGCGGAGCCTCGATCCTTCGCTTGACATATACCTACGGTTCCGAATCCAGTCAATCCGGTACCTCGGGAACATGGACAATAAACCCCCTCACAACCTTCCGCTCCGGCCACGAAAGCATGGTCTACTGCTGCGATGCAATACGTGAGCATCCAGATGCCTCCGGCCCCATGGCTGGTGCCGGTGCCGGTGCCGATGCCGGTCCCGCTCCCACCAAGTCCGGACCGAATCACGCCGCCGAACATAAACACGTCACCACCGACAAAGAGGACCCGGCGACAGCGCCTCCCACATACACGATCGTCAGCACCAGTTTCTACGACAAGAAGATCTGTACGTGGACGTTTGTGGATCGATCCAAAGCCCAAATCCGAGATAGTTGAGGGAGTGGACTCGAACTCGCCTTTCCGTTGATGAGCGGGGTAGGCTGATATCTGTGATGATTATGATCGGGGCATTGCATTGGTTTCTTCGAGGGCGTTGCATGGCATTTCTGGAGTTCAAGTTTGGGAGGGAACAGGAGTCTCTAATGGTGGAATACTTCCGGCTTACCTTGAGTTGTTGCTTGGCTTGGGCTATCAGGCGTCAAGTTCACATTTGTACAAAGACGGTCGCCAACCAATGGCGAGTACTAGGTACCTTACAGTCAGTAGGCTGCATGCCAGTGCGTCAACTCCGAGTCGCTGGTCCAGCACATACTGTAACATCCATCAACAAGGCTAAGCGCAGACGAGAGTTCAAAGATAAAATCCAGGACTGAGGGGAAAACACAGGTGACCTGAGGACCAGAGACCATTTGTCTGCGATACGGGAGGTCTCGTACCTAACGCTTTTACGCTCGTCTTTTTGAGCCGTTCTGTATTCAAGCATCTAGCATTTTGGTCTGCGCTTCCCGCTTTCCACTGCACGGCTCGACAAGACTCCGGTACAAATCCAGCTCGGCAAGCAGGGGATGTAGAAAAAAGTTAAAAGCCGCCGTCCCCCAAGCCTCGCCAGGTCTCTCCTACACAATCATCTCCAACTCCCTGGCATATTCGATCGTATGACTAATGACCTCTTTCTCATCCCCATCTTCGGCCTTCTTGGCCTCCGCCAGACCTGGGAAGTATATCCGACCTTCCTCCAGACTCCAGCCCTGTTCTCGCGCGAAGTCCATCACGGCGCCCTCGGAGTCAAGAAACAAAAGATTTTTGGCTGAGGCAATAGGCAACGAAGGGTATGAGCGAGCGGCACAAGAGGCGATCTCGAGACGGATGGTGTTTATCAAAATCTAGAAAAGTCAGTCAATCGTGAAATCAAATTGGCCATAGAAAGAGAGAGTGTATCTTTGACTTACATCAGAGAACAAAGCAAACTCCTCCCCAGGCACATCCCGACCGCTCGTCTTGCGCCACACCTGGTCATAGCTGCCTTCCATCAGACTCCGCTCCAATTCGATCGGGTATCTGATGAACGGGTCTTCCTCGATTTTCGACGCGCCGCTGGCGGCCCCCTCCGCCACGATAAGTGATTCCAGCAGTGTATGAAATCCGGCGTAGTCTCCTTGACTCAGGAGCAGCAACAGATAGAGTCCTGTGATCTTGGATCGGTTCTGCGACGGTGTCTGTTGCAGAGAGGGGAAATCATAAAACGGTTGGAGCTGGGAATAGTATCGCACGAATGAGTCGGGATCTCTGGAGCGGATGGAAAGAAGAGCGCCAGCCTCAAGAATCGATCGCGCCGTAGCGAGTGTCGTGACAGGTGTTTGCTGGGATGGGATCAGGGCGTTGTGGTGAAGCAAGGCGAGCTTGGCCTTTTGCAGTTGTGGTCGACTTTGTGCTGGGTCATTTTGACCGAAGAATTGCAGAAGGGATTGGAGGACCGACTCGAGAGAGGGTGCGTTCGAGCCCATCACTGCGGAAGTGCCCCGTTGAGGCGGAGGGAGCGTGTTGATACTGTACACAGTAGTTGCAATGACCGGTAAGTCGATGTTCGGCCGACACGCTGCAGTGGCACACGAGGTCTGAGCAATTGCAAGAAGAAGACGGAATGTCCGAGTGAGACTTGAAGGAAGCTGGACAGGGGAGAAGTCAGCCGGTTGTTGATCGTTGGAAGTAGATGCTTCAATTAAGGTAGTTATTGCAGATGCGTGTCAGACCTCGTGGCGGTTGCGAGGCCGAACTTGAACGTTCGTATGCGCCATGTCGTTGTATGCCTGGCCGGCGGAGAGCACGCTTCGGGATTACTTTCTTGCCGCTTTAAACACCTCAGCCTTGCTAGTCGCTCAAAGCCCCCATGACCACCACCACGACAGAAGCAATTGGGCCAGCCAGCTCCCTCGTTATTGTTATCATAGTTCGCCTTCGCATTATTGCCAGAGAGACTAGTTCTTACCTCTATCAATGGAAGTTTGGGCGTCATAAACAAATAGATACAGAATAAGTAGGGGGGTATATGTGCTACTAATCGAAGATAGAGCCAGCAAGCATCTCTGCTGGTCAATGAGACCGAGTGTCCGTAGAGATCAGCACACTCTCGCGTCAAGGTCGTTGAAGAGACTGTCCCAGTCTGGCATATCCATATTCGGCCCATTCTCCACATATTCTTTCCAGATTTCGTCAAAATCGGAGAAGGTGTTTTGCGTGGTATCCTGAAACCATGCGTTGGCAGGCTGCTCAGAACTTTGCTTGACGAGCGGCAATGCATCTTTCAACCCTGAAGTATGGAATACCGGCATGGATTCTTGAGCTGCCACTCGCTGCGTTACCTCACCAGAGAGATTGTGTAGCCTGACTTTGTGCTTGCGCAAAGTGTCCATAAGCGAGTTTATGAGTTGGAAGGACGTCCCGGATGACGATCTGGATAGACACTCTTCCAAAGCGTTACAGGCCTCACGGACCTCGGCTTTCCTGGCGGCGTCATCGCCCTCATCCCGATTGAAACAAAGGTCCATCACCAGAACGATGGTTGCCATGAAGATGTGGTAAGCCACGATCCCGGGTTTGACACAGGCCCCAACAATGGTCCCCCCATCCTCGGAATCCAACAGGTTCTTCAAGGCAATGACAGATCGTGCGCACTGCAAAGAGACGTTCCGAGAATACGAGTAATTGCCTTGTGCCGAGCGACGAATGAGGAAAGGTTGATGTAATTTACACCTTCGGATGAGTCCAACCGTGGACAGCGTATATCGCTGTATCCTCATATGAGGGTATCGACGCAGGATTTCCGCACTTGCGAGCCGACTCTTCTCGTCCGTTCTCAGAAAGATAGGAAGATTTTCGAAAAAGGCCTCGAATCTACGGTCCAAGGCGATGATCTCCTGGTAGTCCACCTGTGTTACCAACGGGGTGGACAGAGGCATCACATCCACGATGCTTCGACAAATATCGGCGAGCTTGATTCGCTGCAGGTAATATGACATTGCTGTGGGCTCTGATAAAGGCATGTCGATGGGAGGACCGTCGTAGGCCAGGTGTTCGTCATCGACGTTCCGTGGTAGATTCACAATCATCTGTCGCGGATGTACCAGGTATGTACCCTCTTGAGGGCCTCCATTCAGCGAAATCAGCCTGTAGCGACATTAACAAGAATTGCTCAACCACTATAAAGAAGGGCACTACTCACCAATCAGTTGCAACTACGTGCCACCAGACGCGTCGCTTGATCTCCATTTCCAGAGCAACCGCACTGTCCCAAGCTTGCGGAGGTTGGCTGGTTGGTGCATCAAGTCTGTGCATGCCCATGTCTCGAGCAATACCGATCGCTCCCACAAACAGAAATCGGCACCTCCCGGTGAATCCTTCCATGTGGTACAGCAAGAAGCCCACGATAATGGAGGTCTGGATGTCTTCCAAACCCGGCGAACCCGTCCGACGCGAGAAATCCACCAGTTCGATGGCACAGTCCGCCCAGAACATGGCTGCTTGGTTAGGATCGACATTCTTGAAGATATATTGCAGCTCATCGACCTCACTGGCCAGGATGGCTGCGGAGCTTGAGAAGATGCTTAGCATTAGTGCAGCGTCGCTGTGGGCCACCGAGAGACCTTGTTCAAGATTTTGATACAATGAGTCCATTATTGCACGCGCACGTGGAATATATATGACGTGTTGTAGGTCGGAAACGTTCGAAGCATAAAAGTCCATGAAGACGATGGCCTCGTCCCGTGGCGGGAGAAAATAGTACCGTGATTCTTGCCGCGTCTGATTAGCTCGGCCTTGCGTAAAGCCATAGGTGCTGGCAATATGGTGCGTCGACGCTATGCGAAACACGGGTCCGGTGTAACTGGGAGGGCACCATGGCCCTTCCCTGGTGCCCAGATTTTCCAAAGTGTGCACGGCCTCTTCGTACTCTGATGCAGGAGTGGCACAAGTGACCGGTGATGTCGTCGGCCTGGATTGAGGGAGGCCTGAAGAGAGCTGTGGGATCTGGTTGACGCCGATCGAGTTGGTCGCCGATGGGCCCAAAACGATTTCCTCCAGCCGCTTCAACCGAGCCAGAATAGAATCATTCTGTCCTTCAACCTGAGCAGGAACTTTGTGGGGTGGCTGGCCATGACCATCGCATGGCAGACCTCTGGTCACACAGTTCGAACAAGGTTGCTGGCGGTCACATTTGAGCTTCTTGGAGCGGCAAAACTGACAAGAGACAGGCTCCTGGCGAGGTCGCTTCAGGTTGGGGTGAGATGTACGGGGTTTCTGCGAATTCAAAGACATCGTGGATGAGGGGCGCTGTATGGCGCCACGATGTGGAATCGGTCGCTCTGACTGCAGGGCCTGTCACAACAGGCCGCTCGGATGATGGGACGTATGTGTAGCGGGCTACCTTAGGTATCTTGATAGAACAGGCTTCAGCGAAAGAACATGGGGAGCGGAATTAATCCCCATCCGCTTTGACATATCACCAGAAGTACACGGAAGTAGCCATGTATGGATCGGCAACGATTCATTCATTTTTTTTCCATTCTATAACGTGACCTTTCCTGAAAGCAGAAGGGTTGCTTCTCGCAATAAAGATGGATGGACACGGGGCACCGGGGGGCACGGGGCGCGAGGCCTGGTTAGTCAGCCCGATAAAGCCTCGTCCGGAGATTCCGCGGACCTTCTCTGTATGTCAATTGGCTGCTACAACCAGTACTATACTGGGTGTCCCAAGTCGGATTGCACGCAGCAGAGACTGTGGATAAAGGAAACGAAACCCTAATTCTCAACTTGAAACAGGGGACGAGCCTGAACCTACAGAGCCAGCAACAAAATGAGATTCCGTTGGAAACATACCCAGCAGTATGGTCCTCAGTAGTAGCGAATCAAGCCAGGAGACTCTCCTCGGCTCCAGTACTCTAATAATAAGGAGCTAATCGCAACGGTTGTAGAAACTGGCGATGCCTTCCATCCAGGTAGGTATGCGTGGGGAGATGCAGTCAATGCCTGTTGATAAGGAAGTCCGCAGACGTTCCCGGTACTACGTTGTATGGCCCTTGTCGAGTCACATGGATACAGCTCCGGTTTGCGAACGGTCTCCTACTAATAGCTCTGGTGTAAGGAGGTCTGACAAAGCATTACGAAGGGAAGATACCTAGGTACCAAGATTGTTACCTAGGTATTAGAGGAGGGGAAGGCGGCTCCGGGGAGCATATGCAGTTATACTTCCCTCGTCCTCAGCTCGCTCCAAGTGCTTTTAAGCTTGTCCCCTCCAAGACCGTCGTGGATAGGTGGGTGGGACCCTGGAATAAAGTGGCGGAGCGGTGGTTCCTTGCTCACTCATTGGAATAAATTGTCGAGCCCTTCCAATACCCCGAAAGAGCAATCTGATTTCTCAATTGAGGCATGCTTGACCAAGTTGATGCTCCAGCACGGGAATTACAGGCTGTCTATTTCCGCTGAGAAGGCCGCGGTTCTCGATTCACACGACCTAAGAGGAGCAGTCCTGCGACGTCGGTTGTGTGGGCCCCGATTGAACAGTTCAAGACAAGCGATCCTAGTTGTAGACTTCTTGGCCGCTACAACATCAAAACTTGTGCAGGATAATTAGATCGCCGCTGCTGTTCTTTCCAGGCGGACATTTAACCCTTGGACGTCCGTTGGCTGCATATCGCGCCACTCCAAGTCTCCTGGTTGAAACGGGATCACGAATGCACTCAGGAAAAAGGTCTGATCGGCGGCCGGAGCCGCCAGGAAAATGAGCATGCTGCTTTGCGCCATGACGCGCCAGGTGTATCATTTCCGCACCCTTCTAGCATGTCTGACGAGGTTTTCAATAACGCCCTCAAAGGCTTCCTTTTCCTTCCGTAACCCGTCTCGCTGTTTTAACCAGTACTCCAACAGCTCCGAGGTCTTTTCCGTGAGATCTTTCAGCTCTTTGACATGGGCTTGAAGCTCCTCATCAGTGAATCCTTCTAGCTTCTCGTCAGTGGTGGCACAGAGGCGCTTCACGGCTACAAGGTCAAACTCAGGAGGGGGCGGGGGTCCCTTAGGCCGTCTGGATCGACTAAGCCGTTCCTTTGCCCCGGACTGGGTGCTGTCCACCGAGCCAGTCGAGTCATTGGCGGCTTGTGCTTTCAGCCGCGCCACAGAGCCGAGGGCCGCGTCGGACTCTGATTTTCGGGTTGAGGGCTGCAAACTAATGTCTGGTAGAATAAGTTTCTTCTGTTTGGACGGGGGCAGGATCTCGTCTAGATCGACGGGGACCCCCAAGCTGACCAGGAATAGACGTCGGATCCTAGACTGCGCCCAGTTGGGTGGTTGGAGGGGAGGAGGAGTGATCAGTTGTTTCCATAATGACTGTGACCTGTCGGTTGGAAAGACTGGTGAAGAGTCCGGAATCGGATCTGATTGTGGTACTGCGGATATTTGTTCGTCAGTAGACGATGGGAACATGGTGTCCAGGTGAGTTCGCGTGGCGGCAATTAGGTCCTTCAACGATGATAGTGTGTCGAAGTCGACTAAAGGCTGGGCGGTCCGATAGGCGTTAGCAGTTACACATGTGAGAGATTGGATGGTTGTGGGGACTCACAAAGGATTCGGCGGGTATGCCCGTGTCTTGATAGGTAGGTATAGAAGGGCTTTCCGCGAGCTCGTCTTCAGTTTCAGCAGCTTCCGGGTCTCGGAATCCGTCGTCGAAGTCTCCAAATTCATCGTCATTTCCAGCCTGTGCGCCTTCCTCAAAGTCATCAAAGTCGTCTCCAAAGTCGTTCATATCGTTATTTGCGTTATCGTGGCTATTACTGTCGCTCCCCGGATTGGAGCTGTGCGGCGAATCGCTCATGGGTCTATGAGGTGTTGGTGACCCTGACTCAGGTCAATGGCCCTCCCGAAATGGTCTTAGATGGTGGCTTTACCTGAAGTGCTGTCCTGTCTCTCGAGAACATCCGGGGCTGCGTCTTGAGTACGCTTTTCGTACGCTTCTGTCCCAGGAACCTCTCCATGGGCCGGTATAGTATCAACGCGCGTGACCACAGTTTCTGGGATAGCACCAGTCGAAGAAGAAGACGGCGGGTTTGCATCATCAGGCTCATCCACCGTTGCATCCTTCTGGTGTTGCATAGACTCTGGCGTCTTGATAATGACATCTGGAGCAGCATCCATCTGTCTTTGTAGATAAGCCAGGGTTCCTGGAATCTCTCCATGACTCGGAGTCCCTGGGTCGACTTTCTCTACCACAGTGCGAGGTATTGAGGAACCCTCCTGTGTGGTCCCAGGATCAAGTGACTGCGAGAAACGTCTGCTCTCGTGACCGGGAGACAATATCTCAACCTCATCAGGCACCGCGTCGCCCAATCTCTTTTCGTAGGCAGATGTGCCCGGGACCTCGCCGTGGCTTGGGGCATCATCGACCTTCTCTATTCGGGTCTTGGGTATGGGCGAGGAAGGAGTGGCAGGTCTTGATGATGGTCTGCGACCTTCTGAAGCGTCTGAGAAGTATTCCTCTTCACCCTCCGAGGAGACTTGGTCGGGTCAACATCTCCAATTCTGACAAAGCTATGATGGGGAATCTTACGTTCATGTGCACCTGGGTCTACCAGTTCGACACTCTTCCGGGGAGGTTCAAGTCGCGCACCGCTCCTGGATGTCGGCCTGGACATGGTATCAAGGCAAAGTTGTTACATGCAGAAAGTTTTCTAATAGTGCCAGTGAAGTCCGTGGATAATGTTCAGTAGTATGAGAAGCGGTGTGAAACTGAGGTTGCGGACAGGGAGGCGGAGGTTGTCTGGACTTGAACTGCGGTTCAAGTTGCACTTGAGTGAAGTGCCACGATTGGATTGGACGTTTCCCTCCCCAGACACAAACTGCCTGCGACTGCATCTTGAACTGCAACGACTTTTTGTTCCGCGTCTGGAGCGCGTTCACTTCACATTCATTGCTCTGGCTGATACTCAGCACACAAACTCCTCCACAGAATACTTCTTATGCCAATCTCATATCACTGAAGACACTTTGTACCCTCACAAGCAGCTGTTGCCTTATTGACACGTTCGGGTCCAGCCTCGTTTCCCCTCGGCGATGCTATCGTCCTAGACCGCGACATTTCTACACAGCAAAACACATACTCGCTGGTCAACTCCCAATATGGCCTTCAATTTCGGCGCACCCGCTAGCAGCGGGGGAAGCAGTCAGTCAATATTTGGCACAACCAACAAGCCTGCAACAGGAGGTGGCCTATTTGGAAATGCTGGAACATCAGCGACATCAGGCACAACAGGCACAACCGCATCGGGCTCAAATACACCCACCTTCAGCTTTGGAAGTTCCAACCAGACCACTTCGAATCCTCCCTCGAAGCCTTTGTTCGGAGCAGCAGGATCATCGCAGCAAAGTTCCACACCTTCCACGCTCTTCGGACAGACCAACACTGCAGGTGCCAGTGGTACAGGATCTTCTGGGAGTCTGTTTGGTGCGAAAAAGCCAGACAATCAGACCGGCGATGCTTCAAAACCTGCGTTCGCAGGGTTCACTACACCAGACAAAGCAGGGGCTCCATCGACCTCAGCATCAGGAGCATCTCTGTTTGGATCCACCACGCCTGCGACCACGGGCACGAGCAATCTCTTCAGTTTCGGCAATGCTTCAACGACTCCTGCTGGCCCTCCCCCATCTGGCTCGACCCTTGGCGCGAGTACCGGCGGGACAAATGCTACGGGTGGTGGAGGTCTATTCGGTGCTGCGAAGCCTGCAGAAGAGACACAGAAATCCGCAACGTTCAGCTTTGGCAAACCTGCGACGAGCGCTGCACCGTCATCAGCAACATCAACGTCCGCAGGAGGTCTCTTTGGTGGTGGTGGTGCCAAACCAAGTTTTGGTTTTGGGGCAGCCTCAAAGCCAGCGGAGTCCACCGCGGCCACTACTCCAGCTCTGAACGCTTCCAGTTCGGAACAGAAGCCCTTGTTCTCATTTGCCGGCCCTGGGTCAGCTTCTTCGGCCGGACCGTCTGCATCTACTCCTGCAACTTCACAGCCACCTTCGTCCACAGCCCCGTCCTTGTTTGGTGATTCATCCAAACAGACTTCAAGCGCTTCCAGTCTCTTCTCGAAACCCGCTGCGACCTCCGAAGCATCAGCACCTAATAAACCCACGTTCTCATTTGGTGCACCCTCAACGCAGGCATCCAGTGCAGCACCTCAAACAACCTCAGCACCCGCTTCAAAGCCCTTGTTTGGTGGCGGTTTCAACGTGGGCGCGTCCACGACTTCTTCCGCCCCTGCAGCGACAGGAACAGCTGCTGCTCCCGCAACCTCAGATGCTCCTAAGAGTCCTTTCTCGTTCGCTCCCGCTGCAACCTCATCAGGCTCTCAGCCCGCTTCAACATCAGCCCCCACTGGCAGTGCCTTCTCTTTCCCGACAACATCGGCAACCTCGACATCTCAGCCTACCACGACCACTGGCACGAACACAGCTACCACTGGCAATGCGACTGCTTCAGGTGGCGCGCCAGGGACCTCAGGAGCACAGACTTCTACGATGGGACCAGCTCCTCCTGCGCAATCGCGCCTTCGCAATAAGACCATGGATGAAATTCTTACGCGATGGGCGACTGACATGTCCCGGTATTCCAAAGAGTTCAAGGAGCATGCGGAAACAATTGCACATTGGGACCAGATTATCGTGGATAACTCTTCGAAGATTGATAAGCTCTACGTCAAGACTCGTACATGTGAGAGGCAGACGATGAGCGTGGATATGCAGCTTACAGCAGTTGAAAACCAGCAATCTGAGTTGGAGAGCTGGCTGACAAAGTATGAGAATGACGTGGAAGAGATGCTGGCAAAGGATACCACCAGCCCCAGCGAACTGGGTGGACCTGATCTCGAAAGAGAAAGAACCTACAAGCTTGCCGAGAAACTGGGGGAGAGACTCGAAGAAATGCAACGCGATTTGGAGAGCATGGTTGAAGAGGTTAATGCCGCAAATGCAAGCTTGAACAAGAGTGGCAAGGCGGATGAGCCGGTAAGTTCTATTGACTGCGTTCTATGTGCCCAAACTAACGAGGGCCTCAAGATCACCCAGATTGTCAAAATCCTGAATTCGCACTTGGTTCAGCTCCAGGCCATCGATCAAGGCACCGTTGCCCTTCAAGAGCGTGTGGCTGCCGCACAAAAGGCGGCCAGCAGTGTCGGTTACCTGACCAATTCCGTGAACGGAAATGGCAGTGCAGCGGCTCAAGACTTCTATCGGAGCTACATGGGGCGACGGTAATTTATGGCTTGTGCCGAATACTCGCAAAGGGCATTGAACTCAGGTGGGCCTGGCGTTGGCTTTAGCATGGTTTGCTAGGTACTGTGAGAGCCGAGAGATCTCTCAAAGGATGTACGAGTGCTCAAGAATGAACTTCGAGGCGGAGTGTGTGTTCACGACCGAATTTAGAAAAACAGGCACGATAACTCCCAGTGAGCGGAGAATGCAATTCGATTGTGTCAAGGACAAACACTCTCCACGGAGCTAAAGTAGGCATGCCGTGGAGAGATAGTCTCCCATTCCATATTGGCGGGTGGTTTTGAAGACCCAGCCAAATTGTAACTCCAAGTTGTTTTAACTGCCTGTTTACTGTTCTCCTGCACGTTCGCTCTCCAGGTCCTTGATGTGCTGGTCAAGCTCGTCGAGATGCTTTCGCTGTTGGGCAAGCTTTTCCTTCAACTTTCGTAGACTAGATCAGGTTCCCCCAATTGTCAGTCCACAGTGTATCGAACATGCGGCAGACGTGGTGTTCATTTGAGAGTTTAATGGGGCTGCAAAGCAGGGTGAGGCAAAGCATGATCAAGGTACCTTTCCATTTCCTTCTCACGAATGAACTTGGTTTCGCTGGCTTGCTCTCGTCTCGTCCAGGAGTCACTATCACGCGAAAAGATATGTCAGCCTATCGCTCGAAATGAACAAGCAGACAATTGGTGGTCATCGTTGGCGATAGACCAAGCCCATGAACGTACCCTGCAGCGAGGCCGCCAGAGCGGATGCCACCAGTATCGCCCTCCGAGGCTCTGATGGCCGCAACAGAGAAAGACCGTCTGACGGAAGGGGATGCTCTTGCGAGCTTGACAACCTGAGTGCGTAGCATTTTCGGAGCTAGTGACGATCGTGGTGTGAGATGGAAATCAAACTCGACTTATATTTGTTGCTACGAAACAATACAGTTGAGGTTCGGCTGCGGGACCTCGAAGCTCGCCGGATTGAGGTTGCAGGTGCCAGCCCATGACGAAGTCGTGCACGTGAGCGGGACGACGGTGTACTACTAGTACTAGTACAACCACTTGATGGAGATCACGTGGAATTACGCATGCAAACACGCGAAGCACGCACAAGCTGCCAGCAAGACAGGGATTCCTGCAAATAATCAAGGCCTGTTAGGAAACTAGAGGTGGTTGGCAAGGCGGTACAGCCTTGATTGTCGTTCGGAGCGCAAAATGAAGAAAACAAAACAAACACTAGCATGACCCTTTGTTGAATCATCGTTTGGGTGAGGCTGTGTTGTTCTTCAAGTTTCGGTTGGCGGCCAATAGACATATTTCAGCATAATAGGCACACTAGTATGAGCAGTGTGCAAAGCTTGTTGTAGTTAGCAACTAACCTTCTTGTATCACACTTGGACCCATCTGGCCAAGCTCAGCTTTCCATTGATTATGCCGCGTTGCTTAGTAGCTGAGAGGAGAGTTAGTGGGCAGTAGTGGCAGCCCGTCCCCACTACCACATCAACTCCCAGTCCCAAATCTGCGGCCGGTCAGTCACTGTCAGGCCAATCCGTCAATTTCATGTCGTTAGTGACAGTCTCACTCTCCCTTCTTCGCTTGCACCACTAAAGTTCCACCGCCTGCGATCCTGCTGCACACACAACAACTCTTGCTTGACCTGAGATTCCCGTCTTCGTCCACCCTTCTTGCTCGTCGACACACCTTGTTATCAACCCGCTCCCGCAACTTGATATCCATCGCCAACGCTCCATCTTCTCGAGTTCTCACATCTACGAGTCTCGTCGAACCTTCGCCTCCTTCATCGGTAAGCAATCCTTCAGACCCAACACCTGTTCGTTCCAGGGACACCTGTACCCCACGTCTCCCCAGCCGCGACGGGTTGCACCTCGATTGCGCCTTTTGATCGATGAGCTTGGTCTGGGGCGGAATCGAACACCTGCTGTCGCCTCTATACACACTGGGACTGTCTTTTCGAGAGAGCTCTGTAACCTACATCTCGTGTTTGGCCAGAAAACACCTCCGTGGTTGACGTCAATAAATCCCACACACCCGTGTCCACTTCACGCAATCCTAGCTTTCGCGCAACCACAGTTGATACAACAGCCCAAAAAGGACTCTGAAACTGCAATATTCACATACTGCGTGCCGCTCAGTTCACCGCGCCGCCAATCGCGGCCATTGTACAAGTTGTCATTTGACTTCGATTGCGTATTTGGCAGAAAGGGCTAATGAATCATCCATGCAGGTTTCTTTTCATTTGAACCATCTCACCGAAACAAATCACAAAAATGGGTGTGGAAGAGTCCGTCTACTTGGCGAAGCTTGCCGAGCAAGCTGAGCGTTATGAAGGTAATTTTGGTTGCTGATCTCTTTGGGTACACCGACACTAATGTCGTGTTCTAGAAATGGTGGAGAACATGAAGGTTGTCGCTTCTGCCGACCAAGAGCTCTCCGTTGAGGAGCGAAATCTCCTTTCCGTCGCCTACAAGAACGTCATCGGCGCCCGACGTGCCTCGTGGAGAATCGTCACGTCTATCGAGCAAAAGGAGGAGTCCAAGGGCAACGAGGCTCAGGTCAAGCTCATCAAGGAATACCGTCAAAAGATCGAGGAAGAGCTCGGAAAGATCTGTGAGGACATCCTTGAGGTTCTCGACAAGCACCTGATTCCTTCTGCTCAGTCGGGTGAATCCAAGGTCTTCTACTACAAGATGTGAGATCTCCCCACATTGAACACTTGCTGTCGAAATGGTATTGACCTTTGATGTATAGGAAGGGTGACTACCACCGTTACCTTGCCGAATTCGCTACTGCCGACAAGCGAAAGGAGTCCGCCGACAAATCCCTTGAGGCTTACAAGGCGGCCACCGAGATTGCTCAGACCGATCTTGCCCCAACCCACCCGATCAGACTTGGTCTTGCCCTGAACTTTTCCGTCTTCTACTATGAGATCTTGAACTCGCCGGACCAGGCCTGCCACCTCGCCAAACAAGCTTTCGACGACGCCATTGCCGAGCTTGACACTCTCAGCGAGGAGAGCTACAAGGACTCGACGTTGATCATGCAACTGTTGAGAGACAACCTGGTACGTTTCTGGTCATCCGTCATGCTATTTGAGACGAAACTAACATTGTCTGTAGACTCTCTGGACCTCGTCTGAGGCCGAGCCACAGGAAGCCGCTGGTCAGTCAAGTGAAGCACCAAAGGAGACTGAGGCTTCGACTACTGCGGCTGAGGCGGGCACTGAGAAGGCCGAATAGAGGGTGGATCGTCATCGTCACTCTTTGATGCGTCCGTTGACAGACCTCGACATTAACCACGTTTCTGGCTGTGCAAACAGAGGAGATGGGTGATGTTGGTCTGTGACATACAGAGGACAACAACAAACGACCCCCAAGCACTCAACGATGTTTTCCCCCTTTTGACCCCCTATCCCCGTGATTACCCCCCATTACGATAGCTCTAGCAGATGATACAGCAGACATCTGCGGCGGCGGTGCGAGACCGGTCCAGGTAGCTACTCTAGACAAAAGACAGAAGAAATAGCAATACGAATCGGGCGCATCAATTTTCTTATTGTTTATTCATTCATTCCACTTTATGCTTTATACCGACATGCATGTGCTGGTTGGTGTACTAGTAGGTGACGGTGTCAGCCCTCATTCCAGCCATCAGTCTTCCCCTACTTGGACACTTGTATGGGGGGCATGACGGTCTCTACCCGAGTAAGATAAAGTACTTTTGTATAATGTCATCCAGGTGGTTACTGTAGGAAGTGAGGAACTTGAAGCCGCAATATTGGTACCAAGATTGCTAGAAGGGAAGGAAGGCAGGCCACGGCAATGCACATGTAAGTAGTAGTAAATACTCTGGACATTCACTGACCTGGGCACTGACCAGGAGATGTGCGGATGGATTTCCTATCCTATGCTATTTTATCCGGTTTGCACACATCCACCTAGCTAGATACCTAGCTAAGTATCTGGGTGTGTGGGTAGGTACAAGTATCCTCTGAACTCGAATACGAGTCCTCAGTCCGTGTTCTGTTCCGTCCCGTCCTCGGCTTCAAGGCGTGTCTGGTCTGGTCTGGTATATCCTTACATTGGACAAAATGCAATGTCTTTCTTTGCCTGTGCGGCTTGAAGTTGTCTCGCGTCAAGTAGCCTCACCTGACCTTACCACTACCCTTTCAATTGGACCTCGACTTGGAGCCGGCTTCAATGGAAAGAAGTCTTCTTCAGCCACGAGAATGGCAGATCCAATCCGGATCCCTGACGATCCACTTCTCCGCCTCGAAGACCGAAGCAGCAGCCATTTCGCGACGATGGGCATACCATGCGCTTTTGATGAGATGTTCGTCGAGCTTGTCGGGCTGACCTTGACCTTGATCTTGTCCATATCCAGAACCAGATCCAGATCCAATACCAGATTTAGATCCAGATTTAAATCCGAATTTAAACCCGAATCTAGAATTACTGGAACCATGAACTTTCTCTCGACCTTGCTTCTCCCTCATCTGCACGATATCATCCTCCAAATCCAAGAGGTATCGTGTCGTAAACTTGAATGGCGGACGTGGTGGTAAACTGTGGAAAGCTTCGGCTGTGAAGATTGGTTCGGCCTCACCTTCGATTTCACCCTCCTTGACATGATCAGAAGTAGCAGTCGTACCAGCTTCAGCTTGGGGGAACGTGTACAACAGCTCTCGATTGTAAAACTCCCCGGGTTCGCGGGACGGTTTGAGCACTGCGTAACCGAAATTTTTGGTCTCGAGAGAAATAGGGACCCATGGTGATGATGACACGGACGATGGGAATTCGGTTGCCGCTGTGTGAAAAGTCCCAGGCTCAGTCTCAGACACGGTCTCTGCAGCAGATCTTGTTGTCGTAGTAGGTGCGGTTGTGGTGATTTCTTTAGCAGACACAGAAGCAGGCCCAGGCTCAGCAGAGGCTGTGATAGTATGTGGTTCTGTATTGCCTGGGTCAACTGCGCCGAGATCTGCTCCAGACACAGTGGCATGCCCTATGGCAACAGTAGTCACTTCCGAGCTGGATACCGATGGATTGTCGATATGGCCTTTTGTATCTCGAGTGTCGACGTCCTTCGAAGATGATGTTGCTGGAACCACTGATCCATCGTTGTATGTTTTCGTCTCCGTTATTTCCGCTGGATTCGCAGCCTCAGTCTGAGTTGGATCGGTAGTCAACCGACACTCCGGGTCAAGCACTGGTTCCTTTCTGACCAAGATATCTTGCACGCCATTTCGGTATTCGCCATTACAACGCTTGAAATAGAAGGCCTTGGCCACAGAGCTGAGCGGGATCAGTGCTTCAAGACGAGCCTTTTCCCAGACGAGATACTTTTTCGCATCTTCCTCGAAGGCCTGGATCAGAGGATGGACCTTCTTCTTGTCCCGATTCTGTCCACTGGTTTTCTTGTTATCGGCGATCCGGTCGTCACCACCGACCTCATCAACCTGAGCGCTGTCGTTGGGGTCGATCAGAGGATTATTGACCTCAACACCAGAGAATGCTTCATCTAAATTGCAACCATAATCAGTCTCGGCAGATTCCAAGACGAGGCGACAGGTTTGGTATTCAAACTCACATTCACGGCTGAGTTCCTCGTCATGATAGAGTTTGTCTTCGCGCTCTTCTTGTGCGATACGGTTGTAGATGAGGTCACGAGATTGTCGCATATGATCGTCCAGAATGGCATCAATGGGCCCGTTCAGAAGGTCATTGATATTCTGCAGACGCTGTTTTGCGAATTGGTCCATAAGCTCGACTTCGTCCTTGTTCTTGATCACCACGTCCGGCTTGTCGGAGTGGAAACATCCTTTGGCATGGGCCCATGTGACCTTTGGTTCTGGGAAAACCAAAACCGCTGGCGCAGTAAGCTTAGGCCGCCTCCTTTTTCTATTCTTCTGCTGCGACTTGGACAGCTGATCCCAGCACTCGGCAGGGTTGTTCCGGTCAAAGGGAGGTCGATCATTGGTAGAGAGGCTAATCTCCATGCCTGGTTTTTTGCAGGTTGTGTCTTGGGAATAGATCGGAGAGTAATAAGGGTGCACCAACGTCCGAACGTATGTCAACATCCAGTCTTCCATGTTGCCCTTGTAGCGTCTGTATAATATGTCAGCAGTAACCCATTGTAAAATTGCCGGATTCGAAGCGGCCTATTTTACTCATGACAAAACCGTGCACGGGCAAGTATGGAGTGTCAGATTCAACAAAGTGTGTCCGTTGGCAGCCTGGATGTAAATGATAGATACCCTTGGGGTCGATCTGGCCCAGGTGTCTTGCAAATCTGGTGTTCACACTGAAAGTGAAGTAAAGTTGCGACAAAGTGCACCAGAATTGAGAGCAGAACAAACATAGGAGAGATCGGGATATACTTACGTTTCAGCATGTCTCTCGCAGAGATGGAAGCTGACGAATGTTTCGCCATCGCAAGTTCGTAGTTCGTGAGCCCGTACGCACACAGGACATGCTCGGTAGTTCTCATATCCCCAGTGATAGCAACATGGATCACTGAGTTTGTTTGAAAAGTCGACACTCTTGGCCATGTCGTTGCGATATGAAAAGAAAGAAAAGTAGACAGGATGCTGATGTGTGAAAAGGACAGGTTTAAGAAGAACCAGGATCGCAAGACTGGGGAAGAAAGAAGAAAGATAAGTAGAAAGGAGATCGGCTCATTCGCTTGATTTGGATACAGGAACTTCACTGCAAGTGATCGTGTCACGCTCCACTAAGTGCATCGTGTGTCTTTTCGCATTCTTCTCCTGGTGTAGTGTAGATTTCACCAGCACCTCAGTCCACACTTCACATCAAACTCACCGCGCCTTCATCGTCCCTTTCTATTGCTGGCTCCTGTGTTCTGAAGCTTGACATTTTGGGTTGGCTTCCAACGAGCTGCTGAAAATGGAACAATGGGAGCCGTTGAACACAGCGCGGGTCCGTCCTCTGCTCTTCTTTCAACATTTCAACAACTGAGCGCCTTCAGCCAACCGATATTCTGACAAGGGTGATAGGCGCAACAGACACTCTTTCACTGACACTCTTGATGCTTCGAATTGACTTTGACTTGAGTGAACTTTGTGGATTGTGCCAATACTTCCCGGGGAGGTTCTGTTATCACCCATTCCATCAGCCCGAAGCAAAGTCATTCAAGGCAAGAGCACAATGGGCATCCGTGATAACGATCTGTAGAATGCACAAGCTGGGTCTTTCTTCATTTGGAGAATATGCTGCTCCGTGTGCTCTTGCGCAGTTGCCAGTCGTGGTGAAGGCTACATCCAAAATGTCAATGCTGATGTTCAAGATAGCCCAGCCCACATCACGGAATCGGCAACGGCAGGTCCTTCTGACGGCCTTCATGCTCCGTCAAAGAACTCATTTCCAGTGTTGGCATTTTACTGTCAACGCCCACATAAATGCGAGGATGGGCCCGGATCCTCGGTCCTGTCATAGTTCGTACTTTTCGTGGGGATTTTGGAGGCCTTGTCTCGACTACAGGCGTGATTCGGGATGATTAACAAGGCTTCGTAGGCTAGCTGATTAGTTGTAGAGTGATGCCATGGAGGGGACCTCTCCCATAACCGCGGTTGCCGTAAGACTCCTCCCGAGCAGCACGCCATGTTACAACCTCAGCAAGTTAAAACAGCTTGATTATCAAGTATCTGCTTTGGCTGCGTCATCTGAGACCATCGGCTGATTGGGAACATGCGGGTGTTTGGCTTGGTTGAGGATTGCCCGGACAAGGCTGAGCAGCAAAAGCGTCAAGACCACCAGATCAATGACATGAATGGCCCACCATACTTTGACGTTCAATCCGCACATACGAATATCGTAGGCCCATTCTCCTGACTCAAAATCAAACCAAGCACTTAAAAGCCCTGCGTTACCACCATAGTCGCCCATCATACTTCGCAAGGTGATCTCCCTGACGCCGGTATGGCAGAGACTCTGGTTCGCTTGGTTCCAAGGAACAGCGTCCCATGATGTTCGTCGATTTTCATCTGCCCCACTGTCGCTAGACCCAGACCAGACTGAATCAGCAGGAATGTAATGCCACACATCGCAACCCTCGTGATCATGGCCGGTAAGGATAAGGCCGTGTCTGCCTTTGCCTTGGGCTGGAGCGTCAATGTTTCCATGCATGCCAAACAATGCTTCCAGCGTGCCTTGACGGCTGACATGTTCGCTGAGATGATTCTGTTCCTTCAGCCCATGAGGCCTGTACACTCCGCCACCGTCGTCATCGCCCCAATAATCGAAGAAAGGAGCATCAACACATACACCCTTGTCCTTGTAGAGTGGCAGATGCGTAAGCAGGAGAGTGAACGAAGAACGATCTTCAACCGGTCTCAGACGATGGGAAATGATGCTGTTAATATAATCGTATGTTTCTGCTTGAAGGTCTTCGGCCAAAGCAGGTGTGTCCAGAATCAAGCTGTTTAGAACGATCACATGAATTGACGGTTGGTGGCCTGTTGCATTGGTTGGTATTGTGTCGTTTACTTGCGGATATTGAAACCTAACGTCCCAGTTGGATTTTCCAAAGACTCGTTCAAACCGGTCCAATCTGTGTCTCGATATATCTCCAGCATACCCAATGTCATGGTTCCCGGCGATGTTTATGATTTTGGTAGTCCAGCTACCGTCGCTCATATCAAAACTCTTCTCCTTTCCCAATTCGGCCAATGTGACAAGTTCGTCCTCAACCCTGTCACTCTTGGGAAACGCCCTGTTCCAAAACCGCCAGCCGCGCCATTCAAACTCCTCATCGGTAACCCACTGGCTCCCGATCAAGTCTCCAAGGACAGTCACATGAGACGGTCTCGACCACCAATGTAAAGTACGATAGATGTGGCCCAAGTAGTAGTCGTTGCCAAACAGGTCCAGCCGCTTGCGCAAGGCTTGCACCGCATCGGGAATGTCTTGCAGCACGATTTCTCGTATTGTATTGTTCGCAGTGTATATTAAGTCGCCGAGTTCTGCCGATGCCACGCTGCTCCAGTGCCGAGCGAGCTTGGGTAGCAGGCCATCCTCAGGTTTGGGAAGGGAACTGTCTCCCTCGAGTTGTGGGTCGGCGAGGACGAGGAGCCGGAAGGGCACGTTCAGGGCGTCATTTGGCTCGTCTGACCCGTGCACGGAGGAAAGATGATGTTTGAGCGTCTCGGTCACGGCGGTCAGCCGCGAAGCACTTCTGGAAGGAAAGGCACATCCATGAAACACGGGATATAGATACAGATAGATGGTCAGACAGACAGCGACCGGGACGAGAAGACGCAGCAGCTTGTCTGCGAAAGCAAACATGTACATTGAACCATAGGAGACACCAGCAAACGCCAAAGAAAAGAGTGAATTCGGTCAATGAGGTGTCAGCAAAGGATTGTTTACTCGATCGCAGTCCAATCTGAACACGACCGAGACACGCGATTTCAAGGTTGGCGCCTCCCAGGTCGGAAAACTTTGTCTGACAGGCCAAAATGATAGCAGCATCGTATACATAATTCCGTCTGACGAAATCTATTCCCATCCACCTGCAGGTAGTACTGGACGATGGTTACTAGTAGAAGACATCTTTCCAAGGCGGCGGTAGAGAAGTGAGGCTCGTCCAAGACCGGAGACCGAGATCAGAAATCTCGAATAAAGCAGGGAAATAACTTGAAATGGCACAACTACATGTGGCACCGTCTCAACAAGTACATGTCTGCTGAAGATGATCTATCCAACTATCATCACGTCTATGTCTTCGGAACGGCGCTGTCCTCCTGACTGCCTGTTGCCCCGCTGAAGTCGATATCCAGCTGGAGATCTATATTAGACTCATTAAGCTGGAGTCCTTGTATGTTCAATCCGCTCTCTCGTGGGCCTTTCTCTTCGCCCGGGGTCGGCTTCTCTGCCAACTCTGCAATGTCCTCCTCGGTTCCTCTCAGCGCAGGCGGCCTCTCCTTTCTCGCCCTCGCTTTTGCGAGACTAATTGTCTTCTGCCGATTGGTGGTTTCGAAACTCGACAAGTCATGCTCGATGGTCGCTTTGAGGATCTCACCCATCCACTTCCGTCCTTCGGCGATACTGTCGACTTGAAATAGATGAACAGTGGGCTTCGTAAATTGAACCGCTCGTGACGATCCTGCTTTGGGAGGCACAAGCTTGAAGAAAAAAGGGGCTCCTCCGCTCGAGTTACGAGAAGCATCTGACGGACGGTCACCTGTCGCTGCCGATGGATGGCCTGAATGGCCTGAGGCTCCTCCAGCGATGGTTGCGTGAAGTGCCGTTATGGGGTCGGAGCTGGCGCTTAATACTTTATGACCTGATATATCGATTATGCCCTTCTCTTCCGTGTCATCCTCAGAGTAATAATAAGAAAGGCGCCGGCCCCGAAGAATAAAAAGCCGAGGCTTCCACTGCCCGAGCAGTCCTGAGGACCGTTTCTTCATCCAGCCATAATGGTCGCAGTGCTTTCGTGCTTCGGCGGGCGAAATGGGCAATAAACCCTTGGTGTAGGCACTGGTTTGTCGTTTTGTCTTGGGGTTCGCCCGCGCAGTCGTTTTGGTGTGAAGGAGTGGTCCCAGTTGTTCGGTAGTGCTCCTCGATGGTGGCTCGCTGTTGTCCATCTCAAAGCTCCGTGAGGTCGCTGAAGGGGTTTGAGACCCGGAAGGCGACGCCAATGGGCTCTCTTTGAGCGGCTCGGCTGTCAGGTTGGAAGAGCCTGCTGCCTCTTTCTCACTACCTGTGATTGCGTCTGATGCCGCTCGGAGGCCGAGTAGTTTTCGCGCCTTTTGAGATGCCGCCCAGGTCGTAGATGCGCCGACAGTGGGCGAAAAGGAGCCAGTAGTCACTCTGGGCGACGACAAAGCCGACAGACTTTCATCCTCCAGATTAGTCACAGTCGGCGACGGCGCCACCGGTGACTTTTGTGTAGGTAAGTGTTTCGCACTGGATGACCTAAATCGGCCTTTCGTCGAACTGCTATAATAAGCTTTGGCGGCCGAAGACATTGAGCTGGGCGCTCGCTCCTTGATGGGATCAACGCTGCTGAGCCTCGAATGACGCATGACACCGTGGCCAGGTCTTCGAGCAGTGGCATCATCAATCATGCTGGATTGCCGAGAATGACCAGTTCCATCTCCTTTCTTCCTCAAAAGATTCCGGGATTTGCGATTCTCCACCTCATTCCCACTGAAGTAGCCACGGTCGATATCGATGGCAGAAGGGGGCCCTTCAAATGGTGATTCTTCTGGCAGATCAGCAGAGTCCGTATTTCTGGCAATATCCACTCGGAGCGAAGGGGTGCTTGCGCCGGCATTCGCAGTTGTCGCGTTACTCATAGACCAGTCTCTGTCAAGCGACGCGTTCTTCTTGTGAGGAGGTGAGACACCGGAGAAAGTTCCGAAAGCCGACTCTTGGGCACTGTGTTTGGCAAAGTCGATCGATGAGTGTCGCCGGGAGTGGTTCATCTCCCGGATCGATGCGGCTGAAGGACGGCTAGGACTTTCGCCGGCCATCGACGCCCTCCAGGAGGACGGAGGGGTGCTTCCACCAAGCTGGGACCTTGAGAACGGTGAGGGAGGCATCTGCGATTCGAGAGCGGGCGGCGTGGCTGCCGCTTGAGCATAAGGGTGAGCATGTTGGGACTGCCGGATCGACAGACCTGGCTCCTCCATCAGACTCGGTATTCTCGGTAGGATGGTAGCGCCAGACAGAACGCGGGAATGTGCCCGTGCTACGTCTTCGTTCGAACTGTCTTGTCTCAAGCTGCTCTTCCTCGAGTCTTTGGAGCTCCGGACTTGGTTCTGGAAATCGCGAATCTTGTGCCAGGTCTTGAGTCGACGACCCATCAGTCCAAAATCATATTCTTTCATGTGGATGAACGACTGGTCCATGTCCAACAAGACATCTCCTGTGATCTCCTGCTCCTCAAATATTTCGCAATGCTTGGGGTCGACCCCAATTCCCCTCAAGAATTCAGCGGTCTCGGCGGCGCTCCATTGCTTAACATCGGCCTCTGTGAGCCGCGAGCTTGCTTCGCTATCCGTTTCCGGGCCCGCCACATAAGACGCCGGATCCATATGACTGCTATATTCGCTTTCGGAGTCCTCTGAGATATGTCGTGGAGGGGCAAGACTCTGCCGCGGCGTGCTGAGATCTGTGATATGTTCATCTATGACACTCAATGTTTCATTCATCACTGGACTGTCCTGTCCACTATGAGTGCCAGAAAGAGTTTGGCCGATACTGCGCTGGATGGATGGGAGGTATGAGATTGCTGGAGCCTTTGAAGCGATGGAACGACGTGTCGCTGTCTGGTCTTCCGGTATTGTCGGCTCTGATGGTCCAACGTTTGCGCCGTTGGAGAGCTTGTGGGCTACTTGAGGAGGTTTCACGCTCGGAGCGCTGACCGCAGTGAAATTGGGCGGGAGCTTTGCGGTGTAGACTGCTCACGTATCAGCCATACTAGTAGTGCAAAGAGTGCCGGGAGTGAAGGCTCTCACCTCCAGGAAACAGGCCGGTGGTACTTTGACCTAGGTGCCTTCCCAAGTACCAGCCGTCTCCGAAGCCATCATCCAGTTCTACCAGTTCAATCTGATCTGATTTCCGAAGAGTCAATTCGTCCGCACTCCGCGCATCGAAATCATCTAATGCCCTACGGTCAGCGTGCCGCTGGAGGCGCAGGTAAGGAAATGCGACATACGAATCACCACCAGTATATCTCCCGGTTGGAGCGCGGCGCGCGGGCGCTGTTGCTGCAGGTTGTAGGCCATGACACCAAGTGTATCAATTTTCAAGGCGACCTCAGACAATTGTTCACTCGCAACCACTGCGACGCTGCAAAGCACATCTGCTCATCGATTCTCTAGCCAGACTTGACCATGGAATACAGGCTGGCGCGAAATACTGCGGCAACAGCCTGCATGATAGAGTCCCTGAGTGTGGACCGGCGGGAGGAGGGTGTTGTGTCTGTTTTAACTCTGTCGGTGAGAAAGGTCGCACGACGAGAAGACAAGACGTGGGTGTGATGGGAGGCAGTTGAGGTTGCGCGAATCGATCTGGAGAGGGCGGCAGAGGTGTAGATTGTGGCCGGTGTCAATTCGACAATAGACTGGGATGGTGACACGTCAGATCGTCGATAGAAGCATCCGGTGGGTGTACAGAAGGACGGAGGCGAGAAGGCAGAGGGGCCCTGTCAAGATTGATTGAGAGGTGTCAATGGGATGAACGGGGTTTTTTCGACGTTGAGGTTCAAGGTTCAGATCAGATCCAGAGGGGAAAAACTGCCTCGGACATGGATGATGGAGAGACTACAATGTTACAAGGGGACGAGCAGAGAGACTCGCTTGCTTGCTTCGCTGTCTGCTGGACTGGAGTCTCTCTCGGTCGCTCTCTGATGGATGCTCTGCTACGATTTGTTGGTAGACGAGGGTCCAGCCCGGTTCTGTTCGTATTCTCCGCATGTGGAAGAACCCATAATACAATGTAATTCCACTACTACAACTGTATTGCTCGTAGAAACTGCAGAATCAACAACTACACAATCTACAGGGCTCCTCCACGACCCAACATCCTTACTGTTAGTATTATTACACTCTCGCTCACTTACACTCTCTCTGCGTCCTCCTCCAGTGCCATCCAATCGCCACGATACTGCCAGCCGCGTTGGTATGGCGGCTTCCCGCCTGCGATCCTTCAACTGCGCTCTTCCACTCCCGACCGCCGCCCTTCACATGCGAGTGTGAGTGAATGCGTGCCTCTCCTTTGCCTGGTAACAAGCACCGCCTGCGCGCTTTCGCGCCTCGCGCTGGTAAACCGGAGCACAATGCTACTTCACCGCATCAAAGGTTATTCTCGCGTGCGCCCAAAACAAAAGCCCCGGTTGTTGTTCCTTGGCCGGTCCTTTCGAGACAATCGCGCCGTCTTCCCACCGTCCGCTCTTAAAGATCACCTTGCTTTCCGCTTCGTGTCCTCCTGCAGCCGTGACCAAGGCTCTTCTTGATCGACTCAAGCATGGCAGATTCCCGTGGCAAACAAGCGACCACGAGCGGGAGCCTGAATCCTCGTGATGCTGCGAGCGTGCAAGACAGCAATTACACTTCTCAATATTTCGTCGGCGGTCGACGGCGGGCCTGGATGAACTACACATCTGACCATGGACCTTGGAATCCACCATCACGTCCAATTGCTCCCAACCGCACCATCACGTTGCAACGACCTCCCACACGCGAATCTCAGCCTAGTGAAGAAGCAGGAACAACTCCCAGCGCAGTCGCGGAGTTAGATGGACCACAACCTGAGACTCATGCGACCTCCGCCGATCCTACGTTACTATCTATCATTGGCAATCCCAATTCAAGAGAAGGACAGCAGGAACACGCGGAAGAAAGCACAGATCTTCCTCAGAACGCCAACATACAGTCTAGCGCTACCAGTGTTCCCCAGGCCGGCGCTATGACTACGGCTTCGGTGTTGCAAGCACCGCCGCAAAATGTTCAGGGCTCTGCGCCTCCAAAAGGCACTTCTCCGGCCAAAAGAAAGCGTCTCTCTGATACCGAACTGACTTCCGAGCGGAGAGTTCGATCAGTATCCCGCCATGTTGGTGGAGCCATAACTGGTCCGCCCGCGACTCCTGCCAATTCTTCAACTTCTTACAAGGGCGCAATCCTAACCGCGTTATTTGATACCTGTGTCGCAACGATCCAACAACCACTGCTACCTACCGATTCGTCCAGACTCTTGATGCTGCGTGATGCTTGCCAATTGGATGACCGGTATTTCCTGGTGCTGAACTCGACCTATTTGTGGTGGAATGAAGATCCTACGAGAGTTCCCGGTCTGGGAAAGCGGATGTACGGCTACGAGATTTTGCAGACGCTGGTGCCACCTAATAATGTTCTCTCTGTCGCAGTGGTCGATCTCTGTAAGGTATTCTCGCAACGGCTACCGCAACACCTTCCTGAGCTGCGATATGACGCGGTAAGAGATGCGTACAGAGATTACCTCCACCACCTTTTGGATTCTTTGGGAACGGGATACGATCACCTTAGGGACGATTCGCTGAAGGCAGGCATCCCACCATGCCCTTCGCAAATGCAGTTGGCGTTGTCGGTTGCCTCGCCTGTTCTCCAAAAGCTTATCTTCTGTGCCATCCTCCGCTCTGCCTCTGCAGACAACAACTGGATTCAGCTGGCATTGACCCTCTTTCAGGAGTTTCAAACTAGAGCTCCCATCCCGGACGGGCCCGATGCGCATGATCAACGCCGCGCGATAATTCTGGAATTCGGTCAGAGATACCGCGCATTGCACGCCCATTATGTCAATTTCAATCATCAGATGACTTTGGGTGCGTCGCAGTTTCCGCAGGGAATGTATCAGAACCAGCCTACAAACTTCGGTATGGGACCTTTGCTGCCGGCGCAATCGCTCTTGGATGCGCGTATCTACCCAGGAAATCAAGCTGGACAATTCTCTCCAACCCAGCAGCTGACTTTCTCTGTACCAGCAGGTTATCCGACAGCTCCAGCCATTGCTCAACAAGTCTTGCCGTCGCCGCCGATAGTTCGGGAGCCACCTCGTTTCAATTCCCAGTCTCCTTTCTCTCCTGCTGCCATGAACCACCAAGCAGCGCCAATGGTCTCAAAAACCGTGTCAACAGCTCGTCCTGTGGCCCGGCAAACACGACCTTCCATTACGGCGCGGGCTCTTGGGACTACAGCGGCTCGTTCTTCTAACCCTCCACATTATGCGCCCCAGCCTCCAATGGCCTCCCAACCCCAGTCCCCCGTCCAATTCGGGACGATGGCTAGACAACCTGCAGCGGTAGCACCGGCACTGCCTTCACCTTCCCAGATGAACTCGGCCGGGGTGACCCATCCAACCTCCCTCTTCCCGCCTGCCACGTACACTTTGCCGATCCTAGCGCAGCCGGACCCAGATAAGCGAGCCATGCACCAGGCCCACCTGGCTGCTCCGAAGTACATCAAAGTCGATTGTCCAGAGGCAAAGTATTACCAGTACGTCGAAGACATTAGGGAGCTGCCTCAACTGCTCCGTGCAACAACTGATTTGGTGCGGTGGACTGTTCACATCTCACCAGATGTCTGGGCCCGGAAGGCGGAAACAATGTCACCTGTTGGCGAATTCATGGTCAAACAGCGCAAGATCAAGAATGGCTCTGTACAGTTCCGAATGAAGTGCATAGCACTCGATGACAGTGCTGAAGCACCGATGCCGAGCCTTTCAGACTTTTGCGCTCGACCGACAACTTGGCCCAAATATCTGTCGATATCCATCAATGGTGACTTCGGCGTCGACTTTCGCCGCAAGGCACTCCATGGTGTTGATCTGCCTACGGATGTCACCGATCTCCTCAAGTTCGGGGACAACGAGATCGTCGTATGCACCGCATCCACTCCCGCAGAATCAAAGACGAGTTATCTGTTGGCAGTTGAGATCGTGTGCGTTTCCACCCACGAAACCGTGCGGACCATTCCAAGTCGTATCGGAGCAGAAGAGTCTCTGACCAGTGTCACCAAGGTCTTGAAAGGCGGCGACAAAGAACAACCTGCAAACGGAGCCGACGACGACGAAGATGACGTGGTCATTGCACAATCCGTCTTGAGTATCGACCTCGTAGATCCCATTACCTCTGTTGTATGGGTCACGCCCGTGCGCGGAAGAGAGTGCCAGCATCGAGAGTGTTTCGACCTGGAAGCATTCCTGCTCAGTCGAACGAGCCGTGACAAAAAGAATGCCGATGTGACGGACCCCGACCAGTGGAAATGTCCGATCTGCCGCAAGGACGCTCGGCCTCCGATGCTAGTCGTGGACGAATTTTTGCTCCAAGTCCGTCAGCAGTTACAGCAGCGAAATCAGCTCGAAGAGGCAAAGGCAATTCTGGTCAATGAAGATGGTTCCTGGGACGTGAAGCTCCGTCGTGGCATTTCTGCAGTGCGGTCTAAAACTACAGCAACGGCAGCCAACATAGTAAACGGCTCAAAAGCACAGTCACCAGCAAAGGTGACGTCTAAAGCAGGGTCGCCTCAAGAAGCGGAGTTTGAGACTGCTGCTGCTGCTGGAGACAAAGCTGCTTCTGCAACCCCTACAGCAGGAGTCTCTGCAACTCCACCTCCCGATTCCATCGTTGTTCTGGACGATGATGATGACGAAGTGATGAATTGACGATCGACACGATGGTGAAGATGAATTTTCTTCTTCCTCATGTTTTGCCTTTTGGCATTCATTCGCGGTGCCTTTTTGAGATGTGATGTTCTTTTTTTTTGGTTTGCGAGAGATACCCCTTTTCGCAAAATTGTTTGTTGGTGTGTCGATATCGTGTTTGGGTAATTGGGCGGCGTTTGAGTTCACAGACTCGGTTGGAGTCTGGTTCAAAAAGTTTTGGGGGCATTGTTTCTTTTTGCTCCTGGTAATTATGTCGATGCAGTGGAACGATAGAAGGCAATGGAGCCACTATGTGTTTGAGTTCGGGGATAGAGAGAGGATCGCTTGCTCTACCAGCCAGTGCTTGTTACTTTTGTCCAACCCACATCGTCGCTGCAGCAAGCAGTAGAGGCAGGGCTACCAAGAGTCGCCTACCATGTCAGATGTCAAATAGTCGGATCGAGCATGGTCGAGACAACAGAGTCTCGTTACAGAAAAGTAATAACAAACAATAAAAATTGTATGAGTAAAAATCAAGTTCCTATCTGTCCTGTTCTGTGCTTTCCTATGCATGCTTCCCACCCTGTATGGGGTACATACATGTGCATCGCAGGGCTTGTAGAGGGTCCTTTTGTTTTTTTTCAAGTTGTCCCAAGTTTGTATTATCGAGGTAACTCGCTGGATGCAGTAATGGATAGACTGATAGTACGTACGATGCTATAAAATAGATGTCTACTATCTTATAGTGGCGAGATTCTGCAAAACGCGAACAAGTGACACTGGCAGTCATAAGGTAGTAGTGGTAGGTCCTAAGTACCTGGTGGTAGGTAGTAATGGCATGAACTGCACTGATACAGTGTTGTAGATTTCTTCCCTGTCACTGCACTGTTGTTACAGTATTATATACCTAGGTAGTGAGGCAGCACGAGGCTGAAGATGAAAAGGGGGTCTGGGGCTGCCCCACCGCCCACCTTGGATCTTGATTTTGATTCGTCTGATTTTGACGTACCTCCTACAAGTGTGATCTTGATTTGAGATCACTACCTAGAGATGTCGACTTGACTGCACGTTGCACTCTACATTACAGAGATGCAGTTACAGTTACCGACAAGGAAACAAAAAGAGTGTAGGTGACGTTGCTTTGTGCAAAAAGGGGGTGCCAGGTGCCAGAATTCCTTATCATATTTGCTCATGCTCACGTTTGCACTGCACTCCTCTTTCCATTGCGGAAAGACTTTTCTTTTCCTTCACGCCGAAAGCAATGCAAACCCAGGGTATTTGAGCTGTTCATCTGTATCTAATAGTACTACCAGGAGTACTATCCATGCTTTCTCTTCGCATTCTCCTGCACCACACTCTTCTGTCCACGCTCATCGCTCCACACCATTTGCATAGCGCAAAAACGTCTCTAGTTGCTCCATCTTGGCAGCATTTCCAGCTCCAGGCTGGTTGGCTTGACCGCGGAGCTGGGCCAGCCGGCTCCGCGTCATATGGGCTGGTTGGCTGGCTTGGGCTTGCAACTGTCTCAGGCGGCTGCGAGTCATAGGGCCAACCGAACGTTGAGCTTGAGTCGGACGTCGGCGAGAGATTCTGGTGGCAGTGGTTGGCTTTGCTGGGAGCTTGAACTTCAGCGTCACCTTTGGTTTGGCGGGCACCGAAAGCTTCAAAGTCAACTTGGGCTTTGGAGGAGCTGAGAACTTCAGTATCAATTTTGGTTTTGGTGGCGCTGAGACCTTCAAGGTCAACTTTGGTCTTGTCGCGGAAGTTGCCAGGCTCAGTAAAGGCTCAGAGGCTTCAGGTTCTTCGCCATCGGCGGCATCCTGGTCAAGCCTTGCGCGCTTGTTTGGTGGTGCCCCGTCGTTGTCGTCGTCATCGTCCTCTCTGGCTCGCTTGTTTGAAGGCCGGGCTGTTGGGGATTGAGGCTCCCAGCCTGGCGGCGAGTTTGGGGGTGCCATCCACCCGGACCCAGCACGGTTGAAAGTGGTGGGAGGTTCATCATCATCGTCGTCGTTTTCGTCGTCTTCTTCTTCTTCTTCTTCTTCCTCCGTTTCATTATCTGGGAGGTCTGGATCCGCGTCGTCACTTTCAGACGACGATTGACGGATCAATTCGTCCACTTGTTCATCGAGGTCTTCGGGGACTTCGGGCTTGGGAGGGCGTGCGAGGACTCTTGCTGGTGGATCATCGAAAGTCTCGAGAAGTTGGATGGGACGGCCATCCGCTGATTGCCAATGCTCCGGATCGTAGTAGGCGTCCAGCACCCCGGCCTCATGTGGAGCGATTGGGGTCTGGTCCTTGGGGCTGTGGAGCTGCGGCTCGATTGGCACATTGCGCGGCGGAGGGTTCCAGTCGATGGCTCGGAAGAGAGGATTCGTCCAGGGGGTCTCTGGGACGTGATAGGTAAAGTCAGCCTCGTCTTCTTCCTCATCTTCGTTTTCATCCTCTGCTGGGGTAGCAGAGTGAAATTGGTTGTTCTCGGGTGCCCACGGGTCATATCTGTCCCAGTATCCGTTCTCGTCGATCTGCGGCTCATAGTGGTCGCTGCAGGTGCTGTCGACGTAGCGGAACTCGATTGTGTTGCTGCAGATTGGGAGGCCGTGGGCGTGGTAGCCTGTCGGATACGGGGGGTTTCCTCGGGCAGCGGCCGCTTCGCAAAGCTCTACTGTCATTGGTTGCATGTTTCCAAAGCAGTTGAGGCCTTGGTGCGAGCAGTGGGTGAAGACGTATTGGATTTGTCGGCACATCTTGATTGGTAGAGTTCTGAGAGTGCAACGATTTCAAAAGTCTTCCAGGTGTGATGGTTTGAGAGAAGATGAGGGAGGCAAGAGACGAGAGGAAAGAGGGTAGAGGAAGGAAACCGTGCGAGCAAAAGACTCGAGAAGATATAGAAATATATATATATCCCCAATTGGGAACCTGGCAGACGAGACATTGTGTTCAAGTTTCGTGGTGTTCATAGTCACTGTTAGCAGCGGGTATTCAAGTTGTTGTCGAGGTGCTATTGTGTTGGGGAGTGAATGAATGGGCATTGTGATTCAAACAATCAGACTGCAGTGAAGACAGCTCTATTGACAGGGATGGAAGGACAAAGCTGAATGACAATAAAGCATGAGAACACAGTGACTGAAAGAAGACCATTATAGTAAGTGACAATCAAGCACGACAATTGACGAGTGACTTGTGTTCAGATTCGATTGTGCCCTCCTGGAGATCTGCCTGAGCAGTGTCCTCGACGCTTGTCGAGAGGTGGGATTTGACTCAATGATGTACGCCATAATGTAGACGTCTTCCTACCGTTATCGTCTCAGAGGACTGAGGCTGCCGGCCTTCGTGGTCGCAGCATGGCTGACGGTAGATATACATTCTATAGTAGTTCAAGTTGATGGCGTGGATAGATTGATCATTATTGAGGTCGAGGGATGAATTCCTGGAGTTGATATGATCCAATGTGATTGGACAGGCTCAAGAGGCCCGACCACGGCAGACCTCGGTCTGACGGCGGATGCTCCGACAGCCCCTAACAAGCGCTAACCTGCCCCTGGCCTATAGGCAGCCATTAGGCACCCCAGGTACTGCTCTAGGGATCTTTAGGCGACTGGGATCCAGGCGTAGAGGCATCCTCGGCTGCTGGGGGCAGGCTTCGGGAAGAATCGTGCGAGTGGCCTGCAGGTGTCAGACCATGGACGGATTATTGTATACGGTCGATCAGCAGTAACAATAATATCCGAGAGTCCAAGTTCAGCAAAAGGTAAACATCTGCGCACCCACCCGTTCCGCTTCATTTCAACTTGAATCACTCCATCCGTCTCCTCTACCGCCCTTTTCCTTCATCGCACCTGCGTGGCTCTTCACTTCCCTTCTCGCCATAGACAACTTGCACTTTTCTTTCCAACAGACTCATTTGTTGTTCGTTTGCTTCTCACATTCCTTTGCTCGTAGAGCTCCGTATTGCATCATTCCTCGCTGCGCGAGGCTTGGAATGTCAGCCTAATTTCCTGTCCCGACGAACCATTCGTTGAGTACGCGATACGCCTGGTACGCCACCCTGCTTGCAACACCAATGGTATGCCTTGCCCTGTCCGAACCAGACTGTCGGCGAGAGAGATCCATGACAACATAATTCCTGAGTCCGAGTGCGAGTGCGACGATGGAAGACGCTCATGCGCATCCTCTCTCCCCTGTCAACACCATCCATACGCGTTCGAGATCGAGCACCACCCTGACCCTGCGAGACCATCCTTCCTCTGATACCACGCCTAAATCAGTTCCCCATACACGTCAGCAGAGAATTTTACAAACCCGCAATGCTCGATTTCCCGCCCAGAGGCTTTCTGTTAATGGCATCACTGTTCCGTTTCCACATTTGATTCGATCTGTCGAGAACGACACCTATTTTTCTGCTCCCCGGTTGACAAAGCGTGAAGAGAATGGCCTTGATCCAGAAAAATCCTCCGACTTGACCAGCACCTCTCCCCGGTCTAGTATATTGAACGAAATCACAAATTCGGGAGCATATCGTGTCCGAGGTGTGCATAGAAGAGCACCTATACCAGTTTTCCAGGACTCTACAGAAAATCCCTGCTCCACCACGGCAGGTCCGAACTCGCCTTCAGTCTACCACGACGCTGCCAGCGATATTCAGTCGCTTTCTGGTGTTGATTCTTTCCGAGGCTCGACCACCATGGGGCTCCGGGAAGTTTCCATAAACCTCCATCGACCATCGCCCAACAAAGACTCGCCATATAACCGTTCCATGCGGAGTAGTTCTCGTCGCGTACCGTCCCATAGCAAAGCTCGATTCAATTCAGAAGAGTACATTGAACATATCGAAAATGAACTCCAGCTGGTCAAAGATGCCATGTACTCCCCGACAACTAACATGCCATGGAAGGAGAAGCTGAGAAAGGCCAAGGAAGAGAACGAGAGGCTGAAGAAGGAAATCGAAATCATGAGGTCGTCCTTTGAATTCGAATTGCAACAGACTGTTGAAAGGTCGACGGAAACGGAACAGAGGTTGAAGCGGAGGATTAAGGATCTGGAGGATGAAATGGAACACAAGCAAACCGTGATCCAGGACTTGGAGTATGACCGCGAGGAAAAAAGCATGGCCCAAGGTACCCTGGAAGTCCTCAAGGCAAGGATTGAAAAGCTCGAAGAAGAAAAGTCCAGCCTCGAGAACACGAACCGCGACATGACGAAGCGTAACGAGGTCTTGACCCAGCTACTGGCCCTTTCTCCCACCAAGACTCACCATAACTTCGAGCTTCCGACTCCTAGAAGACGAAGTGCGCGACCCATGTCTATGATCATCCCTAAGTTGCCGTCCTCGCCTGGTGGACAAACACCGTTAAGCCGGCCTCAATCGGTCCTGATATCACCTGCGCTTCCAGCTTCCGATTACTTCCCTGCAAGCGTTGCCTCATCACCTCTGGCATCAACTTCAGGAGGCATTGCCCATTCACCGTCAGCTTCTGAGGACGCCCACTCGATCGACTCGGGGTTGGGAGAATCTGCTTCGCACTTTACGGAAAGCGCTTACTCCCGACGGTCGACACTGGCCTCCTGCATCTCGAATAGTCCACAGACGGCTTCAACCGGGCATCGTCAGCCAGAGGCAAGACCGCCGCTCATGAGACAGCCTTCTAAAAGGCGACCTAGGAAGTTTATGCCAGGATCAACCCAGTTGAAGCCACTACTTTTGCCAACCTTTACTTCTGAAAATGGCAATCTTCCTTCTACATCACCCCTTACGTCACCGAATCGGAACTCTGTTGTTCTTGACGGTGGTCTATCTACGATGCAACAGTGGGGTTCTCCTCCGGTGCTGCAGAGACGGACGGAAGACTTGATTGAAAAGGAGGCATTGCATTCATCTCATGATGTCGCCGCGCAGACGAATCATGCTTTCCAAAGTCTAGAGGAGGTTTTCGCAAAAGAAGAGGGGTTACACTACCCTGGAAGCGCTGCAGAGGAATCATATGAGTCACCGGATCAGCGACGTTGTCTACAATCGCCTAGTCGTATTCAAGATATCCAAGCCAGCACGTCTCCATATGTCCAGCATGAGGAAGATGATGCATATGCGTCAGTCGGCCCTTGGGGCCTCGGGATTGACTATGAAATGCCTACGGATGTCGACCTTGCGCGCGCTACGGACGTTGAACAGACGAATCACAGCGATTTGTCCAGTGGCCATGAACGGAACCCAGGATTCGGAACGGGTCAAACTCCTGAGCAGCTCGTCAGAAGCCTCGAAACTCTCGACGAACAAGTTGAAATTCCACGGCCACTGTTTTTCAAGGATGTCATCTCACGGGAAGGCGATGTTCAGTCATCACCATGTACACAGTTTGAACGATCTCCATGGGTTCCACGAAAACGTCGAAAACCTGGCTCAGCTTTCGACGCATCACTGCCTGAGGACGACCTCGACCCTGGTGGTTCGCCGTTGAAGCAGAGCGCGAGTCCTTCGTCGCCTGAGTCAAGTTCGGGCCCTGCGCAGCGAGCAGTTGCCGCCTCAGCCGAACCCTCGACCCGTTCTTTTGCTCCTAGGAGGCAACGTTCTAACAGAGGCCGCAGCCCCCTGGAGATTCTTCAGCAACGCAATGTTGGTCCACGTCCACTTGCTGCCATCACCATTCAGACAGTTTATGCCACATTATCGCGCTACACTTCATATATCCAAAGCTTCAAGCGGGATCCACTTGCTCTGGCACGACGGGTCATAGCCAACGCGTGGCGCTCGAATTGGGCTGTGTTTGGGAAGTTGAGTTGGTGGGTGATAGGTTTGTTCATCGGCTACCGACGTCCCCGACTTGGCCAACGTACGTGGGACTGGGACAACTATGATGGTGAAAGCATTGCCGATCGCTGTTGTGGCTCTGATGAAAATCGAGTGCCTGTGGACGTGAATTCTGCTTCCATGGAAAGCGGGAGCGTAGAGCGAGCAGTTGACAATGTTGGCGTCGCGACGAGTGCCGGTACAACCTCAACAGATGGAAAATCATCGCCACCCAAAGAACCCAAGCCAGGCTGGGGCAAGTCCCTGTTTCTCTGGGGCAAGTTCAGCGTGGCAATCATGCTTGCAGTGGGAGGTGCCATCGTGAAAGGACCAGCCGAAATGCTCCGCGAAACTGAAGAGAGAAGAAGATCACGGAGCAACAGCCTCACCGGAATCAACGTCAGAGAACAAAGCGGCGAGTCCGGCACAACCGGTCATACTGGTCGAGCCCCCGATCGTTTTTACAGACACCAGCAAGGAGCTTGGCCGGCAACAACTCCAGACCGTGAAGACATCAAAGGAATGGCAACGATCCGCAAAGTTCGAAGCTTCAGTTCTCCAACGCCTCCATCATGGCAGCATCAGGTTGAGGTTGAGATTCCACTGCACGACCAGTCCTGTCAAGATCTTTCAGAAAATGAGCAATCCAAGTTGGGCTCTCATGGGATATCCACGGACGACGATGATGCTCCTGGAGCTGCCAACGACACCCTGAAACCCGTTAGAACCGAGCGAAAGGCGATTGGATCATTATTCGAGCTGCCAGGTGACGAATGCCTCCAGAATCCTGTAACGGCAGACTCACCAGACACAGGCAATGCTGCTTCGACGAGCGGTGGAAGAGGAACTTCTATCGAACACTTGTTGGAGAACGGCTGATACTCAATTCAGTCATGACAACACGACAACAATAACACACGTTGGGGGTATTGCAGTCGCTCTATTTGAATGTGAATCCGGCTGGTGCAGACGGCCGCAGAGGAGAGGAATTGTATGAATTACGAGGTTACGAAATGATACCATCGCAGCGCAATGCAACGGGTTTCCATCTTGTCCTTATGACAAGAATGGAGGAAATTGAGGAAAGGAGTGGAGGAGCAACAGCTTGCTATGGCGCATGTTGTCCATTGGCACGGCCATTCAGTATTGGGTACTCAAGTACTAGTAATGTTCAATACAGATGAAGATATCCACCGAATCCGGAACTTGAGGATGAGCAAAACCCATGCATACGCACAGGCAGCCGAATTACGAGTTGGCAGACTGTTCGGAGAGGGTAAATTGCCGTCGAAGCTTTTACTGTCTAGAGAACAGGAAAGATAGGTAATAATCGTAATTAATAATTACCTCCTCCTAGTTAGTAGGACGATGGAAAAGAGTCCCGGTCAATTTTCTTCGCCTGATCAATGTATTATTAGTTGCGATTGCATTGTCTTGCCTTGCCATGCCATGCAGCGTGATGTTTTTGCGCTGAAGGAACAATTCGTGTCTTGTCTGTCCGTCTGTACATACCAGTACAGTGCAAATCTTCGACTGTACAGTATGTGTTTGCGGCAGCTGAACCGTCCGAAAGACCGTCTGAAATTCCACCGTTTGAAGGTCGACAAGATCAAGATCCTTCCTTTCTTATTGGTCTGATCTTAGAGCATTACCACTAAGACTGTTCCCAAAGGTGTGAGCCAAGCCAAGTCGAAGGGACCCTTTTGGTCCGTCCGTCCGTCCGTCTGGGTTTCGAAACAAAGTGTAGGGGAGGCCATTCGTTGAACGGTGCCTGCTTGACAATGGCGAGGATGGGCATAGTATGTCATGGCAAGGGCGTAGCTGTAGTTCAGCAGCAGCTGTGACGAGAGAGAGTATAGAGGCAAAGGACTGTCTGATGTGTCCATCTCGGCCTGAACTGAACTGCAGTGGACTAGGCCAGAAGCCACGGCGATGGAAGTGCCGTGCAGTGCCAGTGGTTTGTCTTCATGCCATCGTGGTCGGACATCGTGGCATTTTTCCACTCGGCCCGAGAGAAAGATAGATAGGCTCCTCAGACAAGAGCAAGCAGCAACCAACTCGAACATGACATATGCTGTCATCAAGAAATCTGACAAGCCAATGCAGGCCACTGCGGTCCGATACGGATCCTTTCTTTGGCCTCAGTAGTACATCACACGCCCAAGTTGGAGAATCATTCATTCCTTTTCTTTTCCCTTGCCTTTGGACTCCTCATCATGATCATGATCCTTCAGCTTTCCCTGCGCCCTCAACTTCCTCTTCTCTCCCACATCCCAGTTATGCACTCTAGCAATCGCAACTTCCAGCGTCGTAATCTGAATCCTTAGAAACTCCAAATCCTCCTCCGCGGCCGCAAGACTTTCCTTTGCCTTGTCCAATTTCGACTGTAACAGCTCCTCCGCCTCGTCCAGCGGATACGCCACCATGACATTCGCCCCTAGCCACAGATAGACCTCGTTTATCTCTGCGGGTCGGATCTTGGCTTTGGCGTACAGGGTATCTTGAAGACTGAATGTTGTTTCGATTTCGTCCGACTTGTTCGGATCCAAACCGTCAGTGTCCGCATCGAGGTCGTCCCCGTCGTCGCTGTCCGTGTTCGAAGTGTTTGCAATGTCTTTCCTCTTCTTCTTTAAAAACTTCACCACTTCCAACGTCCTCTTCATGTCCGGTAGTTTCTCTTTGAGCCCTGCCGCCCGTCGCTCCACGTTCTGTTGCATGAATGTGTATTTGGACACCATTTCCTGGAATCGCGTGAGCGTCGGTTCCACGTCTTCGAGCGATTTCACGTAGTCGGTCACATTGGACATGAATGGAAAGGAAGGGATTCCTCGAGGATTTGTCGTCGTCTGTGATTTGTCCATGGTGCCGCTGCTGGCCATGGCGGAGTGGTGTACGGTGGAATAGGTACTGGACTGTACGTTGCTCAATTGCAGTGTGCAAGGCACCTAGCAAGGTACTGGTACTGGTAGTGGACAGTACAGAATCCGTAGAGGATGGAGATGGTCGCCGGTTGCTGATCTGTTTCTGTTGACCAAAGCTGCGCAGCGTAGTGTACGTGTCCTGAGAAAGGAGCAAGTGCTGGAAATGCGGCAGAATCCGACTTTGAGTTGTTACTGTTTACCAGGGAGTAAGTAGTTCACTGTCTCGAGAGGGGCGGCCGGAACAACTGTATCTCCGTAGGGTAGGTAAATCCTGTATTACTAGGTAGTAATCCCAAAGCAGCCTCCACAGCCAGCACAGTACAGTGGAACTCTGTACCAATGTTCACGGTTCTAGTTGTCGTCCTGTCCTCGTCGCAGTCTATCGCCGTAGCAATCACTTCATCCGATTACACACCGAAGTTGGCATTGTTTACGTGCATTTACGGAGCGCTCTACACATTGAAAGCAATCCTTGGTCCTTTCTGGTAATCGTCATAGGTATTTTCGCTCGCGAGAGCCTTACTTGTCTGATGCCAATGTTCTACAAGTCGCATTGTTTGCCAGCGCCCGGAAAAACTTGGACCCAATCACATCCTGTGCTCCGAGTCCTGTCATGCTCATACTTTGTCATTAAACCGTTTGCTCCCAGTCCTCAAGTCTTCATGCGGTAGCAGTAGCCGCGATCCATGGAACGCCTCTCATTTCAAACCCAACCCAACCCAATCCAGTCCGTAACACATTATCCGTTAGGATGAAACAAAACTCGGCGAGAGTCTACCTTCCTCAAATACTCATCTCCGCCTCAGCGCTGCCTTTCCCCTATGAATGCTGCTGAGACTCCCATTCGGCTCTCTTTCTCTTCATCTCCTCTGCATCAAACGTAGGCAGGGTGGGAGTGGTCGGTTCGTCACCACGACTCGACGGCCGGAAGCTGCTTCCATCCAGAAGACCGGTATTCGACCTCATCTTCCGTAGACTCCGCTTGAGCTTGAGACTACGATCTTTCGCGGGACCTGAGACAGGCTGCCCTGAACCGTCCACCATCGTGGCATCGGCAGACTGGCTCGAGACGGTCCGAGGACGTGGGTCATCCTTGACGTTGTTGCGGCTTTTGATCTTTCGAAGTTCTCGCGCGATACGCTCCAATGTTGACCCAGATGACTTCTGGGTGACCGTAACATCGTCCTCATCATCCCTGGGAATAGGAAGTGGCTTCTCTGGCAACTGTTTCTCTCTTGACACTTGACGGTTGTGATTGAAGCTGCTGGTGGTAGTGCTGAAGCTGCTGCTGGTACTGGGCCGTGTGGCGTGGCTTTGACTCGAGTTGCGCTTGGAAGAAGCTGTAGATCCGAAAGAAATCGCCGAGTCCACCTTTCGCCGGCCATCTTCTTCGGTTTCAATAGAACTAAAAGAGGCCGCAGTCGGAGATGGACCACGACCAGTAATCTCATAGCACTCTTCGATGATACTGTTGGCCATGCAAAGGTAATTGTCCAGCGTGTCCCGAAGACTCTTCCAGCCGGTCGGATCTCCTTCTTTCCTGCCGCCGGCAATTAACGTCGACAGAGCTCCGGGGCCCTTGTGTTCGACGGCTTTGATGTAGAGAAAGAAGCCTTCACGTTGCTTAGAAAGAATTCGGGGTGTGAGGTCAGCCGTTGGCTGCACAAACTGCTGCTTCGAGTGGATGTTGATAGGTGGATAGAGGGTGTTGAGCATTGCAATGCAATTGGCTTTGTTGAATGGCGTCAGGGAGAGTTCATTGATCAGCGTCCATCTACGCAGACCGAGGTATACATGTGTGTACAGTTGTTGGACCCTGCGCTCCTTCTCTTCGATGTCTGTAACCCACTGCAATACTCCCGGGTACTTGCGTGCTAGTTTGTCGCGATAGCCAATGTCCTCTCTGTCAATACCAAGTTTCTCAAAAGCTGCAACAACCTCACGTCTGCGTCGGACTTCCAGATCTTTCAGATAATCCATGGCGGTCAAAGCTTGGGGAAAGTCGACTTGGTCGAGTTCGGCGGGAAAACAACGACGGACGAAGCTGGTGATGAAGCTTGGAGGCAACGAAGTGGGCTGTGACGGCAGTTGTGAGATGTGTGCCATCAGATTTGCTCGTAATTGCGCAGCTGCTGTCGCAGTGCTCATGGTTTGTTGTTCGTCGACCGCATCTTGGTTTGGTCGGGGGAACGCATTTCCGGGGATACCAGTGGACGGTGGTAATTTGGGAGACTGTTGTTGGTTCTGGGTTGTTGCGTTTAGTGTGTACATGGTGCGTAACGGGATCTCATAAGTCCCTGGATATGCCAGTAAATGTTCCAGCACCCAGGGATAGGCGGTTCCCTGCGAGCCGGAGTCGCCGTCCAATGCCGACGTATTCTCCATGGCTCGTGATCGTGGTCTCGGGAAGGTGGAGCTTCCAGTCCAAAGGACGAAGGTCGTTGGAATCCAGCCGCTGGGGAGGAAGCGCAGCGTTTCAAGTACCAGATTTTCTGCAAGACCGCTTACGACCGCGCGACAGAGGTCGATGTCTGTATGGAGTACCAGAACTTGGGAAATTCTATCTTTGTCTTCGAGTAACCCGCATCGGTAGCACCTGATCAGCACACTCTTGTTTACCACCCACGGAATTTGTCAACAACGCGCGAGATGGTGAAACCTATGAGGTTCGAGCGTCGAGGAAGTGGTAAACAGGTTGTGAACCGTGCGTAGACCACAAGATCACAGTATTATTGTTTACCGAAGTTCGGACCGGAACGGTAGTCTTGTGTTAAGTCGGGGTGTGGGACCATGCCACGATTGAAATTTGACGGCTGCCGTCAATAGTTCAACCAATGTCGAGTACAGCTGAGCCTGTATTCACACAAGATGATAGCTGCTTTCGATCGCTGATCAGTTTTTCTCTGGTGACGATCGGTCGATCGAGAAGCAGGGGAGGACGGACTCGAAGGAGCAGTGCTGGTTGGGTCGAGGAGGAACGGTCTGTGCGATGTTGAGGTTGCGGCAGTGCGAGAAGTGAAGGACGATGGATTGTAAAAGAGCTTCCAGGAGACACCACGTCGAGGCTAGTCACCGGGATGCTGGGACACAGTGCGGTGGAGAAGAAGATGGGGAAGACGGACGGTAGTAGTAGTCGAAGAGACAGCAGGAAGAAAAGGTGTTGGTGGTATCCGTTTACTTCAAGTCTGGATACTATGCAAACTTGAATGGTAGGTACCGTGATGATCGCAGCGGACAGGGGGGCGTGGAAAGTGTGGAACAGGGCACAACTCCAGTATCGCGTCGAGTCAGGGTTCGATTTCTTTGTGATGATATCGAGGTGCCACGAAACCAGAACCGTTGCGCGTGGAATAGCGCGCAGATGCGTTGCTGATGATGGACATTGACTCAACGGGCCAACGTTGGTGTGTATGGTCTGGTACAGACTGATGCTGAGTTACAACCTGTACAATCTACGGCGTCTTGTGTACAATCCAAATCTTCAGACTCTCTACCTGTCCCCTCCACCACTGCGCCCGCGACGTTCCTTCAGCCCACCTTTTCTTCCCGTTGCCTCTCGTATCAACCTTTCAGTATCTCGTAACCCCCCATGTTACTCCTCACTACTTCCGTGCCCATGTTTGTACCTCCTCGTACGCCCCTTTGCGTCCAGCCATTTCATTCCCTTTGCCGGCGTTGTGACGACCAGCTCGTCGTTGCTTTGTCCCACTACACCTGCAACAGCTCGCCAGCTTCTGCACGGAGATGAGCCGAGCATCACGGCACGCCAATTACCACTACGACTAGTATCCCCGGCCATCAGCGTCCAGAGCCGACCTAGCATGGGTCCCTGGCCTCAACCCGTCCCAGCCCTGAACCGAAGGCGTAGCCACTCCACAAATCCGCCGCGCCCCTGGGCTGGGGTCCGCAGTTTCGGCACGCTACAGATCCTCCTACGGCTCCTACGGCCCCTACAAGCTCTTGGTGCCTCTTGGTGTCTATCCAGGCCTAAAGAGCTTGCCTTAGAGCTCATTCGTCTTACCCACAATTACCACAGCCAGGGGTAGCCTTTTCAGCCCAACCGAACGCCCGAATAGCCTCTATCTAGCTCTGCACCGGTGTCAAAAATTGTCCGGGTGTTGGGTATCCGTTCGAGTCTACCCACAGAGGCGCTGTCTGTCACGGTACCTGAGCCGAGTCGACATGTGAAGCATCATCAGAAACGTCCGTCACTTCAACGCCGTCATAATCATACCTGGCCTATTCCTCGCCAAAGATTAATGAGCAATGATAGTGCGCACTTATACAGGCCCCATACACCTACTAGGTGACCAAGGTCGAGTCGTTCAATTCCAGCACAGCTCGAAGGAATGATCGTCGCTGTTCCACTATACTTCCCGCTGGCGGGGCGCTTTTTGGCCTCAAGCTTCCATCTTGTCAGTAGCCAGCCAGTCTACTTGGATCACAACACGCTACGAAAACGCGTCGAGATGCGATGTTGACGTTTGTTGTGCCGTTCCCCTGAGAAGCCACCGCATGTGTTTACGGACTGGTGATTACTTTTCCAGTGCTGGTCACACAATGCCCCAGGGCGGTAATTCATGAGGTAGTCAGAACGCGGTCTCGCGTGAGGTCTGGGACGAAAACTCTGCAGACGTCTTACAAAAAGGGATGGACCACACTTGCAGGGGGCTAAAGTCGTTCCTGCGCCGAGGGATACCCAACATGGATCCGCCCCTTGCGAAACCGTGGACCTGGATCCTAGACCTGCCCAGCGTGCCACCGGAGGGGAAATTGCAGGGGAACTGATTGTGGACAAATCATGTCCTTACGCCTCACAGCTTCACCAGCATCCGGACGACCCCCGGGGCGGCCTACAATCGGCATCCCAAGGCCCCCTCTGGACATTGGGCAACATCAAAACCGCTATGAGTGGTCCGGCCTAACGTCCGAGTGCTGACCACAGAATGGGCAGACGATGAGCTGCCATGCTGAATGAGGAACTGCGCAGATCGCGGTTCTGATACTCGATTCACCAAGTTCGAAGCTGAACGGCATCTACTCTCCCACTGTTGGCTTCGCCAAGTTTCCGCGCTGTCTCGCCTTGTTTCGTAGCTCAGTTGGTGGCTAGCATCGATGTCTCCGCGCTTGCTAAGACTGGAAGGGCTTATAAAGTCCTGAAATGGAAAGCACCAAACCAAACCCCCGGACAACGATCATCGCTGACCAGCGGGGCCCCTTGACACTTTCCAAGTATCGGGCTTCCAAATAATCACCGGTGCGCTGAGCATTGCTACTATCGAACCGGTGGGCAGGTTCCTCCGCTAGAGGTATCCCTTGATTAAGCGAACGATACGGAAAGAGTCCCGCCAAACTATGATGTAGAAGTACTCAAACTGGTGATTGACTCCTGGGACAGGATCGTCATGCGTCGACCTTCGCTTAATCCAGACCAAGCCCTTTTCAGCAGCTCAATTTTCCAGCAATTCCTGGTTGTCAAGAGGGCAACACCAGGTTTGTTTGTCCCTGCAACGGTGACGAAGTCGACCAACCTTCACAGGGTTGAAACACACAGGATAGGGTCTACACTGCTGACATGACATGCAGTCTTCCCCGGCCTCGCGTATGCTAAAAAGCTCTGCCAGTCTTGTACAATGTTGTATAATTGACGTTGACTCTTGCGACACCTTGCAAGGCAAGTTAGGTGGCGTCACTGTTGTCGTCCTCATTGCCGGTGCTCTCGCTGCTGTTGCCTGAACGATCCAAGTCGCTCAGAGCCCACTCGCCTCGAAATCCTTCTTCCGGTACTGGACTGGCCAAGTCCACGCCGTGTTCCTCCGCCCATGCCACTATTTTGGATCTGTGGATGATCATTGTGGCCAACTCTTCCGATTCTGAGTGGCCATGGCTTGCAACTCCGTTCAGTTCCCCGGCCACTGTCTTCTTCCTTCGAGGTAGCATGACCTGGCAAATTCCCATTTCGGTCAGGGCAGCCACAACATCCTCACCGAGCATACCCGTCCGATTTCCAATGTCCTTGACGGTCATCTCCTCCTTCCTTGGGTGGGCGGTCGTCGTCTTCTTGGCTGAGTGGAATACCCGCTTCGCATCGGCATCTGCGGTTTGGCCCATCATAAATCGGGCGATACGTTCAGACCAGAACCTCAGGTAGCTCCTTCGACCCATGGCGCTGAGAGGCTTCTCGGGGCCTCCAATGACGCCTCCTTCCCACTCCCAACCACTTAACTTGTACGAGACTGCCATGAGCAACTGACCAAGCTGCCGATGCTGAAAGGGAGGAAAGATGAGGATGCAGGCCAAATTGTTGCAATCCCAGGACAGATCTTCTTTGGAAAAGAAGCCAAGCACATGGGACTCGTCCAAGACGTCGTCCTCGAATACTGATGAACTCCGTTTCCTCCCCCGGCCTTTGGTCGTAGGTGCAGTTGAGGCCCGGCTCGGCGTGTGGGTCAGGACATAGTACTTGAAACCCGCCGTGTCGAAGAAGACACTCTTTTGCTCCAGAAACAGCTTACCAAACAACGACAGGTTTTGGCAGTAGAGCTTTTCTTTTTCCCCGTCGATTTCCCACACCGCATAACCCTGCCAGTCGTATACTTTGTAGGCGGATTCAGGGACCGGTTGGGTCTCGAGGCCCTGATCGCGGCGTTCTTGGTGGTGCTGGAGATGAAGAACGTAGTCGTTTTCCACGGGCGTGTACCGGAAACAACGGGGACAGACGTAAAGTCGACGACATAGCGGTTCGCTGCTAATTGTCGCCAGCATACTAGCCAGGCCACCGCGAGCTGCTGCTCCATTCCGCAGTTCGGCTGCCGTGGAAGAACCGCCAAAGACATGTTGTTGTTGCTTCCCTGCCGCGTGGTGTTGATGCTCGGGTCCAAGAATGATACTGTCCGGGTAAGGCGAGTAATACCAAGTGTCGAATAGCAGATTTCCCAGCACCACCTGGCCAATGTTCCGGTTCAAGACCTTCAAGGACGCCCTTCTCGACCGATGATGATGGGGAGACCCTTCTTGCAGCACAGACATGTTGTCAATGGCGGATGGCATGATCGAAACATGAAACACGTCGTCCTACGGACTTTGATGAGATGACATTATCTCCGCGAAGGACACATTGCGCCAGGGCAAGAATAAGCCGCGGTAACGAGTCGGTCAGTACTTGGTTTGTGCTGTGAGCGCGTATGTAAATACCTAGTGGGTAGGTGACAAGCGCGTTGATGTTCTGTTTGGCGGGTCCCGAGCCGAAGGTATTATTTGTTATTAATGTGGTCTTCTAGCTAGTGTTTCGCCTCTCTATCGAGCTGTTGGTAACCACAGAGCAGGTAAGGTACTAAAAGTACCACTATACACAACTTCACAGTTCCAATGTTGGACTTCGATCGTCGTAAGTTGGATGTTGGCGAGGGGAGGGCACTGTGGTTGACTGACGCCGCTTTAGCCTTGCAGAATGGGAGGGAGTTATCACGTGATAATTTGGGATGTCTTCCTCTTTTGCGTCGTTGGTATCAAGTTTATAAGATCCCAGGTTGCACGACTAGCCCTAGACCTGTATTTTCGTCAAGTAATGCAACATCAAGTCTAAGTCCTGATTGAGCGTACCATCATCACCAGGACTACGAGGGCAAAGCAGCGTTGCTAGTATTGGGGCAGTAACCACGTGATTATGTAACATGGTCCGCGACTTGAAATGGGACCCGCGGCGTATACCAAACAGTGCCAGTGGCAGTAAGTGATAAAGTGGCAACAAAGGACGTCTGAAGACACCCGCAGACACCACGACCTACGGCATTCCACGACCCATCACTGCCACCCCTTATATTTTCTAAAAGGCACCACGTCTATAGACACCTTAATTCTACGTTAGCCAGTTTAATCCACTCGTTTACTTTCACCTTGATCGACACAGCGACTGCGACTCCTCTGCTTGCAATAGATTAATACCTACTGTACCATCTCCATCGCTTCTCTCGTTCGTCGACTTCATCCGATCCGAGTACCGTGACCAAGCGCTAAAAGGGCACGACCAACTCACACTCAGCATGCAAAGATGAAGTTCCGACTCCGACGGCTGAGTCTCCTGGCCTTCGCGCTAGGACTCAGTTTCGCAACCCTTTGCACGGCCGAGGCCGTCAACATCCCCGCCGATGCATCTGTATCTTCATTACTCGCCTCCGGCAAAGCGGCGCGGGCTCGCGGAGCCAACAGCGAAGCGCTAGCATACTTTGACGCGGCGGTGTCCAAAGACCCAACAGACTACCTGTCGCTATTCCAACGAGGAGCCACCTACTTGTCATTAGGCAAGAGCCCACAAGCGAGCGAGGACTTTGACCGAGTGTTGAAACTGCGACCTGGGTTTGAAGGCGCATTGCTACAAAGAGCGAAGATCCGGGCAAGAAACGGAGACTGGGCCGGCGCGAGACAGGACTATGTGGCATTGGGTGCACGAGCAACAGCCGAACTGGCCGATCTCGAGGAGGCCGAGGGCGCAGCGCTTCTTGCGCAGGAGGCGGAAAAGAAGGGCGACTGGGAGAAATGTATCCACCAGGCCGGAATTGCCATCATGACGGCCAGCACGGCAGCGTCGCTGCGGCAGTTACGTGCACGATGTCGGTTCGAGCGAGGCGAGATACGCGAGGGACTCAACGATCTAGCGCACGTACTGCAGATCCAGCCGGGCCTGGTCGAGCCACATCTCCAGATCTCGGCCATGCAGTTCTACAGCCTGGGCGACACGGAGCGCGGGCTGGCGCAGGTCAAGAAATGTCTGCACTCGGACCCGGACTCGAAGCCCTGCAAGACGCTGTTTCGGGAGGAAAAAGCCGTGGCCAAACAAATCGACAAAGTTGACGCGCTAATGGACAAGAAACAATTCAACTCGGCGAGCAAGATCTTGACTGGACGAGTATCAACAACAACCAAAACCACGGCCGAAGACAACCAGGGCCTGCTCGCGGAAGTCGAGGCCAACATTGCTGCCCACCGCGCCAGCGGGATCATCCACCCCCAGGCGCCGTCGGGACTATATAACGACCTACTCGAGAAAACATGCCAGGCATACATGAGCATGAACAACATGAACAAAGCCTCCAATTTCTGTCCGGCCGCCCTAAAAGCCAACCCATCATCCCTACCGGGCTTGTTATATCAAGCCCAGAAACATCTGGACGACGAACTCCCAGACGCAGCCATCTCCACTCTCCAAACCGCACGCGATAAACACAGCCACGACTCGCAGGCCCAAAGCCTCATCAACCAAAAGTTGCACGAGGCCCAAGTCGCCTTGAAACGCAGCAAAACAAAAGACTACTACAAAGTCCTGGGCGTGTCGCGCGACGCCGACGAGCGCACCATCAAGAAAGCCTATCGCACCGCCACCAAGAACTTCCACCCGGATAAAGCCGCGGCAAAGGGCATCCCCAAGGAAGAAGCCGAGAAGAAAATGGCCGCCATCAATGAAGCCTACGAGGTCCTCAGCGACCCGGAACTAAAAGCCCGCTTTGACCGTGGCGATGATCCCAACGATCCTCTTGCAGGCCAACAAGGCGGTCCTGGCGGTGGTGGTGGTGGCTTTTATCAGCAAGGAGGCTCGCCTTTCGGCCCTGGTGCCGGTGGCGGCGGTCAGCATTTCTTCTTCCAGCAAGGAGGCGGCGGCGGTGGTGGTGGTCAACAATTCAAGTTCCATTTCCCGGGCGGCCAAGGCGGTGGTCGTGGTGCTGGCGGTGCTGGGAACCCCTTTGCTGGTTTCCCTGGCTTTGGTTGAACGGATTTGGCCTCGTGGTTTGTTTCTTTCCCCCCTTTCTTTTTGTTGTCGCCAGTTTTTTGGGGGGGAGGGTGGCTTGGCCGGGTATTCTACGCGCGGCGTTCTAGAAGGACAAGACAAACTGTTTACATATGTACCTTGTTCAAGAATTTGGCTTGCACGTACTGTACGTCCCTGTCCTGGTATCCTTGCAGTGGTGCCCCAGCCTGAGTACTTACCCGGTAGCTACCTTAAGCTATGGAGCTTTTCCTTTGTTTTGTGGCGTCCTGCGGTTTCGTTTCATTTTGTGAACCATTCAGAATACCTTAATGATGAAACGATGATATGATATGCCTATCTCTCCTATAGTACCTTTGATTGTATTCCATTCCAAACTCTTGCTGCCATTGCCGTGCTCGATACCAGCATATCAATTTGGATCCCACTGCATTGAAATGGGATCTCATCATCATTCTGAATTGCCGATTCGACGACTCTTTCTGATTCTCCCGACGTGATCGTTCTCACCATATGGTATGAAGTATTTTCTCTGTCTTTCAGCTGCACCATGAGTTGAACGGAAAAGCAGTGGCTCAAGGGCACTGAATTCGACCAGGGCTGAAGCACTGCTCCCTGACAGAACATGCGGGTTCAACTATCCCACTGGCACAACTGCAGTTTAATGTAGCCGGATCTATACAGTATGTCCATCGCACTCCCATGGTCAAACAAAACTACAATTACCAAAGCCCGAGACGACGGGCAGATTTTTTTTGAACACATTGTATTCAGGTGCTAATCTACTTGACCTCGGCGTAGCCTCATGGCCAGTGATCTGTCGTCTCTCTGGCTATTCATTCTCCCCATCAAGCCCAATTGTTGCTAAAATAGTATGTTGCTTTTGGTGTATTAGAGTGCTCTCCTCCTAGCACTGTGAGGACATGTCAGTGATCAACTTCACTCCAAGCTCAAGCTACTCCAGGCCAGCTCCCAGCTCAAGGACAACAGAACCAGCCCGCGAACCACCGAATCCGACAAGGACCCCCGTCGATTGGTGGCCGGGCGAGATACTGTATGTCAATGTCGGATCTTTCTCGACGATATGCGGGTCAGTCCTGCTGCACAAGTATTGTTGTACCAGTTCAGGTCCAAGCTGTCGAGCCAGAAGATACCCACTCGACCTTGAACGCTAGCGTAAAAACTCAATGTGGTCATCTTGTAGAACAAGTAGTTGAACTTGATCTTGGTCAAATGGCAGCTCTTGAATCCCGGACAGGGTGGAATCTTGAAGTGCTGAGTTGCAGCAAGAACCTCACTGGCCGAATTGTTGTCCCACTTGTATGCCGTAGCAACAAAGTCACATGTAACGCTGGCATTCGTGGCACCATTATCACAACCAACATAGGCTGAGCGTGCATTGAACCAGTACTGATTGTCATAGTTGCGGGGACCACAGCCCAATGAACTGGGAGGAATCAGGCCTGCATCTGGAGAACCGGTATCATTGTTGGCAAGAGAGGGCACAAATTGAGCGAGGCGATTGCCTGATTGTGGTGGGTAAGGTTCATTCGGTGGAGGTACATAGGCCCATCCATCTCCCCAGAAGAAGTGCTCGTAAGGGTTGAAGACCGGGGGAAAGTCAGCAGTATTATTGTCGGCGGGTGAAAATGATGGGAGGTCATCAAACTGTGCACCGGTCAGTCAATCTTCGTCAGGGATGCTCATTCAGGAACTTTACTCCAATCTCAAATGGTCCAACCTGCCCACAAGCAGTGGCACTCGCTGACGGGGATGAGGATGTCGCCGCAGGTGTGGATGTCTCTATGGTGAGGATAGGCTGGTCAGAACTGCTTGAGGAGGTGTCTGCCACAGCGATAGTGCCGATACCCGGGATGTAGGTTGGAGTCGCTGTTGTCACAGTTAGGAACTAGTTACAAAAGCAGGAGTGCTATGCCGGTTTACTTACTTGTAGTCTCCCATGAGGTGTACGTCAAGGTCGAGACGCCGTCCCAGTTATTGCACCAACCGACCTGCTGGCCATCAATGGTGGCAGTAATCCAAACGCAAGTCTGTCTCTTCTCCTTGGCATCGACCACGCTTGGGAAGCTCTGCGACCCGTATCCATAACCAGGAAGGATATAGGATGGATTGGGCGCAGAGGTAGCATTAAGGGTGATGCTCTGGGTAATGGTGTACGACGAATTTGTCAATGTGACCGTGGACGTAGCACCATAAGTCGGCCGACTTCCGGATCCTGCAGTTCTGGTGCCTGGCAGATAACTTCCGCCTGTTCCGGCTGTTCCAGCTGTTCCAGTGCCCCAGAGTGAAGAGTTGGCGAGTGTATTGTTCCAGCCTCCGGAAGGCTTCGAGAACGCCGAAGGACCATGGGTGCTGTTGGTCTGGATGTCGCGTTGAGCTGTCGTTGCACTCTTCAAGGGCCAGTTTGAGGGCCAGACAGTCACCGTTTGCACTCCAACAGAAATGGTTCGCCCAGGATCCTGGCCGGAACTAAGCTTAGAATCGGATTTGGACATGTAGAAAACAGAACCTCCATTGTTGGACACCTCGGTAGCCTCGAAGCCAGAGACACGGACTGTCTCAATGAAAGTGGGGGTGGTGGTCGGATGCTTGTATCCGGTCGGGAGCAACTCGCTCTGTTCGATGATGTACTCAGTATCAATGGAGGCCATTGATTTTGCGACTGATGATGGATCTTGCTCGAGAATGGTGACAGTCGGAGGAGCATATGCGACGAATTTCGTGATGATGACAGTCTCGTGGACGGTTACAGGAACGCATGCTGGAGTGGTCCTGTGGGCAGTGTCAGTAACTTCAGGAACAAACGACTCGGTATCGCTCCGAGATGAGCGTCAGGCCTGAGTCTATCTCTTACTGGGATGTAGGTGAAGCCTGTCTGACGGGCAGGATTGCTGCTTTGCAGGATCCCAACAGCGCGCCCCAAACGAGAGCTGGACGCATGATCTTCATCGTGACAACACCACTGACTCTTTTGAAGGACCTGAGTCTTTCGAGTGCTTTGAACTCGTAGTCCGATGGTCTTGCGGAAGGAAGAAAAGTAGAGAGGGGAGCAAGTCAGGAGACGCAATGTCGAGAGCCTCCTGCCGAAACGCTCGATCTGAAGAGAACCACGAACTCGAACCTGAGGAGCCTCGCAAAGGGCTGAATTTGAACTTGAATGAGTGGTGAAGAGAGTGAGAGGGAGTGAGAGGCCAGTGAAAGAAATAGGCAACGAAAAGTCAAGCCGCACGCCCAGTTAGGAAGGAAGGAGCAGAATCACGGCTGTGCTGGACAAGCCGCAAGCCGCGTGCGGCTGCGCCTATGAATCTCACCAGGTAACAATAGGACAGCTTGAGGCACACTACTTCCTTGAACAGGATGAGCAGACACTGCATTCACGGTCACCAGATCCATGTGCATGATATCTCACTCCCGGCTTCAGTCTGAGGCAGCGGGCCCGCTCAGCGTCTACCCCCATTTCACCTCGTGCCTCATCCTGCCACTTTCCTGCCAACCAGTCTTGTACACCAGGCCGAAGGCATCGATCCAACGGATGCCGGCACATCGGGACCTATAAACCTATACCATGGGCAGGCGCATCGACTGTAGCCATGAGATGGAGGCATGCAAGAACTTGATAGGGAAGAAACACACGTGGCGACGGCTGTCGGAAGACGAAACATGCACCTTTCGCAGGATCCCATCTCTGCGCAACCCAGGAGATTGGCCTGATATCATATCGCACTGTATCCCCGGCCAATTTCGAGGCAACCACGTCTGCAAAGACCATTCCGGCCCTTCACAGGCTCGGCAGCAGGAAAGAAGAATGTTTGCTCTCTCCAGAATCTGTCACCACCCATTGCCAAGGTGGTCCACCTTCTCGAGCTTGCCGGCGTCTGCATGGAATTAGCCTTGTTCCAAATCGACGGGTACCTACAGCACGCAGTTGCCATGGCGGAGATTTGATGCAGCAGGGCCATTTCAAAGTCCGCTGTGTACGCAACGCGTGTGCTCCGTTCTCCTGCAACAGTAGGCAGAGCAGAGCGGGAGACAGCCATGGCGATATCACCTTGGTCGAAGGGTGAGCGAACAGAGAGAGATTCTCGCCTTCATCATACCATGCGAATGGTCAAGGCACCTACCTACCTACCTTGAGTCTTCGAATCTTTGTGCGGACACGGACAGCATGCACATGACTCCTTGTGTCGATCAGACATCCTTGAAGCATTGACAAAGAAAGAAGACTGTGTTGGGTGAGACTCGCTCACTACTAGATACCTACAGGAGGTACCTAAGGTGAGTGGCTCGGAGTCTACAGCTGTAATGTGTGGGTGACGGCTGCTAAACACCTACGGTTGAGTATACGGTCATCATGGTCGTGTTCCGTCTTCAGCACCGTCCGTTGTTGTCTGCTGCTCAGTTCCGCAAAAAGTTACATTACATCAAGGAACAACGCGTTGTTAGTAGTCAGTATCTAGTTGAGACAAAGACTTATTGATTTCGTATGGAGATCATTTTCTATAAAGGTATTGCAGTGCAAAAACTGTCATTATTGGCAGATCATGGACAGAATATGTGTAACATCAATCATCAAAGCCACAACCCCATCGGCAAGTGGGCCAAAACTGCCCCAAGTCACAAAGATTGAAGAATACCCCCACTGATCATGTAGATAGCTGGGATGAGAGGCGAGCCAACATCAAGACCCATCATCATTTCCAACTGAGGGTGTGCTGTAATCAGCACCGCATGAAATCGTAAACGCGGGTGAGCAGTGCCATGGTACGCTCAAGCAAGCAATCCAGTTCCCGATCCCAAACGCCCGCTTGCGTGAAAACACAAAATCAAAACACAGGAGTCGTGAGCCATATGCATGCATCCAGGCAATTCAAAGGGCGTAAAGACGTCAAACAACAGGACCAAACCAAAAATAAACGTGGGTATCTTTGAATGCAGGTCGTCAAGATGAATCCACAGCCAGAGAGGCTGCATTCCAAAAGCGTACCTCTGCTCTCGGCCGTCATAAGGATCCAGACACGTCTTGCAGTTAGGAGTTCAATCATCAAGGTGACAGGTTATCCCTGCCGGCTCACCGGGCGCTGGTCTCCTCGCTGGTCGCCACAGCTACCAAGGCTTCGAGCCGATTCATCCCGCCTCCACCGCCATCCGTACGGCTACCGAAGGATGTCGCATTCTGCCGATAGGCAGCCTCAAGATTGGGAGGAGGAGCCAAACAAACCTGCAGCGGGTTCAGTTTCAGTCCTACTAGAGCTTCTCGGCCATTTTCAAACTTACATTTTGATGTCCATCGTGAGGTATTGCGGAATGCTGGGGTTCCATGTAACCATTGCTATGCATGATCATAGGGTGCACTTCTACCGCAGTCATGCCAGGGGTCGGTACTCCATCACTACTGCTTGAATCTTCTGGCGATGTTCGCGCTGGCGGCAACGGTCCGTTATACCATCCCTGTCTTTTCAGCTGTCTATGAGAAGACTGTGCGTCCAGCTCCCGAGGGATTTGATGCTGCTGAGGCGGACCCATAGAAAGGGATGGTCCCATGTTCACATCCCTTGATGGCTCGCGTATTATATTCGCCGCATTATGTATCTCATTGATCGCTTGTTGGCTCCAGGACGCCGCAGCGTGGCTTGCGTCACGTTGATGATGAGGGTCCGAGTACTGGCTAGGACCAGGCCCATCCCACGAAGCATGCCCGCTGCGGAAACGAAGGTCCCGGCTCGGAGGAGAAAATTGCATGTCCCCGGAGGGTTCCGTACCCTGCATCGGACTTGGTTGGCGTCGAGGAGGTGTATATGACCGATGCTGGACATGGTCGAAGCTCTCTATGCCTGGAAGTCGAGGGGCATGACCAGCAGCAGTGGTGGCATATTGTGCATGGGCGGGCTGAGGTGCATCGGGAGTTTGCGAGTAGGTTAGTCCACTAGTTGCTGGGCGCTGATAGTTGAAATTGGCAGTGAGAGTTGATGCATGCCAGGTCCGTCTGCGCCAATCGTCTCCAGAAGGGACTGGTTGACCAGGGACGAGAGGGAATGTGGTTGAAGTAGGACTGGCAAAGACACTGGAGTTTGAGGAAGCATGAGAGCTTGGAGGCCCCATCTGATTCACGTATATGGGATACGCAGGAGGATATTGGTTCTGATAAGGGTTTGGGCCGGAGGGAACTGAAAGCCGACGAGTAGTTGGCCTGGAGCCGAAGAAGCCTCCTGACCGAGAACTGTTTGACACTGGTGACCCCAAGGACGACATAAACCCGGGACTTCCTGGAGTAGCCGAGAAGTTGGCCGACGTAGGGGTGCTCATACCACCCGGGGAATTTGGATTGTATGCATGATATTGCGCGGGCGGCGTCTGTGGCGGCTCGATACCGAGGCTGGGTCTCATTACACTATCGCCAGCCATGAGAAGCGGCGGCGGCCGTCTCTTTGCTTCTGTCATCACGCTGTAGTTGGACGATGTCGATCCGATACTCGACGTCGAAAGATTCCGACTGTGTCCCCGGCTGTGCCCACCAGTACTGCCGGTGGTACCTGTACGGGGACGACCACTCGGTCTGACGCGGTCTGTACGGATCTGCCGTTGAAATCGAGTACCGGTAGCCGCCAGGGAATCGGTAGGTATTTCTTCGTTCACATGGACAGTCTGCGCATGTTGTCGCAGATTGTCCAGGCGGGAAAACCGGCGGTTACAATGACATTGAAACGGCCTTTCGCCGGTGTGTTTTCGAATGTGCCGGGCCAAATGCTCGCTTCTCGTAAAGCTTAGATTGCAAGGAGGATAGCCCGTGCAGAAGAACCTTTGGCCCTTCTTCTTTTTGGAGGCAGAATCTGCCTCGCCCGCTTCGGCGTCATTGTCCGAGCCATGTGGATCGTTGTCATCGTCGTCATCATCAATATCCATTGAGCCGGAGTCTTGCCGACCGCGACCATCGTCGTCAGCATTCTGGTTATGGTTTTTGCCAGAGGCATCTTGCTCCGCGCGGTGGCTCGCGGGCTGCGAGGATGGCGGCGGTTGTTGGTCTTTTACGCCGACCACATTCGACTCGTGCGCAAATGCAGGCTGATGGCGACTTGCTCGAGGCGTGGTGGGAGTGTCTGAGTCGTCCCTTCGGTCCTTTGCTGGAATACTGTCGTTCTCGTTCAAGACGAGGCTCGATATCGCAGCCATCATGGGGTTGGCGTGAGGCTAGGCGACAGTCAAGGATCCGAGCGACGGCGGAGTCACGGCCGCCCAGCTGCTGCGCATCCGGAGCGTTTGTTGAACAATACAACGATAATATGTGAACCTCGTCCTCTCACTACTACACCGTGACGGGAAAGACCTGGCAGAGTTGTCAAGGTGGTGGCGACGGACGGCGTCGGAGGGGTAGGGATACGGCGATAAGACAAGGATGTCCGGAAGACGAGGGTCAGGAACTGGAAGGCTGCGCGCGCCAACAATCCATGCGATCGAGGTAGTTGGCAGGCAAGGCCGCCCCAGATGCGAGGGGGGAAATGGCGACAAAGGGAACGCTGCTGTTGAGGTACTGATGACTCCTTCGACTTGAAGTCCGCCAGAATTTGCAAAGGGAGTTCAGATCCTGGATGAAGTCGATGATCTCTGACAAACTCGACGGCGCTGATGCAGTGGATGGATGGGAGGTATCGGGAAGTGGCAAGGCGGACCCTGGCGCTTCGATGCCACTGGCAGTGTGGAGTCGAGGAGCGAGGCAGATGACGAGGATGCCAGGCTAAAAGTGAAGGGCTGAGCGGTGTGTGAACGGATGGGTTTGGCGAGGTACTCGAGACAGCGTTGATCCGGGTGTGCACCACTGCAAGCGATGATGGGGAATGAAGTAGGTGTAGATCAGGGGGTGTATAGCAATTAGAATGGCGAACTATAGACAAGAAAGAAAGAGACGGCGATGAATGAGATGAGCGGGAAAATGATGATGATGATGAATTCATGAGCCCAAAGAGGACGGAGGAGAGAGTATAGAGGCGTGTTAAGCCGCAGCGAGGACGAGGTGCATGTGCGAATATGCGAATACTGCAGTGCTAGTGCCGTGTCCGTGTCCGTGTCCGTGTCCCTGCCTGCGCGCCTGTCGACACCTGGAAGAAGCCCCAAACTGACCTTGGAGAGGGGCGGCGCGCAGCGGTAGGGAACTGGAACTGCTCCTGAAAGGCGACACTGCAGCGAGTGGACAACTGCAGAGCCCTCGCAGTCGCAGTGGCAGTCGCCTCTAAACACAGTTCATGCCACGCCTGGAAAAGAGGCTAAATAACTGGGGCCCGGGGCATGATTGGGCGCTGGCCTGGGACGTGCGAAGCTGAGGGGGCTTGCCGCATCTTCGAGGCACCGGGAAAGGCACCAGTCACCACAGACTCGGCGGTCGGCGCGCTTCAAGTTCATCGAAAACTCGGCCAAGGAACAGTCGTGAAAGACGCTCGGCACCGGTGACTCTCCCACTGCATTGCAATGATAACGAATGGTGCAGTAATAGTGGTCGTGCTATTCAAGTGTTGGCCAAGGGACAGACAGGTACCTTTTATTCGCGTCCATTCCGCGTCCACAGGCACAGGCACAGGTACAGGCACTTCTGACTGCAACTCGCAGACTGTTAGCGCTGATGCACAACTTGAACGGCGCTTGCACCAGGCGATGGAGACGCCAGAGGCACCAAGAGCGGCAGCCAAACTCGAAACATACGGCTCCCTGCAAGATCCAGCGAACTGCAGCCTCATCTTCAACCCTCTGCACACCATCAACCGGCCTTCGCGGCCTTGGACCAACCCGTCAAAGCCCTCCTCGCCTCGCTCGATCTGGGCGTGACATCAGGCGCTGCCACTCTGACACTTCACTTCATCTAGTCTTGATGCACACCAGGACTATCCCTTACAGTGCCCGCGATGTCTCTCGGCTGCGCTCGCCAGTCACCCAACCCTTCGGCGCCCTTGCACCGACGAACAGAGTATACAGTCCGTCTGGCACCTGTTCTGCCAGCTCATCTATGATGTTGAGGCTTCCTTTCGGCCGCACATGATTGTTTCCGTTACACCACATCACGGCGTCGAACACGAACGACAGACGTCGGATGTGGAAAAGTCTCTTTTCCTGTAGCCTGCCAGTGTCTCCTCTGTTTCGCCTCAGGCTCTAGTACCCGCTTTAGTCCTGCAGCTGACTTCCGCTCGAGCCGTCCATACTCGCCGAAAGACCGCTGGGCACGCAAGGGAACCTGACCGTCCGCGCATGCAGTCCTATCAAACGAACCGAAACGTTAGAAGCCATCAACGGAAAGACTTGATTATTATTACGTGCAGTCAGACTTCCGTGTAAGGTGGGGAATTCGGTCTGATCTGCACCAGGAGAAGACGCAATGATGGTTTGCTCGGTTCAGGCACAGGCACCGCCACAGGCGCACGCACCGCTGGCCTCAGGTACACTACCTACCTTACTGTACGTTGTACCTCTAGGTAAGAAACGCCTCCTGTGCCTCGCTAACCATTGGTGTCCTCCATGTAATGCGCACGGACGCTTCCCAACCCCCCATAGGAAAAGTATCGGGTAACCGTCTTTTGCCAACACCAGTGTTCAGCTGTATACGTGTATGTCATGTCGATTGGTGGTCTGCTTAGCCGAGCGAGCTTCCATGTCTAGCAACTGGCACCTATCACAGGAATCACGGTCGACGATCTGTAGGAGATCTTATACACCATATTCGAAAAGCATATATGATCAACGGCTCGATTCGGATCGACATAAAGCCACCGCTACTATGTATACATACGGCCACTACGGTCGACGCAATGCTCTCGGGTGTTTCGCAAATGTATCGCAATGCTAGTCGTTAGACATTTCTTCTCAATGACATACTCCGTTAAAAAGCAATTGAACGATCCTTGCTGAGTATAGGAAGCCTCTATCCCAAAATAGATATAGCGCTTCGACCTTGCATAGCTGCGAGGTGGTCCGTGAGAGGTCATGTAGTTGTACTGTAGACCCGAGCATTCCGAGTTGGATGCTACAGCAGTATTGTAAATATGACTTTCTGTGGATTCCAGGTCATATTATACATATGGCCACTCCCAGCTGACCGTAGCCGGTAGGCTGGGCACCAGATAGTACTGATGGGACCTTACCCAACTACGACGTACTAACTTGAAGTAGGTAGAAAGATAGTTCGGCGTAGCGATCTGACAGCCTTGCCGGCGGGACACGGTGACCCAGAATCCCTCAGCCTTGCCGATGCCCGAGGGGCCCTACTGCGAACTTTGACTGCGCCTAGATGCACCACCACCCTCAACCGAATCTTGAATACCAGTAGAACCCTCTCATGCTCTCTACCCATAAACGCCCTCAATTGGCACGTTTGTGTTTCCTACTATGCACATTATATTTCTGTGCATCTGGCTTCAAGGAGTGTCTTAGCTGTCTGCGAGAAAAAGAGCGTGAACCCGTCCTACGAGGACAAGGCAGCGCGTTTTCTACGTCGTCGCAAGAGTCTCCCTCCGTTTAAAGAAGTGCTCGTCGTACATATTGAGCGCCATGACTACGTCAGCTCCTGCTGCGGGAACCTCTTCCTATATCGACATCGACTTTCTCTCATCAGACGACTTCTCTCCATATGCCCATGCCAACAAGCTTATCCTTGCCAGTAACAATCCCTCAGATCCCACCATTGACCTTACAACACCATTGTCACGTGTCTTGTTTGACCTTCAAGAGATCGACTCACACATCCACACGTTGACCTCCCGGTCGGCACTGGACATATTAACATACACCTCCACTCAGAATGCAGCCGCGCAACGGATCTTGTCCAAAGTCGAGGAGGAGCGAGCCCGCCTTACTGCCAGCTACGAACGATTAGAGCAGGAGGTGCTGGCGCGGCATCAACGAGCGGTAGAGGCAAAGGACACGGCTCAACGGAGCTGGGAAGTCCTCCGCATAGGACGCAGTGTCCAGAGAATCCTTGGGCAAGCAAGACAGCTCGAGATTCTCCTCGCAGAAGCCGGACTGGGAGGCGGTACCCCCAGGCTCGGCAAGGAAGACCATAACGCTCTTGTCCGAGCCAGTCTCGTCGTCCTCGCATTTCGAGATGCCATCAGCGGAAAGGAGGGAGACGAAATCTGTCGGGTCAATCTCGTCAAAACCTTGCGTGGCCGGGTATTCGAGGATGGAGAGGCCAGGATTCTTGATTTTGCCCGCCGGGTCGTCCGCGAGTTTTCCATGAGCACCCTCTCATCTGCGGCGACGGCGTCTGGGACTGGGGCTTCTACTACCACGACGACGCCGACGTTTCGCGAGACAGAGGATAGCCGTGCGCGGTTTACGAGTGCGGTGCATATTCTTTATCTGCTCTCACCTGCACCTCGGATCAGTGGGGAAAAGATGGCCAAGAATGATTTCGAGCCGGAATACCTGATTCGTGCATTGCAAGCCTATCTACACACGGCCATCACCTCCAGCGCTGCCTCGATCGGACGTGCTCTGGGCCAGCTACCGACACTGGACAGAGCCTTGCTGGAAGCCAGCGCGCGTTGTCAGAATGTGGTGGCGCTGGAGGTCCTGTTGCGTGGGATACACGCTCCTGAACATCCCCTGTTACAGGCACGCGAGACCAGTGACAACGTCAAGAACACGCCAGAAGATGAGCTTGACGACAGTGACAGCGACGAAGAAGATGAAGTGCCCATCTCCTCAGCCCAGTCGTCGGATAATTTCCTTACTCTCCTTCTCAACGCCCTTGATACTGCTTCGCTCCCATCCTATTTCTGGCGTTCTTTGGCCTCTTCTCTATCACCGCGGGTTTCCGAGATCCTAATTCGTGGAGGAGTTGCTGCTCGCACATTGCGAAGTCAACGCGACGTCATCCGAGCAGAAATACGGGACTGCGTGCTACATGGGTCGAAGTTGCCCCGTGGTATTGCTCTGGGAAATTCCAGTGCGACAGCAAAGGCTGGAGAGGCAGTGGGTAATTGGGAACGGGAGGCTGCTGTTATGGTTGGGAGCGTATTGGGTCCTTTAGGGCGGTAGGACTTTCGGTGATCATATCTCATCCCCACAAGTCTGTGATGCAGCCTTCCTCCCGATCGGCGCAAATGTTGCCGTCAAGAGTCGTTGGATGAGTGAAGAATATATTCATTCATTATACGAGGTCCGTATTTCAAGCAAGAGAACCAAGCGTCGGTTTCCCTTTTCCAAACAACGTTTTCTCCCGCTCTGGTTCGTCACTGTAATACATGGGCTTGCACATCATGGTATATCTGTTATACAAGGTTTCTGGTCATAGGTGCCACTGGCTGAATGTCGTCTATTGCCCTATCCCTCCACAGAACGGTGTCCTAGTCTCTGAATCATCCCAGCCATGAACTCTTCCCCCGACCTTCTTTCGCCTTCGCCGCAGCCTTTGCGTCGTCTCTCTGAATCTGGGCTATCGTCTGGTCTCGTTGGTATTCCATTACTCGCTTTTCCTTGAAATATTTGATCTAGACAAACCCAGACGACGTAAGTATGGATAACGACAAACGTCTGTGGCCAGTCATAACTCACCCAGCTTTTGGCACAATCTTTCTCATACTGTGCCACCTCTTGCGGGCAGACCTTCCTGGCCTTTTCGTCCTCTTTGATCGCATCCAGGATGTTATTCCGATCCAGGCAGTCGAAGAAGACATCGCGGGATTCGTAGCATAGTTCTCGGGCGTTGCGGTCGGGCGCCACGAAGCCGCCGTCCTTGGATTTGGGTCGCGCCGGTTCGGGCTGTGCTGGTGTAGAACTGCCCCCTAGCCAGGTCGGAAGTCCCCAAGCCATAGTTGGTATTGGTAGAACAAGCGGAGGAGGAAACGTCCGACACGCAGTTCAAGTTGCTTAGATCAGGTAGGTGGCTGAACGAAGCTGGCGGAGATGGTACTGATATACACCGAGAACAGCGCGCAGATTAGACTAGGAGTTTGCGAGTTGGTATGAGATCTGGTGAGACCTTTTCTTCCACGCAATGCGCAGTTGGAGTTGAACTGCGGCCTGGTACGTAAGGCTGAGGTCGCCGTCCACTGCAAGTTGAAGTTGGAGAAGCCGAGAGTTCACGTGACCGAGCATGGACCGACGACTTGTCATCAGTGACATGCGATAATGTTTGTCTCTTGGTTCTGTGGTTGTATAGACCATCCCTCTCAATAATCACCTCACTCAAGTCGGTATATGCTCTGACTGAAAGCCACAGCAAGCGGCAATGCTGAACCCTCAGGCACTGTTACCGCACTGCATTCGACCTATTTTTACGGGACGAACACAACAATAAGCGGATGCCACCGCGACGAAGAAAGCCACCTCGCGCAGGCGCTCTCACTGAACTGCCACCCCTAAGAATCATCCGCCTGATCATCCTCCTTCAACTGTGTTACTACGCGACAGCATTCATATTAATTCTATTTACGACTCTTGTTCTCGGTCAAAAGTTCTCGTTGGCCTTGGTTTTCGACTGGAAGAGCGTCAGAGGCGACAACACGATCGGCTGGACCATCGGGTTTCTTTGGGTTGTCAATGGCTTCATAATGTATGTATCACTACGCAACCGACTCCTTTCTTTTGCGACCAAAATAATTCCACTTATTATGTCCGCGGCTGACTCGCGTTTTGTACAGAGTAATACCAGTTCTTCTGCTGCTGTCGCGCTCCAAACTCGTCCCGGACTTCGCTTTGACGATCCATTTCATCCATTTCATCATTACCTCTTTCTACACAAAGTCTATACCCACGAATCTTCTTTGGTGGGCATTGGAAGCAGCCAGTGCCTCTCTCACTATAAGTCTGGGCGTGTGGGCATGTCGATATCGCGAGATGCAGCCTATCTCGTTTGGCACGGTCCCCGAGTCGAAGGCCGTGACGAGTAACTCAGCAGGGCCTGCGGACGAACATGTTCGCGGTGGTCCCGGCCGCGGAAGAAATCTAGACGCCGGACCGAGTTATGAGATGGTGACTGTGACTAAGGGTGATGAGAATGTATAGATTGGCACCGTCTCTTCCACCCGATTTTGAAATGTGAAGAAAAGAGGATATGGTTGCAGATTGGCACCGAGCACTTTCTGCCTGACACGTGCAGAGGTAGCCTGTACACTATCAAAAGGTGGTGGTCTACCCATAAAATCTTCACATGGTGGGGTTTCACCGTGGCCATTGGATGGTAGGCTCTGGAATGCCCGGCGCCCATGCTCATCTTTTCATAATGGCACTGTGTTGCACATACTAAATGACGTGCTTCGGAAAGGCCACAACATGAGCTGCTGCAACGATCACACTACCCATGGCAAAGCTGGTTTGCTCGAGCCACACTACCAGGCCCTGGACAAGATGCGTCAGCGACCAAGTCTCGCGGAGTTTCTGTTCGTTTAATCTGCATTGCATGTTGTTCCCCGAGCATGGAACAAATCCCCACAGTCCCAGCTTCCAACTTGGCGATCAGTCAAGCTCGAAAGCCTCATTGTCCCGGCCACGATGAAGATGGGTGTTCATCTCAGCATTCTTTGCTACTAGGCAACGTGGCTTGATCAAATCATCTCGTGGGCTGAACTTGGGCGCTTAAATGGCCATTCAATCAGCACATTGCGATAGGAGATCAGTGCGCAATCACGAAGACGAACAGCCGCTTGGAGATGAGGGAGGGTCAATACTAGACGACTTTGCAGGCAAATACCAGTTCGCGATTTTCTTTTGGTACTGTACTGCGCTGAACCAACACAGCAAATGAACTTCAAGACCCAGCTGAAGGCGGATGGACGTCCATTGCAGTGGCATATAACTACCTATTTACTGGCACATGGGAACAATACTCTCAACTTGTAATAATCGTCAAATAAACGAGCAGGGCACTGGCAATCGTTTTCGTTCAGACTCCAAGGGATCCTGCTGATCTCAGCTTGTCCTGTCGCATTCGGCATAAGGCTGCGCAGCGCAGCCTGTCAATTGACAACAATAGCATCAGGCGCTACAATTTCGTAAACACTGTGAGTCCTCGACCGAGTAAATGAGTGTGCTGTAACATTAACAAATTACACTGATATTTCCCCATCCTATTTTCCGCTCTCAATTGTCTTCCCGCTGCCAGTAGTATGTATATAATTGTTGTACCTATATTGTACTTCAGGAGGCAATACATACACGTGACAAGCCCTTGTGTTGCCCCGACAATCCACTCGATCAAGGAGATTTCCCAATCCAGTTAAATGTCAACAAAGGATCTACAGGCACCACACTGCACACCTCAGGGCTTCCAGTACCCATCCGCGACCGGCCATGCATTGCATACCAACAGTACAGAACGTACCTTGCAGTGTGACCGAGCTCGTCCAAAAGGACATCGGAGCATAATTGAAAAGCAACCAGCAATCAGCAACCAGAATAAACAATCACAATCACGATCAGCACAAGGTTGAACAGAAGGAGAACGAACCCAATCAGACTGAGCGACCTCGACCCTCAGAAACAAGATGTCTTACCTTTCGTCTTTCTCGTTGTCATCCGATGAGGAAGAAGATTTACCTGATCTCGCGGCGATTCTGGCTCCCAAACCACTCCTACCGACGAGCAGCGGTAGCGACAATGCTGTGTTGCGGAGGTCACCACGGCGGAAAGAGAAACAGCAGACGATACCAAACATATTCGGTGATGATGAGTATTGGGATGTTAATATCTCGCGATCGCCAGTGAAGAAGAATCAGAGACAACAACCTCCTGGAAGAGGAACAACTGGTGCGGGTGTGTCACGGTTGTCGAATGCGAGCCCACGGAAGAAGGATTCGGTACCGCAGTCCCAACCGCAATCGGAACCGAAACGGACTGGAAGTTCGAGGGGCGTGTGTTCTAGTGCCTCAAACCGGACTGTGTTAAGCCCGCTTGAAAATAATAACCTTGCATCTGCGCCATCGAAGAAATCGAACTCGAACTCGAACTCGTTATCAGCGGCGTCGCCGTGTAAACAAGGAAGGCAATATACCAATGATGTAGAACGCAAGAGGAACGATATCAGGTTGGTTTTGAGCGATCGACCTCCAAGTATTAGTGGTCGATACCAGCAGAGCGAGCAGGGCCAGGTCGACTTCTCGCTTGTTCCGTCCTTTGGGGCGATGGCGTTGGAGGAAAGGAATCCAGGTCTGATTCGGACGCAGCAGCAACCGGGAAAAAAGAAGGAGAAGAGTTTCGCTATCGACGTCGATGTCCGTGACAATGGTGATGACGACTCATTGCTGCTGTGCTCGGGGGAGGATCAACGTGGGCCAAACAAATTTATGGCAACGACACCGGCACCGATTGCTCCTGGGCGGCATCGTCAAGAGAAGTCTAGACCGGGGCGGTTCACCAGCGCCAGCCGATTCGTCTTGGCAGAGGCTCGATGCAATGACGATGAGAGCGATTCCATGGACGGAGAAGAGAACGAGGACGAGGATACAGATCTGAGTGGGTTCATTGTCGACGATGACGCCGAGCTCAGTTACCATGATTCCTCAGAGTCGGACGGCGGCTGTCCCGAGCAGGATGATGAGGATATGTTCTATGGGAAGAGGTTAACAACGAGACGACTCGTTGTGCCCGAAGCCACATCTAGGGAAGGCAGAACAAGAAGAAGAGGAAGAAGACTTGTGCGTGGTTCACCGGTACGGAAGGAGAACACAGGCGGGAAAGGCTACTCGGAGGAGTCAGAAGACGATTCAGGTCCAAACGAGGGCAACTTGAACACAAAGACGGCCAAGACTTTATCCAGAGCATTTCGAGACCTGGCTCTCGATCCTGGAAGTGGTCGCAGCGAAAATGTGCCTCGGGGAAAAGGAGAGGTTGAAGTCATTGATCTCACTTCATCTCCAGTTCAACCACCATCCAACTTGTTACAATCTGTAGACAATACCATCGAACCGAACAGACCACCACTACCGTTGTTGGGAGATCTTGGAGCAAGCGTGAAATTCGATCCACCCATGTCAAAGCCCGGGCTGTCGATACCATCAAAGACCATGGGAGGTGTTCCAAAGGTTGATCAAGACAGATCGATTGGCGACAACAAAGACGACAAGGGCGTCGAGTTCAATGCACCTCCGGCCACACCACCTCGGACGCCGCCCAAGTCCAAACTAAAGTCACCTTCGAAGCTGCTGTCCCCGTCGAAACGGCAGACGATCCCCCAGTCACCTCACCGTCAGAGCATGGATGCGTTTTGGGACCATAATGTGGTCAATGAGTGGAACGACGCATACTCGCCCAAAAAGGCGCCAGCTACAACATCTCCACGAAAACGTCTCTTTGTGCCCTTGGACATCTTTTCCGATATGGAGTTGGAATCGGAACCCGGAGAGACAAAGACCCATCAACATTGTGACAGCTCTACCGGGTCACTACCAAGTCCATGTTTGTCACCACGCAAGACCAGATCTCCGACAAAGCCGAGCCCCGAGAAGGAGCAAAAGAGACGTCTGTTGGAAGAGAAACGAGCGGCGGCGGCACGCAAGAAAGAATTCGACAATCGCAAAGGTCAAATGGCCATTGAACTGCTTCGTGAATTGGACGCCAATGTGGCCAACGGGCGACTGGGAGAATTGTCGGCGAGCACGGGCGGCGTGCGGGTTGTGTGGTCCAAAACACTCCGGTCGACAGCCGGGCGAGCGAATTGGAAAAGAACTGTGACGAAACCGTCAGGGTCACCGGTGAAAGCAGGTAACACAGCTGACGCAGCACAACTGGCAAGTGGTGTCAAAATCCAACACTTTGCCAGCATCGAGTTGGCGGAGAAGATCATCGACTGCGAAGACCGCCTGGTTAACACGCTGGCGCACGAGTTTTGTCATCTGGCCAACTTCATGGTCAGCAATGTCCGCGACCAGCCGCACGGCGCGTCGTTCAAGCAGTGGGCCAACAAAGTCACGGCGCATCTGAGACAGTCCAATGTTCCTGTTTGGCGCGACGTCCAGGTCACCACCAAACACAGCTATGTCATCAACCACAAGTATCTGTGGGTCTGTGTTGGTCGCCCAGAGAGGACCGCCGTCATGGATTATCTCAATTTGGGTTCGGAAGGAGGTTGTGGCGCCGAATACGGTCGGCATAGCAAGAGTATCGATGTCGAGAAACATCGCTGTGGGAAATGTAAAGGCAGATTGGTCCAGGTGCGGCCAATACCCCGAGCGAGTCCGAGAAAAAAGTCGAGGGTGGCTGGTGTTGATGTCGATGGCCGGTCAACGTCGATGTCGAGCAGCAGAGAAGGAAGCGCAGATACTGCATTGACTTTCAATTCCGGTTCGAGTTCCAGCACCCCTGTTTCTGTCTCTGATTCTGGTTCAATTTTGGGCTCTCGTAGTTCGAGTGGGCACAGCAAGAGCATGACCGGGAGTGATTCGTTGGACTCGATGGTCGAGACCATCGAACTTGACTGATTATTGATTATGTGATTGGTAATTGACAAGCCAGTTTGACTCGTGGATGGGTGTGTTTGGACGGCGAAACTGGTTGCAGGGGAATGTTCCTTTCTGAGAGCGTGTGGACCTGCATTCCGATCACATTGAGGTGATCTCGGGTTTCTTGTCTGGTCGATCACCTGGTCATGGTTATTGGGGAGCACTGATTAGTTCTTTTTGTTTTTGCGAATACCCGGTTGAGCTGCGGCGTTGTTAGGAGCTGAGCCGGTTTGGGTTTTATCGACCTGGACTGGATGGATTGTCTCAGATCTGGACTGGAGTTGGATGCACTGCATTGCACTCCATTGTATGTATTATTTCAATTCAAGGCGGCATTGTGTGTTCGTTTCCCCCTCTATCGTTGTGTGCTAGTGGAATCTTTCTTCGAGGAACTCGACAGAACAGACATTGTCGAACGTGTCCTAGATATTGGCAATGCCCAAGGTCAAGATTAATAATGAATCCCGAGCTGTCCAAGTCCAAAGCAACTTGAACCACCTTGCGGTCTGTCTGGAGACGATCAATCTGTCGTTTCAAGTATTCTGTGCCATCACACTTTCGACAGAAAAGGGGGAAAAAAGGAGCAACCAGGTCCGTTCTTTGGTGACTTGAAGTCCGCTCACGGATTCAAGTTGTTCTTTTCATTTTTATTTCATGCTTCTCCTCCACCAAACAAACTAAAATCAACAACATCCAGCGTCGCAACCACATGCTCCAGCAAATCCCTAGCGAAGGCCGTTTCTGTTTCCGCCGCTTGAACATCACCATCCCCGTTATTATTGGCGAATTCCTTCAATGGCACATTGATGCGCACGCAAAGATCGGTAGCGTGGTCTTGCAGTCTGACGAGAAGTTGGATCTGATGTACGAGAGATGACTGATGTTGTTGTTGATGTTGTGACGAGGTCAAAGGAGGGATTCCTCCTGGTGAGCGTGTGTCGTAGCTCACAATGGTTCCCTCCAGAACGTAGGCAGGATACGACGCAAGACTGGGCTTTTGTAAGTTTACACGCTGGGGACTGGACAGCGGCGCGGCGAGTGTGTCGATGCCGGTGATGACGTCGGTGAAATGGTATTTTGCTGCTTCGGAATCAGTGGTGGTTGTTCCAGTTCCATCGAGGTTCGAGTTCGGATTCGAGAGAGTTGATGTTGGTGTTGTTGATGTTGCTGGTTGGCCGCCATAGTGTTGAGGAGTTTGGTAGTCGTTGATTTCAAAGATGATGGATGTAAGCGTCGTGGGGGACAGGAATACTTCTTGATGATTCGGGATTTGGCGAAGGTCACTGGAGAGGAGGAGCAGGGGATTTTGTTAGCATGGCATTGATTGCGTTGATTGACTGGTGAGCAGAAAGAGATTCCTATCTTCTTGAACGAGGATCGTAGACCGCACAGGCAGCCAGCCAGCCAGCCAGCCAGACAGACACGCAGACAAACTCGCCCTGGTATTGCCGCCGACGATGCGTCGAATGCTCGCCGCATAAATGAAAAACATTCGGAATATTCAACAAACAACGACAGTGATGAATCTCAAAGCAGCGAGATAAGATAGAGAGACGAATAGACCAGCAGACGTATATCATACACGGGTCCATCTCATGGCTAGATAGATAGATAGACGAACAAACAGCCCAGCAAAACGTACAGTACGTACCTTGAATCAATAAGGTCCACCGGCAGCTCGACCGTCATGGCTCCTCCGTACAGCTCTCGTAGTCCATAGGCAGTAGGAACAGTCGGCCTGGACACAGAGGGATTCGAAGCCATTGTCTCTGATGTGGTTGTGTTCGTGTTGATGCTCAATGCGTTGCCAGCGTTTCCTTGTTGGTCACTTTTCGTTACTACTGTACCGATGCTGGACGTGATGGATCGATGGTTAAGACCGGTCTTTCCGGGTTGCCCAACGGTAGAAGATGTAGACGGGGACGGAGACCGTAAGTACCTAGGTAGGCATCAGTAGGCAGCAATGTCAATCAATGATTTGTTTCTGTCGGTACGGCCTGAAGCGCACTGCGTGTCGTGGTCTCCCAAGAGGTCGATGTTTCGCTCCGAATATTTCCACTGCATTCCGCAGCTGGAAAATCGCACTGCAGTCGAACCTCATAAACAACTCGAACGAAGAATTACAGTCCAACATATGCAAATATCGCCCGTCCATGTGAACACTTCCTATACGGTGTCTGAAGACCCGAAAGATAGCTGCTTCCTATCACATTTGATACTACAGTTATTTCATCATGATAGCTGCCGAGGATGGTCCGAATAGCAAATCTTTAGACTACGCGAGGCTCCAGCGGCGGCCTCCCAACGACTTATCCTGAAGACGTCCTCCAAGCCATAGACCGCTCTACAGATTACACCGGCGCAAAAGATGGTAAATTTCGGGAAACAACTGTATTGAATGCACGCTGTCCTCCATGCTACCGCCTTGCACGATGACTGGTCTTCTTGACCCAATTGCCGCAAATTAAACCAACCAGCCACAGCGCTCGCTAGACTCCGTCGATGCGTTGTATTACATTTCGAGGGACTCGCGGCAATCCAGGAGACCACTCAAGGCGACTGTGCAAGCCCATTTGAATCCGAACAACCCTTCTCAAATTGACAAAACAGCATTGATGCCTTGACTGCCTACAACAGGATCATGCCCGCACCAGAGATAAAAGCCATTGAAACATACAAAGCAATCTGCAGGGTGCCGATGTAGCTGGGGGCGGAGAAGCCGGCAGCAGCTGCATTGTGGCTCTTGGTGCTGCTGCTGCTTCCGGACGAAGAACCAGAGCTACCCGTGCCACTGGGCTGGGAGGTGATGGTGCCAGTGCCTGCACTACCAGCCTGGCTGATCAGAGTGGCGCATGATCCAGACGGGCTGGTCGGGGACTGCGTCGTGGCCGATCCGGAGAAGTCACAGGCAGAAGCACCATTGCCAGCTTTGACCTGCTGCTCGTAGTAGTTGTTGAGGGCCCAGCCGAGCTGTTGCTGAGAATTGCACATGCCATACGCGCCGTACTTGCCGGTCGTTCCATTGGCGGTAATACCGTCGCAAGTCCCGGAGCCCAAACCACAGACAATGCCGAAGAGATCACCCACTTCATCATCGTCAAGGTCCTTAGGCACGCAAGTCAAAGCATTGTACATGCATTCGCACAGCTCCTTGTTTGGTGTGGGGGGCAGGTTGGAGGATGCTTTCCAGTCCGCATCTACCGTGGGACAAGCAGCAGGTTTGGTGTTGGTGGGTGTGTAGTCGCTGGACTTCACTCCAGTTGGCGTGACCTTAGCGATTTGCGAAGACAAGTTCTCGAAATCGGTCAACGTGCTGACGGAGTTGCCACTCACACTGACAAGACCTTTTCCAGCGTATTAGTGGCTTTCCGAAAATCCCCTGTGGAATCGACTTACCATAATCATTTGCTTCTTGGAAATACATGTAGACGATACCACCCGACCAGACGCTTGTCATGTTGTCTCCGTACAAAGCTTGCACTTCGGTAAATTCCCGAGGTTGAACCTCGTTACATCCATACTCGGCAAAGAATACAGGCACATTGTAGGTTGCAAACTCTTTTGTGCGATCGGCGTATCCGGACTGCTGATAGTTGGAGTCTCCACACCAAGAGTAGATGTTGTAGCCCCAGAAGTCAATGGCATCTGCGCTGTCACCGCAGTCGAAGTAGTCGGCCAAGTCCACACGGATGTCTGCGTCGTCGTTGGTGGCATAGCCGACACCGATGGTGCGATAGTCCTGGCGTTTGATGTAGGCTTTCATGTCACGGACAGCAGCCTTCACAAACGCACTCGCATCCGTGTTGGTCGCGTTGTTGGAGACTTCATTGCCTGCAAAGAAACCCAGCGTGTTTGTGTAGTTTGCCATAGCATCGATGACAGAGGTGTACCGGTCATAGAGGTCGTCGTTCCACGTCGGGTCATCGCGGACGATGGACTGGCTGGGAGACGACAGGTCGGCAATGACATAGATACCAGCATCCGCTAGCATAGACATACATTCGTCATGGCTTTTTGTGGGGTCCAGGGCATAAACACGGATGGTGTTGGTGCCCAATTGCTGAAGGTATGGGATATCCCTCTTGCACGAGGTGCTGTCCGCAAGAGGATCAACATAGCTGGAGCCCGAAGTAGATCCTGTCCCATTGCCCGAGTATTCCTCTGTATATCATCCATCAGCTCATGAGGTAAAATAGGAGGTCAAGACGGTGGCGCACGTTGGTATGCAATTCCTTTGATGAAACTAAGGGTGGTCAGGTTAGCTGCGGTTACATTGAACGATTCATGGGCAGCACTCACAATTGGGTTCCATTTGTTTGATAGAAGAACTTGGAGCCCTGCACGGAGAGGAAAGTCAGGATATTGATCTCTTTGCGGAGAGTGGCCGCGCAGAACATACTTTAATGACAATAGGGTCTACATCAGCATAAGCACCCTTGAGAAAGAAAGCAGCGCTTGCCACAGCGGCAGCGACGGCAGTGAAACTCTTCATGGTGTTGATGAATGACGATGAGAGATGTTATCAAAGCGAGGACGTAGTGGTTCGACTTAAGTGTCTGCAATGCGCCAAAATTGATGTTGTCTCTTTTCGCTGGGGAGCGAGGGCAAAGACGAGTCTCTGCCCAAACAAAGGCAGGAACGGACGGCGATAAGTTCTCAAGTGAACGAGTGTCACGAAGGTAAATACAAAGAACGTGACCAGAAACACTGCACCAAGAATAAATGCGAGGCTGCACAGAGACTCTCGCCGTGTACTGGGATGGTAGGAGGAAGGGGGAGGAGAGTGAAGATGAGGTAGTAGTCGTACGCGCAGTGAGACGAGGGCCAGGGATGAAACGGCGAGATGATAGCACAGTGCAGTTGCTGTTTGCGCAGTTTAGTGATGAGCGGTGCAGTGGTGCCCGCCGCAGCCGATACCCACCGGTGCCCACTACTACGACTCAGGGCCACCCACTCCCAGGGGCAACCAACGACCATCACTACAGGAGTGGTACCTAGGCTCCTTAGGCTTCAACACGTTCACTCCAGGTGGAATCTGCGCTGGATGTGCCAGTGCAGAGGCGCAGCAGCGTGGGAAACGTCACCACCGACAGGACTATTATTTATTTACCTTATTGTAGGGGAAACAGCAGGCTGTAGGGATCCCCAGGCCTAGGACCTGCTGCACCTCCTGTTCCCGAGCCATCCGTTGACAGCTTTCAAAGGTGTCTCCCACGAACTGCAGTACTGTTCACTATAACGGCGCCTGCACCTGGGTGACGACCCCCTACCCTCCTAGGTACCCGGGCCATATCCAAACAATCCCAGAACCTCTCACCGAGATCCAGAGACTCGGTATCGTCTGGGCCCTTCAGTCTGTGCTGTTGTTTCTATCTGGCACCGGAATCAACGCAGTCTGGCTCATCCATCCGGCTTCAAAAATTTGCCGCAGATCTATGTTTGTGTTCATACTTGATGCTGGCCAGCTATTGCCAATCACGGTTAAATATTTGCAGCCGCACAAATACCGTGACAACGCGTCCTCTCCGCCTCGCTGCTCCCTCTCTTTTCCGCCTCGACCAATGACACTCTGCTGGCAGTCTGGATCTTTTAGCTTTCAAAACCCCTGATCCGTCGACGATGTTTCCTTTTACAACGTAAACTGCAATCCGACCGTGGTCGAGATTCTGTCTGTGTTTCCTCGTTTACAGGAGGGGTTGAACCAGCAGGCTTTCGCTGTTCCTCGTAGGAGCGCACTGCATGATGCGTAGTCGTGTAAAATGCTCCTTATACTGCAGTGTAACTTGATCGGGGGTGTAGTCCTCGATATCTCCTAGTTTCACACGATCGCCTATGATCCTACTACAGTGGTAGTAGTCGAGCATGTCCTTGCAACTTGGCGACACGCTATTATTGCTATTAATCTCGGTTTTTTCTATTGGCCATATTGATGTCGAACAGTATGTAGCCTACCGAAGCCGATTTGTCTTTCCTAGTTTCGCTTGTCGGCAGAAGCAAAGGTGCGAAGCTGGTCAACCCTCTCCAGGAGAAACGAATCCGCGAATCCTTCGACTGACATGGGGAACAAGCCAGGAGCATGGCCAGCCTTGCCAGTCACATGACTGAAGGTGTTGCATACAGTACCTAAAGGGGTTTGATCCGGGAAGCGATACAGCAGACGGTCGCATACTAAATTAAACACAATGCTGAACCGCGCCCTTGATGTGAGTATGAAACTGCCTCCGCATCATAGGAGGTTATCGTCCTGCGGCATGACTTCTCTAGTGAAGGAGATTTCGCTTTTCTCAGGAGTTGCGTCGCATAAAGTATGGTTGTATTACCACGTTGTTGGGAGTACCTTGAGTCGTGGACTCCCATCTCTCTGAGATGCCAAATGGTCCCTGTGGTGGTACTTGACAGGTTTATTTAGCCTTCTAGTTTGTTACGATGTGATGTCCTCCACAAGGGAAGCTATGATAAAAGACCTCCAAGAGAGCTGAATAAAGTTGATATCGATATCTGACCATAGGGCTACCTGGTCTCATGCACCAATCAAGGCAATCGAAATAACCCATGGTGCAACAGAAGGTTGATTAGCGTGCCTGTAGTGGCCATGGTCGAAGAATTCTTCGCAGATGGTTCTCGTCCTGGGAAGGATTGACTGCTTTGTCGGGTTGCATCGCCGGTGATGGTGATACTAGCTGGAGTCCGATTGACACCGTCTAAATACAGCCTTTGAAGACTCACCGCGGAACTGATCGCTTGAAGGGACGATGAGTAATTCTCGATAGCCCAAGGTCCAGGATGCGCCCGAACTCAGGGGGCTTCTTCTGTATTTCCATGATACTGAAGCTGTTCAGCCTCGCCGTTGTAAGTAGCGACCCAGAGGAAGGCGACATGCGTGGTCTCGTCACAGAATACTCCCAATCGCTCTTACTTACGCCCTGTATCTGGCTGAATAAAATATATGATGTGGAAAAGTCACTGGTGCCAGTCATGACCCAATTCGAGGGCGAAAGAGGTCCGTGGGCGTTCCGTCTTCACGCAGTTAAGAGAACTTGGCTGGCTTCACAGCGAACTCGAAGGAGCTCGCAGCTAGGCTAGATGCTGGGAATGCGGAAATGAGGTTGTGAGTCTCTAGTGCATAGGTAGGCTTGTGCACACACGTGCCTTCAGAGATAGTCTGATCTTCCTATACGGCCAGAGTCCTCTGGCACATCTGCAATATTGTACAAAGTACAGCACACGCTACGAGTAACAATTCTGTTCAAGTTGTACACTGGACGAAGAAGCGACGTTTCACAGCAAAGTGCTCCTCCCCAGTCTACAACTGACACGTGATGATGTAGGACAGCCTCCGCGATTGGTAGGCCGATCAAGGGACGTTCAAGGGTACAACGTACGACTACGAGTAGTAGTCATTTAGCTTTCTCGCAAGCTGGATGAAACGAGCATGAATCGGCCGTTGTTCTCTGTCACAAGTTGTCGGGCCTCGCGGGTTTGCCACAAGTAGATAGGCAAGAAAATAATGCCAGATTATCCATCGTTGGTGTTGGGTGATAAAAAGAAAACGCATCATGCATGTCTCACCAAAGAGGGTCCCTAGTCGCAAGATCTGCTACGAGCAAGCCTCGAGGTCTCCAGATGTGTCTCGGCCCCCGAGGAGCATGGACCTTCGGTAGAAAGTCAAAGGTGGACGAGACGATCTGACACGCCATCAAGCTACAGTCGAATTTGCTGGTTCGCTCGAATTTGATTCTTGGGTCGCTGACCGTGTCAGAAATGATTGCGGGTAGCGGCCGGGTCTCCTCTTGGTTCGGCCACCAGCAAATCATGTCGTCTTGAAGTATTACGGGCCTCCTGCACCCCAAGACAGGGACATGGAAGAGTAAAACCATACAACGACGCCGGGGGTATCTTTCGTTAGTGCGCTCTCGCTAAACTTTCCCGAATTGGCCGCCAGCTTAGTCAGGATCAGTAAAATGACAGTACAGTACCTGTTTCGACAACAACTGCCACACTAAAGCGCAAGAAATGTGTAATACGCTAGTGCCAACTGGGAAAGGTGGAAAATTATTACGCGCTACTCTACTTATGTACTAGTGTGCCACTAACGAAAGATTGCCCAGAGGTGTTGTATGCAGAGTAATTAAGATAGGGCTCCGCCGCTGCGGCAACTTTGTAGTATCTCACGAATCGCAGCTCAACCCCCTGAGCCCGCCGCGCGCCATTGTGTTGATGGCGCTCAAACCTGTCAACCTTAAAAGGCATGTCGCCACAGCCACACGAAGCCATCCCCTGGCTATTGTTTCCCACAAAAGCTTGTTTCGTTCATAATGCGTTGTATTTGGTGCATGGAAGGCTTCGGACTCTTTGTGCTGGCTTGTTTGTTCCGGGCCACACCGAGGAGCTTCGAGCGCGTGCCCTAGGCGGCCTGTGCTCATTCATAACGAGTGTCAAATCACGGCTCGAAAAGGAACAGAAAATTCGCACGCTCATCATGATATGGAAGAATATACGGGCCCAGAAGTGCATGAAAGAGTCTCCTTCCGGAATCTCTCAATTCCGTGTGCTTTGCCACGCACTTACTGCACATCGTTATCCGGCGCTCCACCCTCGTCAATGGCTGGATGATCGGGGGGCAAGGCCCACCAAATGGAGGCCACCGCAAGCAGATGCTGGTGCAGCATCGTGTACAACGTTATCGTACGCTTTTTTAAAGGAAGTCAGATAACCGTCATGGTCACTGCAAGCATTCGTTTGGGTCGGGCAGCATTCAACACTCAACAAAGTAATAGAACTCTTGTGGATAGCATACTATGAGGCGTCAAGTCCATTGTTAGTAGCTGTGTTCCTTGTAGTATGAGGAGGGACGAATTATGCAGGAATGCCTGTGTAGTCTTTTCATGTGAATACTTTTAGTTTGGCGTTCTCAGTCAGAGGAACCTTCTGTACCCCAGCACATACCTAGGTACAGAGTGTATACCTGCAAGTCACCAGTAGTAGCTGACGATACGGCACTGACTTCCAATGCAGTGGTGCTCTAATTGCTACATACTGCAACTTGCATACTTTAATACTCATCATCATTTAAGATCGTGTCAAGTGTCCGCAGCTCCCGGGTAGTTCGAGACCAGGCGACGGGTAGCTGCATTTGCCATATGTTTCGTTTAAAAATATCCGACATGCACTTGCGATCTGCGACTCCAAACGCCTCTGCTTCCAAACGCGGGTTGTGTAACCATGGTACAGAATGATGATTCAAGGATTGTGTCTCGCGATAGTGAGGAGGCCGGCGATGGCTGGCCTCATCCTGTTGACTGCGTCCCGAGATCGACCACATTCCTAGGATCATGCAGTGGTTGTCAACAGCAGCTACCTCGATACCAAGCAAATTATATGTGTGGCAAACTTCTTGATCGTCAGCATCAAGCGCATAGCCACACGGCAAGAAACACAGCAGATCCCAGCCACGAACCTGCCATATGTTCAGGGGAGGTTGTCTGATCCTGGAAGCCAGGTGCCGGAGATAGCACTCTTGGCCGCACTACGGCGGGTTGCCAGTCCGTAGCGTAACAAGCGATGCTTCTTAACGTGGATGGATGACGCTGGAGAAGGATTCGCAATCAAGGCATGAACAGCGAATCACGGCATGGGACGGACAAGCTGCGGTGGTTCTGTGCCTAATAGCCTTCAGACTCAGGGTGGATTGCACTCGGGGCGACGGGGCCTTGAGCGAGGATTGTCTGTGTGCGCGGGCAGTCAACAACATTTTTTTTCTCGCTTTGTCCGCGTTTGTTGAATTGGTAGCCTGTGACTGTATGCCAATAAGCCATAACTTTGTTGTAAGTAGTGTTCTGGAGAGGTCACCGCGTTCAAGCAAGCTAGATGAACAGCATGCAATGTCGAGCTGCAGATCTGGCTGGTGGCGAGGCGAGCATCACTGACTGTCTCTCCTGGTGCCAGGGTGCTACGACTGCTGAAGTTGTATGCTGCGCTGCCCCTTGTTTGCATCCCGGGCCTCTTCCTTGATGAGCAGCTGTCACGCATGCCCGGAACAGGACACGCTAGACCTGATCTAAGCCTAAAGCCAGTTTAGGGGCGCTTTTAGGCACGCCCTCTGCGGCTCCCCTGCCCCAGCGCCCCTCTAAAATCAAAACCCACCCACTCAGCCGTTCCAACTAAGGCTGGTATCTTGCTAAGCACCTGGGCCATCCAAATTTCTGGCCGTCGCACGCCCCCAGTCCCGAAACAAGCAGCACAGCACCACAGCTGGCAGAGGCAGAGAGGTACTGGGCACCGGCACTCTCAGAGCTCCGCCTGCTCCCCTTCACTTGCCCGCCAATCCTGCTTTTCCTTGGTTCCTGTTCTCGCCTCCTCCTGTTCAAACTTGAACGAGCCTTGCCTCTCCATTCTGTCGTTTCTTTTTCAAATCTTCTCCTATCGCTTTCTCCCCTTCACTCGCTTCTATCGCTGCGAGGACAGGCAGGTGCATAGGGTCGCTGTTGTTTACAGAGGTCCTAGGGAGCTATCAAGCCTGGGAAGTGGTCAGCCTTCACTGCAGCCAGTCGACAAGCCACGCCTGCCGTGAACGCGCGCTCTGCAGCTGCATTGGCTGAGCAACCAACGCTCTCCCCCTTCATTCGTTTCACAACAACCACCACCGCGACACCAGCATCCTCTTCACCTGCGATTTTGACGTTTGTTTCTAATCGTCTACCCGCCACCGTCCTGTTCAACCTCAGGACAGACAAGCCGGCAGCTTGGCGGTCATTCTAAGCAACGTTTTTCACCATCATTTCCCTCGGCGCTCCTCCTAGGAAGACATTCGCTGCTCATAACTGCCTCATCGCATAATATCACCACTACTTCAAAAACCACAGATCTTGTATAGTCAAAAGAGGCTGGTTGATGGGACTGTTTTAAGGTATGTTGCAGGAAAAGGGCGTTCGACGAACTCCAAGGAGCTACGGGCCTCTTGAAAAATGACGGCTGCTAACACTGCGACCCTTTAGAAATCTCGCTCAACATGTCTGGTCATCCTCCACCCCAGCAGGGTCAGCATGACGATGGCTATGGCCAGCAACCGCACGGTAACGATGCCTATTATCAAGATGACAATGGGTACCATGATCAATATGACTATGGTCACAATCAATATGGCGAAGGCTATTATGATGAATCGTAAGATCGTCATTCACTCTATTTAACAATGCTTGGCTAACTCGGATGTGCAGTGGCTACTACAACGCAGATGCCTCGAACCCCTACCACAACGACGGCGGTTACTATGAAGGTCACCAAGGCTACCAAGACGATTACTACGACGGCCAGTATTATGATCAAGGAGCTGCAGGCCAGCAACAATACCAAGGTGGTCAACGCCCAAGACGCCGTGGTCAGGATTCCGAGGAAGATTCCGAGACTTTCAGCGATTTCACCATGAGATCGGACATGGCTCGGGCCGCCGAAATGGATTACTACGGCCGGGGCGACGAGCGATACCATAGCGGTTATGAAGGACAGGGAGGCCGTGGCTACAGACCGCCCTCTTCACAGATCTCATATGGTGGTAACCGATCTTCTGGTGCCTCGACCCCGATCTACGGCATGGATTACAACAGCACTCTGCCTGCTGGCCAACGCTCCCGCGAGCCCTACCCAGCCTGGACTTCGGATGCGCAGATTCCCTTGTCAAAGGAGGAGATTGAGGACATTTTCCTCGATCTCACAGCCAAATTCGGCTTCCAACGGGACAGCATGCGTAACATGTACGATCACATGATGACACTCCTTGACTCGAGAGCTTCTCGCATGACGCCTAACCAGGCCTTGTTGTCTTTGCATGCCGACTACATCGGAGGTGACAACGCCAACTACCGCAGGTGGTACTTTGCGGCTCATCTGGACCTCGACGACGCAGTCGGGTTCGCCAACATGAAACTCGGAAAGGCCAATCGTCGAACTCGCAAGGCACGAAAGGCCGCCGCCAAAAAGGCAAAAGAGAACCCAGAAAACGAAGAACAAGTTCTGGAAGCCATGGAAGGGGATAATTCCCTTGAGGCTGCTGAATACCGCTGGAAGACGCGCATGAACAAGATGTCCCAGCATGATCGCGCTCGGCAAATTGCGCTTTACCTGCTTTGCTGGGGTGAGGCCAACCAAGTCCGTTTCATGCCTGAGACTCTTTGTTTCATCTTCAAATGCGCGGATGATTACCTCCACTCCCCTGCTTGCCAGAACCGCGTGGAGCCGGTCGAAGAGTTCACCTATCTGAACAACGTCATCACGCCGTTGTACAGCTACATCAGAGATCAGTGCTACGAGATCATCGACGGCAAGTATGTTCGGCGCGAGAAGGACCACAACAAGGTCATTGGGTATGACGATATCAACCAGCTATTCTGGTACCCTGAGGGTATTGAGAGAATTGTCCTCGAAGACAAAACTCGGCTCGTTGATCTGCCTCCTGCCGAAAGATATCTGAAGCTTCACGAGGTGAACTGGAAGAAGGTCTTTTTCAAGACGTACAAGGAGACCAGATCCTGGTTCCACTTGGTCGTCAACTTCAACCGTATCTGGGTCATCCACTTGACAGCTTTCTGGTTCTACACGGCTTTCAACTCCCCAACACTGTACACCCACAAGTATCAGCAGCAGCTCAACAACAAACCACACGCTGCTGCTCAGTGGTCTGCTGTTGGATTGGGTGGTACGGTGGCGACATTGATCCAGATTATTGCAACTCTATGTGAATGGTCGTATGTGCCCCGAAGATGGGCTGGCGCTCAGCACCTAACGAAACGACTCCTCTTCCTGCTTGGTGTCTTCGTTATCAATATCGCGCCCAGCGTCTACATTTTCGGATTCAGCCAGACGTCAAAAATTGCTCTGATCCTCGGTGTTGTCCAGTTCCTCGTTGCTCTGGCTACGTTCTTCTTCTTCTCGATCATGCCACTTGGTGGGCTGTTTGGAAGCTATCTCACAAGGAACTCTCGCCGCTATGTTGCCAGTCAGACCTTCACGGCTTCTTACCCCCGGTTGAGAGGCAACGACATGTGGATGTCTTATGGCCTTTGGATCATGATTTTCGCTGCAAAGTTCTCGGAATCGTACTTCTTCCTGACGCTGTCATTCCGAGATCCGATCAAGATCCTGTCTTACACCAAAATCCGCCACTGCCAGGGTGATGCCATTCTCAAGACGTACCTCTGCAAGTACCAACCACAGATTCTGCTTGGCATCATGTTTTTCACCGATTTGATCCTGTTCTTCTTGGATACCTATTTGTGGTACATCATTTGGAACACGGTCTTTTCAGTGGCGCGGTCTTTCTATCTTGGTGTTTCCATCTGGTCGCCATGGCGAAATATCTTCTCGCGACTGCCCAAGCGTATCTACTCGAAAATCCTTGCCACGACTGACATGGAGATCAAATACAAGCCAAAGGTGCTGATCTCGCAAGTGTGGAACGCTATTGTCATCTCTATGTACCGAGAACATCTCTTGGCCATCGACCATGTGCAAAAGCTCTTGTACCACCAAGTGCCGTCAGAACAGGAGGGTAAGCGCACCCTTCGTGCCCCGACCTTCTTCGTGTCACAAGAGGATCACTCCTTCAAGACCGAGTTCTTCCCAGCTCAGAGTGAGGCCGAACGTCGTATCTCTTTCTTCGCGCAGTCTCTCTCCACGCCTATACCAGAGCCGCTGCCCGTGGACAACATGCCAACTTTCACCGTCCTCATTCCTCACTACAGCGAGAAGATCCTCCTCTCATTGCGCGAAATCATTCGCGAGGATGAGCCATACTCTCGTGTCACACTTCTAGAGTACCTGAAGCAGCTTCATCCGCATGAATGGGACTGCTTCGTCAAGGATACCAAGATTCTTGCGGATGAGACCTCCCAGTTCAATGGCGACTACGAGAAGTCCGAGAAGGATACCGCAAAGAGCAAGATTGATGATTTGCCGTTCTACTGCATCGGTTTCAAGTCTGCTGCTCCCGAGTACACACTTCGAACTCGTATTTGGGCTTCACTGCGTTCTCAGACTCTCTACCGAACGATCTCCGGTTTCATGAACTACAGCAGAGCCATCAAACTGTTGTACCGTGTCGAAAATCCTGAGGTGGTTCAAATGTTCGGTGGTAACTCTGACAAGCTTGAGCGCGAACTCGAACGCATGGCTCGCCGGAAGTTCAAAATTGTAGTGTCGATGCAGCGTTATGCCAAGTTCAAGAAGGAGGAACGCGAAAACACCGAATTCTTGCTCCGCGCCTATCCCGACTTGCAGATCGCCTACTTGGATGAAGAACCCCCGCAGAATGAAGGCGAGGAGCCACGACTCTACTCTGCTCTTATTGATGGCCACTCGGAACTCCTCGACAATGGCATGCGACGACCGAAGTTCCGCGTTCAGCTTTCTGGCAATCCTATCCTTGGTGACGGCAAATCTGATAACCAAAACCATGCCATCATCTTCTACCGTGGCGAATACATCCAGCTTATCGATGCTAACCAGGACAATTACCTGGAGGAGTGCCTGAAGATCCGAAGCGTGTTGGCCGAGTTCGAGGAAATGACCACAGATAATGTCTCACCATACACTCCTGGAATCAGTCAAGCCAAGGCCAACCCTGTTGCTATTGTCGGTGCTCGCGAGTACATCTTCTCCGAAAACATCGGTGTCCTTGGTGACGTCGCTGCTGGTAAGGAACAGACTTTTGGCACGCTCTTTGCTCGTACCCTGGCGCAAATTGGCGGCAAGCTCCATTACGGCCATCCTGATTTCCTCAACGGCATTTTCATGACCACTCGCGGCGGTGTTTCCAAAGCTCAGAAAGGCCTTCACCTCAACGAAGATATCTACGCGGGTATGAACGCTCTGATCCGTGGCGGACGTATAAAGCACTGTGAATACTACCAGTGTGGCAAAGGTCGTGATCTTGGCTTTGGCTCCATCCTCAACTTCACTACCAAGATTGGTACCGGTATGGGTGAACAGATGTTGTCTCGAGAGTATTACTACCTCGGAACTCAACTCCCACTGGACCGCTTCTTGTCATTCTACTACGCCCATCCCGGTTTCCACATCAATAACATGTTCATCATGTTGTCTGTGCAGATGTTTATGATCGTTCTGATCAACCTGGGAGCGCTGAGGCACGAGACCATCGTTTGTCACTACAACCGCAATGTGCCAGCCACCGATCCGCTGAAGCCTACTGGTTGCACGAACCTGACGCCAATTATGGACTGGGTCGAGCGCTGCATTGTATCCATCTTTATCGTCTTCTTCATCTCCTTCGTCCCGTTGGTTGTACAAGAATTGACTGAACGTGGATTCTGGCGCGCGGCTACTCGTCTGGCTAAGCACTTTGCCTCAGCCTCGCCAATCTTTGAGGTGTTTGTCTGTCAAATTTACGCCAGCTCGATTCAACAGGATCTCTCCTTTGGCGGCGCTCGTTACATCGGTACTGGTCGTGGTTTCGCCACCGCCCGTATTCCGTTCGGAGTTCTGTACTCGCGCTTCGCTGGGCCTTCGATCTACCTGGGTGCTCGGTCGTTGATGATGTTGCTGTTCGCAACCATCACGGTCTGGGGAGGATGGTTCCTGTGGTTCTGGTTCTCTCTATTGGGTCTCTGCATCTCGCCTTTCATATTCAACCCTCACCAGTTTGCCTGGAACGACTTCTTCATCGATTACCGAGACTACTTGCGATGGCTCTCCCGTGGCAATTCGCGTTCGCACGCTTCTTCCTGGATTGCCTTCTGCAGACTGTCGCGTACGCGTCTGACAGGATTCAAGCGCAAGGCCCTTGGCTCTCCGTCTGAGAAGCTATCTGGAGATGTTCCTCGGGCACACTTCACTAGCTTCTTCTTCAGCGAGATCGTGGGCCCCTTCGTGCTCGTTTGCCTCACGCTGATTCCCTATCTCTTCGTCAATGCGCAAACAGGTGTCACTGCCGACGTCAAGCCGGCCACGAACTCTCTTATCCGTGTGGCAATCGTGGCGTTTGGCCCCATTGCTGTCAATGCTGGTGTGCTTGCCGGTTTGTTCGGCATGGCTTGCTGTATGGGTCCCGTCCTGAGCATGTGCTGCAAGAAGTTCGGATCTGTTCTTGCTGCCATCGCACACGCCGTCGCAGTCATCATGCTCTTTGCTTTCTGGGAGGTCATGTTCTTCCTCGAGGGATGGATCTTCGCCAAGGCACTACTGGGCATGATTGCCGTGGTCGCGATCCAGCGGTTCGTGTACAAACTGATTATTGCTCTTTGCTTGACCCGAGAATTCAAGCACGATTCGTCCAACATAGCTTGGTGGACTGGCAAATGGTACTCGATGGGTTGGCACTCGATGTCGCAACCGGGGCGCGAATATCTCTGCAAGATCACGGAGCTCGGATTCTTCGCCGCCGATTTCATCCTTGGACACACCATCTTGTTCATCCTCTTGCCAGCCCTCTGCGTTCCTTACATCGACAAATTCCACTCGGTGATGCTCTTCTGGCTGCGTCCCAGGTATGTGATTTCCTTTCCTGGCACCTTCAGTGCAAAATGCTAACAAAAATCAATAGCCGCCAAATTCGTCCACCGATCTATTCCATCAAGCAGTCTCGTTTGCGCAAGAGGCGTGTCATTCGCTACGCCATGTTGTACTTCCTCATCCTCATTGTGTTCATTGTCCTCGTCGTTGGACCCGTCATTGTGCGCAAGTACATCAAGGGTCTCCCTAGCATCCCGATGAAACTGCTTCAGCCCACTGGACAAAACAACAACGACACAATGACCGGCATCACCGGTTCTGCTCTCCTCAATTTCGGACAAGATGCTACGGCCGCCGGTACGGATGCCGCCGCTGCAGCTGCCACCACCTCGTCAGACTCCAACGATCCTTTCAGCTTTGGAGGTGGCAGGTTCGTTCGATGGTAAATACCGCGAGCTTAACTGCGAAGCGGTGCCAGTATACATTGCTGCGAAGAGGAGTTGCATGACACGGCAGAAACGGTGGAAGATCTGTCGTTGGAACGTGGCAGGGAGCAGCACCCCATGACAAGTAATGAACGAAACGGCATAGACGAGCAGCCTTTCACAAAACAGATAGGTGCTTTTGCAGCAGGGGTTCTTTTTTCTTTTTCTTTTTTTACTTGTGCACTGTGGCAATCATTGGGGAGTGGCGCTGAAGTGATTGGAACATGGTTTACTTTGTGTTCGTTAGAATAGCCGTACTGTACATGAAGGCAATGGTCAATTTGCAAAAGTCGGCAAACGATGATACTCGACTCCTGGAGCCCGTGCTCGTCTCTCTGGATAATGGTACTGTATAAACTACCTATAGTAGCTGCCTGGTAAGATGACTGTTTGAGAGTCTGGGTGGGAGTGGTCGGAGATTGGATTTCCCCTTTTGCGTAGTCACGTGATCTGTCGCGCTGCCCGATTCCTCTTCCAATTTGAACGTGTCAGGGCGGGCGGCGCGCCGAACTTCTTCCCCAGTGTAAAGGGCAAAGCGATGCGGTCCGAGTCGTGAATTGTGAACTTTCGCCGCAAAACTTGACCATTTCCACCACGTTTCAGCGTCCCTGCCCGTTTGCCGAGTTGAAGCTCATGCTGCTGTGGCAAGATGGAGTTCCAGGACGCCCAAGTCTATCTCAATAACCTGGTCAATGTGACCTCGACGCAGTTCCATAAGATCCCTGGGTCGGCCATATTCCTGCGTTATGTCAAGTCCAGCTACCAGAACGACCCTGTCCGCTCCGCTGTTGAGCTCTTCCTCGTGCTCTTTGCTATCCGATATCTGCTGGCCCCCAAATACTCGACCAAGCCTAACTATGTGAAGTTGTCGGAAGAGGTGGGTTTACACTGGTCTCTCTGGCTATATGGGACCTTTGGACTGACTTGGAGCCAGGAGATCGATGAACTCGTGGACGACTGGACGCCCGAGCCTTTGGTGGCCAAAATGACGCCTTTCGAAGAGGCGGAACTGGAGAAGCGACCCGTAATCGTCGGGTGAGTCGTACCAGGCAGCAACTTTGGGGAATTAACGCTGATGCATGACTTAGCCCAAGCGGTCCTCGCTCGAAACTTGCCAACGGGCGTACCGTGACCAATCTGGCATCATACAACTTCTACAACTTCGTGTCGAACGAAAACCTGAAAGAGCGGGCTATACAGACGCTGCGGACATATGGGGTCGGCCCCTGCGGGCCTCCCGGCTTCTATGGCACGCAAGATGTGCACATGAAGATTGAGGCCGATCTTGCGGCGTTTCTGGGCACGACGGCTTGTATAATATATGCTCAAGCATTCTCTACGATATCAAGTGTGATACCCGCGTTCTCCAAGCGCGGGGATATCATCGTCGCCGACAAAGCGGTGAATTATGCGATCCGCAAGGGAATTCAGATCTCCCGGAGTGCAGTGAGGTGGTACGAGCACAACGACATGGAAGATCTGCAAAGAGTGCTGGCCAAGGTGACCAAGGAGCAAGCCAAGAAGCCATTGACTCGGCGGTTCATCATCACCGAAGGCTTGTTCGAGAATGTGGGCGACATGGCTGATCTGCCTAAAATCATTGAGCTGAAGCTCAAGTACAAGTTCCGGCTGATCCTCGACGAGACCTGGTCGTTTGGTGTACTGGGAAGAACGGGGCGAGGCCTGACAGAACACCAGCACGTCGACGCCGCCGAGGTTGACATGATCATCGGCTCCATGGCAGGGCCATTGTCGGCTGCGGGTGGCTTCTGCGCCGGCTCGGATGAGGTTGTGGAACATCAACGATTGTCGGCGGCCTCGTACACGTTTTCCGCTGCGCTTCCCGCTATTGCAGCGGTGACCGCGAGCGAGACGCTCATGATGCTGCAGACGCAACCCGAACTGTTTACGCAGTTGAAGGAAAACATTCGAGCCATGTGGGCCCAACTCGACCCGCGGAGTGATTGGATGTACTGTACAAGTGCTCCGGAGAATCCTATCATGCTTCTGTCGTTGAAGCCCGAGGTAGTTTCGTCTCGGCGGTTGACCGTTGACGATCAACAGCAAATACTCCAAGATATTGTGGACGAGGTATGTTTGTGCCAGTGGCATTTCCCTTTGCTTGTGATGGCTGCCGAGAGCATGTGAAGAGAACAGATGCTAATGAAATGCTGAACACTGTAGTGCCTCGCTCAAAATGTCCTCATCACACGCGTCAAAAACCTACCTGCGGGGCCTTCGGGAACGAAGACGGATATCTACTCCCCCTTGCCCGCGTTGAAAGTGTGTATTACCTTGGGCCTTACGAAGAAGGAAATTGAGAAGTCTGGCATCATAATTCGACATGCCATTACCAAGATCCTCACCCGGAAACGGTGAGGAGACTCACATTCTAGTGTGATTTCCTGGCGCACCGGGGAATGAGACTCAGTTCTTTTCGTGTCGCTGGCGAGAGACCGCTGATGCGCATCTTCTTGGAGTGGGAGTATCCTCTTCTAATTGTTTACGGAGAATGCTACAGAGAACTGGGGACTGCGAGGTCGAACGAACATCACTGTGTGTATATTTACCTGGTATGGCGGTGCAGGGCGGTGAGCTTCGGGATACATAGGTTGCGACTAATAACGGGACAAGGATACGGACAAGTGCTACAACTAATAGTGTGATGATCAGGCTGTCAAGTTATCCTGACGCCTTTGCTCAAACCCGCACACTTCAAGCTTTTCTTCCCGTCGAATGTGACAATCCTGGAACAATCAAGACGTGTGAAATGAGCCGTTTACGCCAATTCCCCTCCCTTTACTCGTATTCGCGCTGCAAGAAGACCAGCACCCCCAATATCTGTACTGGTTCGAGGCTGGGGCTGAGCCGTCGAATCTCAGCTCTTCCAACCTCGGAGACGCCTCAGAAGCTCCTCCTGCGAATGAACTCTGAGATTCGCGAAAGCCAAAATAAGGAGCGGCACGACATGCATCGTGTGGCGCCTACACAACGTGCTGATACGGCTTGCTCAGCCGTCAAACAGGACGGCTGAATCCAAGGCTTCTTGCAACACGTGCGGCTGAGCTTGAGCATGCATGCATACCTCGCATTTGCCCGGCAGGTCAGATGCGCTGCCAGTGGCAGGGAAAACAACGAACGATGAGAAGGTTCTTGATTTGCAAGCAACTTCAGTCTACATAAAGCGTCTCAACCCCGATTGACCATCGCGGCGTGGTTGGGGTTGTTTACATCAACTGATATCGACCTTCCTGCCCACCCACACAGTCTCAACATACTGACACAGCCGACCATGTCTGTACCTACACAGCCCGCCTACATACACCGTGGGACCTGGGACGACGAAACACGGGCGCATCCAGCCATGAAGTGGATGGAAGACTATACCAAGACGTTCAACTCGCGTGAAAACTGGCAGCAGACAAGTTCGGACTGGCACAGCTCCAATTACGTGCTCGTCAAACCAGACGGATCTACGTACACCGATCCGGCCGAATGTTGGAAAGAGCAGAAGGCCATGTACGCGGCTTTCACGCAGGAATTCCACGAGCCGTATTTCTTGGTCTGCTGGGAAACCAGCAACGGGTGGGGGATGCTCGGCCAGGCGTACATGTTTGCCAACTGTATTGGGGAGCCGACCCCGGGCGAAAAGAAGGTCAAGGATTTGCAAGGGCGGGAGTGGGATGTTAAGATTCCGGGCGGGTTTCATTTCGTGTACGAAAAGAACGAGGGCGCGGCTCATGGCGGGATCGAGATGAGCAGAGCTGAGATTATGAGTGATACGATGCCGGCGGTGCAGATTTTGACGCAGAGAGGTGTTTTGAAGCAGTAGGGACCAGCACGAGAGACGGAGCGTGTTGACCTGAGGACGCTGTATCTTGTATCAAGTCATCCTTTAGTATGTGCGGATATGGTATGCAACTTGAACCAATCCATCGTGACAGTTGCGTAGGAAGTCCAGCCTTGCGGCAGAACAAGGACGGCCGCCCGGCCTCTTGCTCTTTCGTAGCTGGCTTGTCCTGACTTTAAGAGGGGATCATAACGTGCGTCGGATCTCATACCAGCGGTAGCAACATATGTGAATCCATGGAGCGCGATGAGCAGGAGTGCAACAGAGCGGCGGAAGCCAAGAGAGGAACGCGTATACAACTGCAACATGTCAATCCTCCGCAGCCTTGCGCTCAATCTTGATTACCTGGTACCCCCACGCACCCATACACTCACTCCCTCACTCCCTCACTCCCTCTCTCACCAACAACAACGTCCAACGCCCTGTGTCGGCTCTGATTGTGTCCAGAGCCCAGCCTCATAGACTCCCCTCTATGTGATGCGCCCTCCGGCAACATGGCCCACTTCCTTCGCGGAAAGCAGGTCGGGGTCCAGAACGACATCTCGGTCGGAATCTCTCAGGATGTCTTCATGGTAGACGATGTATAGACTCCGGGCCTGCCGCTCAGCTAGTATCTGCTAACAGTGCGACAGTTCGCCCGCTACGGCATTAATTCTCAGATCTCTGTCCTTGCCTACGATCCCGTCCAGTCCCTCCTCGCGGTCGGCACAAACGAATCCCAGTTCGGTCCTGGCCTTGTCTACGTCTTCGGGCAGAAACGAGTCTGCGTGACTTTTAGACCTCCGCGGCCGTCCTCGATCAGAGCGTTGCAATTCTGCGCCGACAAACTCATTGTGTTGGATAGCAAGAACGATGTCAGCATCTTCAGCCTCGACACGAAACAAATGGTGACAAACTATGCCCCGCCTGGCCATGTCACCGCCATACTCTCAGACCCTAGCCTTGACTATTGCTTTACGGCCTTGCAAAATGGTGGGTGGATTTTGTGACAATGGTTATTCTGCTGGCCTGACACGGTGCTACAGGCGAGATTGTTGCATATGACCTGGACCGTGAGAGTATCACTCCGTTCAAGATTCCCAACCTCTGGCGGGAGCGGAATCCGAGAGCCCGCATCCTTCCCGTTGTTTGTATGCAGTTCCATCCCAAGGATATCGGCACCCTGCTCATTGGCTACACCGAAGGAGCCGTGGTGTACTCGTTCAAACAGAACAAGGCCACCAAGTTCTTCCAGTACGAGATCCCTAGAGGGGCTCGAGGGGGAGACGGGGATGCCGCTGCCACCTCCCAAGCAAGACACCCACGGCTCACGCACTGTCTCTGGCATCCCACCGGCACGTTCATCTTAACCGCACATGATGACTCGAGCTTGGTCTTCTGGGATCCCCGCGACGGGAGAATCATCCATGCCAGAACCATCGACGACACAGACATCAATGTACCAGGACGACCACCGCCTCGACCAGCTTCTCGCGATGGAGCACCGCCACCTATCTCTGTGAAGCAGCCTTATATCAACATTGCCTGGTGTTCGAAAGCGAACGCCGACGACACGGGCCTCCTGATAGCCGGGGGCACATCCACCACCAATCTTGCCAGAGGACTGACTTTCATCGACCTGGGACCAACTCCAGTCTATCAAACATCAACCTGGGACTCGCTCGCAATACATTTTCGAAACCCCAAGAGAACGCAAATCCTTCCCACCCCACCCACTGCCGACATAGCAACATTCATCCTTGTGCCCCGTTCGTCTCCTTATTATGCAGGCTCTCATGATCCCATTGCGGTTTTGACCGTCTTGTCTTCTGGAGAAATGCTCACACTGAGTTTCCCTTCTGGCCATCCCATCACGCCCACCAATCAGCTCCACGTATCCCTTACGTTTGTCCATCCTTTTGTCACGAAACTTGCATTGGCTTTTGTGGATCGGACGAGATGGTTAGGCATGAGGGAGATCCGTCAACATGGGCCGAGTCTTCTCATCGGCGGCGCCGAGGGCGCCCGACCTCTAAAAAGATTCGAAAACCGAAACATTGTCCAAGCGGCGCATGCCGACGGGACACTACGGGTGTGGGACGCCGGGCACGGCGATGTCATAGAGAATCCGGGCGTGCTTCAGGTCGACCTGGCGAGAGCAGTCGGTCGATGGGACCAGTTGGAGGTTTCGGAAGTGAGCATGTCAGGTGCTGCAGGAGAACTGTCGGTTGGCTTGAGAACCGGCGAAGTGGTGATATTTCGACTCAACCGGAATCAGTTTGCCGGCCAACCTCCTTCGGATGTCGTAGCTAATGAAGGACCGGGGAAAATGACCGATATCACGAGACGGGCAGATCCAGGGTTGAAAGAGGGTCTTCTCCCACTGACCATGACAAATGACCAGCAGGGACCTGTGGCCGCTTTGCGGCATTCGGACGTTGGCTTCGTGGCGGCCGGATACGCTGGAGGAGGGGTGACTCTCATCGATCTTCGCGGACCGGCCATCATCCACACTGTGATCCTGAACGAATTGGTTGGCGATAAGCATCATCGCAAGGGCGGTATCAGACGATCGACCTCATCGACGCCATCTACAGAATATGCCACGGCGATCGAATTTGGCATTATGACTCTTGAGGGCGACGGTAGGTGATGCATGTCAAGCCTGTTTCTTTTTTTTCCGGATCAACTAACCTTGCATTGTCTTATTAGACTATTCCTCTCTCGCGGTATATGTGGGCACCTCGCGCGGACGAGTTGCGACATTCAAGATCATCCCGTCTTCATCCGGTCGATATACGGCTCAACTTGCCGGGGTGACTTCACTATCCAACGAGCGGGTGGTGTCTATCTCGCCCATCGATGCACATACAGGGTCTCCCGCCGCGGCCACCGGCCAAGCGATGGCGGGACTTGCCAGCGGCCGCAAAATCGACGGCGTGTTGGTCGTCGCGACCGTGTCGTCAGCCCACATATTCCGGCCGGCGCAACATTCGAAAACAACATCAAAGTCCTTCGAGCACTACCTGTGTGATTCGGCGAGGGTGGCGCGCTACGAAGACCGCGGATACGCGCTGGTAGGACTGTTCGGGGACGGGATGGCGCGGGCGTTCTCAATCCCATCTCTCAAAGAGGTGGCGCACGCTCGCGTCAACCATGTTTTCGACACCAAGCGGTTCGCCGACGCCCTGATCACGCCCACAGGTGATGTCCTGGGCTGGGTTGGGCCCAGCGAAGTCGCAATGGTCAACGTCTTCGGCGCCGGCTTGGCCCTCCCACAAAGTCCCGACCGTCTTTACGATCCCGCCAAACTGGTCCCGCCGCGTCCCACCATCAGTAATCTACAGTGGATCGCCGGCACCCAATATATCACGCCCTCGGACATGGACGTTTTGATCGGCGGGCCTGATCGGCCCCCTTCGAAGCGCATGGTCGCTGAGATGCGCGCCGCTCAGGAAGCAGAGTTTCAGCGCCAACGCGAGGCTGCGCGGACCGGTCGGACTGCCGCAAAAGACGACAGGGCTGGCACAAGTCAGGAAAGTTACTGGGATTACATGTCCCGCCAGCTCGCTGAGCGCACAGAGGCCCTCGGTCTGGCTGGCGACAATATGGACCGCGCCGCAGAGGCCAGCTCCTCTTGGAGCGAGGGCGTCAGTAACTTTGTCGCAAAGCAGAAACGCCAGGCTGCCCTGGGGTATCTGGGTTCCAAATTTGGGTTTTGATACAGTACTACCTTAGGTAATTACGGAGCGAAACGAACGATGTTACCTTACTTACCTAAGGTCGTAAAATACACTCTTGTTAGAACGTGCTCACGGTCTTGTATGGTTATAGCATAATAGTATAGTAGGTATGCAGTGGTAGAAGCACCGTACGATCCGACCTTAGGTAGTTTTCCCGCAGGCTCTCTGCTCGTTATCGGCTTCAGTCACCCAAAATCAACTTCAGATGCTATACTCGTGTCCAAGTACACACAGCACTCTCTCTTCGCGCCACCCGCCCACACACACACGCACACACACGCACACACACACGCACACACGCACCAAACACAACGAATACTAATATAATATAGCTACAGTACATAATTACACATTTGGCTTGCTTGCTTGCTTGTTTGCATGAGCTGAAATCGGTCCAACTTCTCATCACGTCATAACAAAGATCAGTCGGGTCAAGTTGTGCCGTTTTTGCGGCATCTCAAGGTAGTAAGAAAACAGCCAGCCTCGTGTTGGTTCCTAGCCTGTCATGTCCACCTCAGCTTGCCCGTTGTTTGTCATTGCAGAGTAGATCGAAGTACTGTATGGCAGTGGGTAGTGGGTAGTGGGTAGTGAGGTGGCAGATATAATATGGTAAATAAGCGGAGGAGTGAGTGCCAGTGAATCGTTCGAAATCAGGGCTGAATTATATCCAACCACGCTTTCGATCCATCCCATCATCAAATCAGATTTACCTACCCTACCCTACCCACCAAGAGCAGAGCCATCCACACTCCTCAATTTGGCGGCCAGGGTGGTATCATAGAAATTATAGTAAGGGTCAGGCACGCAGAAGGTCGAGTGCCGCAGGAGAGTGTCGGCAGTTGGACGATCGGTCGGATTGCTGAGAGTGCCAGTGTGCGGTCAGCAATGTGTTCTCGCTTCAGCTACAAAGTTGGGTGAATCAATACTCACACTTGAAAACAGTCGTACATGAAATTCAGCCCATCGACCGTGGCAGTCGACTGCACATCTTCCGGGATAGGCGGGGCCTGACTCAGACTGCCGAGCTTGAAGATTGCGCCGATGGCCTCTTCTCGACTCCACGGCCTCTTGCCGGCAAACATTTCCAGCACCACACAGCCCAAGGACCAAATGTCGACTTTGGCACTGTAGCCCTGGCCCTGGGACCGCACCACTTCGGGGGCCATCCAAAAAACAGACCCTTGCATACTGTTGGTCGCGTCGTTGCCGTAGATGTTGTCCGATTTCTTGGAAATGCCAAAGTCGGATATCTTGCACGTCCCGTCCAAGTCCAACAGGATGTTATCCGCCTTCAAGTCTCGATGCAAGATCCCCTCGTGGTGCAAATATGCCAACCCTTCCAACGTCTGTCGCGTGAGTGATCGCACCACCGGTTCCTCGAATTTGCCGTGTTTGCGCAGACAACTGCCTATCGACCCTCCGGGGATATATTCGAGATAGATACTAATCGAAAACTCCTTACGTTCACAACCAAGATATTGCACGATATTCGGATGCTCCAGATGTTGCATCGTGTCGATTTCCTGGTCCAATGCCGCCACCATCTCCTTGATCCGGTCTTTGTCTTGTCCGGCCACCTTCTGGTTGACTTCGACCTGCTTCACCGCGAGGAATTCGCCCGTCGTCGCGTTCATACCGAGGTACACACGACCATACGTGCCTTTGCCTATCAGTTGACCGCGGATGATCTTGAACGTTGCCTGCCGCTTGGGCATGTCGTCCGAAGGAACTTCTTCTTGTGGAATTGGGTCCAAGGTCGATAGACGATTGCCTGGCTTTGGTTTGATCTGAACAATATTGGCGCCAAACATCTTGGTGCTCTTTCGTCGGACAATACCCGAGTTGGCCTGCTCCACCCTCGCCGCGACCGAAGGACCTCTTCTGATATCGTTGCGCTTCTGGGCCACTTCACGAATTGACTTCATCCGAGTGATGCCACCCGTCGATTTCCCCACTTGTCTTTGTGCAACGTTGGCTATCTTGTCCCGATCTTTCGCCTTCAGAGTCGACTCATCCGACCCGAGTGTATCTGACTCACTTTTGCGGCCGAAGTTCAGGTCCAGCCCGGCGGTACCATAAGTAAGACCTCCGGAGCGGGCAGCCTGGACATTTTCAAGAGGATCATAGTCGGCTGACCTCATGGGTGAGTTGTTGTCGCCCTTTTCTTCTAGATAAGGTTTGTCCAGGTCCACGCCTGGGAAGAATTCGTCCAGATGATGGACGACATTTTCCACGGCCGGTCGATTCGCCCAGATATCGCTGACGAAGGAATCTCTCCTGCCCATTCGGTCATCTGGAGATTGTGCTGAACCACTGAAACTGCCCTCCGAGAGACTGGGTTGGTAGCCGTCTCCGCTAGCCGTCGCACTGTCCTCCCCTGCATTGGGGTTGCCAGGCATCTCAGCAGACGAGCCCGGGGATTTGAAACGAACGTTCTTCCCCGCGTTATGATCTGTATCGACGGTTAAGGCTGGTCTCTGGTCCTTGTTGCCATTGCTTCTACCATCGCCTTTGGGAATCGACTTGTTCGCCAGTGGAATGGCGAATAGGCCGTCATCCGAATCGTCATCCGAGTCATCTCCTGCCTTGGCCGGAACAGGTGAAGGAGCGAATGTAATATTTGTCTCTTTGAATTCGTAGTCCGGCCCATAAGATCTCCTGGTCGGAAGGCCTGGTCGAGCTGCATTGGCTGTAGAAGGACTGACACTAGGGGATTGCGCATATGGTCGGACATCATCTGGAGCCCCCTTGCGCGGTCGGTTGTCGTACTGTGGCACACCAAAACCTGCATTGTTGCTCTTGAGACTGGGGTCAGTCGGCTGCACCCCTCGGCTTCTTTCAGCCTGCGAGCCTTGACTACCAACGGCAGCGGGAGCCCCGGCCATTTTGCCCACGTTTGCTAAGGCTGCACCGATCCCTCCCTGTGCGATTGGACCGACATCAGTCCTCTTTCTGGCGCGCTCTGCTTCTTCTTCCGCGATAGGGTTGGATATCCGCTTCAAGGCGTCCATCGAAGACCTGCTGCCAGATCCTTTGGCCCTCAAGGAGTTGACTTTGGTTAAAGTAGTTGACTCCGCCGGTGCCGTAGGTGGCCGTCGCACAGGTACTAGCGTATCAACCTTCTTGTCGTCGAAAGGTGATATGCGAGGCGTGTCAAAGTCTATGACGGTGCTCCCTCGAATGCCGCTTCCATTGTACGTCGAGCTTTGTTCTTTCTGTGCTCGACGAGATTCCAAGTAGGCCCTGTGCTTGGCCTCTGTCTGCCTTCGGTACTCCTCCTGCTTTTGGAGCAGGTCGGCATCAACCCCAGATTGCTCGGCATTTGGCGATAGCAGTCCAGGATAGCCGTTGCGGTCGACTCCGCTGGCCGAGTTGGATTTGGCCATTGGGGCACCTCGCGAGAAGGATTCAGTCTGAGCTCCTTGATTCAGCGTAACCCCAAGACCTGCCGACTGGCCAGTAGGACCTGAGATCGCAGAAAGTGTCGGGCTCTGCACGTATAGTTTCAAACTTGCCGAGTTGTCGGTCCGACTGCGAATCGAAAGAAGCGTGCTGTCTGAAAGCGGATTATCATGGTCAGTCTGACCGGGTTCAGTGACGAAGATCTGAACATATTCAGCATCTGGAATACCCAATTCAATACAGATATGGCTACGCAATGCAGCAGCACTCTCCGCCTCTGTCACGTCAACAAGTCGATAGTTCCAACCGTCAGGGGTCACGAAGATATATCTCCGGGAGATAGACGGGGTCCGGCGGGCTAGTTGGGGTCTTTCATCTTCGCTGGTCACACTCGAGGAGGCTGGACGTTGCGACAAGGCAGTTTCACTTCCATTCGCATTCGGCTTAGAAAAGAAGCGGAAACCGCCCGGGCTTGTGGGAGATTCTAGAGCATGCTCATCCGCAGCTGGCTGGTTGTGCTCGTGTCGTTTTCTCATGAATTTGCTCAAGAATCCCTTGCTCTGATCCTTCCCTCCCGGCCCTGGGGCATAATCGTTGCTCCAAGTCCGGTGTGTATCAAGAGGTGACGGTCTCGTTGTCTCCTGCGCGTCGCGGCGTTCTGCATAGTAACGTCCGGAAATGGTGCCGTCACTGGCAACAGCCCTGCCGCTTTCAAGCGAGCCTTGAGCGTTGAGGTTAGAACGTGGATGGCCAGTTGCCTTGAGCATCGAATCGGTGCTGTTACTTTTACTGTGTTCCGGCCGATACGATTGAGGAGCAGCAGGAACTGCACTTCCGAGACCAGGACTGGCATTCGGAGATGCTTCGAATCCTTTTGCAGTCAAGCCGCTAGATGTGTCGCCGGACATATGAGGGCTATGGCGACCACGGCTGTTGACGCCAGTAAGGACGTTTCTTGTGTAGTCCGCACGATTCCCGCCATGTAGATTGTCTGGCGGTTTGGTGTCGCTGGGAGTGGAGGAACTGCTGCTGTTCTTGCTCAGAACAGGCATTGTACTGCTCCTCGCCTGGGAGGTTCGTGCATTCAAGCCTGTCGGGAACTGCGCCGGCATTTGTTTTCCCGGACTTCCTTCTGGACCAGCGGTACCAGGGGTAGTGCTAAATTCAGACCTAAGGAGGTGAGGTGAGTTCTCCACGGTGCCTTCTGTCGATGCGCTTGGAATCAGCCCAGATTCTCGTCTGCGGTGGCCATGTCCTGCGCTCGATGGACCTTCGCCGCCCTGCTCTACAAGGCGGGAGATGAGCTTGCGCAGCCTCTTCCCTTCGTCACGTTCACGTGCTTGATCCCAGCCAGTACTGCTGCTGGAACAAACTTTGGCCAGTTGTGGATAGATCGTTTGATGGAGCATGCCCAGGTTACCTCGACCGTTAGGACCGCGCCCAAGATCTAGAAACTCCGAGCCTTCTAACTTGAGGATCCGAAACGTCTCTTGCCAATCATTCGAAAATCCATTGGCAGCCAGCCATATGAGTACGCGGTCCAGAGGCCATTGAGACGCGAGTTCGCTTGTATTTCCACTCGTGACTGCGGCACTATGTGCGCGTTGCCGACCATGGTCATTACTTGTTTGAGGGTTTTGGAGCGTCGCAGTAGGAGGCCCAGGTGAAAGGGGCTCTTCGGTGTCCCGCACCGGCAGAGTAAAAGGAGGTCGGCTGGAAGAAGCCGACGTGGCACGCGATTCTCGGTTTGCGACGTCTGGACTAGGGTGAGAAGGATTTGGATAGGGATAATTATGCGAGGTCACGGTCCCGTCTGAAAACTTTTGGTCCGGCTGCGAACGCAATGGCTCGGGATTGGCTTGGGCGTCATAGCGAGAGTAGGTGGAGTAGTCTTCGAGAGGAGGGATGCCCACGCCTGGACCGAAAGAATCACCAGTCGGTATGAACGTGGCAGATAGTATAGGCTTGTCATTCTGAGGAGGCGGAGGAGGAAGGGTCATGTGAGATGGTTGTCGCATTCCATAGGGTAAATGTTGATTCTGCGCTTGATTGTGACCGATCGGGGGCGGAGGGGGGAACCCTTGACTCATGCCACTTCTTCCCCATGGTTGTGACCATCCTGCTCCTGGAAGGCCAAAGACTGTCCCCAATGGCAATGCCGATGGATGTGGTCCACGGGGCGGTGGTGGGAGGTTTGACTGTGGATAGGGCCTCGGCGGAGGCGGAGGAAGATGACTTAGGGTTCCCTGTCCCGGCGGTGGAGGAGGGCCAGGTATATATTGTGGACGCTGGTTATCCATCATTTCTCTGTTGGAGACCATATCCCTACGCGACAGCGGTCCTGCACTAGGACAATGTCGCGGTAGCTGGTTCACGACGTTGGGCACCAGCAAAAGTACCACAAATCACCGCTGGCTACCAACATATCGTTCTCGAGCACTGGTGGTGTCACAAGCTTATAGGCAGAACAGACGTCTATCCGCAAGGCGGTATGATTGCCTCAACCTTCCAGAACTCTTGAACTGTTGATAGTACAATCAACCCAACATGCCTGATGAGTGACGAGTCGCGCGTGCCCGCAGGGAGACCGGACGAGAGACCCTTGACAAAGTGCGGGAGGCTCCGATCGATCGATTATCGCTGGTAGAGTTGAGGAGTTTGGACAATCGGTCCCCGGAGGATGGCGGCAGGGTTCGACGGGCCGGGAGGAGATGTGTTGAAGCTGTAGTCGTCGCTGTGGGCAGAGTGAGACGGTGAGCGAAGGGAAGGGTTCTGGATTGTCGGTACGACGATGCACGATAGTAGTAGGGCCAGTGCCCGTGTTGTGTTAGTCAGGAAATGTTGTAGGTGTCTGGCAGCACTACCAGCATACTAGTAGGCTAGTAGAGTTATGGCAGGAGTATTATTAGCACACTGCTAAGGTCGGTAGGTGGCAGTGGGCACCTATACCTATGGGGACCTAGGGAGTGCCAGTGTTAGGCTTGCAGGTGGAGGCCGGTAGTACATAGTTTTGGGCTTGGGCAGCGATCTTCCGCTCCAAGGCTGTCGTTTAGCCGCCCAATCAGTCGCCCGGAGCAAGCGCGTAGCGAGTGCAAGTCCACAGAGAAGACTTCCGTCATCGGCAGCGATAAGAAACTCGACGGAAGATCCCCTGGCGATAAGAAATTGTCCACCAGTCTCCAGCACCACGCAAGACTCAACATGGCGAAGGAGCGCAGCGGTCGAGCTGGACGTTCTGCGCGCAGGCTTTCTGGCCACTGCAGTGTATCAGGTCATCGAGCTGTTTTTGAAACACGCCGCAGGGCTACAGCACGGTTTGGTTGTCTACGTTGTACGGCAAAGATCTCCTGCTCCGAGATAAAATGACACGCCAGCCTGTATAGGGAAGGCGACCTCCACCATCAGACCACGCTCGCACGCGGATAATCGGTGCCCCTCGCTGCTCTTGGACCGCCATCTCGTCGCCGTGCAGTGGTGTGCCGCAACGTGCCTCGTAGCTTTGGCTGGTAGCACTGCTGTGATGAGAGATATCCATATTTCTCATCAGTAGCAGTGCACCGCAGGTCTGGACCCCCTCTCCGGCTCCGCTGCCACCTGATGACGTTGGAGCTGTCCGTATATTAAAGTAGAGATCTTGACGCAACGTCTCCCAACGCTGTCTCTACTCCCCTCCTTCCTCCAAGTGTGAAATCTGTTCTCTACAATCAACATGGCCATTCATACCGACATCCGGACTGCAGAGCTCCGTGAGCCCGTTGACGTTGCTACCTATCTCTTCACCCGGCTCAAGCAGCTCGGGATCGATTCGGTCCACGGCCTTCCGGGAGACTTCAACCTGGTAGCTCTCGACTACCTGGAAGGCTGCGGGTTGAAGTGGGTTGGCAACTGCAATGAGCTCAACGCAGGCTATGCGGCGGATGGATATGCTCGGATCAAGGGTATTTCCGCCGTGGTAACCACGTTTGGTGTGGGCGAATTGTCGTTGCCCAACGCCATTGCAGGGGCGTAAGTAGGAAGTGCCAGACTAGGTGTGTCATTGAGCAGGTTGGCTAAACTTCGAGACAGCTACGCCGAGTTCGTCCCTGTCGTCCACATTGTCGGAACGCCGAGCACCATCTCCCAGGCCAATGGAATGCTGCTGCACCATACCCTGGGCAACGGCAACTTCCAAGTTTTTGCGGACATGGCTTCTCATATCGCCGTGGATGTGGCCAAGCTGACGGATCCTCGAGATATCCCCGGACAAATTGATCACGCCCTCCGCGAATGCTACCTCAAGAGTCGACCGGTCTACATCGCTTTACCTACAGATATGGTCAAGAAGAAGGTGGAGGGCGAAAGACTAAAGACGAAGATCGACCTCAGCCCGTATCAGAACGACCCAGAGAAGGAGGATTACGTGGTTGATGTCATTCTGAGATACCTTACCCAGGCGAAGAATCCTGTCGTTCTGGTCGACAGCTGCGCTATAAGGCATAGAGTCCTGCAAGAAACACACGATTTCATCGAAAAGTCCGGTCTTCCAGTCTTTGTGGCTCCCATGGGCAAAGGTGCTGTCGATGAGACTATGCCAACCTTTGGAGGTGTCTACGCCGGGAATGGCTCCAACCCGGGAGTGCAAGAGCGGGTCGAAGGTGCTGATCTACTCCTGACTATCGGTAGCGTCAAGTCCGACTTCAACACGGCTGGTTTCACATACCGGACCTCGCAGCTCAAGACGATTGATTTCCACAGTACCTGGATGCGGGTTCGTTATTCAGAGTATCCTGACGTCGGCATGAGAGGCGTCCTCCGCAAGCTGATTGAGAGAATGCCGAAGCTCAATATCCAGCCAGGACCAACCCCTCCGCAGAACACAATCCCCCAGAGCGAAAACACAAATGATCCCACCATCACTCACACTTGGTTCTGGCCTCGCATGGGGCAGTGGCTGCAGGAAGGAGATATTGTTCTGACCGAGACCGGAACCTCGAACTATGGTATCTTCAACACTCGGTTCCCGAAGAACGTCATCAATATAAGTCAAATCCTGTGGGGAAGTATCGGCTATGCTACGGGTTCGTGCCAGGGTGTAGCGCTCGCCGCTCGGGAACTGGGACGCAAGCACCGTACCATTCTTTTCACGGGCGACGGAAGTTTCCAGCTGACCGCACAAGAGCTCAGCACAATGATTCGGCATAAGCTCAACCCAATCATCTTCATCGTCTGCAATGACGGGTACACCATTGAGCGGTTCATACACGGAATGGACGCGGGGTACAATGACATTCAGAACTGGAGATATAAAGACCTTCCTGCTGCATTTGGAGCCGAAGAAGGAACGTACAAGACGTACCAGGTCAAGACCAAGGAGGACGTCAATGCCCTTTTCCAGGACGAGAATTTCTCCAAAGCTCCCTATCTGCAGTTGGTCGAACTTTATATGCCTAAGCAGGATGCCCCAGAAGCATTGAGACTGACGGCGGAAGCGAGTGCTAGGAACAACGCAAAGTCATGATGTTCTGATTGATGCGATATGATTTCTTTCTCCGGGGTTGAAAGAGTCTGAGCGGACAGGGGCGGTCCGGCGGGAGTACAATGCATAGAGGTGATATGACATAGATGAGACAATAATGGCAAAAGGTTCATGAAGTTAGACGGTAGATTGGTGAGATGAGCGCATAGTTGTGTGGTTCAGTACCTACTCAGGCTTCTGTGTTCTATATCGTGCTAATAAAAGCGATGGACATGGGACCTGCAATTAACATGGTTATTAGTAGTACCTACAGTAGGTAGGTAGGTAGGCCGACGCACTAGTACTGGTAGTACTCGCCTAATCCTGCCGCTTGGAGCCGGTAGGGGCATCTGCCTGCACGCTCTTAAGGCAGCGGACACGCACATGCCCGCTACAGGCCCAGCGTGAGGCCATCTGAGTCGTCTACAAGTGAAGTATGTTGACCCGTGGCACGGTTGACTCGTGTTCAACTATCCCTGGATAGATATAGGCTCCAAGTCACTCCTATAAACCAGAGGCTCAGGCATGGCCAGCACAGCCGCGGCGAGTCGGAAAGGACACTATATTACGGTCTAGCACGGCCCTTCATCATGTTGAGCCTACGGTTGTTCCATCTTCCTCCCTCGTGGGTTCGTCTGCATCGACAAAGCCATCCCTTCGTCAGGTGAGCCTGTATCGCTGGACTTGTGACCCTTCCGATCAGTGCCAAACAGCCTTGTGTTCGTCCAGTGAACCAGATGCACTGCAGGTCACGCCTCCTCTAAGAAGGTCTGTTTGACCGCAGGCGACAAGCAAACAACATCATCCCCTTCCCTAAGTGATCAACGACGCCTTTCCCTCAACATGGCGAGCCTCGACACTCCTCCGCAGAGGAGCGGCCCCCGCAAACTCCAGAAAAGGAATACAAAACTTAACCGCCTCCCTTCGTCTCACATTCCTACCCGACTTCGCCTCGGAACCGATGCCCAAGACGATGTGACTGCGCCGACGCGGGGAAAGAACGCTCCTGCCGCATACATGAATCAGTCCATATTCTCTATGATCGCGGCGGCTGGTTCGCGGACCGATTTCAACGCGAGATTTGATGATTCTAGTGAGAGTGAAGATGAAGTGATCGCAGAGGAGCAGCCTGCCGCCGAAGCCTCCACGGGTCCTATCCCGGAAGCCGTAGCGGATCTGAAGGAGAAAGACGCAGGAACTTCGAGTGATCAGAGGAGGAGGCGTTTTTCCAGACATCGGCTGGCGCAGTCTTTCCCGCGTCTGTCTGCGAGGACGGCGGCTGCGAAAGACGCCGACCCACATATCCGACGGAGTCCCAGCCCTGAAAGCGACAGAACATCAAAGTCTTCAAGAAGTAACCCAAGAGACGCCCCTGTATTGAGCAGGCTTCTTTCTGCCGAGGCGGAATTGCAGGAGAGCAATGAAGCGGATGTGGCCACGCCATCAAGTCCAGAAGGCCAACGGTCACGAAGTAGGGCCGAATCAACCCCCGAAACACTCTTAGCCACACGACTCATGGAGATCTTTGGGTTTGATAAACCTGAGACTGTTGTGGCGGAATACCCTTGCTGGCTCCTTCAAAGCGTGTTGCTCCAGGGGTATCTGTATATCACCAAACAGCACATCTGCTTCTATGCCTATCTTCCCAAGAAGTCGCATACAGTCGCCAAAAACGGATACCTCGCCAAAAAAGGGCGAACCACTTCGAAGTACAAGAGATACTGGTTCTCCCTGAAAGGAGACGTTCTGTCATACTATTCTGACCCTTCCAGCCTCTATTTTCCTTCTGGAAACATTGACCTCACCTATGGCATCTCCGCAGCTCTCTCCACAGACAAGGGCAAATCAAAGGAATGCAGAGATTTCTCCGTGACAACCGATCATCGCACTTACCACTTCCGTGCTGATACGCCTTCAAGTGCCAAGGAATGGGTGCAAGCCTTGCAGAAGACCATCTTCCGTTCCCATAATGATGGAGATAGTGTAAAGATATCTTTGCCGATAGAAAATATCATCGACTTCGAGGAGAGTCCAGTGGTGGATTTTGCCGAAACAGTCAAGATAAGAGTGATTGAAAGCGAGGATTCTTACGCTATTGATGAGGCAAGTATTTACTTCCATCCCACTCCAGCGGCTGAGCTAACTTCATGTAGTATTTCTTTTCTTTCTTCAGTTTTGGCCAGGACGCCCTACAAGTTTTAGGAGACCTACTCACCGAAGCAACTCCAAGAAGAACATCTGAAGATGTTGGCTCTCCGGCAAGAAAAGCCGAAGCGGTCTACACGCCCAAAAGCAGACCGACTCTACCTCGTCAAACTTCTCAAGTCCGGCCCGTTAGTCCCGGAGCTCCGTCAACGCCGCCCCTGAGAGACAGTGTTAAGGCAACTCTGCTACCGTTTTCCCCAAAGGCCGACGGAAAGCTGTCGCCTAGGAGGAGCGGTGAGCTCAGCCGCGGCAACAGTCCCTCGCGTTCGAGTGGCGAGTTACAACGCGAATATGGTCGAGCCAGCTTTGAACGTGGTCGGAGGAGCGGTAGCACAAGTCGACTTGACGTGAGCGCATCTCGACGGACTGGCATATCACCGTTGGCGCGGCACCATGACTCTGAGGATTCTTACGTCCAGTCGCTGGACAAGGAAACAGACTCGTCCACCGCGGCCTTGTCACCAAGGGTGGAAGCGCAGATGTCAGCCAGCCAAATCCTAACTCGTAGCGACGTGTTTCGACCGCCTCCTGTCAATCGAATGGAAACATTGGCTTCCATGTCCACAGAACCCACCAGGAAATCATCGGACGCTGGCACAATTCTCTCCAGCTCTCCTCAACGGGAGGCTTCATCGCCTATTGCAATTCGAGGGACGGCTGGTGTGAGTGGAGGGTTCAACAGGAACCTGTTTCAAGCAACGACCGAGGGCGAGGCCCCGTCTTCCGGCCCCAATGACCAGAAATTTTCCAAGGACGATCCGTCACCAACGCTTCAGGACATAGTAAAAGCAGGGTCATATCCACTGCAACGTGCAGGGGCCTTTGCTTATTATCTAAAAAATCAATCGGCTTCGATGAGGAAACTGTTGGCAGAGGAATCCATGTCCTACCTGGAGAAGGTCTCAGGCATGTGGGCCGGACACAGGAAACACTATGGCGAAAATGAAGGAATCGTACCTGACGACCGCGGCATTGACCCGGAGGATGAAGAAGCCAACGTGGGCCACGGGGATAGGTTTCGGGCGCACTTTGCGCTTCCCCCTTCCGAAAAGCTACAAGCTACCTACTTTGGCTTTTTGCATCGCGTGCTGCCCCTGTATGGCAAGATTTACATCGGTAACCGGAAGTTCTGCTTTCGGAGCCTCCTGCCAGGGACGCGCACCAAGGTCGTCCTACCCTTGGTTGACATTGAAAATGTGGACAAGGAGAAAGGCTTCCGCTTCGGCTACCATGGACTTGTACTGGTCATTCGCGGCCATGAGGAGCTCTTTTTCGAGTTCAGCTCGGCTGAGCACCGCGATGATTGCACCGTGACACTTTTACACAGCCTGGAGACCGTCCGGTACATGGCGGAGTCGGGGGTGCTTGGGCAACAGGATGATGACAACGCCGAGGTTGCTAAGAAGGAGCACCGCATGCTTCAAGAAGCCCGGCGAAACTCTGGCGGCGAACCTCAGCTTGTGCTACCAGACACAGCTGAAACAATTTACAGCCACGACGAAACCTCAGCTGTGCTGTTTGACGATCATCGCGCATCCATGATCCAGCTTCGCCCACCATCATCAATGCGGATTACGTGTCTCACCATCGGCTCTCGCGGAGACGTGCAACCCTACATTGCTCTGTGCAAAGGCCTCTTGGCCGAAGGGCACAAACCTCGAATTGCCACCCACGCGGAGTTTGGGCCCTGGGTGGAAAAACATGGCATCGAGTTTAGGCCAGTGGACGGCGACCCGGCCGAGCTGATGAGAATCTGTGTGGAGAATGGAATGTTTACGTACTCGTTCCTACGTGAGGCGTCGGCGAAGTTCCGCAGTTGGATCGATCAATTACTCATGTCAGCATGGAAGGCATGTCAAGACAGTGACCTCCTAATCGAATCACCGAGTGCAATGGCCGGCATCCATATCGCCGAAGCGCTGGGTATTCCATATTTTCGGGCCTTTACCATGCCATGGACCCGGACACGAGCTTATCCGCATGCGTTCGCCGTGCCGGAACACAAGATTGGCGGGGCTTACAATTACTACTCGTATGTCATGTTTGACAATGTATTCTGGAAGGCGATTGCGGGACAGGTCAACCGGTGGCGTAAGAAGGAACTGGGGCTGCGCAGCACCAACTTGGACAAGATGCAACCCAACAAGGTACCCTTTCTGTACAACTTCTCGCCTCATGTGGTCGTACCACCATTGGACTACAGCGACTGGGTTCGAGTGACGGGATACTGGTTCCTCGACGAAGCCAACGAATGGCAACCGCCCGAAGAGCTCGTTGCATTCATCAAAAGGGCCCGTGACGACGGTAAGAAGCTGGTGTATATTGGCTTCGGATCGATTGTGGTCTCGGACCCAGCGGCCCTGACAAAGACGGTGGTGGAATCGGTGGTCAAGGCGGATGTGCGATGTATCTTGTCCAAGGGATGGAGTGACCGGTTGGGCGATCCAAGCGCGATCAAGACGGAAGTACCATTGCCAGCGGAAATCCTTCAGATCAAGTCTGCACCACATGACTGGTTGTTCAGGCAGATTGACGCTGCGGTGCACCACGGAGGAGCCGGGACCACAGGGGCCAGCTTACGGGCAGGGGTTCCGACGGTGATCAAACCCTTCTTCGGCGACCAATTTTTCTTCGGCTCACGAGTCGAGGATCTGGGAGTGGGCATCTGTTTGAAAAAGGTCAATGTCAGTTTGTTCTCGCGGGCATTGTGGGAAGCCACGCATTCCGAACGAATGATTGTCAAAGCCCGGCTGCTCGGAGAACAAATCCGAAAGGTAGGAGAAAGATTGTGTGCTACTGTTGTGCAATATCCCCGTTTGATTTTATTACTTTCTATTGGAGAAACTCATGACGCTGACTGTTTGGATATCTGCAGGAAAACGGCGTGCAAACTGCCATCCAGGCCATTTACCGAGACCTCGAATATGCCAAATCTCTGATCAAGCCCAGCCCAGCGGCTCAAGGGGCAGCGGCGAGCGCGGCTGGCGAGCCCGACGATGGGGAAGAGATCGAAGAGAACTGGACGTTCATTGGCGACGAGAGCGATCTCGATTTGCAGCGACGCATGCACGACTGGGAGTCTCCGGCACGAGGTCAAGGAGTTCCAAGCAGTATCGGCATGGATCGATCAACAGGCCTACGGGCCATGCAAGGGGTTGAACCTGTCAGGAAAACAGCAGCGGAGAGTCAAGCGGCACCCTAGCAGATGCTTGTGAGTGATACCTATGGTCGATCTGGACCGCCGCCAAAGTAGAAGGAGGGCCGGTCGAATCGTTACAAAATGTGATGTGACCGGAGCCCATCAGGAACCGGTAGGGTTATGAATTAATGAAATTATGTTACGAGGATCTTATTAAGAAGAGAGGCTCGAGATAGACTAGTAGAAGTACACGTACTCGAAGAGATCCTCGCCAAGTTTAATAGAAAAGCGTAATATCATCTTCCCCAGATATCGTCTTAATCCCTCGAGATACTATGATCTAGCTCGGAAATTTGGAATTATTGCCCTGTGATAACATAATTTCAATTCCAAAGCTGTGGATGTATCCAGATAGATAACTTGGCCAAAGGCTGCCTGCCCAGTCCCTGAATCTCCGGGCCAGTCCTTGCCAGTTCTGCGCAACCTGCAATACTTGCGAAAATCAGAGTAACATTAGTCGAACCATAAACTGTACATCCTGCGCCTCGCTCGGTTGGTGTGCAATGGACCATGGGAGTATTTTTCAAAGAGAGGGTGAACGTGAACGTGAACGTGAACGCGACGGTGATCTCATCTGGTCGGCAGTTTCTTCGTCAATAACTTCGAAATTTTCCGGATATTCGGCCTGCCGCAAGTGTTCTTCTCTTTCCCTCCTATGTTTCTCTACCTTCTTGATCGCGAGTGATGTCAGTTCTTGCCTCTTAAGCTGTTCCGCCACATCTTTTTTCCGCGTCTTGCGGTCACCAATGGCAATCAAGATGCCTCCGGTGATGTTGCAGGTGATCGAGCATGAGAGGATGGTCGCAGTCAGCGCGGCCGGTCGCACACGGTAATCGATGCTCCAAGTACATGTGCCCAGGGAAATCTGGAGCAGGGAGTGGCAATCCAATAACACCACAATGGCCACCAACAGTCGCAACGGGAATGCATAGTGCGTCGACGTCTCGTGCGGCTTGTAGAAGGAGTGAGACTTTGCAAACTTTGCCTGGTGGTGCATCAACTTCTGCTGTTGCTTGGGTGTAAGGACTGAGAATTCCGATTGCTCCGTTTTGCCGGCTTCGGGATCGGCATCCTTCTCAGTCCGAGCTGGGAGGTCGTTGTGATCGTGAAGTTGTGGTAGGCCCTTTTCGCGCCGTAACCGCCAAGTCAGGTGATGATAGTGGGCGATGAAGATCATGTGGTAGGTGTCGACTGCCCGGAATGGAGCGAGGCCATCACCAACCACGGCAAATAGAGCAACAAGCACATTGTCAACAACGTTGATAATGTAGGATTGGCGGTCGCCGACATAGATCCAACCTTGTGGGCTAATATTAGTTTACTGCTATTCGACTTACCAAAAAAAAAACACCGTCATGGGACTCACCGATCAAGCAAAGGACCCAAGCCAGACCAAATAAGGTTATCAGAGTCGCATACAAGGTCACGAAAAATCCAAGAGCTGTAACCATAACATTAGCGGCGGTCATCATCGCTGGTAAAGGGCAACTTACGTTTTCGGACATACTTGCCGAAAGCAACCATGCTTTGCTTGAATTTGGAGCGTTTCGAGTGCAACATGTGTCGCACGTGGTCATCCAGGGCGTCTATGTCTTCGGGGCTCCAGTCTTCCAAACGAACACCATGAGGCAGGACAGCATAGTGAGATTCTGATACCATGGACGAAAGACTGTGGGTGCGTTCTAGTTGTGGTTTTCGTTGCCAGGACCACGTCCGTTGTACCGCAGGGGTGACGCTTGTTCCCTCTTCGGGCTCGACTTCAGTGAATCCTTCTTCCGGGGTGGTTTCGCTAATGACTGGCTTCATCCCCGTCGTATCCCTTTCTCCGATCGTTGGTGGCCTTTCCCGACCGGTTGTTTGGCGACTTAGTTCGTACGTCGGTCTTCGGTTCAGCCATTTACCTAGGTCCGGGACGAACAATGAATTTTGTACGTTGGTCAAAGTGGTCAATGTAGAGACCTCGGGATCTGGAACTGATTAGTGTATGCCCATACCCAGATTCGTGGCACCATTGCTTACCAAGAACGTCTAACAAGTCGACCACCTCGGATTCATACTCCGGCCCTTGATGATCCCGACGCTCTGTCGAGTGATCGCTGAGTCTGCTCACCATCGACCGTGCAGCATTACTGACACTCCGTCTCCGGCTAGGCCCACTACTAGAGGCCTCGTTGGTAGGTACGCGATCAATCGGTGTTCCTTCTGTCACCGTCGAGAGATGCGAGTGTCTTGGGGTTTGCTTTCCGGTGCTGCTGGACGAGCTAGCAAAGGCTGTAGCATGTTGCGGTGCAGAGGAGCTGCGTCCCCGAAGTGAAGAAGATCGGCTAACATTTCCACTAGCAGTACCAGGCGTTGTGTCTCCTCCATCCTGTTGCCGATTGAAGTCGGTTGATCGTAATCTCTTGATTCCAATGGGCCGTAGCCTATTCACTTGAGATGGCAGAGTCTGAACCACAGTTGACCTAGTCGCAGGTGCGTTGTTGGGCGGTTCGGAGGGTGGGGAGACAATGGTCACTGGAATCTGATCGGAAGGCGGGTTTTGAATCTGGACAGGTGGGTGCGTCGTTGTGACGGTATATGGCCTCCCTCGTGAAGGAACTGTTGTGGTCGTCGTAGTCGTTGTAGTGAAAGTAGTCGTAGAGGGTTCAGCATCAGAGGATTCGGGCATGGCAGGGAAAGGTTCGGTATCAGAGCTTCTCTCGCCCTCATTGTCGCGGCGCGCATCAGGCCGCCATGAGGCCATTGTTGATGGTTGTAGGACCAATTGAGGTCAGCGGAACAGCATTCGTGGACGTCGCACGCTGGGATAAGGAACAAGAGGTGAATTATAAGTATGCGCCTGGTAAGCGCGGAGGGTTAAGTCGGAGAGATTTTGAGTTGTTCGGTTGTATCGCACGGACTCTTTCCAACCCAAACAATCTGCACCTCACAATGTCGGACTTGCGGCCCTTTGCTGGAGGAGGGCCAGAAAAGGTTGCTGGATTCCAGTGTACCTGTGGAGATGTTGGAAGACCACAGTTGGCAGTGCGAAGCCTGCGGCAGGCCGACTCGGATGGACGGTGGTCAGCTCTCACTGGCACTGGCACTGACAACAATCTCGGGGTTGAAGTCCCAGTTCCAGTTCGAGGTCCCGTTGGGCGGAGGGAGCGGCTGACTAAGAACCCGCCGAATGCACAGCGATTACGTCGTTGGCCGAAACTGACTCAGCGGGAATAGTGCAATCTACGTGCATAAATTGAATATTTTGTGTACATTTGTCGCGCTGTCGTGATTGGCACGCGACTGACTGCGCCTACCTTGTCTCTCTCTCACTGTCAACCCACTCCCATCCTTGTCTCTGCTTCTGCCAACAACAAAACAAACCTTGTTATAGGAATAACGCGGCTTCCTCAAATCTCTTTTTATTCTATGTTCGTCTTTCTCGCGGCGAGATTTGACGCTTCCTCGGTCAGGCGCGAATGATGCCGTCAAGTTGTCCTGCACGACCACTTCATTTCGGAGCCCCTTTGGCCTGATGACGTCGGACAACATACAGCCTGGGCGACTGGTCTGAGCACGACCTGAGATCGAATGGCTCACAGTTTTGGCTCCCGACTCTCATGTGCAAATGTGGGAGGATTCTCATCTACTTCTTGCTGCAGCCATCGAACCATCCTCCTTGCCGCTCGCCGCGGCCCCAGACCATCAGCATAGCCAATAAACGGGTCCATATGTCGGTATCCCATCAGCTCCAGGATCCGTGGATGGATCTTGTCCAGTTTTCGTGGATCGACCGCTAAGATCTGGTTCTCAATGGGCCGGATGTAGGGGTTGCAATACTGGACTGTGGCACTCTGCCGTGGACGGCTCGAGGTATTGGCACCGCCCCCGTGCCAGAGGGTACTCAGGAAATATACAACCCCACCCTCGGGGCAAAGAGCAGGGATGGTCTCGTCTTCTGTGGGTCGACGATGGCTATCCCATTTATGAGATCCAGGTACGATCCTCGTGGCACCTGTCATTCATGAGCAATCGCTCGGACAGCTGCGTCGGTGGCTTACCGTTGGTGGACGTGTACTCATCAAACGCCACCATGATAGCTGTCCCGAAGGGTGGCCTGGGTCGTGGAAACTGGATGTATCCGTCGTCATGATGCAATGCCTGAGCCTTCTCCCCCGGATTGATACTAATGGTGTGGAATGCCGAAAGGAGATACCCAGGATCGAGGAAGTAATCATTCAGCGCCAATACTCGAGGCAGTATTGTGAACTTGTCGAACACTCGGGTCTTGTTGAGCAATGAATAAATGCGGTTTGTATTGCGACCTTCGAAAGGATTCCGTCCCCCAAGTGGATTTTGTCCCAAGAGACGAACGATCTCGTCTCGAGCTTCCTTGGCCTCTGCTCTGGTGAAACACTCAGGAATGACAACATATCCATGCTCGAGGACGTGCTTAACGTCAGCTCGGGTTACTGGATCTTGTGGGAGAGGTTTTGTCCTGCCAGCTTTCGAAAATATCTCGGGTTTGTCTGCCATTGCGTCTTCGGAGTGCACACGCTGTGGATGATCCGGGACATAGGGAAGTATTCTGTTATGCACCCTTCTCCTCATACAGCAGTCTTGTGTGCTCGGCGGATGAATCGATGAATTTCCCCTGGTCCTGGCCACTTGTGTCGCCTGAGGGGCGGACACACGTCGAGATTCCCCGCGCAAGCAGGAAGGGCCCATTGTGCCTCGGCAATCGTGGCAGTATGGCCCTTTGCCCACTGAACCCCACCACCTTGTGTGAGTGCTTGCAGAAAGTTGCCAGCAATGTTACGGGCCAATGCTGGGCGAGCCCTAAGCTTCTTGAGGCCTGTGGCTGTCTTCGTGCCGAGCCGCCCCCAGGACATATGCTGTTGCCATGATGCCTCATATCAATCCCATCTGTGAGTCATGCCTCGCATTGCATGTCCTCCTCCAGCAGGCAAGCTCGAAGATCTCGGCTGCCTGGGTGTATGGAAGCCAACCCTCTGGGCCGGCAGGAAAGGTAGGGCCTCATTTTGTCATGGACAGGCAGCCGTGACTGGCTCATCCTGGCAGATTTGTTCCCCTTGTTCACGTCTTCTTCTCTCCTCTTACGTCTTTTCGGGCTTGCCGATGTCGAAAGCAACGTCCACAGCCGATGGACCTGAGCATCCAGATGCCACTGTCTTTAGATGTTCAGGGCTTGAGAGTTGCCAGTGGAGAACTGCATGCTTGGTCGATGCTGAGCAGCAATTGGAGGTGGAACGGTGATGTCCAATACTCACGAGCCTGCAATGTTGCTGCTTGGCCACGGAGGAACCCCCTAACCTATGCTGCGCAAGGGAAGGATGGACGAGAACTCGAGAGATGCGCAGCTGGCTAGGTCCGAGGGAGCATGCAACTGGTCGTCGAGAACAAGATCATCCAAAGCACGCAAAGGTATCGGCTGCAAGCGGTCTGCTAAGGCGACTTAGCTGGGAGAGCATACCTGTAAGGATGCGCAGACTGGCCAACTTGAACGTGACTTGCTCACGTGCAGGACGCGATCTCGTTGACTTTGGTCGCCGTTACTATCGTTGTGGTTGTGATACGTTCAAGTTGCAATATACCTGCGCACTCTCCCTTTCCCTTTCGCTTCACCCTTTCCTCTCCCCCCTCTTCTTCCTTTACAACACAACCACTTTCTTACTGTCACAGTCTTCGGCATCGAACAATCAAGTATTGGATTGCTACCGGGCCCAAGCCTACAATCCATCTGTTCAGTTCAAGGCAAGTCTGTTCGCTGCAGGCTGCGCACTTCTAGTGAGACAGAGTCGCAGTTCTTCGCAGCAAGACAGAAGCTTATTGCAACAGACTGCCTCTACACTTCTTTACCCCTTCTCCCTGGAGCTGTCAAGATGTGTCTCGAACTCCTTTGCAACTGTGGTCACAGCATCAAGAAAAGCTGCCCAGAACCTAATCTCAACAAGGTCAACTTCGATAAGTAAGTTCTCGTCTGACCTGGTCACGATCTGGCTTGAAATCGTTCGCCACTCCCAGCACAGCGCCTGCCTGGCTATTACCATTTGGAGCTATTCTAACCACAATTTTGTTCTTATAGCGTCCCGATCCAAGCCCTCAAGTGTCCCGGTCAGCCCCGCAGCTACGTCCGAGTTGATGACCCATGTTACAACTGCGTCCTCGAGAATACCAAGTCAGAGGTCATGGTGAAGGGCCGCACCGTGGTTGGATTGAATGCGAACGACTACGGCGTTCCTAGCCAGGGTTACTATGCGAACAACACCTATGGTCCTCGTCGTGGCGCCGTTGATTTCGGTCAAGGTGAGTACCGAGCACCACTCTTCAAATGGCCATCAAACCTAATCTATTCGCAGGCAACAACGCTGGTAACTACAACAACTATCCCATCGGCACTCATATTCGTAATGATGGTGGTCATGGCGGTGAAGCCGGCGGACTTCTCTACCCTTCGTCCCCATTGATCGGACCTGACGACAGAGCCAGCACTCCGCGTGCCACGTTCAACCCCGGTTACAACATGCCCGGTCATGGACCATTCTCGGGTGGTAACGGACCTGAAGACAGAGCTAGCACTCCGCGTGCCACGTTCGACGCCGGTTACAATATGTCTGGTCCTGGATCTGACTCCAGCGGTAGCGGATCTGACGACAGAGCCAGCACTCCGCGTGCCACGTGCAACCCCGGTTACAACATGCCCGGTCATGGATCATTCTCGAGTGGCGGCGGACTTGAAGACAGAGCCAGCACTCCCCGTGCCACTTTCACTCCTGCTTACGACATGCCTCAGGCTGGTCGTGGTTCTATCTCAGGTGGTAACGGACCTGACAACAACGCCAACGCCCCTTGCGCAACCTTCTCCTCCGGTTACAACATGCCTGGTCGTGCAACTATCTCGGGCGGTACCGGACCTGGCAACAACTTGAATGCCAACGCCCCTCGCGCCAACTTCGGCCCTGGTCACAACATGCCTGGTCGTGCGTCTGTCTCCAGTGCAAGCGGCTTTCCTGTCGGTGGTTACATGACAACTCCTCGTGCTGGTCCAGGCACCATGGCTCCTCCAACCCCCGGTCGTGGCTTTCACAACCGCAATCGCAGTTCCCTCAGCCAAGTGACCTTCCCCGACTACGGCCCCATCGGTACTCCCGTTGCCAGACCAGGACATGGACCCATGCATCAAGTTACTCAATCAGCTGGACCTGCACGTGGCCGTGGTGGATTTGGACATGGACGCATGGAACAGACCAACAATTCTGTTGGGGTCATTGGAAGCGGACGTCGCGTCTCCTTTGCTGGGATCAATGTCTACTCCCCTCCAAGCGTCTATTCTCCTCCCATGTCCCCCAATGACGATTGAGAGGAATGATTTGGTCACACAACGACACCAACTTGTTGTTCTCTTCTAGTTCGCAGGCATGGCATTTCAGGCAGTATCAGGCATGTTACTGTATGACGACATCATTGGAGTTTTCTTTTCTTCCCTAGGTTGGTGGCTCTTGAGTCTGCTGCCCTGGGCTTGGAAATGAGATATCCCCAACGTCATGTCTTTCAGGACGGGACTGAGTTTGGTGGAAGTGAAGTGGGCTGAACTGAGAGAGGTGAAGGGTGATGCGATGATCGGTGAAGAGATCACGGTGATTGTCGCGTGCAGCAGCGCTTCGAGTTTCCCTCCGATCCTAGACTGGAACTGCGACTTGCTCAAGATGAGCTCCAGGCTTTTGAGGAAGCTGTAATCCCATAGGATTCAATGAAAAAAGTTTCGACTAAGTGTTCTTTTTCCGAGATTTGCAGATGCTAGATGCCTAAGGTAGATACGTGCTGCCTACGTATGTAGTAGGTAGGTAGGTACTGTCTGACGATCTACAATAGGGAATAGTATCAGGTCAAAAGTTGTCTTGGTCCCGATACTGTTCGTACATACCTATAGGTACCGGACCGGCACTTGATCTCCCATCCTAATGTTCAAACTCTGAGGGGTCATTATTACCTCCGCCTATTACTATTGGTACTACTGGCATTGGTCAAGTTCAGTTGTTGACTTGTACGTACGTACCTAGGTACGGAGAAGAGCAACCACCGGACGTTGGACGTCTCACAGTACAGTGTACTTTTAACGTGAATAGGGCACGACCATCTCCGCCGTGGACCTCATCTGCGGACGTCCATCTCCATCCCCACTGTAACTTAAGTTTCGATACCGTGACATGCAGTGCGACATGCAACATGATGGGATCTCCTCCGCAAAGTGGAACCTCCCTTGCCATGGTCCATACTTCTTTCATGAACCATAACGCTCAACGCCGCCGCGTTCTCGTTTGAATCTGTGTAGTCTACCGGTGTTACAGCGGTAAGAGTCAGTGTCCGGGCCGGGGGCTCGACGTGGAAACTTGCTTCTTCGTTAGTAAGGTAGGAGACATGTACCAATACTACCTAGGTACGTAGGGTGCTACAGTACAGAGCAACCGATCTACTGTATAATTAAAAACCTCTGCACTGTACAGTTTACTCACTTCACTCCGAGTTCGAGTTCGAGTTCGAGTTCACTTTACTCAACTTCCTCTACTTCACTATTGAATACGTCACTCACTCACTCACTTACTCACTTCACTATCGGACCGCCCGCGGCATTTCAACCTCTATATATCAATGTCTTTCACAATCACTTCAGCCAGAATTCAGCGCTGATGGCGCAACTAGTAGACACACACTCTACTCTGTCCCGCCAAAAAAAGAAAAAAAAAATCTATTCCAGTGACGGTTTTACTCGCCTCAAACCACACCACACCACAAACATAATGCGGCTGCTTTTGAGGGGAAAAAGGGGTGTTTTTCTTGTGATTTCGAGCTGGATGGAGTCTAGGCATGGTCCTCATGCAGGAAATACACTTCTGTCATTTTTTTCTTGCTGCAATCATGATATTCAAAACTAATAGTACGGCCCTATTCAATCTCCGATCGTCATTCTCATTCTACATAATAATCCTTCGTCCGCTCCTTCGCATCAGCCATGACATCCTGGATCACACTCTCCGGATGTCTCGGGATCAACTTGACCTTAAAGTCCCTGGGGATCGCCACCAACGCAGTCTTGAACTGGTTGTAATCGACGTAATCTGTATTCGGGGGCTCGTCCTCACTAGCGACGATCTTGTAGCATGCCAACAAGCGGATCAAAGCGGTATATAACAGACGCGAGGCGATGAATTGGCCCGAACAGGCGCGTGAGCCGGCTCCAAAGGAGAAATGCTGGATTCCTTGGGCGGGTTTCTCCTGCGGTAAAGGTCCATCCGGGTTCATGACAAAGTCGTCATTGAGCCAGCGTTCGGGATTGAACGTGGCGGCGTCGGGACCGAAATGGTCGACGTCGTGGTTGGCGGCTTGGGCGTTGATCAAAATCATCGTTTTGGCCGGGATGGTGGCGCCGCGCCATTGGATGTCTGTCACGGTCTTGCGCGGCAGCGACATGGCGCTGACGGTGTAGTAGCGCGCAGCTTCTTTGATGATGGCGTTGACGTAGGGCACTTTTTCCTCCTGGAAGCTGTTGGCCCACACGGCTTTGAGGTCCGGGTAGTACCGACAGATGTCCTGATAAGCCCGCTCTTGGAAGACTTGTCCTTCCTTGGTGCTCAGGGAGCCGATGCACGAGGTCAATGTGCCTGGAATGGTCTCGAAGCCCCCTGACACCAAGGACAGACAGATCGACGACACCTCGACGCCCGTCAGTTTGGTTTCCTCGTCCTTTAGGATTGCTGCGCTGATGCATGGTTTATCGGTGCCTTTGGCGATCATGTCGCGCACTTTGTTTAGCAGGAAATTCAAATATGCGTCGCGTCGGTCCCGGAGTTCTTTGGACCGTCGGTTCTTCTCGTTGTTGGGGAAATATCGTAGCACGGGCACATAGTCCTGGTAGTTCTCTGATGCGGACCGGAGCAGAGAGATGGCTGAGCCCACGTGCAAGATCTCCCGCAGCATGTCGTCGTACACGTCGTCCATGCGGATCCCGTAGCAGAGTGTTAGTGTCGTGTTCAGCGCGTACCGTTGGATATAGGGCCGTACGCCGATTTCCAGCTCGCCGTTCTTGCTGTCGCGGAACAGGTCCCGTACTATGCAGTACGATTCCAGGTCGAACATGTCAAAGTACCCGCGCATCGCGGGTCGGCCTAGTGCTTGGCCGGCGGCCTTGCGTTTGTTCTTGCATGACGTGTCCCATGGGCTTGAGCCGATCGTAAACCCTTGCGTTGATGAGATCACCCCATGGAATGTGTATAGTGTCGGTCGGTCGATCACTGCGTTTTGGTGTCCGACTAGCATCTGCTTGGCGTCGTCGAAAGAGTTGACTACCACTGCCCGGGTGTTGCCCAGTCGGATCTGGAACACCGATTGCTTGTATTTGCGCCACCAGTGCTCGCACACGCTGGCGTGGTCTTCGCCTAGTTTCAGCAAGTGTCCAAACACTGGCACTGCTCCGGGGATCTCGGGGATGCCCTTGATCTTGGGTATGTCCGTGGATGTTGACCACTGTAGAGATGTGTTAGAGTCTAGCTACGGATCGTTTGAAGGGCTTGGCAAGACTTACCCAGTAGAGCCCATAGGAGAGGACAATGGCTCCGATGATCCAGAGAGCGTAGTCGTGGTTGACGGCCTGAAGGAGGCCAGCCACTGAGAGAGCCATGTTAGATGCCTTGATGTGTGATGCCTGACGGGGTTGTCTGTGTTAGATGAGGTCTTAAGACTGGATTCTCCCAGACAGGAGCAAATGTCTTGCATCTTGAGGCATCAAGTACTCTCTTATACTGTTCCCTCGAGTTGATATCTCCGCCGTGTTGCCAATATCAAACACAGCATCGTCCGCACATGGGACGGACATGTGCGACCCACTGGACCAGCGGGTCGGAGAAGCGCGAGACGCCGGCGACCACAAGCCACACGGCAGATCCAACACGGCAGTACAGCGCAACGGCGGTCAGCAGTAGATCAGACCCAGTTCTCTCTTGTAACCGGTAGACAGACATGGGGACTTTTTTTGTTTTGCTCTGCGTAGTGTGACAACGAAATCTGCGGAAAGAAAGAAAACCAAAGCCATGTCTTCTCTCTCTGTGGCCAATCTTTTCGGCGTCAGTGGGAGGGTGGCCTTGGTCACGGGTGGATGTAGTGGCATTGGTTTGATGATTGCTAAGGCGAGTATATAGCATATGTGCTGGGCAACAACAATGATTAACAACGCCACAGGGCCTCGTCGCCAACGGTGCAAAGGTATATGTGACCGCCTTGTCCACCGACGACATTCAAGGCGCAGTGGCCGAGCTCAACGAACTGGGCAAACCAGCCGGGGGTACTGCTGTAGGGTACATGGCCGCAAGCCGTTATATAAGGATTCTGCTGGTCTGACCATCCCGTTCACAGATTTTCAAGCGACCTATCATCCAAAGAAGGCATCGCAGCCGTCACAGCGGAGCTGGAGAAACATGAAACTCACCTCGACATCTTCTGCTCCAATGCTGGCGTTCGACGAGATCCGCTCCAGATGTGCAATGTCAAGTCTGCGTCACTCGAGGAACTGCAGGCGTCCATGTGGTCTTCAGAGCATTCCGACTGGGACGACACGTTCCGGGTCAATGTCACGGCGCATTATTTCTTGTCGGTGGCTTTGCTGAAGCTGCTCGTGGCCGCGAGTGAGCTTGACCTGGGCAATGGACGACGTGGGAGAGATGAGGGACGGGGAGTCATTATCATTACCAGCAGCTGCGCAAGTATGCACAACTGTACCAACATTGATCTGACAAGCTATGCTGCCAGCAAGGCGGCTATTGATCATCTGGTGCCGCTGTTGGCAAGCAAATTTGCCAAATGTGAGTGTGCTTGTGGCCTGCATGTCATCTCCGTGAAGCCAAGGGGACTGACATTTTGGTGTTCTAGGGTATGTCCGGGTCAACGCGATCAACCCAGGCTGTACGTAAACCCTGCTGGCACGATGAGACATGACAGGTGCTGACATACTGCACAGTCGTGCCGAGTAAGATGAACCCGGTCGAGGAGGGCAACAATCAGTTTGCCGAACTGTTCAAAGCCATGCCAGCGGCGCGGATAGGAAAGATGGAAGACATTGCGGGAGCCATCATTTACCTGAGCAGTGAAGCAGGGGTAAGTCTCTTGTAGCAGTCATGCTGATTGAATGCTGATCAGGGTGACGGTCAGGCTTATGTCGATGGTCGATGTTTATGCGTAGATGGCGGTCGAGTGCTGTTGGCGAACGGCCAGTAACGGCGGGAGAAGGATGTCTGTTGCCTCCTCGCTTGGGACACAGGCATCCGGACACTGCAGGATAGTAAGATGATTCATGAGCAGTCGAAGGATGGGAATGTAGGATTGCAGCATTTCGGGTTGGTGTCATTGCCCTCATCACCATAGAAGCTCCCTCATTATTGGCAGGCAGTGGGTGGCCCCTCGGTGTGCCACACTCTCAGACATGAGAGAATTGAGCACTTTAACAATCACCAGAACATTGATCACCCCGTAATGGTAGGTGTTTCGCCAGCTGATCATCTTTTGTGGTGGACTTCGCTGTATTTTGGGGCAGCATCCAAGAAAAATCAATTTCTTTGTCACCATCTCAGCTGTACCTTGGTAGCCGACATGGCCTGTTAGCAGCAGATGGCCGCCTCGCCCCCTGGCTCAGCATTCGCACCTTGTACGAAGGACTAGACCTGCAACCATGGACAGGGCAGCGAGAGCCTTGCTCTCTATGCTGCCTCAATGTACAAATGTACCAAGGTAAAATGTACAAGTTGAACGGCTTCGGCCTTTCCGCAAGAACAGGTGTTGAGCAGCACTGATACTAGGCCTCCTAAGCCCTAACATGACAGGGAGCTACAGTGCGCCCGGGAGAACGCGGGGGGCGCTGGGTCCGGGGAGGACCAGTGCTTGCGGCTCCCTAAGCGAAGCATCCTCCACCCCCGAGTCCCGTTCAAGTCCACCACCAGAGCCTCGGCGTGGTCACCGTCGATAAACTACAGGTACTTATGGTAGTTCCGGGTACAGCTGTCCCGTTCTGACTGTTCAAGTTGCTCTTCAGTTCCCCTCGCGCGAGATGGCTGTCGACCTGGTTCATCCCGGCCGATCCTTGTCACCTACCTGTTGAGTCCAAGACCTCGAGCTCGCAACGTTGCATTCTCTGCCATCTTGCATGTCGCCATCGTCATAGCGCCGCGCGCTCATCGAAAACTGCCCAGATCCGCCCGCCCAAGGTCTCATTCCCATGCAGAAGGTGGACGAATCCAGCGGAGTGCTAGTAGATAGGCGCGAGATAGCATGATAGTGGTTGCTGCCCATGGCTCCGAGTCGGTCATGCGAGAGCTACAAGATGCACGATTGTGCCTGCATTCCTTACTTCCTATCCTCCTGGTTTGCCTCGTTGTGTTGACCAGGCGCATCTACCGACTCAATACTATGAAGGGAGTTCTGTTGCTTGGTGTCGGTACCCTCTGCGGGTTTGGGCTGGCACGGTACGTGAATGCTATGGTTGGCTCTCTGGCAGATTGGCTCACGGACACAGGAATATGGCTCCGGCACCGCATGGACTACACCTACAGCCACGAGATGTTGATCCAGAAGATCTCTATCCCGCTCATAATATCTCGGTGCCCGTCGACCACTTCCACAACGACTCGAAATATGAGCCCCACTCCAATGACTATTTCAATCTGAGATATTTCTTCGATGCGACTTACTACGAGCCAGGCGGACCCGTCATTGTCTTGCAGAGCGGCGAGGCCGATGCAACCGAACGGCTGCCGTTCCTGCAAAAAGGCATTGCCGCCATTCTGGCTTCGGCCACCAATGGCATAGGCGTGGTTCTGGAGCACCGATATTATGGCACAAGCTTCCCTACGCCAGATTTGTCCACCGACAACCTCCGATTCCTGTCCACCGAGCAGGCTTTGGCGGACCAGGCATACTTTGCCTCGCATGTGGTCTTCCCAGGACTGGAGCACCTGAACTTGACTGCTCCTGGGACGCCGTACATCGCATATGGGGGTTCCTATGCCGGTGGACTGGTGGCTTTCTTGCGCGTGTTGTATCCTGACCTGACCTGGGGCTCTATCTCGTCGTCTGGAGTAACCGAAGCTATCTATGACTACTGGCAATATTATGAGCCGATTCGTCAGTACGGTCCGCCCGAATGCATTGCCACCCAAGAGAAGCTGATCAATGTTGTGGACAACATCCTCACGCATAACGACTCGACCACTGTCACTGAGCTGAAGACCGGCTTCGGACTGGGGAACCTGACTTATAGCGATGATTTTGCCAACGTGGTATCCGGCGGTCCGAGTCTGTGGCAGTCCAGGAACTGGGACCCTGCAGTCGGTAGTCCTGACTTCGACTACTACTGCGGCAACATTTCTTCTGATGCAGTGTTGTGGCCGGCATATTCTGACCTGGCGTCCAATGCTTCTGCTCTCATAAAAGCAGGCGGTTGGGGAAATGAAAGTACGACGCTGACCAACCGGTTGTTGAACTTCATGGGATGGATCAACGACAGTTATGTCGGGTCGTGTGATACCACTTTGGATCAATGCTACAGTGCTCACAACTCATCAGCTTCCATGTACACCGACAAGAATGTCTCCAACTACAACTCTCTGTCCTGGGCTTACCAGTATTGTACCGAATGGGGCTATATCCAAACGGGTTCGGGCGTCCCTAGTGACCGCCTGCCTCTGATCTCTCGATTGTTGACTCTGGACTATCTGACTTTGGTTTGCCGTTATGCATTCAATATCACTTCTCCTCCAGACACCGAGAAGATTAATCAATGGGGAGGTTTCAACATCTCATACCAGCGACTGGCATTGGTTGGCGGCGAGGCTGACCCCTGGCGGCCAGCGACACCGCTTACAACTCTTGATGTGCCCGATCGTTTGAATGACACGAGTACCGTCAGCGAGCCCATTATCCTTATTGAGGGCGCCGTGCACCATTGGGAAGAGAACGGCGTGTTTGCGAACCAAACAACCCCAGACTTGCCTCCGCCGCCAGTGGCAAACGCACAAAAAGAACTCGCCCAGATAGTGCAAGAATGGTTGCTGGAATGGAAGCACCGCAGATGAAGGGAGTTTTCTCTGGAGTCGGCTTTGCACAGGAGAAAAAGCGGAGGTGGAGTGAAAGCTCCCCACGACAAAGTAATGTTGATATGCTACTCAAATGAAGTCAGAATGGGAGGTCAGCAGTGACAGCACATCGGCCCCATCTTATTGACTGGCACGGCCGACTATTGCTTTTCCAGTTTACCGAGATTTCGGGCCAAGCTGTGTGACGCGACCCGCGTAGGACCTTCGTCAAAACACTTGCATGTTTTGCTGGGCATGTGACACGATAAGTAACACAGGGAGAAGACGCGGTGAGACGAGCCTCCGTGGCCTGCATAGGCGAAAACGGCCATTGACCTCACCGGGCATGAGAGCGTCAATCTCGACTCGGGGAGCGAACTTGCCAGATGAAGTCGAATCAAAACACGGTCAAACTAAACATAGGCCGAGACCGCAACTAACATCAGACGAAGACCTTTATTCAGAGAGACGAGTCCCAAACGAGGCTTTTGACAGTTAACGGTGTGACGGGCAATCATCGCACTGACCATCTACGAAGGCCGCGCCTTTCCTATATCGCCCATACGTAAATTCTTGACTCAAAGTGTATATAATCTCGACTCAGCACGCCCGTGCGCAAGCTGCCATCGGGTCGGTTGCGTAAGTCGGACGCAAGGTCGCAAACAGCAATTTATTTACTGCGAACTCAGCTTGTTTTGGAAAGCCAGAGCGTCCGGGTATCAACATCACACAGCACAGACGTGACCTGGCCGGAGAACCACGGTGTACACCCGTACACTTCCAGGCACAGCGGCCAGGAATATCGCTGCCTCCTCCCTCTGCTGCCGCTATGGGCGAGGGGATGTCGAACCCGAAACACGGCCCGCCACACACGTTTTTGACCACGGATCCTCGTCAAAGTCTCTGAGCTGAAGAGACACAACAGCTCGATAAACACAGGCTCTACGTCAGCGACGCCTTCTGCTGCCATATTCGGCCCGGCATTGCTCAGAGTGATTGGAATTCAGGTTGACGTTCACCTATAGTACCAGGCCTCGATCATGTTGGAATGCTCCATTTACAGACAGACACTTATATACAATGTGCCTGTGCCCCGTCAAGTTTACGACGGACTACCTATATCTTCAAGGACTTGGCTTCAAGCTGTGTACACTTTAAGGGCTGCTAACGGAGAACCATGGTCCATTCCTGTGGCCGATGGAGCCACCGTCGCCGCCTCGCGCCGACCGGCGTCCCAACTGATGTTCATCTGCTCCTTTAGCGGTGCCTGGGCTTCCTGATTTAGCCAAGACCGTCCACGGCCATACCCTGTTCTTCTACCACCCAAGTGATCGCTGAGTACGTTGGTCGATCTCCCAGATGATCCCACTGGACGCCACTTCTACTCCTAAGGTCCGGTTGACCTCTCAAACGATTCTGTTGATTAGCCCCTGAACCCTGAGTATTCTTGTACCACTCCGGGACGAAGATTGTGCCAGGCACCGGCCTTCCCCCAGAAGGCGCAATGCAGCTGTACAGTACCTTGCTAGGCGAGATGCTTGACGCTCAATGATCTGGATCTCGACTAGTTTATGACGCTCAGGTTTTCTCCTAGGCAATAGCCGCCACCACTCTCCACAATTCCCATCCGGACGGTCACTATCACAACATCAGACTTCTGCCAGTGTCGGTCTGCGCCATGTCTTTGTTTTCTTCTGCAGAGTCAAAAAGCGAGTGTTCTGAACCGACTTTCCAGACCTCAGGCGCTGCGCTTGACACCTCATTCGGGAGAGCTCCGTGCGGCCCCCCCTTGACAGCCAGACCGTCTTTGTGTCAACTTTAATGTGGCCCGTCCGTGATGAAACGCTGGTTTGGGCCAATGGTTGCTGCCGACTCCACTCATTCCATCGGTGCTGCAATTAGTGTCCTCACCCCGTTTGACGCTCGATCATCATCAAGGTGGAAGTAGAGAAATGTCCGGCTTTCTGTCTAGCAGTGTGCAATTTTACAAGGAATAGGCGATTGATCTCCATCCCACCATTTTCGCCTGCAAGATTGGTGCGGTGGTGCAACGCACACCGCCGACATTTACAGCAGTTGTGGTCCTCAAGTGGCTTGCATCCCTGCTCCTCAACCCAGTCTGGTCCTGCCGTTCGAGCACGTTGGGTCACCCATAGACTGGATCGTCACTGACCTGTATCCTGGTTGCTTTGACTGGCCTGTCCCCTGTTGTTCTTGGACTCTCTTGCAGCCTTTGTCCCATCTGACGGTCACTGCTACCGTCAGAGTTCCAGATGACAGCTGCCTCCAGCGCCCCTCCTAAAGAAGCCTCTTGGCTCACTTCAGAGTTCCTGCTAATGCGGCAGCACATGGCCTCTTCTTCCGCCATGTCCACATTTTCCTCCGACCTCCATAAATCAACTCCCACCTTCTCTGGCCCCGGCGCCATGGATCAAGTGTTGAAATCTCGAGAATTGAGCTCTGCATCTGTTCGGAGACGGAAGTTTCAAGAACGACAGCAGCAGAATGCTTTGGAAAGAGAGAAAATGCGAGAACGTAAGAGAATGATGATGATATATGATCCGGTGGAAGAGGAGTTGGACGACTTCGGCGCCAGTTCTCGAGACGAGATGGATTCTGGCACGAGACAATGTGAACGGAGGTCTTCTATCGAAACGCCTTCGGAGTGCAGCGTGTCGACGCCCGACGACACATTCTTGAATCGAGCCGCTTTTGGCCAATGCTCTGCTTACGGTGCAAATGTGAAGCCGACAGAGATGTTAGAAGGGGGCGACGATCGGGTTCCAACGGCGCCGAACTACAGTTTTGTGACCATCCCTCCGCCGTCGCCGGCACCAGTGCTACAGGCGTCACTGGCGACCTTGTCAGATTTCAGATACGATCGGTATTCGGTTTTCCTGGACTCGCCCATATCAGAACTCCTCAGTTCCGACTCCGAAACCGAGGAGACGCTCTCGCCGGTCGAGGTTGCCACCCCCGTGGCTTTTTCTCTTCCCAAATCCCGACCTTCCCTTATATCTATAGCCTGTACGTCCCAACATCACAAGAGGATAACATCGCCGCTTCCAAGTCCGCTATCACAATCAACTTCACAACAACCTGAACGACCGGCCAAACGTCGATCGATCAGTAGCAGCCACTCGGGGTTTCCTGCTGCGGAAGCCACACTTTTGGAGGTGCCCGATTTGCCTGCCAGTGCGTGCGAGGTCATTGCCAATGCAAGTGCCAATGCAAGCCAGGAATCTCTGGTTCTGCCTCTGCCTAGCAGAAGTTCGAGGTCCAAGGGCGACCGCAAGTCCAGTTTGCCACGGCTCTCCATTGCACTGAGCCACGCGCGAATGAGCAGCATCAAAACCCTGATCAAAACGCCAACGACACTGACTGGAAGTCGCTCATCTTCCCGTTCTTCCGTGAACATCAGTCGTCCCTCGACTGCATGCCAGCCAGCGGCGGACCAGATCCTTGAAGGAGACGACCCCATGGCATCCACTATCGCCAACAATCTGGCCCACCTGCAACGATCCACGACCACCACGAGCACGTCGAGCACTGCGAGCCAGGTCAACATGACGGCGCTACCCACCCCCCCTGCCGATGACAGCCCTCCTGATCCTCTCACGGCCATTCCGCACATGGGTCCGCGAAAAAAATCATCATTCTCCGTCTTGCGCAGACGAAGTGAAAGTATTGGGCAGGCGCTCAAGGGTTTTGGAAAGAGTTCGACGAGAGCCGAGGCACCTGCACCTTTACCGTTGGCATCGGCACCGACATCGACGACACCCAGGAAGCAATATCCGTTGGACTTGTCGGCGTTTCCCACTCCCCCGCTTCCCTCTCCTCGTACCGGCACGAGTAGTGCAGCGTCGTTTACTTCGGCCTCGATCAAGAGTAGTGATGGAGCTGTTGGTTTGGGCTTGAAGAGCGTGGATCTGGACGGGATCGCGAAAACATGAACAAACACACAAATTGCTGGGATGGGCACGGGGAAAAGATTGTTTTGACCCGCGCAGCCCCTTTAACGAGTTACGACATGGTGGCAATCTTCACGAATTCTTGTATCAAAAGGTGTCTGTAGTCTAGTGAAAGAAACGGCATTTGGGTGGCCGCAGAAGGGTTTCTGCGCCGGAAAATGCCAATAATGAATGAGATCCCCTTTACACCAGCATCATGCTCTGAGAGTGAGCTGTGTGGTAAATACTTGTAGGCGCCAACGCACGATCCAAAAGCACTACTTAACAACTGCCTCGACCGGACATTCTCAGAGGAACTTGCCAACAAAGTAAAGATCGACTCGATACCCGCCTCAGCCCCAGCCTTGTGTGGCTGGAGAAGCGAAAAGGGGCCGCGAGGCTGAAGCGGAAGTGTTCATGTCAATATCAATATGGCCTTGGCGCTGCTCCCCGCATTTTCTCCGTATGCAGTGCCATTGCGATTTTGGTCATAACGTGTTATTTGCTTCCAGGTACTAACAACACGGCAATCTCTCTTTCTCTTTCTGTTTTGGCGTTGAGGGCGGCCAGCCCTTCGGCCCACTGGCAGTGAATACCACACAATGCCTCCTCACAGTAGAGGCGCGTCGCCCGAGTCAGGGTCAGGGTCAGGACATCAACGACCACACTCCAAATCATTATCAGCCTCTTTCCCACCCACGCTGCGGCCATACCTTGAAAACCTGCCTTCTCCCACATTATTGATCCCCTCGGATCAAAGAACACCTACGGGTCCTTATATGGACAAATCACAAACAGACCGCGGTCCATCTCCATCTACGCCTGTGACACCGAAAACTCCCCGGCGGCGTGCGGCCACCACAACTGTCTTCGAGGGTGAAGACCGGGGAAGAAGAACTTCTGGCGACTTTGAAGATGGAGAAGAAGAGGACGACGAAGACGAAGAAGACGAAGAGATAGATGTGACGGGCGTGACGCTGGATGACGACGATTTCGAATCGCATTATTCGCGGCACGAATCGGAGGAAGAATCAGGTTCAGACCAATTTGGATCCCAAGATGAAGATATTGAAGAGCATTCACAATTCGAATCGTCGTCGCAGAACGGGCACGCAGCCGCCGCTGCCTCCACCGCCACCACCGCCGACGAACAAGAATCAGAATACATTTCAGCGCAACAAAAACAACGACCAGGATCGCTCGCACGCGTCCACTCTCTACCCGCACGGCCACCTTTACCCGCGCGACATCACCACCAAGCGCAAGGGCAAGGTCTACACACATCACAATCCACAACATCTCTCGGCCCGCCTCCTTCTCATCCACCACCTCCACCACCCCTCTATCCACCATTCTACAACCGGCCACCGACACCACTGCCTCCATCACCGAGTCTCACATCTTTGTTAAGGCCACCATCTCTCCTAAACCGGTCCACGGCCTCAACTCGACCAACCACACCAGACAGTTCAGACGTTGAAACGCCCAACGACACCGAAGCCGCCGTTGCACAATCAGCGCGTCGGGCACATCCACTGCCGCCCACATCCCCCAAAGTGCCCACGTACGAATACTACGGGTTCGTGTTGTATTTGGCCTCGTCGCTCGCGTTTCTGTTTTACATCCTCTGGTCGTATCTGCCCAGCCCGTTCCTGCATGCTCTTGGGATAACTTACTACCCGAATCGATGGTGGTCGCTGGCCATTCCGGCCTGGATCGTGATGCTTTTGGTTTATATCTATGTTGCGTTGCTGTCCTATAATGTCGAGTATTTGACCTTGCCGCTGAACAGTCTCGAGTGCATGGTCGATGATGCGGCGAATGTTGCGGTCCTGGATGAGAAGACTGGAAGGATAAGAAAGGGGGGAAGTAAGAGGTTGATGAAGGAGTTGGAGGAGCGGGAGAGGTATTTCGAACACCATCCGGAACAACATCGAGGAGGAACGGAAACGAAAAGGAATCGGAGACTGTCAAGGGGTCAGGCTAGTAACTTGAACCAGTTGAGAAACAACCAGTCTGGGGGATTTGGTGCTGGCGCCGTGTGCTCGGACCCTACTGCCAGACGAAGATTGTCGAACCGATCGCACCCTGCGGCGGCGGCGGCGGCAGCATCCGCTGTTGATGGCAGTCCAGGCAGTGTTGGCATTGACTCGTCCAAGAATCCTCCTCCACCTCCCGACATTCCTGCCCGTGACTACCAGAATTCAAATTCGAGTTCGCATTGGAATCAACATGCCCATGGCCATGATCCCACCACTGCACAATCGTTTCTACACCACATTGTGCATCCTAATACTACTACCAGCGCCGCCCGAGACCGAGCAGCGCAGCATTCCATCACCGGCAAGCCCAATGGCGCCGGTGGTGGTGGTGGTGGTGGTGGTCCGAATATGGTGATGCCGAACTGGAATTGGAAACTCGTCTGGAACGAAGGCACAGATGCCGTCATGGACGTTCCGATCGGTGGCGTTTGCGAAGTTTTGTATGGCTGATTTTACCATACTGGATCAAATATGTTTGTTCTTGAGAAAGAGAGCGAGAAAAAGAGAGCGAGAAAAAGAGAGAGAGAGAGAGAGAGAGAGAATTAAGGGAAGTATACTATTATCTGATGGTGCATAATATATGTAATAGTATATCAATAATAATACTGTGTACATACTACACAGGTTGATTGGAGATTGGAAGGAGAGACAGACACAGCACCCAGTTTTGCATCCATCAGGCTTGTCAAGTCAGGGTATTCAGCTACCTTCATCATCCATTCAGATACTCAGGTAGTAGGATAGTAGTAGACACCTCGACCCCATGGCGTGGCGGTGTAACAGTAGTATTGCAGCATACAAGGTAGGCATAGTGTAGTAGTGTCGAATAGGATTGTATAGTCACATATAGTAGGTAGTAGTATACCTAGGTAGGTAGTAATATAGTGTAAGAATGCAAACCACAATATCATGAATAACAACTCTCTTTTCCTCGTTTCATTTTTCATCTTTGCCTCTTCACATATACTGACTACTAGTAGTCAAGTCAATCAATCCCATTTAATAAACGTCTTGTTCTGCAACCATCTGGCAGACCGAACAACCATCTTATCCACACGGGTAAAGTAATCTGCGACCCAGAGGACGACAAGAGCAGTAAGAAGAGCGCCCGGCAGACGAGCAAGATGCGACTCGCCGAGATGGGCGGCGCGCCACGGCTCAATGACCAATCTGTACGGGCCATAAACAATCGGCCAGTGCATGGCATAAATACCAAACGACAAGTCGCCAAGGTACTGGGAGAAGCGCCATTCGAACGGTCGCTGGAGGATCGGACACGAGTCGAGGGCCAGGACGACAAAGAAGGCCCCGAAGCTGATCCAGAACGTGTACGCTGCGTCGCCGTACCATGGCGGAATCATGCGTGCCAAAATGGGCCACGGGAACTGCCCGTCGGTGGCGCCCAGGTCGGGAGTGTGCTGTCGGTCTGGCTGGCCCAGCAATATGAAGCCCAACAGAAGGACAGAAACCCATCCGATGGTGGAGGCGATGGCGACGAGACGACGACGATGACGCCGGAGACGATGTTGTGCAGACGAAGACGCAAAAAGTTTCTCTTGCATGATTTCTCTTTCTTCTTCGCTTTCCCCTTCGCTTCCGCTCTCGCCTTCCTCTCCCACTTCGGGTTGCACGATCGCCACTTGGTCGTTTGCTGTCATCACGACAACGGGCAGCGGTTGTGGAGGAGGAAGAGTAGTAGTAGTGGCAGCAGCATGTCCACCGAGACGCTCCGGATGCCGGCTCAACGAGAGGTCGGCGACGAACATGCCAAACAAAAACTCGGACAGGAAAATCCATCTCGACATGGTCGACAACTTGCTCGACGCCGCACAGAAAACGAATAAAATGATGCTGCCGCGGTATTCAATCGGGATCGTCCACATCTGGTCGAGATATCTGGTGCGGAACACCCCATCATGTACCCAGCCCTGAATGTCGGCGAACGGGTTGCAGGTGACGGCGAAATCCAAAAACCAGTCCCACAGCTGGGCCCAGAACGTGGGCTGAGGATTCATTCCATATGGTATATACCAGCGTAGCGTCACCATGATGGCCGCCACCAGGGTTGCTACTCCTGTCGAACCGTAGAGTCGGATGAACCGCCGGAAGGTGGACGAGGCGAGACAGTCGTGTAGCCGTGCGGCTTGCTTGTTGCGGATCATCTGCAGCATCCGGTAGCTCAGCACATAACCGGAGATGACGAAGAAAATGGCCACCATTCCGGATCCGCCGTCAAAGAAGACGCGGATGATGGGCAGTTGTAGAAACCATATATTGGGCAGGTGGAATGCGTGGTAGATGAACACACACACTGCCGCGTAGCCTCTCAGAGCATCCAGGTATGCTGTAGGATGGAGCTTGCGTTCGCGGCCGCCCGCAGGATCACGCTGATGTAGATAGCTGGGGAGAAAAAATCGGATATGTTTGAGGATGCTGAGGCTTTTGGCTCCTGCTGTCTGCCATCTTGGCCGACGCTGGGGGGTGTTGTATGTCACTTCGTCCGCGGGTTGGGCCTCATGCTCGTCGTCGGCATAGTCTCGACTATCGATCGCGGGGTTCTGATCTTCCGAGAGACGGATCGCATGATATGTTCCTCCCATACTGTCGTTGCTCACTCGCTCGCCGTTTCTTTACGTGAGCAAGCCCTGGGTGCAATGTGACCGTACGGAAGTGCGTGGATGTAACCCGGGAGATTTTGAACGAGACCTTTTCACAAGCTCCTGACCATTTTTGAGTATATGTTTGGTTTGTACAGAATTTTGTCAATGAGGTTGGGCCCCCTACCACGGCAGCTGTCCAAGGAAGTACTGCAACGATGACTTTGAAACCCACCGTATACAGGAGGTGGCCATGGCGAAGTTAAATCATCAAGATGGCCCAGGCACTCCTTGCATGCAATTGTAGGAATGCAATTTACCTGATGGCAAGCTTCGGCTCGATCCCTCAGAAGGTCTGGCCTCTGGGTCTAGCATTCAAGGCGCCATCAAGCCAATCCAATCATGTCGATCGCACGGGCAAACAAGCATTTGTCCATTTGTTCACTAAGGAGTCAGTAGCTCGGAACTGACAGGCGTCAAGTCGAGGGTGAGCCCTTTTGACAGGTCAACCCATTGAGCAAGTCCTTTGTGGGCCACATTCTGCGAAAGGTGCCTCTCTTTTTCTTGATGTTGCAGACAGAAAAAATAGGTAGAGTAAGAGTTAGTAACATCGTTAGCCGTTGAGGAAGACAAGATTTTGCCTCTTCTTGTCATCTCGGCGTGTGAGGGCGTAATGGACTTTTGCCGAGCAAAAGTCCCGCAGACTTGAATATGGAGAAGCGAAGTCTGGGGCACGGGCCAGGGTGACATGGCACGTGCCCATGCATAGCTCTCTCGAGAAACTATAGTGGGAATGGCTGGCTGGCAGTCAGGTCAGTTCAGCGGTGCCCGTATTTGATGCGTATTTGATTCTTGCCACCTTCTTCCTTTCATCTCGCCTACAACCTGTCATTCGGAGCTTGATTGAGGTTGCCTGTGGTCAATTCACAAGACCCCCCTTTTCAGTGCGTCTTTTACATTATGGTTCATAAGCACGCCATTTTCCGGCAGCGGCGACCGTGGCTTCCGTAGCTGATGGTTTGGACTTGAGGATTTGAAGCGCGAAGCCCCTGAGTCAGAACTGGATAGCAATGCCAGTGTAGTGCGGGTGTTGCATACGAGTAGCCACCGGCACATCAGGAGGTGGTGATAAGTCGTCCAAGTGCATCATCATTGTTATGGGGCAGTTCAGAGGTTCGAGTCGAGTGTCCCACTTCGCGGGTTGAAGGTGGTGGGAAGAGAAAAGGGTGATGGAAGTGGGCGGGTGCACTACAATGTATCAGTGTACTACTGCACTGCATCGGGACAAGAGCGCATCTTGCTTATCGAACTGGGCATCACTTATCTCCACGTGCTCTCCGTCTGCCCAGCCACAAGATTAGTCAGCATCAGCCACATTGCGCACAGCCATCATGATGTCTTTTCTTCTAATGTTGGTTGGTACCTGCAGCGGCAAAGCCTTTCTAGCCACTCCGCCTCTTTTGAATTCCCGCAACAATGTTCCGACCTCTCCTACCAGCGTCAGGATTAAAGATCCGGAGAGAAGCCAAGTTAAAGATGATCGAAATCCCACATGCTACTATCTTTCGTCGTGGTGGCGTTGCGAGGATGAAGTAAGCGTTGAGCCTCAGAAGCAAAATGATCTCATCGGACGTCAACCTGTTCGCTAACAAAGGGAAAAACTTGGTACATCTCCCGGATCTGGGATGCGGCGACATCCATTGAAAGGTTAAATCTCTATAAAATTATACTATGTATATTGACGTATTTTCATTTTGCATGCAATCCCCTTGTATCACATAGACTTTCATCCCGTCCCTATTATTCACTGGCGAGGCATCCTTTTGGGACATAATCGCGATACAAAGGACAACATCTCCGTGGTCCACATTATCTTGTTTACTCAACACCCATTCTGCGTACCGGCCCCAGAGCCATCCTTTGGGAATCTTAACTTTTGGTTAGGCCTTAATATAAGGAGAATAATTTATCGTCCATCAGCTTCGCAACGATAATACGTGCATCTGAAGTCGACTCCGCAGCCAGCACCATGGGAGAACCAGCGACAGACTCCAACTACTGCATCCTACAAGGATTTGAATGGAACGTCTCAGCAGACCAAAAACACTGGAAACGACTGAACGCCGTTCTCTCTGAGCTCAAAGACGTCGGACTCGAGAACATCTGGTTACCTCCGGCATGCAAAGGCCAGGGCGGCAGCCAGGCCAACGGATACGACATCTACGACCTCTACGACATTGGCGAATTCGAACAGAAGGGATCGAAATCAACAAAATGGGGATCACGCGAAGATCTGGACGCACTGGCTCAAAAAGCCCAAGAACTCGACGTAGGGCTGTACTTCGACGCGGTGCTGAACCACAAGGCCGGGGCGGACCACAAGGAGAAATGCCGGGTGGTCGAAGTCGACCAGGCCGACCACACCAAAGACATCAGCGAGCCATTCGAGATCGAGGCATGGCTGGGGTTTGACTTCCCCGGCCGCGGCGACAAATATTCGGCCCAAAAATACCACTGGGAGCATTTCTCGGGGACCGACTACGACGCAGGCAACGACCGCACGGGCATTTTCCGCATCGTCGGCGAGAACAAGTGGTGGTCGCACAGCGTGGGCAGCGAATCCGGCAACGCCGACTTCCTCATGTTCGCCGACGTCGACTACTCGCACCCGGAAGTCGAGGCGGACGTGAAAAACTGGGGCGAGTGGATTGTTCGCCAGCTGAAACTCAAAGGATTCCGATTCGATGCGTGCCAGCACTTTTCCGAGCGGTTCACTAACGAGTTCATCAATAACCTCGAAAAACAGTTTGGTGACAACTCGTTGTTTCTGGTCGGCGAGTTCTGGACGGGTGAAGTGAAAGCCATGCTTGAGTATCTTGACAATATGCACCATAAGTTCAGTCTGTACGACTCGCCGCTACTTAACAACTTTTCGAGGCTGTCGACTACCGAGGGCGCGGATCTGCGTACTGTTTTTGATAATAGTTTGGTTCAAGCCAGGCCCGAATGTGCTGTTACTGTTGTTATGAACCATGACACACAGCCTGGTCAGACTGTCGAGACGCCCATAGAGGGATTCTTCAAGCCTCTTGCATATGCGCTGATTCTGCTCCGCAGAGAGGGGTACCCTTGTGTGTTTTATGGTGACTTGTACGGCACAAAGGGCAAGCATCCTGAGCCGCCTTCCTGCGGTGGCAAGTTGCCCCATTTGGTCCTGGCCCGCAAGCTCTTTGCCTACGGCGACCAGGACGATTACTTTGACGATGCTAATTGTCTGGGCTTCGTGCGCCGAGGCACCAATGACCGCAAGGACGGTTTGGCGTGTGTCTTGTCTAATGCCGCCCCTGGACAGAAGAAGATGTTTGTCGGAAAGGAGCATGCGGGAGAAGTCTGGACTGATGTCCTGGGCTGGCAGACCGATGAGGTCAAGATTGATGACGAAGGCTTCGGCCAATTCATGTGTCCTGGCACCAGTGTGAGCGTTTGGGTTAATAAAGATGCTCAAGATCGATCCAAAATCGATGGCTTGCACTTCGACACAGATATCTATGCCAGAGCATGATGTTGTTCGTCACCGTCGGTATATACTTCTTACGTTAGATTGCTGTTTGATACCCTGAAGACCTGTCGGATAGAGAAGGCCATTTCTGATAGTCCGTGGATTCTTGTCCATCGAGTATCGCACTGGCAGGGAGGAATCTAATAATCCATTTTGTGCGACACTGTCAATATGGCTTGAGTCTACGACGCAATCGAAGAAACCTGGATCCTCGGACACTGGGGCTCCTGGATAGTAAACATGCATAGATAAAGAACTTGATTCGTCTCGGACCTGCCGGTTATATCATGTGCCGTGAAATCTTTTGTTAGACCACGAGAAGACCTAACCGGAGGACATGAGTTTAGTACTCCGACAGCATTGGCCCTGGAGTAGGTATAGACTGATCGATCTCATAACCTCGCAGTGAATTGCTGCTGCTGCTGCTGCTGTTGTTGTGGTATCGCTTGCGGCCTCTCCGCCACATCCGACTCTTTCGGCATAAACCATCCCATGGATTTATCATACATGGTCGGTGTGACGCCAGTATTGGGATCACACGGCTCCCGCCCTTGATTAAAATACTTGGCAAGGGCTGTTTCCGCATGGCGCTCGACATCATAACCATAGACCTCCAGCACGGTCTGCGGATCGCCGTATAAGTTGCTGCTGCGCACGTAATACTTGCCTTGCAGTTCAGGGGCCATGGCTGCATCTCGAGCCCGCTGTGCCGGCCCGTCGGGTAAATGCCAGATGGCGCCGTTGAGGAACGAGACTTGTTGTTTCGCATATGCCTTGGGCATCCTTTCTTCTTCGTAGATGCGCACGGCATCCTGGAGGTTTATGCCGCCTTGGACAACTTTACCGATACATTTGGCGAGAAACGCCCCATCTTCCATGGACGTCGCTGCTCCCTGAGCCATATGGTTAACCATGGAGTGGGCGGCGTCGCCGATGAGAACGACGTTCTTGCGTGGTGACGACCATGTTGATAGGGGACCGGTCACCATAAGGGGCCAGCGGGACTGTGTAAGATGGATGGTGATTAGCTTGTCTGATGGCTCTGCCAAAAACAAAAAGAACAAAGTCGTCAACTTACAACGCTTTCAATCATGTGCACAATGCGTTTGATTCGCGGATCAAAGTCCTTGTACTCGTTCCGCAGTTCTTCAATGGGTACATCGGGCTGTGTAGCCCGCACCTTTTCAGGCCGGTGATGCGAAAGCACGAGATTGAACATCTTCCCCGCGTTGATGGGATACGTAATGATATATGCGTTGTGGCCCATCCACACTTCCATGGTCAATTTCTCAATCAGCTGCCTTGCGACGGGATCCTTCCGGATTTGGTCGTACGGCACCAGAGCCCGGTAAGCGCAGTTGGTAGTGGGAGGCTCAGGGGCGACGTTGGGAAAGAGTGTTTTTCGAGTGATGCTGTTGATTCCATCGGCCCCAATTAAGAGGTCAAAAGTGTGCTTTGCACCGCGGCGGGTTTCGACGGTGACTTTGTCGCCGTTGTGATAGTTAATGTAGCTTACGGCTGAGTCGATGTGGATCTTGGCCCCTAGTTGCTCTGCGATCGTGACCAGCCCTTCATGAAGATGGGCTCGGTGGACTACCCACCATGGCCGTCCTAGGGACTGTTCCACAGTGGATATCGTGGTATGCCCGACCTTGGTACCGTCCTTGCGGCGCATGTTGAGCTCTTCGAATTGGACGAGATTGCCGCCAATGACTTTGTCAACTCCCCATCGTTGAAGAAGCACTGAGACATTGGGTGTCATCTGGATGCCGGCGCCTATCTATAGTGTCACATGGAAGGTTAGAAACCAGAGGATGAAGGCATAAATGGTAATCGCCGATGGTAGCACCAACCTCTCCCAATTGCTCTGCTGCCTCAAGAACAGTCACGTTCGCACCAGCCTTGCGTAAGGCGATGGCCGTGGCAAGCCCACCAATCCCGGCCCCAACAATGCCAATATGCACATCCTGTTGTCGTGTGTGACCCTGCCTAGATATGAGTATTTGTCGGAGCTGAATTGAGCACAAGGCTACCAACCATCTTCTCAGATAGAACCCCGGAGATGTCTCTGCTAGAAGCGGCCTGGCCCTTGTATCAAAACGGAAGTGTATTTGTATTGAAGGAATATCCTGAGTATGGGATCTCGAGCCGCCGCGGGTCAAGGTCGTATATAGCCATATCCAGTTCAGCTTACATTGTACACCGTCGAGACTGTGAAGGTATCATGGGCCGCGGAGTTAGGGATGAGCCCCATGTCGAACCATTGATGATGCAGGAACAGCACAGATCGGATTGGAGTAGACAATCATACTTCACCCTTAAGATCTGCATATACATTTGCACGGTTTGAAAGATGATCCCTTTCTGTCATGTGCGGAGTCCTCGGAATTGATTCTATCACGGGGCTCATGCTCCACATTCCCACGGACAATCAAGGGAGAGCATCAGAACAGTACAAACACCGTGAAGCGACACTGTTCAAGGTATCATTGTGCCTGACCTGGGATCACCTGGGAAATGTTGGAGTGTGTGTGTCGACTCTGGGCCACTCCAGAAATGTTAGTCCTACCTTAATCCGTACAGAATCTCTTCGATATCTGCGTCACATCGCTCCAGCATATAATGCCATAGAGAAACTAATAGGAGGCGCCAAAGACTGTGCAGGAGCGTGGTCAGAGCAAGTCATAAGGACGAAGTTGACTCCAGCAGTGGCAGGAAAAAGCGGACCACGTGACCAGGATCATATCACGTGAACAAGCATCACATGATCGGCTGCAAATGCCGAACTGAACCGGCGGCTTTGGTTCTTGTGCCTGATCTCTCCCTCTTCTCGACTCTCTTTCATTTCCTATCTCCCCGACAGTGCGCCGCGTCAGCCCCCACAAGGCTTGAGGTCCTGTCCAAGAAGCCGTTTCTGGGGCACATTATGGGGCATAGCATGGGGCATAGCATGGGGCATAGCATGGGGCACAGCATGGAGTTTGGAGAGCTCCCGTCTGTTTACAACTCGCCTTGGAACCTGCCGCATCCAAGGCGTTCAGTCAAACAGAGAGCCTGTCCAGCAGCCGTCAGTGGCGGCTGGCCGGCCACAAGAGTGGACAGTGGACTGCATCCGATACCCGCCCCAAACTCAAAGGGAGCTCTCTACTTCCCGCCCACTGCACTGCAGCTGGCCAGTCTTGACGTTGGACCGCCACACACCGGTAGGCAGACCTGCAAGATGAGAAATCCACCTCCTCCAGATGCTATGTTGCCGACCTCAAGCATAGTGATTTGCATTCCTTTCTCCCCGTATCTTCATCACTTCCCGTGTTCCCCGATAGCTTCAGTCAAGAGCAGATTACAGTGGTCAATCAGGTGAGAGCACGGCGGTCAGGTGTTGATGCCATAGCAACGTCAATGAATGAGACCGAACGCGAACAGGACCCCGTGTCCAACAGACACCCACCACAGGTGCAGCCAGTGGATCATTCGACACCGCCCAACAAGAGGAGAAGGATTGCACTGGCATGCAGCAATTGCAGACACAGAAAGTCTCGGGTACGTAGACAGACTGGATACACGCACGTTCTCCCTTGCAAGGCAACCTTCGAGTCGTTGTGACCGCGAGAGGCAGTTCGTTTCGCGTCCATCCACCCAAGATGGTGCACGGACGGCCCCTCGGCCGATTGAAATCTACCGTCCTTCTATGAACAATCGACCGATCTAACCATGTCAATATCACCATTTCTAGTGTGACGGAGGGAGACCTGTATGTTCACAATGTCGTGAACTAGGGTCGGAATGCCATTATGAGCAGCAAGGGACCGCCAACAGCCTCACAGTCGGCAGAAGGTAAGAGCATGGTCAAATGTGGGTCCTGCTGGCAGCGGACCTGACATTGCTTCTCTTACAGTTACATATCTCAACTCGAGACACGGCTTGCAACTATTGAAGACAACATCAAGCGACTCCAAAATGGCCAGACTGTTACACAGCCAAGGTCTCCCAAATCTCCACAATGTAGTCGTGGTGGCTTGCCAGGGAGCAAGGATACACCCACAGATGACGGCAGCAATGGGCCTCAGATCCCTTCCCACATGCTTTATCAGAATAATGCCGAGTTGGGAGATTTGGACACGGCCGAAGACTCGATTGACGGAATGGGGGCCATTAAGTTCACCGATGAGGAGGACTGCGGTTATTTTGGTACACACGCCGTCCCGCAGTCTTCCTTACTGGTGTGTAGTGCTGCCTGCTAATGACCGTACCAGGACCATCTTCGAACATTGCTTTTGTCCGCCATATTTCTCTAGCGATGGCTAGGGGAACAGCGGCTGGCCAAGCCGCACCGTCACAGGCCCCTCGTCGCTCAATTACCGGTACCATGAGCGTATCTCGACCTCACTACGTCAAGGATCAAACTCCACAGATTGGTGTAAACCCATCACGGAGAGGAATCAACATTTATGCGCTTCCCTCAGAGGCTCGCACGTGGGCACTAATCAAGGAGTACTTTCAAAAGACAGGGCAGTTATTGCCGTTTATTCACGAGGAGTCGTTCTGCGATACCTATTTCCAGATGAAGCGCAACCACTTCACATTGGCCCGCAGGACATGGCTCGGCTTACTCAACATCATTATGGCCATGGGTACCACGCTATCGGTCGAAGGGAATATGTCTTCGGAAGAGCGGATAGAGGAATCCGACGTTTACTATCAGAGAGCCAACGCGCTGTGTTACAAGGAGTCCAGACGAAATATCAGTCTTGAGTTGGGTAAGCCTGTCCACGATACCACAAAACCTACATTTTTGTCTTAGCACTGCCAGTCACTCATTATGCGCTAGTCCAATACCTTCTCATTCAAGGCCAGTATCTCCAAGGAACCCAAAAGTCTGTCCAAGCTTGGACAGTCCACGGGTTAGCCATCACCACTGCCTTCCAGTTGGGCCTGCATTCGCCTCGAACCAATTCCGAATTCCCTGCACTCGAGGCAGAGATCCGAAAGCGTGTCTGGTTTGGATGCATCCTACTCGATCGGTGTGTCATGCTTTATCGAGAACGCGTACAAGTTTGCCGTTCTTTATTACTAACGACCCTGCAGAACTCTAAGCATGACCTTTGGTCGGCCCTCCATAATCCCGGACAACTACGTCAAACTTGACCTGCCGATTTTCAACATCAAGATCGTTGGTCAGGCTCCCACACCTCAAAATGAACCTGCCATTCCTCAAATGGACGCTATGTTCTACACAGCTACCATGTGAGTCCTGGAACTAGCCTGACATCACTGACAGTGGGTCCATCGACTAACAAGAACTACTTAGCAAGTTATATAATGTCATGTATCATATCATCGACACGTGTTACGGACAGAATTTGGGCATTGAAGATTCCCTGGACGACTCGGAGATCTTCTCCCTGGTGCTGAAAGGTGGTAGGTTACTTGACGAATGGCAGTTTCAGCTCCTACCACAACTTCTCCTCCGTGTGTGCGACGTGCCACTCCGTCCTCCGGATCTCGACAAAATGGAACAGAGGAATCTGATTGTGGAGCGGTTCAATATGGTATTGTCGCTGCGATACCATAACCTCCGGATTTTGCTTCACCGTCCTATTCTCGAGAAGATCCTGGACACATATGGCGGACAACACGACGCCGCGGGAGCCGGAAATGGTATGTCTGCTCGCGTTGGGGTGGAGAACCCCATGCTACAACAGATTGGTGTCACGAGCATTGAGACCTGCGTCGACTCGGCCATGATCATCATATCGATTGTCCATACCATTGTTTTGTCTGCCGGATGGCGCCGCGATCTTCTAGGGGCGTGGAATTACTCGTTGTTCTACAGTAAGTACCAGAGCCAAGGAGGCTAGACATATCAACAACAAGAAGACTAACCTACCTTGTGTGTCGTGCATAGCATTCAATGCCGGCCTAGTCTTATTCGCAGCACTTCTCGTGGCGCCGAAAGACGACCTTCGCCAGCAGAGGCAAGACCCCAAATATTTCATTCCCTCCAGGTGGGACTTCGTCGACCATATCCCGCGGTATTTGACCATGGCCATCGAAGCCCTGAAACATCTGGACCGGGGAAACCGCGTCATAGACCGTTGCGTGGTCTATCTTGCCCAATTATCCGCTACGCTCACCAGCCACAGTAAGTCTAACTTTAAGTTACCGGTTGCGTTTGCCTTTTTTGTTTTGAAAGATGCGACATCGCGCTTCAGTTTCCATCAATCAGTTAGAGATGTGCGGCAGAACAGGACTCACTGACTTGTCTCTGGACCCAGCTCCGTCGACCAACTTCGATCCGAGTTACTCTGTCGTAGGCAGCAACGGCAACAATGTCAACACCGGCAACGGTGCCAGGCGAAGCAATACCAATACGGTTCCATCTGTCAATCCTATCGACAATACAACTCAAATAGATCAAAACCTGGACGTTGGCGTCAACCAGCATCAACAGCACTCCTCTCAACATTACCAACAACAGCATCTCGCGACAACATCCCGGACATTCCAGATGGACGTGGAGACGGACTTGAACGAGTTTATGCTCGACACGGATTTGGATCTGTTCGCCAGGCAGTTTGATTTGTTCCGGCAATATTGAGCACCATGTTCAGTGGTAGCGTGCAGCATCACACTCACTCTTACAACTGCAGTGGGAACAAGAGCCAGGAGAAGCGAAGAGAAAAGATCGAGAGAGAGAGAGAGAGAGAGAGGAACAACTCGGGCACGAGAAAAGGGAAATAGCAAAAAGGACTAAGTGGTCAAAAGGGCAGAGGTATCAATATGGTTGGTACAAGCAACCCGGTCGACGACTAATTCTAAGTGAGGATGATGAGCACGGATGGCGAGAGTCGCCACTGTCCTTATCGTTGTGCTTTGAAAGGGGGCCAAAAAGCGTTATCACTTGATACCGTTACCTCACTGCGTGACTGCATGACTGCAAAGTACAAACTACATATGTATAAACATATCCTCGTCGGGGGAAGTGATGAAACATTGAAAGTTTCTTTGTGCACCAGTGAAGGAGATAAATTACAATATGATATACTTGGTTACCTAGTCCCCTAACCAGTGGAGACTGGGGACTCATTCATATAAAAACCACGAAGCAAAAGCACAGTCAAATTTCAATCAAACTTTACCAGGCCTCACAGGCAATCCAGCAGCCTGATAGATCTGATCAATAGTCTGCATCTGCTTGACACTTTCGTCATTAGCAACCCAGTAAGCGGGGTCCTTGCCTTGCAGCTTGCGGACAAAGGCCTCGAGCTGGTATCGGTAAGTGCTCCAGTAGGTAGCGCCGCCCTTACCGGCGGTGGTTTCGACGTTCTCCCAGACCGGACCGCCCGAGTACTGATGCTTGTACTCTGTGCGACCGGTATCTTTGTGAGTGATGGCGATGTGGTGGTATACTATGTTCACAAAGTCAGTACTACGCCACCTCCATCTGCAACCAAGTTCTGTTGTATTTCTGGTCAAACTTACAATGTGGCATCATAGCATTATAAAAGTGAATGATACACTTTTCCGTCTCGACCTCGATCTGCGGCAACTCCCAGACCCTTGGGATCACATAGGCGATCCAGTCGCGCGCCATGTCGGTGTAGATGCGGGAGTGGACGAGTTCGCCGTTCCGGTCCTTGAACAGCAGGTTGGCCGTCATGGCGGCGTCGACGCGCTTGTCCTTGTCGTAAGGGCGAGCCACGGCCGACAAGATCTTGTCGGGAAGCCCGGCGCGTAGAGCGTACCGGGTGAACGACAATGCGTACGTCATGTCCATTAGACTGCCGCCGGCCAGGTCGAATTGCCATCGGATGTCGCCGTCCGGAACGCCCGGTGATGCTGTCATGCGTGCGTCGGCGTACGATCTGTTTGCCGTATTCGCCGGACTCGAGGAGGGAGCGGAACAAATGTGCTGCCGGGTGGAATTGCCAGTGGAATGCCTCCTCGAGAACCCGGTTCGCTTGTTCGGCTTCCCGGACTAGGGCCTCGGCTTCGGCGCCGTTGGATGTGAATGGCTTTTCGAGCAGGACGTGTTTGCCAGCTATGAAGAGATGTTAGGGTTGATGTTGTGTTTGGATAAAAGTGAGAAGTAGGACAGGCTTACCTTTCAATGTTTTCGATGCCCACTCGTAGTGGAGTCCGTTCGGTGTCGAAATGTATACAAAGTCAACCTCTGAGTCGTCGAGCAGTGCTTGGTACGATCCGTAGGATTTCTGGAAGTGGTATTTCTTCGCTTGGCTGGCTGCTGTGTCGGCGTCTCGCGAGGCGATGGCATACAGGATCACGTCTGGATGAGTCTCGGCGGGATGAATGGCTGTGTAAGACTTAGAAACTAGTTCTTTGTTGTTTTTGTTGG